TATTATAAGGGGGTATAAAGCGAGCTCTATAAATTTAATTTTAATTATTTACGTATTTACGGTTGTAAAGTGTACGCGATAATAGGCACCGTATAAAAGAAAGAGTAACAGCGTAAGAAGTTTTAATTAAAGGTTTAGATCAGATTCTTTATTAGTTATATTACTTCTTCTATTTATTAAATTTAGAACTTATAAAGTAATTTTATTATTTATACCCGTAACGTACTCTTTAACGAAAATTTAATTTATTTAAAGAACTTTAATAATTTTAAAGAAGGATTAAAGTTAATTAGTAACGAAATTATTAATTTATTTAATTAAATTAATTAACGTCCTTAATTATTTATATAATATTTTAAACCGTTTAACGCAACCTAAAATATAGAAAATAACGGTCTTACCCTTCTCCTACTATTATTCTTCGATAACGAATTTTAAAAAGATAATAATAAAACTATTTTAAAATTAATAGAACTTACCACTTAAAATAAAATATTTATCGATTTTATATTTAACTACCTTACTCCGTTAAATATATTATTAAGTACTCTTATTACTGGCCTTATAATAGATTTATTAGAGGTTATCTCCTTCTTAGCTTTCGAATTATAAAAAGCCGTATTTAATATTAAGAGACTTATTTAATTAATTAGGTAGTAGTAGGGTAAGATAATTATAAAAGTAGAAATTAATTACTTAATTTCTAAGGGTAGTAAATTAAATTCTATTAAATATTAAAACTTCCCTCTAGTCTTAAAGATTTACTACGATTTCGAATATTACGATTTGGGTGATTTTTTTTAAGTAAATAGAGGAAATATATTTCGATAGTTATAAAAAATGTAATTATAGGTTGAAATCGACGAAGACGTTCCCCGCACCAAAAGTTTTTAAATCTTCGATTATATATAAATATACGTATACAAATTTAATAAATATAGTCGGTAATTAAAAGTAAAAGTTCGCTTTATAATTAGAGGAAAGTAATAATATAATTATAATAAAGAAACATATACCTCTATATTAATTAATCGTTTATTTTAATTAATTATTACCTACGCCGCTAAATTCAATTTCGAACTTATTTAATATAATATAGTAAACGCCTTCGTTAATGCCTACTTTAATAAGGAAATTCATACATATATACTTCCTAATTATTGAAAGTACGGTACTATTTTTGAGATCCTTAAGGCCTTCTACAATTTCCGACGAATTCCCTTATTATAGTAACGAGAATTTAACGGGACCTTCGAAAATTTAGGGTTTAAACCGTTATTCGAAAACCCATATATTTTTAAACGTAATAAAAATTAAATTTTTTATTATATTAACGATATTATTTTCGCTTTTAATAAATTATAATATAATAAAGTTATTCGGGTTACAGAGAAGTTAGAAGAGAACTATAAATTTATTAATAATAATAACTTTTAATAATTTTTAGGTATCGAGATTATTCGAGACCGAAAAGTAGGCTATATTTAATTGTCCTAACGGGAATATATCTATAAAATTACTAAAATAATTAAGAATCCCTATATTTTCGCCTTTATTTTAATAAATAATAAAGAATTTATACTTTATAATAGCGTAGCCTCTTTTAATAAAATCTGGGAATATTAAATCGTTATTAAATTTATAATATACGCTATTATAATTATCCAGCTTAATATTACTTTCGCTGCTAGCCGATTAGCTCGTTACAATTATAATCTCAGTTCTTAGTATCGTAAGGTTACTAATAAAATTTTCTACTACTTTTAATACTATTTTAATTTCTCTTTTTATTATAGTAAATTAACGAAATTCGAAATCGCTTTAAATACATCGTACGCTGATAATTTTCTAAATTGAAAGAATTCGTATAGATTTACAATTAATTTTTTGAGTAATTTAATTTATTAGGGTATAATTAAATAAAAGACAGTATTTACTTTAATAATAGTTGTAGAATTGTTATCGATTTTAAACGCTATTGAGGAAACTATTACTTTTATACGTCTATATAAAGAGATTGATATTCCTTTCGATAAGGATATGCTTGTGATTGGTTGTGATAATATATAGACGATCCGTATATTAATTATTAAGGTAGCGAAATTAATAATTAAATTAAAATATATTAATATTTATCGTTATTAGTTAAAGTAGGAAATTATAGAGGGAAAGATTGAAGTTAAATATTTGAAGACGACGAAGATATTAGCCGATAAATTAATGAAGGTTTTAGAATAATTGGATTACGAGAAATTTCAGGAATTAATAGGAATAACGAATATACTAATTCGTAAGGAGATAGGGATAAATAAGGAAATTCTGGATAATATTCTGGAGGATATTTATAGTTTGGTTAGAGAAATTAACATACTAGAAGAGAAATTTTATAAATAGCTTTACTTTTACCCTATTTGGAAGGTCTGCAAGTGAGAGGGTATATCAGATTTAAAGGTGGTTTCAGCCATACCATATGGAGGTTAGCGCTCTAGCTACCTGATATTGCCTGATTTCTGGGCATATTTGGGTTACCCCAGCACCCCCCATACCTTCTGAGCGAGTCAGTCACACACACTCTTCAATCAATCAATTCTGCACCGTCACATCTGACAGCAGCAACTTTCAACATGGCACCAGCATGCAAGCAGATTCCCGCAGCGGACCGCGTCAGGAACGGTTCACGCTGTCGCGCTGTCCCTCAGGGTTCTAAAACTCCCCCAAACTGCCACCAACTCTCCACAACTGCCCGTTGCAAGTTGCCACATCCCAGTCATCAAAGACGCGTAAAGAGGTATCATTGGAAGAAAGCGAGTTGCCCCCGGCATCGGACACCACTTGTCAAGGTCCATCTCGTTCCTGAAGATCGGCGCTTTTCCGGATAAAGACTGATAAGAGCTCGCGTCGAAGGCGGTGTGACCGTGTGAGGACAAGAGGTGGCAGGTCCCCGTCGTCTCAACAATTTCCCCTTTCCTGTCCCTCGTCCAAGACAATCCTGGTAGACGTGGGCTGAGCTTTCTTAAAACAACGCTCCCATCCTCTTGACTCTTCCTACCTAGCTTTACCCAGTTCCATTCCATAATCTTTAATACCAAACTCTCTTTCTCCTCAACTCCAACTTTCAAAGCTAGCCATCATGTCTTCCGGTCTTCCCTCCGTTTACATCGTTTCTGTCGCCAGAACCCCTGTGGGGTCCTTCCTTGGGTAAGCTACCCCGCTATGTCGACTGACCTTCCGGAGCTGTTGTCAGGACGACACAGGAGGGACAAAGCGCGAACTAAGCGTTGCTAACATCTCTGAACTTGTAGTCAGCTTTCCAGCCTTTCCGCTGTCCAGCTCGGTGCCCATGCCATCAAGTGTACGTTGGAACCAGGTTCGAGAGGAGTAATAGATAAAAGAGGTCCTTAGCTAACAGCTCCTGAATTTAGCTGCCGTTGAGCGCGTTCCCGAGATCAAGGCTGAGGATGTTGAGGAGGTCTTCTTTGGCAATGTCCTTTCCGCTGGGTATGTAGCCATGGATGCCTTTGTGCGCAACGAACGCACCGCCGCGATTCGATCCTGGAACAACACAATGCTAACCAGATGTCTTTATCCTCCAGTGTCGGTCAGGCTCCTGCCCGCCAGTGCGCCCTGAAGGCCGGCCTCTCGAACAAGGTTGTCGCCACCACCGTCAACAAGGTGTGCGCTTCCGGTATGAAGGCCATCATCCTTGGCGCCCAGACCATTATGACTGGCAATGCCGACATCGTTGTCGCCGGCGGCACCGAGAGCATGTCCAACGTCCCCCACTATATGCAGAACCTCCGCACCGGCGTCAAGTACGGCGACGGCGGTCTTGTCGACGGTATCCAGTCCGACGGTCTCCGTGATGCCTACGACAAGGAGCTTATGGGTGTCCAGGCCGAGCTCTGCGCCAAGGACCATGAGCTGAGCCGTGAGGCCCAGGACGAGTATGCCATCAACTCCTACCAGAAGGCCCAGGCCGCCACCGAGGCTGGTCTGTTCAAGGAGATTGCCCCTATCGAGGTCCCCGGTGGCCGCGGCAAGCCTGCCATCAAGATCGACCGTGATGAGGAGGTCAAGAACCTCAACGTCGAGAAGCTCAAGTCCGCCCGTACCGTCTTCCAGGCCAAGAACGGTACCGTCACTGCTCCCAACGCCTCCCCCATCAACGACGGTGCCGCTGCCGTTGTTCTTGTCTCCGAGGCTAAGCTTAAGGAGCTTGGTATCAAGCCCATCGCCAAGATCCTTGGCTGGGGCGATGCCGCTCACGAGCCTGAGCGCTTCACCACCGCCCCGGCTATCGCCATTCCCAAGGCCATCAAGCATGCCGGTATCAAGGAGGAGGACGTTGACTTCTACGAGATCAACGAGGCCTTCTCTGTTGTCGCCCTCGCCAACATGAAGATCCTTGGCCTTGAGCCCGAGAAGGTCAACGTCTATGGTGGCTCCGTTGCCATCGGCCACCCTCTTGGCTGCTCCGGTGCTCGTGTTGTCACTACCCTCACCACCGTCTTGGCTGAAAAGAAGGCCAAGATTGGCTGCGCTGGTATCTGCAACGGTGGCGGTGGTGCTTCTGCCATCGTTATCGAAAACTTGCAGTAAGTGGCTGGCGCTTGTGTCTCGATCGTTCTATATACCCACATATTTTTCCACATGGCTCGCGGAGCGGAGTTTTGGAGAATGGAAAAAGCATTATACCTTGTGATTACCACATGAGGATGACATTCTAATAAAAAGTTTTGATGATTGATGATAGATCCACGGCCAGCTTGCCCTTCGTTAAGTCAAACCTTTAATAATACAAAAGACCCAACACATAATGCGGGTAGATTGTCCTCGGCGTGAATCAGCTTATGGCTATCTTTCGAGAAGATCATATCTTTTGAACTTATGACGGATTTGAATTCACTGCTTTACTACTCATGAAGAGAGACGAATTTCGATGGGATAGATGTAGTTCAAACTTCAATTGATCGCTCAGGTGACGGCGCGCTTGAGGTTGCTCATGCACTGGGCCGCCACGCCTTGATACAACTGTCCTCTCCGGCGGTAAATACTACCTGCTGCTCATCGACAAAGCAGAAGCTGCGAACGATCTCCGATCCATGTGCCCCTGGAAGACCTACCACAGTCTCACTATCCAAGCTCCATGAAGCACCATTCTTGGATAGATGGATCAGCCGGAACAGCTCTTGACTATTCATCCCCCATACGTGGTTAGCACACACTCGATAGCTCGTTTCGGCCAAAAAAAGGGCAAAGTTGTTTCCCAGAAAAAAACTCACTCCTGTGTTCCAGCACCAATAACCGCCCCAGCACCCGTCACCTTGGGGATAACGTTGCACAAATACTGGCAGTCCACCGTCTTGCGGATGTCGCCCAGGTCGAGCGTCGGCGAGCCCTTCTCGACCGTCTCGCCCATGTCGTACAGCGCGAACCGCTCGTCGTGCGACACGGCGTACACCTCGGTCTCGTTCAGGAAGCCGGCCCGGTGCACGGAGCCGTGGTTGAACGCCGCGATCACCACTTCGTCCTCGTCCGTGATGCGCGTGTCGCAGACGTTGACCAGACCATCGGTCGAGCCGGTCAGGAGCAGATGGGCGTTGGTGGGGTGGAAGGAGAGCTCTGTTACGTCGTCGCTGTGGACTTCATCGTAGTGGATCTTGGGGGCGGAGGGGAAGCGGAGATCCCTTTTTGTTCGTGAGTTAGTGAGATTCTGGTCTGGTTTGAGGTGTTGTTGAACAGGTGAGCTTGGATGAGCTAGGGTACATGAAGTCTTACCATAGGAGAACGGATGCCTGGTGGTTAGCCAATTCCGTACCGGCAGCTAACGTATTTGTCTGTTCCGAGCAGGCAAGTGAGAGCAAACCGGGGCCTTCGCCTGGTGTCCCTATTTGCAATACCGCTGTGTTGGCCGCATCGGTTCTCAGATCCCAGAGCGAAACCGTCCCGTTCTCGCCTGCTGTAGCAACGACTGAGTTTCCGACGCTGAACGCTTCGGCGCAGCTGATGTTTCCATGGTTCGTTTGGACTTTCTTGAGAGGTCCCTGGTTCAGGCGCAGAGGGTTGAAGATGGAGAGACTTTGGTCGGAGCCAACGGCTGCTAGGCCGGCAGAGACGGGGACGATGTCTGTGATGTAGGTGGGTTCTGAACCGGGATACTTGAACCCGTCGGTGCAAGATAGGGCATACATCTTGACTGGCTTATTTTCCGGGGGTTGAATGATTTTGTTCTGGTACAATCGTTCGCAAAAGATTTGTGAGAGACTTCTCAAATATGTGTAAGTCGACTTAAGCTGTACGAAGTCTTAGTCTTGATGTTTCGGTCTTGAACGGTCCTAGTGTCTACCTGTCCACGGTACTCACATCAGATGAAAAAGTAAGTAATCCGACTTCCCAAACAGATCACGCTATCATCCACTGGTCACAACTAAAAATTATTCGAGGATTTATTGTTTTTGTTTTTTTAGGTTGGTAGTTGAACCTCAGCTTGAAATGATAACTTCTTCAATAAGCGCACTTCGGATCGCAAGCCGTGGCAGCTGTCCGCCAGCTGCTGACTGACCAATCCTAAGCAGGTACGCCACAACTGACGGGACGTGCACGGCCGTTGAGGTTTTGAGCTCTGCGGGTAGGAGCCCGGACCCCTGTCGAGCTCTAGAACGATTACGAAATGGGAAGTCGAAGCTCTCAAGTTCAATCTGGACAGCTGGTATCATGAAAGCCGCTGCCGTGGACGCTACACTACACACTGCGCTATAGGTGTAGCTACTGGTAGTGACTACCCCACGATTTGTTGATGTTATTTACCCGACCTCCTTCTAAGAAGGGTGCTTGTGTTCAGTTGGCCTAACCACGAATACTTTCAACATCTGTTCCTTTTTTTGGGATCCCACTGCAACGGACATCCACGGACTGCAAACAACGTTATTGCTGACGATCTGTTGCTTATACATCACAAGTCTGATAATGGCATGATTCCTTCCTTTGGGTTTGCCTCTACTACGTTTCCCAGGAGTCGACAACCATGAGGCGCTTTCTCCTGTACATATCCCGTATGCTTGCAAACCCCAGGCCACTCTGCTCTCCTGGAGCGCCAGACACTGACATCATTGTCCCCCAGTGCTATTGCAGGTCGTTGTGTTCTCCCACGCGAATGCGCCGGACAATCAACAACATGTACTTTCTGGAGATAGATCGAATGGAGCAACAGGCAATACACTCCCCGCCGAGCTCCCTGCCGCACAGCATGTTCAACCAGGTATGCGCACTTGAACAAAGACGAAAGCTCAGGGCTGGAAGGACAAGTTGCTGACAGATAATCAGGTGCTGACCACGTCGACACCGCTCTGGTCGAGTTGCGAAAGCTACACCAACCTTTGCACCATAAGATACGAAAGAACCCCGGCATTTTGAGAACCGTTCTACATCTTGCTACCAAAGCATTACCGGCTGTCCGACTTACTGCTCCCTCACCCGATTCCTCCAACGATGCCGTCAGTGGCCCGCTTCTCCATGCGACCAGGCTCCTCGAGGAGTCCGCACAGAAGAACAACTCCGATGCGCTCTATATCCTAGGCGACATGAACTTCTACGGCAACTTCTCCCACCCCAGGAATCTCAAGACGGCCTTCGATTACTACCAAAAGCTTGCCTTGCTCAATGGAAACAGCTCGGCAATGTACATGATGGGAGTGATGTACTCTACAGGAGTGGGAGGCGCCGTGGAGCCGGACCAGGCCAGAGCTCTGCTTTATTACACCTTTGCTGCCAACCAAGGCCACACGAGGGCCGAGATGGCTGTGGCACATCGTCATTATGCGGGAATCGGAACCACCAAGAACTGCGAGACGGCGGTCAAATACTACAAAAGGGTCGGCGATAAAGCAATTGCGTGGTACCGCTCAGGACCTCCCGGCGGCATGAGCTGGATATCGGAATCTCACCGCATCGCCGACGAACTTGGAGGTATATATGGTGCAGGAGCGAGTGTGTCCAGTTCGGGTCAAAACGCACCTCACAAAAACCCCACCTCTGACGCACAGGCTTCCATCGAGGATATTCTCGAGTACCTCGACCTGATGTCTCAGAAGGGCGACGTCAAGGCGACTTTTAACCTGGGCCGTATATTTTACGACGGCCAGAGAAACCTCCCGCGTGACTACGCCAAGGCCAGGGAATACTTCCTGAAGGTAGCCGGTAAAACCTGGAATAAGAAAGGACAGGTTTTCGAAAACAAGACGCCCAGTTTTCACACTATCAGTTGCAGAGCAGCTGGATACATCGGGCGCATGTATTTGCGAGGAGAGGGTGTTGAACAGAACTTCAGGCTGGCCGAGTTCTGGTTTAGACGCGGCAATGAGCAAGCTGACCAACAGTCTCGCCATGGACTCGGACTGATGTACCTGAATGGTTACGGCGTGGAACGAAACCTCGACCTGGCCCTCAAGTACTTCAATGCGGCAGCGGAGACTGTATATCCACCCTCTCATGTGCAGCTCGCTGCGCTGTACCTCGATCAAGGTCAGTCCGATGAGGATATCTACGCAGCAAACCATCACCTGGATCTGGCGGCTAAGTACTACAATATGGAGGCATATTACTATATCGGAGAGATGACCTATTTCGGTCTTGGCCGCGAAAGATCATGCGAGGTTGCGCTTAATTACTACAAAGCTGTCGCGGAGAAGGTAGAGCCGTTTGTCTCATGCTGGGCTGAGGCTAACTTGGCCTACGACGCGGGTGAGACTGAGTTGGCCTTCCTCGAATACCTACACGCGGCAGAACAGGGATACGAAACCGCTCAGAACAATGTTGCGTACATACTCGACCCTCAGAAGTCCTACTTGACTATCCCGCAGTGGCTGTACCCCAAGACCCAGAAGCCGGCACTTCTTCAAAACCCGGCGCTCGCACTCATCTACTGGACACGGTCCTCTAGGCAAGGCAACATTGACGCTACTGTCAAGATGGGCGACTATTACCTCGGCGGGATAGGAACGGAAGCTGATGTCGATAAGGCCGTTCAGTGTTATACTGCAGCTTCAGAACATTATCAGAGCGCGCAGGCGTTGTGGAACTTGGGCTGGATGCATGAGAATGGCATTGGCTTAACTCAAGACTATCATCTTGCTAAGCGGTATTACGACACTGCTCTGGAAACAAACGACGAGGCATACCTACCCGTCTCTCTCAGCTTATTGAAGCTGCGGGCGAGAAGCGCTTGGAATACTTTCACCAACGGTCGGATCAACTCTATCCAAGACGAGCCAAGTGAGTACCATCCCCTGACCAGGTACATATCAAAGAGACCCAGCTAACAGTCAACAGCCGAGAAAAAGGAATGGTCACTCAGTGAATGGATCAATAACTTCTTACAGGATGAGATGGGCTATTACGGAGATGATATGTATGACGGCTATGAGGATGCGATGCCTGGTGCCGATTCCGATCTGGGTGCCTTTGAGGAAGGGGACATCCTGGAGACGTTGGTGATTATGGGTCTCGCTGCCGCTCTTGTCTTCTTAGTATTGTATCGCCAACAGCGACAGCAAGCAGCTCGGCGGCAGCAGGAAGACGAGGCAAGGAGACAACAGCAAGAACAGCAAGGCCAAGGCGTTAGAGTAGCTGGCGGAGCGTTTGCTAACGGACAACAGCAGCAACAGGCAGGGAATGGGGGCTTCTTCCCTCAACCTGGCGCTCCAGGCTTTGGGCAATGGGCTGTTGGTGGCGTGGGCCACTGAGCAGCTGGTGGCATGGCTTTGCAACTTTTTATCTCACCTTTTCTCTGCATCTTTAGTGTTTACCACGAGCAGTATTCTTGAGCTATTACTGAGCGATGGCGTATGGGGATTTGAAATACGTACAACTGTATACTACAACAGACGTTAGAATGGTCATGGTTGAGAGTAGTCATACAAACACCGTTCTTGAACCAGAGGCCGATGTTGCTGTTAGTGCGAGTTAGCCACTAACACATTTTCAGGTCACAAACTTCTCTGCAACAGAATGGGCGTGGCCAACCAAACAAACAGATGACGCCGGGAGTCGATCCGCAGTAGGCATCCGGCTCCCTTTGCGATCTTGAAAAAAACTTTGATCAAGATGTTTGCTTTGAGTGCTCGTGAGGACCTCCAGCTTCCTCTGCGGACCGGGGCGTGATGCAGCGGCTCTGGGCAACTGCTACAGCACCGTAATAGCAGGTACTACACGCTAACACCACCATCTCTACCCCCCGTAAGCAAGGCAATCACTTAGCAGGCCCGCAGGCAGCGCCTACCACCTCACCACTCATAGGTCCAAGATCTCCGTTTGCTTCGCAGATTCTCTCACCTCACATTTTCAACCACAATTGATCATTTTCCGTCGGGTTCGGTCGTCACTCAACAATCTCAAGGACACAAGAATGCAGTCACACGCAATCTGGTACTAGCCTGTACAAAGACCAATTCCAGCACTCCCCAAACCGGCGCGCAACCCCTCACAGCATTCACCAACCTACTCACTTGGAGAATGTCATCTCACGCAACACCAGGACCAGCATCCAAGCGCCGCCGTGTCGAGCTGGCAAACGCTACACTGCGGAGACCGTTTCGGTCTCCCATGATCAACCGCACAACATCTGGTGACAAGTCAACTCCCACGGCGACAAGGCAAGGGAAAACGACGCAAGTACGAGCGGCAGTGGGTAGTAGTGGTGCCGCCGATGTCGGGGGAGGAGAAGAAGAGGAAGAAGAAGATGATGACGACGACGAAGAAACAAGTTTCTCCTCGGTGCCGACGCCAGTAGTGAGAAAAGCATCAAAAAGCAGTCTTCACCGTAGTAGCGGTGCTGGTCCCAGTACGAGTACACAACGGAACGCGAAACCACCTCTTCTGGATTTGAACAACAAGGAGGAGCAGCAGAAAGGGCCTCGAGCTACGTCTGGTATCAATCGGAGGCGAAGCAGCATCGGGTCAGGGTCTACTACTGGCTCTAATATCACTTCTTCGCGCCCTTCCGTTGGTCAAAGCCTTACCAAAAGGACAGTTGTTGGTGAAGCCGCTCCAGATGGTAATGACGACATCTTGGCCGGACTGCAAAAATCTCACAGGGAGGCGAAGGCTCATTTGAGCGCCATGCAAAAGCAATTGGATCTCATCAGGCAGGCGAAGCGTATTGAGGTGGCATCACGGAAGGCTGTTGAGGAGGGGAGCAAGGAGCGACGACGGCAGGACGCAACGGTCATTGACGCCGAGTTGAAAGAGCTAGTGCAGAAATGGAAGCTTGCGAGCAGACAGGCGGCAGAAGAACTGTTTGAGCTTATCAAGGGGAGGGTGGCGGATATGGGCGGGGCCAAGGCGTGGAGGGAGACGAGGAGGAGGCAGATGGAGGGGTTTCATTCTGCTTGGGATGATGACGGGCAGAAGGGGAAGAAGAGAAAGGGAGATGCTGATGAGCGGGAGATTGAAGACTCCGATGTCAGCGATGATGGAGGTCTTGATGACGGCGACGGGCAATTCTCACAGGGAGCTGGAAACAATGATGACGGTGAGGGGAGTGCGGAAGACGACTCCGAGGACTCGGTAAGGTTACTGTGGCAAAGGTGAGTGTCACTGACAGAAAAATAAGGGGCTAACTTTACGCACGTGTTGCTTCTAGGGATTTACCATGCTCATGATGCTGCAAAGCCTTAACATAGAGCCTGACGTCTTGGGGTACGATCCGAACGAAGACAAGTGGCTGGATTAGAGGCCTGGAACTCTTTATGAAAGGAAAGAGAGAGAAAAGAAGAGCAAAAGGGAACCCAGGAGGTGCCATCTGGCCCCCCACAGTCTGGAATGATCACTTGACGGATCAGACCAACGGTTTCTCTCTTCCGCCAGGATGAAGGCCACCTGCCTCATCTCAAAAGGCCAAGTCATCGCGAGGAATTACCGTTCCAAGACACTTAATGTGTCACAGCTCCGAGATTATATATCTCTATCCGACAATCAGGAGGCCATAAGTGTGTCTTTGTACGCCAGACATGTAGGCCACTCTCAATGCGGGCGAGACCTGATTTATCGAGTAGGTACATGATCTTTGCGAGACATTCGATATCCGCGGCAGGCAATGCACACAAGGGCAGTTATTTAGGACATTGTCTAAACCTATGTCCCTTCAGCGGTCCTTGTTAGCATCCATCACAGGCTTCAAGCTTGGTGGTTAGTTGTCACGGGTTCCCAGTTCTAGTGTGGCCTCCGACGGCAACCTTACCCGTTTCCCCCGGATTGAATCAAATTCGAGTTACCAGGAGCTTCTGTGGTGTTTCTTCATTCCAGCCACAGGATTTGCCACGGCCAGTCTACGGTGCCCGAGGCGGAGGGACAGGAAAGGATAGCCCAACTGCTGCCGCCGACAGTGTCGGCGAAGGTAGTGATATGGCCTGTGCAACTCTTCAGGGGTTCCGGCTCGGCAAACAACTGAAACTCAGATAGGGGTACGACCTCAGGTCTGATGAAACCTGCCGTACAAAGGAGCAACCGCCCGGGCGCCACTGCCGTTTCGTAGCCTTTGCTACAGTTCGAACTGGGATCATGCCCGCTTGCACGTTCGCTGCAGTTTGTGGCTCGCAGACTCGCAGTCGACCTCCCCCGGATCCCCGGGTTGCTACAGTAGCGGCCGATTTGTATGCAAGTCAAGCAAGCGCGATCTGGGGATGGACCACGACCACGCATTGCAACGACAAGAGAAGCCCCTGGTTCCAGGTCTCATCCTTTCTCTTACACATACATGACTCCCCCTTATTACGGTGACTCCCGCCTCTCTGTCCTTTCTTTGGCTGACGTACCAACCCTGGTCTCCCTTGGGAATGAATAGATAGAGACAATATGGTGAACCACTGTCGGAAACCCACATGGTCGGCCTCCCTAGGGTAAACCACGGAATCTTCCATTCAGACCGTGTACCGTGATTTGCGCCTGCCCTGCCTGCGAGTTGGACAAGTGCCGTTTCACGACCGAGCACGTATCACAAGATCTCTGGGAATGGATTGAAAGCAGGCAGGTCTCTCTGAGGTCTGTCTTCTTGACGGAGTGATCTGCTCTCGGTCCCAAGCCTTGGCAGTTTTGTTCCGTCTTCCTCTCTCTCCGTTTCACTCGCCTCACTACGGTAGTAGTCGCCCTCACTCACAGGAGTAGATGTGTGTCTGGGTTCTCTTCTTTCTGTCTCATCACTCGTGGCACCAACCCGGCATTCCACTCTTCCTTCCCTCCTGTCTGGTGAGACCGCTGCTACGAGAGATCCCCATGCTGCTGGGCGGCAGAAGGAAGGTTCTAAAGAGTGCTGGTTCCTGATCACTTCCTCTTAGCTTGTTCCTTCGTTTTCTCCTTTCTGTTTCTGGCTCTTGTTCATAATACTAATTCCCCTTCTGAACCCCATTGTTCATCTTGTCATATCCTTTCTCAGACCCCGCCGCCGACATTCTTGACAAACTCACTAAGAGAGAGTCGGCTTATTATTTGAGTCTTGATCCATCCATTCATTATTACACATTGAATACTCGGACTGCTCCACCTGGACTTCACTGTTGTCTACATATCCCTTATTGGAGTGTTATTGATTATCACTCGTTATCACATCCTACTGGCTTGGGATTAGACAACAATCATGGCGGCGTCCGAGTCGATAGTCAAACACACTCTCTTATTATCGAGGATAGTCTCGCGAGAGTTTAGAGAGCATAACAACTGTACTCGAGGGCCAGATGGCTTCATCGACCCGGATAGTTGTTATGTCCCCTTTTGGTACACAAGAGTAAGTTGTCCCTCTTCAGTTCACTCGATCACTCACCAACCAACCCGACCAACTCCTCCAATCCTCATGGAGAAACTGTCAGTAGTAGACTTCATCAGTTCCTTTGCTAACTCTATCATCAACATCAGACGGGCGTCATAGTGAAATGGTCTCTCTTCCTCGGCCTAAGTACCTTCTTCGGGCTCTACCTCATCCTAGGCTACCTACACGCCAAAAGGCGGATGACCAAGGGTCAACCACCCATGGCTTATCATAGGGTAAGCATTTTTTTGTCCTCTTTTCTTCTCTTGTTTCCCATACCTCCCTCCTCCTTCATGATCCTTCATATACCCCCTCTTATATCCAATCCAACCCAATCCAACCCAATCCAATCCAAGAAAATATAAACTAACATCGCCAAAAAAGTGGCTCGTCGCCCGCCATGATCTCGCCCGCGTAGACCCTCGCTACCCCTACCCCCAAACAACCTTCCAACCTTATAGTCAAGGACAACAACAGCCCTACGGAAACTACGGAATGCACCCCGTCCCTCCACCAGTCTATGACCCCGACGCTCCTCGTCCCCCGATGTACCCGGGACCTCCTCCGGCCATGGCCATGGCCATGGTGCAACCGCCGGATGGAGCGACGAAGGTCGATCCTATGCAACAGGCACTGGCGCCGGCGTCAGTGCCGGTGCTACCGCCGCTGTACTCTGGCCGAAACGACGGCAACGGTGGTGGTGAGGAGCAGTATGAAGCGCCGCCTGGACCACCACCGTCAGCACAAGCACAGGTACAGGGACCGATAAGGCAGCAGGGAACGGGTGGGACGAATCCCTTTCGGGATTGAGTGATTGGATAGACTTTCGCTCGGTTTAGCTTTCTACCTTTCTTTCTGTTTCCTGTGTAGAGTGGGTGGCATGAAGTTGGATACCTAGGCGGGTTGGACACTCTTGGATTTTCCGATTTTGGCGTTTGTATAGGCCGGGCTGGGCTGGGATGGGATGCTAGGGGTGGGTGGCTGGGCAGGTTACAGCATTGTCTTGTTTCGTATATGTTTACTCTGCATTTATTATACCAGAAGGAATAACACTCTTAAGGACCGTGGTAATCACTTGAGCTCGACCGAGACGGAAGAAGGGGCAAGTGGCGGTTGAATAAGTCCAATGAAGACTTGATATTGATAGATGATATTGATAAAGTTCAATCTTAAGTTACAAACCCAGGCAATGTTTCCCAATTGAGGCATCATCATGCGTGTTTGAACCTCTCATGCCTATGCCTATGCCCGTGAAAACTAAAACGCCATAACACCTCGCTTGTTTTGTTTCCCGTATATCCGTTTCATAGGGCCTTTGTTACCATGCCCCATCCCTTTGTGTGTGTGTGTATCCCGTTTTCCAAACGCCAGACGAACTGAACAAACTGCTGTTGCGCTGCTTTGATATGGATATGATCTAATGTGTGCAAAGACCGGACTAGTCTAAGAATAGTCAAGATCCATAGCATCATCATCCTCATCACCAGCAGAAGCACCACCAAACTGCGGTAGCGATCCAGGATGAACACTCTGCATCGTATCCGTCAACCCATTGTTGACCTGCTGCAATTGCTGCTGCATTTGCTGCTGTTGCAGCTGTTGACTCTCCATCAAATGCTTCTCACGCACACGGGCTCTTGCCTCAAGGATGGCCTTGCGCACGCTATCCTGCTCCTCAGGGACCGTGATGGAAGCCGGCACGCTGTAGAGCACCAGCTGCTTGTTCAGGATGTCCGGATCCACGAACGACGACTGGGTATTGAGTAGGGCCTGGGTTGGGATGCGGTTCTGCCGCAGGTGCTTCTCGATGTCCGGGAGGAAGACCAGCTTGCCGCCGTCTGGTTCGGCTTCGCTGTCGGAGGCGAGCTCGTCTTCGATATTGTAGATGTACACTTTGTGCTTGGTGTTGTCGCATTGCATGTATTCGGTGTCATCTTGACCGATGGTCTGGGATGATGACGACGGGGTAGATGTGGCAGAAGGAATGAATGAAGGTGAGAAGGAGTTTGCAGCTTGTGGGTTCTCGACGGGGACGTATAACTTGTGGCCGCCGTGTTCTGTTGTAGGTTGAGCCGTCCGCGTGTTAGTGATTGAGCGGTGCGGTGGAAGACATGATGTCACTGATGCGATACGAGATAAGAGGGGAGAGCGGTGGCGGTGGCGGTGGTAGAACATACCCAGATTCAACAAGCTCATGCGCTTGGCGAGGCGCTCGTTTTCAGGGTGCGAATCGGCTTTGCGCTTGCGTGAGCATGGTGCTGGTTGAGGTGCAACATATTGTTGCTGAATGAATTGGTTGGAGTTGATGTTGTTGTTGCGATAGTTTTGCTGGAGTTGGGTGTCCATCATGCCGTATCCATATCCAGGCATCTCCATGTTGCTGGCGGTGGTGGGCGTGGTGGGCGCAACCAGGTGTGGTAGTGGTCCAGATTGGAAATGGGCCATCATCATTTTCTCCCCGCCAATATTCTTTCCCCTTCGATCCTCCTCTTCCTCTTTTTCAGGGACCTTTCGGTTTCAGATCTTCTCCTCCTCCAGACCGCAACTGACTTTTGGATCTCTTTCTTCTCCTCCGCACGACCGGTACCGCAGCTAGCTGCAGGGGATTTGATAGAGGCTCCGGGTGGTTTGGGTGATTTGCTCCAATCAATTTGCGTTGAGCTAGCAGCCGGTCCAGCCCGAGGTAAGCGGTAGGGTCTAGATTGTCAGATCTGTTGGCGCGATAACGGTGGTGTTTTATTTAGCTACTAGTGCTGCTACTAGGCTCTTGGGTTTCGCTGGTCGACTTTTTGGAAACTGAAGAATGAAGAGCCTTGTGACAAACAGTTCGGGATTGTGGTTGCGCTGGTCCTCTGCGTATGGGCCTGGAACCAGCTGCAGTGGCACGAGACTGCCCCCAGCTTTTAAGGGCTTGAGTCATTGCTCGCGAACCTTCCACGGCAGGACTATTACTAGGCCGATCCCGCCCTCCTCGCTCGAGAATCTTCGAGCAGTCACCACGTCCTGCAAGTCCACCAAGCCGCTCACCACCTGCACCCCGACACCAACCCCGACTGCCACCACTACCCGCACACGCACACGCACCACGCTCACTACCGCGAACTCCTCCACTTTCCCGGCCCTTGAGCGCGTTTCGACCGGATCCGCGTCTTTCTCTTCTCGGCTCTTTTCTTCTCGGCTCTTTTCTTCTTCGTCGTCACTTTTTCAGTCTTCAACAATGGCTTCTGATTCTCAGTGGACTGGTGTCCAGGTCCGCAAGACCTTCTTGGACTTTTTTGCAGAGCGGGGTCACAATGTTGGTATGCAAACATCCCTTCGCCACATGATCGCTGGCTGCCCCTCATCCCCTCCCCTGCCCTTTCCTGCCCTGCCCTGTCCGTCGCGGCGGGAAAAAAGAAAGAGAAAGAGGGCATTCTCACATGCTTCAACTGCATGCGCCCGCCGCAACAATGGGCTGAGACACGCCGCGATGCTTTCATTGCACTCCCTATATACTACCCTTCATCATGATACCTTCATTTCCAATGCGCTGACTATTTTCGCCTCCTGTGCGCAGTCCCCTCGTCGTCGGTCGTCCCTCACAATGACCCCACATTGCTCTTCACGAATGCGGGCATGAACCAGTTCAAGCCCATCTTCTTGGGCACCATTGGCAAGACGGAGGATATGGCCCAGCTGAAGCGTGCGGTTGACACACAAAAGGTGATATCTCGTCGTCTGCAGCGATATGGTTGTTGAGCTCCCTTTACTGACACTTTGCGACAGTGCATTCGCGCCGGTGGCAAACACAATGTGAGTCCTAGCTCCCTCCTCTAACCCTTGACTTACCAAGACCATTGCTAACAGAACCCTGAACAGGATCTCGACGATGTCGGCAAGGACAGCTACCACCACGTACGTATCGATGCGATTTCTACAGAACAAACTCATAACGACTAACACATGTCGCTAGACTTTCTTTGAGATGTTGGGCAACTGGTCTTTCGGCGATTACTTCAAGAAGGAGGCCATTGCGTGGTCTTGGGAGCTCCTCACAAAGGTCTACGGGCTGGACCCTCAGAGACTTTATGTCACATACTTCGAGGGCAGCCCAGACCTTGGTCTCGAGCCGGATCTTGAGGCCAAGAACCTCTGGCTTGAGGTTGGTGTTCCCGAGGACCACATTATCCCCGGCAACATGAAGGACAACTTCTGGGAGATGGGTGACCAGGGCCCTTGCGGTCCTTGCAGCGAAATCCACTACGACAAGGTCGGAGGCGGCCGGAATGCCGCCCACCTCGTCAACATGGACGACCCCTTGGTGGTTGAAGTCTGGAACATTGTCTTCATCCAGTTCGACAGACAGGCCGACAAGTCTCTCAAGTCTCTCCCTGCGAAGCACATCGATACCGGTATGGGCTTCGAGAGACTGGTGTCTGCCCTCCAGGACAAGACCTCCAACTACGCCACCGATATCTTCACTCCTCTCTTCACCAAGATCCAGGAAGTTACCGGTGCCAGGGAATACACCGACAAGTATGGCAAGGACGACGTTGATGGTATCGATACCGCCTACCGTGTTATTGCCGACCATATCCGTCTGCTCTCTTTCGCCATTGCCGACGGCGCTGCCCCCAACAACGTTGGACGCGGCTATGTCGTTCGCCGTGTTCTCCGCAGAGGTGTCCGTTATGCCAGGAAGTACTTCAACGCTGAGATTGGTACTTTCTTCTCCAGGATTCTCCCCGCGTTGGTGGAGCAGATGGGCGAGCAGTTCCCTGAGCTTGTGAAGAAGCAGATCGACATCCAGGAGATCCTTGATGAGGAGGAGGTCGCCTTCGCCGTTACGCTTGACCGTGGTGAGAAGCAGTTCGAGAAGTACGCTGCTCTTGCTATCAAGAGCGGCGAGAAGAAGCTTTCCGGTGCCGATGTCTGGAGGCTTTACGACACTTTCGGTTTCCCCGAGGATCTCACCAAGCTTATGGCTGAGGAGCGTGGCCTCACCATTGATGAGGCTGAGGTCAACGAGGCCCGCGAGAAGGCCAGGGAGGCTTCCAAGGCCGTCAAGGAGGCTGTTCAGGAGTTCGCTAAGCTCAACGTCCACCAGATCGCTGAGCTCGAGACTACTCTCCACATCCCTCGCCCCAACTCTGATGCCAAGTTCCTCAAGGGTGATGCCAAGGGCAAGGTCCAGCTGGTCTTCGACGGCAAGGAGTTCCTCAAGTCCAGCAAGGATCTTCCTGCCAAGACCCCTCTTGGTCTCCTGCTCGACAACACCAACTTCTACGCCGAGTCCGGTGGTCAGGTTGCTGATACCGGCCGCATCATTATCGATGGCGTTGCCGAGTTCAAAGTCCTCGACGTTCAGGAGTACGGTGGTTACATTGTCCACAACGGTTTCCTCGAGTACGGCGAGCTTACTGAGGGTGATGAGGTTGTTTGCGAGTACGACGAACTCCGCCGTCAGCCCATCCGCAACAATCACACTGGTACCCACATCCTGAACCACTCTCTTCGTGAGGTTCTTGGGGATGAGATCAACCAGAAGGGTTCGCTGGTCGACCAGGACAAGCTCCGTTTCGATTTCAGCCACAAGGCTGCTATTTCTCCGGAGGACATTAAGAAGATTGAGGATCTGTCCAACCACTATATCCGTCAGAACCTCAAGGCCTACTCCAAGGACGTTGATCTCGATCTTGCTCGCGAGATCGAGGGTGTCCGCGCCGTCTTCGGCGAGACCTACCCCAACCCGGTCCGCGTCGTCTCCATCGGCATGGAGGTTGACGAGCTGCTCAAGAACCCCAAGAACCCCGAGTGGCGCAAGATCAGCGTCGAGTTCTGCGGCGGCACCCACGTCGAGAACACCGGTCTGATCAAGGACCTGATCATCGTCGAGGAGAGCGGTATCGCCAAGGGCATCCGCCGTATCGTCGCCTACACCGGCGAGGGTGCCCACCAGGCCCAGCGCGACGCCCAGGTCTTCAGCGAGAAGCTCGAGCACATCAACGCCCTTGAATACGGCCCCCAGAAGGCTGCCGAGATCAAGGCCGCCGCCGTCGAGCTCGACGGCCTCACCATCTCCGTCCTCACCAAGGAGGAGCTCCGCACCCGCTTCACCAAGATCCAGAAGGAGGTTGTCGACGAGCAGAAGAAGCGCCAGAAGGCCGAGAGCAAGACCGCCCTCGACACCGTCGCCAGCCACTTCTCCAAGGACGAGAACAAGGAGTCCAAGGTGTTCGTCGGCCACCTCCCCATCTCGGCCAACGCCAAGGCTATCTCGGACGTTATCACCTACTACAAGACCAAGGACAAGGAGAGGTCCGTCTACGTCTTTGCTGGTAGCAAGGACGACCAGGTCATGCACGGTGTTTATGTCGGCACCGTAAGTTTTAACTCCTTAACCCTCCCTATATTTGATCATTCTTTTTCTTCCCGATGCTAACCAACTCAACTCTACAGGCCCTCTCTTCCAAGGGTGTCACCGCCGAGCAGTGGACCTCCGCCGTCAGCGCCGTCATCGGCGGTAAGACTGGTGGCAAGGAGCCCAGTCGTCAGGGTGCTGGTGCCGAGCCCGAGAAGCTCGAGGAGGCCGTCAAGAAGGCCGAGGAGTGGCTTTCTGAGAAGCTCAAGGACCTTAACATCTAAAAAAAAAAAAGAAAGCCATGTGTTAGAGTAGCATCAAGTGGTGTTGTTGGCTTGTCGTTTCCCCCGTTTCGTTGATATACAGAAAAGAGTCTGTCATTTTACTTGGCTTTGTGTTTGAGACCAAGTTCTGTGTGTATCTGTTAGCAATCTAGAATGGGCGAGCGAGCAAGCAAAATACAAGAAACAAAAAAATCTGGACAAAGTAAAGCCACTTGCAAGTGCAGGTCATCCTTATGTTTAAGACGCGGACGAAAGCGTCATCAACACATTATCAAGGGTGATATCGTTATTTGGGCAAGGCAATGGGTTATCTAGATGATAGTGATAAGAGCACAGCAAAAGATCGTAAAGTCCTGCCTGTACAAATCGAAAAAAATGGACAAAAAGTCACAGATCATCGTTATACCCACGATACGGACTGGAGCATCACAATCATGTTGTCAAGGGTCATATCGTTATTTTGGGCAAGGTAATGAGCTATCTAGATAGGGATAAGAATATGGGCAAAAAAATGCAAGTTCTTCTAACTCTACAAGTATAGTAAACAATCAATATACAGGGGCCTGCTTTTCCCACTTCTTCATACATAAATAGTAAGATGTCTTCTGGGTGATCCATTTGGTTTTATACAGTATACATAACACTGGCATTCTTATACCACTTAAGCAGCGGGTTCTCGCCACTTTGCGTCTCCGTCTCTTCCAGGTAGGCCCAGCTGCGCATAAACTCCTCGTGAGACATGACCCGGGACAGCTTGCCGGTGATGGCCTGGTAGACGAGTTCGGACACACGGAAATCTGTGGGGAACATGATGTCGAAGTAACCTTGATGGACCTTTAAGCGAACGACATTTGCTCTGGTTAGCATAGTACAAGAGGATGATGAATATAAGGTAAGGAACTCACCAAAGGCGTAGTAACCGGCACCGGCCGCCGTTGATACCTCGTCTGAACAATCGGCGCATTCACCCCCGGCACGGCATCAGGCAGCGAGTGGAAGTCACTCGTCAGCAGCCGATGCGCAGGGAAGTACTTGCTCAGCACGTCGAAGAACTGCATCAGCCGCGTCGGGATGTACTCGGGCTCGCTCATGGTGCTGCTGAACGGCTTCACGGAAGAAACCCACTTGCCCAGCTTCGTGGTCGGGTACGGCACCTTATACCGCCCGCCAGTGGCCGCGTCCCGCACCCGGAAGTAGCGCGCGGCCACGGGATCCAGCACGGGGCTGTAGAACTCGAAGAAGTCGTTGGATTCGCTGATCAGCACGACGGCCTGCATGGGCGTCTCGGTCGCCAGGTCGTAGCGGATGGCGTCGTGGGCGAAGTTGTCGAAGACCTCGAAGGCCAGGAAGAAGCACGGGGAGGGGACGGGCTGCGTCCAGTCGAAGATGGACTGGTTGATGATTTCCACTTTGTTGAGGTGTCCGCGCCCCGCGGCCGACCGCATCAGCGTCGAGTTCTGGACTTTGGCCAGCGAGTCGCTGATCTCAATGACCTTGTACTGCGTGCGCGCGTACACGTCCGGGTCCATGTCGCGGATGTAGTCGAGGATGTTGAGCATGAGCGTGCCGCGGCCGGCGCCCATCTCGTAGATGATCAGGTCGTGGTACGGGTACGTCGTCAGCTTGTAGTTGGCCACGAGGTAGCGGGCGATGGCCTCGCCGTAGTAAGGGCGGAAGAGCTCCGTCGGCGTGTACCAGAGCTGTCGCGTGTCCGAGGGAGAGACCTCGTCGAGCTTGTCCTCGAACTCGACATAGCGCTGGGAAAGGACGTTCTGGAACTCGGTCTCGTCGCGGAGCGCGGGGAAGTCGAAGGGCTCGCCGGGAGTGAAGATGGTGACTTGCTTGGAGAAGTAGCCGTAGTTGGGGTTGTAGAGGCTGTCTGCAGCATTGTGCGAAAGGAAAACAGAATGTCAATGTCTCGTGCTTCTTCTCTTTTTCTTTTCGGTCTTGGGCTTTGTGCTGTCGTAGCTAGGTAGGCAGATTTCTCAACCCCTCGGGTAATGCGCCATGCTGTCTGGGACCGGCAACCAACCTTCGATAAAGTCCCTTAGGAGCATTTTGACCCGACGTGGCCTCTGTTTCCTCCCCCAGAGCTCGGCCGCTGTCACCATTGGCGCTCTCTTGTACTCCTCGGTCATATCCTGATTCAAGATCTTTGTCCGTTGCTGCCATTGGCTCTCATCTCCGACGGGAGAGCTCGCGCCACGACGCTGGCTCGAGTATGGTCGTCGCTGCTGTCGACTGTGGTGTTGCTGTACTCGGTGTCCATTGTGGGCTGTCGCGGTCGCAAGCTGGCGAAGGTGTTTCTGCGATTGGCATGCCGGGTGATGGCGAAAGAGCTGTTTGAACAGCTGGTTGACGAGTTGGGAGTCCATCTTGGCTGGGTGAGTCCAGATTGTTGGCGGGCGAGAGAATGAGGCCCGGGCAGTATCCCAGAGGTCGCTGACGTCTGTTCGTTCTGCCACCTGCTCCAACTGAACTCCCCGTGCCAGTGAAACGGGAGGTACCGTATACCTGGTCGGTACTGTCTTGAGAGTGGACTCGTGGAGGGGACACGGGGTGAAAGGTGGAGGTTGATGGTGGAGGAGGGGAGCTTTTGCGGGGTGGCCCGAGCTCACTTCCTGATTGGGTTCTAGCTGACAGTTGCGCTCGGGACAACAGTGGTGGCCCCGGCCAGGGGTGCATTGGAGGATAAACCTCGCTGTCCGTTGCCCCCCAACGGCGCTTGCCAGTGACTCGCAGCAACGGGGAAGTGCCGATTCACGATCTGTTACAGGCATAATGGCTTCCGATCTGACCGGCTTCAGCGGAGGCGAGGCTGGTCACCGGAGCCAAGGTTCTGACTGCCTGCCGTGAGAGACGGGCGACTCCATCATTGCATGACATCAATAGCAACTTCCAGCAAAAACTTCAAACTTTCGAAGGAGAACTCAGCCACATCAGACGGAGGATTTTCTCTCTTCATTTTCGGATTCTTTTTTCTCATATACCTCACCTTGTTGAGCCTCCCTGTCAGGAGAAACTGATATCCATTCACTTTTCTTGAGCAACAGCGCCAACGGCGCAAGTCTAGGTTATCACTTCGGGCAATGATGAGACACCACCTACTATGAGATAACTCGTTCACAACCAAAACAACCGTCAAGACATGTCAATAAGCGACCATCCCCGTGTCTACGGCACGGTAGCTTTAACAGCCGCCTTCGCCGCGGGCATCCTCGTCACCCTTGGCTTCAAGGACTGCTACCCCGAACTCGAGAACCGGTACCAACGGCGGAGGAACCGCAACCTAAGCCGATCCAATGGCGACTTCGGCGTTGTAGTATCCACCGCCAACCGGAAACACCGCGAGAGTCTGATCTTCGGTCCAGTCCGACTAGAAGACCACGAGGAAGTGACGAGCAACATCAACAGCAGCTTCGACTGGGTAGAGGGCATCGAGGGCTGCATCGGCAACACGCCGCTGGTGCATATCCGCAGCCTGTCCGAGGCAACAGGCTGCATGATCCTCGCCAAAGCCGAGTTCCTCAACGGTGCCGGCGGCAGCCCCAAGGATCGGGTCGCGCTCAACATGATCCAGGACGCCGAGGAGCGCGGGCTGCTTGTGCCCGGGCGCGGCGACACCATTTACGAAGGGACCGCCGGCAGCACGGGCATCTCGCTGGCGACGCTGGCGCGTGCGAAAGGGTACAAGTGCCACATCTGCATGCCGAGCGACATGGCGATCGAGAAGTCGCAGCTGCTGCACCACCTGGGCGCGACGGTCGAGCGGGTCAACCCGGCGCCCATCACGTCGCCGGAGCACTTTGTCAACCTAGCACGCAGGCGGGCGCGCGAGCACGAGGCGACGCACGCGGACGGCAGCGTCGGGTTTTTCGCCGACCAGTTCGAGAGCCCGGCCAACTACCAAGCACATGTCAAGACCACGGGCCCGGAAATCTACCGCCAGACGGACGGGCAGCTGGACGCGTTCGTGGCCGGCGCGGGAACGGGCGGTACCATCGCCGGCGTGGCCAAGTACCTCAAGGAGGAGAAGAACCTGTGGGAGGCGCGCGTCGTGCTGGCGGACCCCCAGGGCAGCGGGCTGTTCAACAAGATCCGCCACGGCGTCATGTACTCGTCGACGGAGCGGGAGGGTACCCGGCGGCGTCAGCAGGTGGACACGATGGTGGAGGGTATCGGCATCAACCGCATCACGGAAAACTTCGAGTCTGGGCGGGTGCTGATTGACGATGCCGTGCGGGTGACGGATGAGCAGGCCTGCCGGATGGCCCGGTGGTTGGTGGAGCACGACGGCATATTTTGCGGCAGCAGTACGGCTGTCAACTGCGTGGCGGCGGTGGTAACGGCCATGAAATTACCCAAGGGCAGCCGGGTGGTGACGCTGTTGTGCGACTCGGGGAATAGACATCTGAGCAAGTTCTGGAAGAAGATTGGCGATATGGGGCTGGAAAATGATACCCACGCTCCTGAGGATCTTTTTGCGGAGCTGGGGCTTGAGGATTTGAAGAGGTAGGAAATGAGACGGACTGAACAACGTAAATATTGTGCCTGATGAGTGAGGCTCGCTTAGTCCGCTGCTGTTATCAAACATGTGTCATGTTCTGATCGTATCTGATCCAAGAACCCAACAAGTCCACATAGAAAGGTTTGTTGAGCCATATCGGCTGTATGACCTCTAACGGTTATATTACTACAAATGCGTGGTGTGAGGCCTGAGTAGGGCGTTGCCCGTCCCAATATCTACCTCTTCCCAAGTCATGAAGTAGCTAGTTATTCATCGCTCACCTCTTCGCTGGGGTATATTAAAGAAAAAAAGTTAAATGATCCATACTCCGATGTTTGAAGAAGTTCCCGAAGGTACAGAGTCTTCCGTCCTCGAGTAACTTTGGTTTCCAGTTTCACCCTTCTCACTGTGCTCTCTAGGTGGAGGAATATTCTCCAGACGCCTCAATCTCATACTGCTGCCAAATGAGCTTCCAAATGTGAATGTGAGCCAGTCATGAATTATCAGCCAACGAAGCGTGCAATAGGCGGATTTCCCCGTCAAAACGACATATCGAGCCACAAAAAAGACGCACACTCCGCGCCCCAAGCCATGCCAAAACGAACGAATTGAAGGAGATTGTTATGCCCCGCCATTTAGGAGAACTAAACATGCAACTGTTAGCGTTGAAATTGACTTCCGTCAAAAAAAGGGTGCGTATCAACCATACCTTCCAGCGGTTTCCGCAAACTGTGCACTCGCAGAAGGTCGTCATAGGCTCATCAGCCGACCGTGTTTGCGCCTGGCTGTACGACACCTTCCTCTGTCCGCACTTTCCGCACTTTAGAGCATCACTGATCGACTTCTCCGCCATGGGTACCTGGGCCTTCTTCATGTTCTCCTTCTCCAGCTCTTCATCCCTGGCACGCTGCTCCTCCGAGGCCAACTCCTTGTCCGACAAGACGACAAGGCGGTCGACCGGGAGCTCGCCCGACATGACTCGTCGTCCCAACGCAGCGTTGTCCTTACGCTTCAGACTGGTAAAGAGGGTGCGGCCCTTGCTCCGGTACTCCTGGTTCTCGCCCTTGCAAGCCTTGAAAAGGGCATTCTCGACTTCGACGGCACGCTTGACGACTTCCTCAATCGACTCGGTTCTTCGGTAGGCGAGGCCATTGTAGAGCACGCCGATAGTGTTGTTGCGCGTCTGACTCGAGGTTCGGTTGATGTCGACCTTGTCTGTCTTGAAATGACGCTTCTCGACGTCGCCGTCGTAGGGCTTATTGTACGCGGACGATGCGGGCGCCGGGGATGCCTTGGGTGCTGGGGAGCTGGCACCGGAGGCCGCAGCGGCCTGGCTCTTCTTCTTCGCCTCCTTCGCCGCCTCGACAAGCTTCCTCCACTTGTTGACGATTTCGCTGGCAATACGGGCGATTTCCTTGTTGGAATTGGCGCGCAGCTTTCCCACGGTCACACCTGCTTTTGTCGACTAGGGCAGGCAAAGTTGTTAGAACTAGTACCGCTCACATAGATCGCTCGGCGCTGATGGGGGGAAAGAGCAAGACTCACGCGAAGCTGTTCCTCGGTTGGCTTTGCATCTCTTTTCAATTCCTCCAAAAGCTTGATGACCGTCGCAGGGGGTTCGCTGGTGACAGCCTTGGAGAGCGCCTTGATGCGCGCGGTGAGTTCTCGGTCATCCATGGTGTGAGTGGGAGATGACGTTAGGCTGGCCGTATGTAATTATGCGCACGCGACAGCGTTCGCGTCGGATGGTCGGCGGCTTCGATTGGGTATGCGGAAATCTCTCTCTGCTATGAGGTCAGAGAGATGTTGAGCCAAGGCTTAGCAAGGACGAGTGAGCTTGTCCTGGACGATGTTGCGGATGAAGATGGTAGAGGTATTCGGGAAAAGTAATGACGAGCAGGTAGAACAGTCGCAAAGTGAGCAGCGTCGTTGGAGAAATGTTAGTGGAGCTTGAAAGAAAGAGCCCCACTGGCCGGCCTTCCGTCTCTCCCCACACGGCACCCAAACAAAGTGGGCCAACAAAAGGGTGACAGGCCGAGACCGTCAATCAGCGATCGCTCAATGGACGAAACAGGCAGTCCGAAACCGCGGTAACAAAAGGCTTCCTCCAAGTACACGATAGTGATATTACTTGCCAAATATTTAGACAACAACGTGTCGCTTGAATGTGTCTGTAAAGTGCAACGGCGGCAGCGGGCCTTTGCGGTTGATAGCAGTTGATTGTATCTGACAAAGGCAACTGGAATGAAAGCAAGCAGCAATTAGAGGGGAGGTCTTTCATCCTCAAATATGAAGGTCAATGGAAAAGTGATGATGCTTATCGATATGCTTCCAATGACCTTCATATTTGAGGATAAAACATGTTTCTATAGTGTACATGTTCCAACTTGTGACAGGTTGAGGACTCCCGAGTACGCTACTATACACTAGACACATCTTATTCTGCATATATATCACCTTCCGATAACTGATTATGCACTAACAGATCTATATGCATCTCTCGGTCAGCTGGTCCGGATCCGGGTTGAACCCCTCAAGTCTAACCAGTCACTATATATGCACTAACGGAAGCCTATTATAGTACGTAAAATATGCAACTCAAGGAGTTCGACTGTGTTTGTTTACTGTTCCCTGAACAAATCACTTTCGACTCAAGCTGCACCTCTTGCCCCTCGCAACTACCTCTGCAAATACCCTTCACAACAACAGTCACTCTAAGCTTCGGTCGCCCTCAACAAGCCGTCATGAAATACAGCGAGGAATGCATTCTCAGTTCTGAAAATGCCTGGATCGAGATTTCGCTGGATTAATTGATTCTAAATCCAGGTTGCCAGGTGACATGAGCCTGTCCAAGCAGGTTCTCAAGCTGACCTCTTGATAGAATATTTCTTGAAATTCTTGGGCAAATATGTCGACCTATGCCCTAACCTAAACCATATGATGCTCCTTTGAGCCTAACTATTCCTCCGAAATTCTGCAGATGAACCACGTCACAATATCCCTTACTTCTGGACCTGGGCCCCTTTTGCTTTTCCTCCTCCCGACTTCATTTGCTTGTACCTCACCTCTGGTCGAAAAGTTCAGTGCTGCCAGTGCCTGACTCCTCGTTGATCTTTATGGGTTTCTTCACCGATCTGAACTCGATGAAGCACGCAATAAGAGTTGCGAGCACTCCTAGCGGAATGGGGACGATGAGCACCGTCTGGATCGCCTTGTTGTAAACCTGAATCATGGCGGGCAGTTGCTCCGCCGGTATCAGGTCGCGGAACGCCGTCGCACCCGCCTCGATCACCTGCTTGATGTCGATTCCCGGGAGCAAGCTGGCGTCGGATGCCTTGAGCAGCTGGTGCTGAAAGACACTGTTCCCCACCGACACGAAGATAGCGCCTCCAAGCGATTGAGCAGCGGATACGGCCGCAGTTCCCAACGCCACGTCCTCTTCGCTAAGTACCGTCTGTATCGCTGTGAAGCATTGCTGAATCGACATGCCAAAGCCAGCGCTCGTTAGAATTTCATAGCCTACCCATTGGGCTGTTGTTGTGTCGGGCTTCAACAGGGTCAGTAATCCGAGGCCAACGGTGCCAATAGCGGAACCGATTACCGCTGGAGGGGTTGCATAACCAGTTTTGGACACGATGCCTCCTGCAATCAGTGAAAAAACCGACTGGGCTACAAAGAACGGGACCATATGCACGCCTGAGCGCATGGCAGTCTCATTTTTGATGGCCTGGAACCAGATCGGGAGGAAGAAGGTCATGTTGATCAGGATCGCGTATATCATGAAGGCCGTGCCGCATGATGCCGCCACCGTACGCTGCTTGATGATGCGAGGGGGAATCAACGCCGCATCCCCTTTAGCCCATTGCCAAACGATGAATATGATGGCAGTAATACCACAACCGGCTAAAAGCCAAATGATGAGTGGGTGGTTCCAGGAAAAGCCTCGAGCCGTATGTTCAAGCGCCAGGAAGAGCATGATGAAAGCGCCTAGGATGAGGATATTGCCCACAATGTCCAAGTCCTTAAACCTGTCCAGGAATGTTCGGGTGTTGCGATTGCCTTTCTTGGGGTTGAAGAACAGAATCAAGCAGATGATGGTTACGCCGCCAAGCGGTAGGTTGATATAGAAGCACCATCTCCACGTCTTTTCAGATGATTAGAATAGCTTTTATGCAGGAGGTTAAGGGAGACTTACCACAAGGTCCGTGAAGACACCACCTAGGAGAGGACCAACCGAAGCCCCGACACCAAACCTGAAGATGGTCAGCATATGTGGTCTTGTCCAGAAACAAAGGCAGTCTGAACTATACACTCACATCAAACCGACCACAGCCGTGAAGACGGGACGCTTCTGCAGCGGAACAGCCATAGTCACAATAATGAAGCTGCCGATGAGAATACCAGCGCTGCCGAAACCCGCAATGGCCCGCCCAACAATCAGGGTTGTGGAGTCTGGCGCCAGTCCGCAGAGGAGGGAGCCAAGTTCGAACAAAATCATGGCTGTGAGGTATGACCATTTGACCGAATACAGCATGAAAATGCGTCCAAAGACCGGCTGAAAAGCACATGATGTGAGCATGTATGCCGAACCATACCAGCCTATATCTGATGTTGAATGAAATTGCTTTGTGATATATGGCGTGGCCTGTTCGAGTGGTGTTAGCTTAGATGCCGGGTCATTCATCTCACTCGTCAGTTCCGGATCACCTACCGTCGATATAATAGTACGGTCAATCGATAAAAGCAGCATGCCGAGCATAAGGCCCGCCATGAGCAAGACAAGACGCAAGCCTGTGACATACTCTATGGTTGGCTCTCTCTCGCCGTTTACGGGCGGGTTCTCATCGAGTGTCATGGGCTCAAACGTGCGCCGCGTGCTATCCGCTACTTGGCGTTGCACATCCTCGGAGCCATGTTGGCTTGCGGAGAGTCTGGCCTTGATGCTTTCCGTCATCGGATACCTTTGGTCTCCAACCGGCGTAACTTGGAGTCTGGGGCTGGAGTTCCTGCGGCCAAGTGACGATGTCGAAGAATTCAGGGGCGGAAATGGGTCCCTTGATGGTCCAGCCCGGAAGTATGGGTTTTCGTCGTCGTAAGTTGGTGTCATGGGGTCAAAGGATACTGAGCGTGATGGTCGTCGAGCGTGGTGCTTCCTTGCGGTTCCTCCACGATTCTGGCTTCTTTGCCTGGATAGTATTGTAGTCCCCAAAGCTGGGCTGCTGGCTTCGCCGTCAAAGGTGAGTGAGGTTGAAAGAGGAAGAGGTTGGTGGGTGAGTTCGGAGGGGGAGGCTTTATTTCCTAACGCCTCCAGGAAGACATCCTCGGTTTTCGGTCCCTCCATAGCGGGTGGTGAGTTCGAGTTGATTCACATAGGAATCGGATGATGGGACGGTGAATAAGATCGATAATAGGTAAGATAGTGATGGAGATCATAAGTAGGTAACTTGAATCGCTTCTTTTGTCCAAAAGAGCCGTAAACGATAAGTCTGCGTTGAGGTTGTTTCAGTTGAGGTCGGATGACAGGAGTTTGCTCGACGCGGCTTCCTCGAGCGAGTTTCGTTTGCTAAAAACTCACTCATGCTTCACGAGTGAGCCTAGGTCGCGCTTTCCTGATCTGGGTATCGACCTTGATGGGTAACCCCTTGCGTATTAAACCCGGTTCACGTGAACATCGTGTGATCCGATAATTCGATTCGTAAATGGAAGGCGCGGGTTGAGGACTGTGATGAGATGGGCAATGGAAGAACTGGTCCTCGATCTGCTGGGTACTGTCACCATCACCTCACTCTAATGATTTGGAATTGTCAGTGAGACTGAGTCACTCTTCCCGACAAGCCTTTTCGGTATCACCCGCATAGATTCTAGGTGAACGTCAAAGCACGCCAGCACTCGAGGCCTGGGCTGGATGTGATTCGAGCCAACAATTTTCAGTTCTGAACTCCATCCACGCCGGCTCGTTGCTCACCGTGATGCCGGGATGGCCTGTGACACTCTCAAGTAAAAGATCGAGATGGACAAGTATGCCGGTTGCCGTGTCGTTGTTGCTACCGAGTGCCTGCCATGATTCGACACTGGCATCCCCTTCTCATGGTGTAACTTGCGGGTGGTTACCCTTTACCCGTGTCGACGGTTTCAAGCACACAAAACATCTTATAATTTTCCATCAGTGACTTGGCGGGACAAAGAGCTAGTGGACAGTTGCTCAGGAGAGACACGTCTTGGGAGGTGTACTCTTCTATTGAGGCTCTGCCAGTTACCTTGTGGATTCGGAGTATATAAGAAGGAGTAACCAGGCAACGCGGTAAGACGGGGAGGCTCTGAGCATGTTGCGCACACGTTGCATGGAGTACCTAGAGGTACACGGCCTTTTGTGATGTTCTTTGATTTTCCCTCAGATGACTTCCCTCAGACGACCATAGAATAGGTCAAGAGCATTTCGGGCGTATGTATGAACGAACACTGAATCGACAATGTCTCGTAAGTTGCCAGTGGACTTCATCGGATATTCGATGTCATATTTTGAAATTAAGTATTTACAGGTTTGTGTTGTGACTCGCGGTCATTTTTTGCCTTCCCCCGTCTCATGTCCTCTAGACTCTATGTCCACTCATACCCAAAGCATTACATATCGCATTATCCAACGTTAGCGGTCTCATACCTGATTTAAGGCATGATCCTGTTTTTCGGCGTGATTCGTGCCCCTTCTTCATTACTCGTCGCCAAACGTATCCGTTAATAGGCAGGGCTATCCAAAATTCCCCACAGTGAGGCGTACAGCTGCCTTTTGAGGGACTGCCTCATCATGGGAGGCTAGCTGTTCAGATAGGGATGAACCCGCTCGGGGATCATCCATCGCCGTGGAATATTTTCCAAGGTGTATGGTGAACACCTCAAGGGCTTCCTCGTGACAGCGAAACTGTGATCCGACATATCAAGTGCCTACCAGCAATTGTTGCGCCGTCCCGAAGAATCAGGGCCAAGGGTCAGCGGAATGACCAACGGCTTTTTCCTCATCCGAAAGAAAATCAGCCATCCCTTTACCGGCTCCAACGGTCCTCCATGTCAGGGGTGTCCCTATAATCCCGGTCATCCACCTCGAACTCGTCACGCCCCATGAGCCTGATATCTTCATCCTTGTTCTTCTTTCCAAAAAGACCCTTCTTCTTGCTCTTGCCAAGGAGGTTGTAGCCCTTTCCACGGCCCATGACGCTGCCAACGCCAATGCGTCTCAGCTTCCTGTTCATCAGGCAGGTACCGCACGACACGAGCAGGACGAAACCGACAATGGCGGGAATACCAATGTACAGGGCTGCGCCTTCAGGCAGCTCGTTCTTGTGCTCGTGGAAGCGGCGGGTGCGGACGATGGTAACAGTCGGACCTTTGACCCAGTGGACGCGGTTGTCGTTGTGGTTCTTGGCGCCGAAACCAATGGTGAGGTTGAGCGCATGCTGCTTCTTGTACTTCTTGGGACCGAAGAGATTCTTCTTCACCTGCCACTCGTAGTAGCCCCAGCCGGAGGATATGTAGTCGGTGGCGAAAGCCCGGTCAGTGCCCTGTTGGTCGTAGAAGGCGACGATCTTGATGGAGGTGTTGTGTCCAAAATACTCGGGGTCCCAAGTAACTGTTAGGCAGAGACTGTCAGCTTTAGTCTGATAATTGGGGAATTCAGGACAAGGGAGGAAGTCACATACTGTGCTGATCGGTGTTGATGGAGATGTTCTGCCTATGAGAAGGCTCGCAGAAAGGCGCATAGGGGCCATCTTTGTTGTGGCACTGCTCGAAGGCGCCGCTACCGGTCTTCTCGAATGGTGGTAGCTCGTCATCTATGATGTCTTCGTCGTCGGCTGTGGGAACTGGGGCAGCAGAGATCACGGTCGGTGTACCGTCGATGGTGGTGAGCACGGGAGTAACGGTTATGGGCCTGCCCCTATCGTTGACAGTGGTCCAGACTGCTGTCAGGGCAGTGATATCAGGCGCAGCGGCGGTGGCCGTAGAGGAAGCGGTGATGGAAGACTCGGTACTCTCAAAAACGCCCGCCGGCATGGCCGAACTCGTGCCCAAGAGCAAGAGCCATGTGGCGGCGGAGAGAGTGGGAATAGTCGCGAACATTGTGCGGAAACGTGGGCTGTGGTCCGTACCAAGTCGTCGTTTTCCGCGATTGGATGTATGGGTGGGTGGGGGACCAGTCGACTATGGGATGGAAGAGAGATGGGAGAAGAGAAAGAGAATCCAGGTCAGAAGAGGATGAACTGCGCCAATTGATCCGATCCGAGCGAGTCAGTGGAGGCGGATATGGAGCGGTAGGCCGGTACCTCTAGGAGCTAACTGAAGACAGCGGACACGCCAACAGGTGGATGACAAGGGACCGTTTCGGCTTCAGGGGAAGAAGGAGTGATGGGGAGAATTTAACGGATCGGACAGTCCATCAGCGGGTTTGTCCTTCCAACCATTGTAGACCTAAACACGGGAGAACGGCAGACTTGTCGGAGGTCACGGAGGTATTTTCAACTTTTTGGCGGACGGGCTCGGGCCTTTCGTTCAGGGGTTTGCGTCCGCTTGGTCCGGGTTGCCGGCCTGGCAAGTACCTGGATGTCCCGTCCCGGCACATGCAGGTTCAACACTACCACCTACTGGAGCTTCGCGAATTCGCGCTAAAAGCGGTGGACAATGCCTCCTGCCATGACGCTGTCGCGCGTCGCCCGCATGAACTTGACATGAACGAATCAATGCCAAGAATTCCTCGACTTTTCCATCGACAGGGGGTCGTGAAGACAATCAGGGGGCACCAACAGGGGTTGTAAACACGACAAGCTCCGAGTCCTTTCTCACTTGCCTACCTCTACACCATCTCTCTACACTACACGTTAGAATACGGCATATTTATACACGCCGAACATGTTTTCGATACAAATGCCTTCGTTCAACTATCAAAAACAATTTTAACCCTCCTCAAGTCCTTCTACAAGATCCCGAGTCACCACCTTCAAGAAACGGTGTTCTTGGCAACAATGCCCCTCGCAAACTCTCCAAAGGTAATGTGTTGCTCCATATCAACCTCATCACCCAAGTTAGGCTGAGTGAACACCGCAAGCGTGTTGCGCGCAATCCTCCCGGCGCTCATCTCAGCCCGCGCACCCCGTACAAAGTGCGGCACCGCCTTGAACTTGCCGCCCGTGATGCGCTCCAGAGCCTCGCCCGTCTGAAAGGCGATGCAATCGCGGGGAATCTTGACCTGTACCGTCTGGCCCGTGCGGGACTTGATGTAGAGGCCGGCCTTCGGGTCCGGAGATGTAGGGAGCTCACCCAGAGGGGGTAGCGAGCCATTTGCCGATGGGTTGACAACCGGGGGCGTGGCCGCCTCGTCAACGAACATGGCGGAGGTCAGGCCGGTGAGACAACCGTGGTCAAGATGGGTGGCGCACCAGTCGTCCTCGTCGCCCTCCTCCTTGCTATCCTCCTTGTTGGCATCCGTCGCGGTGGCATCTTCGGGGAAGTAGTGCAGGAGACGGGCCTTGGTGGTAGTCGAGGTCTTGACGACACCCTCTAGATAGCCGGCAGGGTAACCAGCGATTTGCTTCTCGGCAAATCTGTCGCAGGCTCGCGCAACAAGGACCGCAACGTCGATGATCAAGCGGCAGAGATCCTCAAAGGTAGGCTTGAATCCAGGCAGGGTGCTCTCCTCGGGCCACATGTTGGGCGACAGGTACTCGGGGAAGTTATCGGGGTTGAACTCCTCCGTCGGCTTGGCGCAAGACAACGAAGGGTCAACGTAAAAGGCGCAGTTGGCATAGTAGGAACCCTTCAGATTATCGACCTGGCCATTTTTCAACGTCTCCTTGCCGAGCGACCAGCCGGTCAGATACTTTGCCGTTTCGTTCTCGAGCCGATCAAGTTCAGACTTGGGAAGGTTCCCGAGATACGAGGAGTATGATAGCAATCGATGGCGCAGCTCAGCGAACTCGGCAGGGACGTCCTTAACCACTAGGATGCCCAGCGAGTCAGGGCCGAACGCCTCCTCGAGTGCCTCCAGGGAGACAGTTCCTGTCAAGATGGCATGTTAGTGGGGAGTTTTTTTAGTTTCTCATCGAGGTTGACCTGAAGACCGAGTGGCTGGCTTATAAGTGGTAACGCGCTTGTGTGACGGGTAATTTACCGTTCTTCAAATCATTCAAAGATACCGTAACGGCCTGTGCAATGGGAGCCATTTTGATGGTAGTGGTTGAAAGATGAACTGCTGAGCAAGACGTCCAAATCCACGAATCGATCAAGACAGACCGTCACCAAGAGTACCAAAAGTCAGAGTTATATTGCCTCGTGTAAAATTTTCCAATTTTATTGAACGACTTGCGTATCGTCTGACCTTATAAGAACAAGATCCAACGGCCGACGCTAACCCGTGCCAAGCCAAAGCCTTACGGACCTGCTTGACAAGGCAAGTGGGCCCGGCCGATAGATAGAGCGTGAGGGGGGCTCCGCCCGACCGGCTCCAGCGGGCATTCCCACTGCCGCACCCCGAAGCGGGGTTTGCCCAGCAAGCACGATGGCGGCGGTTCGGCCGCCAGGGGCCATTGGGTTTCTTATCGATAAGAATTCGATCTATCGACTTGGTGTCCATCATCGTCGGTCGGTCACGTCACACACGCGCTCGCTTGAACAACAACTTCGAACTTTTGGTCCAGCTTTCACTAGGTACACATCCCACAATACAACCCAATGCAGCAGCAGCAAAGATGGTAAAACCACTTACCTTCAAAGGTGACAAAAAAGCCAAAAAGAGAAAACGCCCAACAACCGAAACGAACGATGACGATGACGCTCCCGAACGGCAAGAAAAGCAATTAAATGCAACCACCAGCAGCTCCAAAACCACCACCACCGCCGCCGCCGCCGTCGCTCCCAATGAAGTAGAAGGCGAAGAACACGACGACAGCTGGGTATCCGCCGACGCGCCCTCCGACGTATCCGGTCCGATCATGTTCGTCCTGCCGACCGAGCCTCCTTCCGCTCTCGCCTGCGACGCCACGGGCAAGGTGTTCACTTTGCCCATCGAGAACATTTTGGACGGCAACCCGGCGACGGCGGAACCGCATGATGTGAGGATGGTGTGGTTGGCGCATAAGATTGTAGGAACGGAGAATTATAGATTTAAGGGGCAATCTAAAAAGTAAGTTTTACTTACAGCTTCCCCTTCCCCTTCCCCCGCCAAAACCCGATCCTCACCAACAATTGCTAATCAACTCCCCTCCCTTACTTACTAGGTATCTAAGCTGCGACAAAATCGGCCTCTTCAGCGCCTCCTCCGACGCCATCACCCCCCTCGAGTCCTTCTCCATAATCCCGACCTTCGACACACCAGGAACCTTTCAGATCCAAACCCTGCGCGAGACTTTCCTAACGGTACGGGCATCAAAGTCATCAAAAGCCAACGCCGCGCCCGAGGTGCGCGGTGACGCGACGGAGATTTCGTTCGACACGACGCTGCGGATCCGGATGCAGGCGCGCTTCAAGCCGCGGATCAAGGCGTCCAAGGAGGAGAAGGCGCGGGAGAAGATCAGCCGGCGTGAGCTGGAGGAGGCGGTGGGAAGGAGGCTGGAGGAGGATGAGGTGAAAAGACTAAAAAGGGCGAGGAGGGAGGGTGATTATCATGAGGTGATGCTGAATTTGAAAGTGAAGGGGAAGCATGATAAGTATGGTTAAGGGGGCAGATGTGAAGAGAGGCATGGGTTGCTGGATATGGGAGGGTGGTGCGCATTTTAAACATACGACGGTGAGAGACTTACATGATACCCAAGAAAATGTTTTTTTAGATCCTGAAGAGCTGGTTATGGTTGATCAGATTGGAAGACTGCGTACTATGTATCTTCCACCTACGAGCCTATAGCATCATCCTAACGGTGCAAGTAGAAAAGTGTCATCGAAGTTGCACCATGTTTTCTCGAGAAAGAGGACTAGAAAGCAATAGTAAATCACTACACCGAGTAGTCTTTTTGATCTAACTCGCCTTACACCATTGAACGCCTATAAATCACTTTGCCGCAAACGTCTTTCCTATGCCCTATCCAACCAGGACACTACTAAACCCTTAAGAGATAGAAGAAAAACCCAAATGCCAGCCAGGCAAATGATACCCAAGTAAATTGCCAAAAACAAACGCCGCTATACCATGCCAATAGTATAATGTTGTTACAATAAATATCCAAGACTAGAAAGTGTAGAAAGACAAGACGATGCAAACCTCGACCTAAGATTCGAGGCGCATCCGCTTAGCATCGTGGTTGCTCCCCGAGTCGTTTTCAGGCCCGGTACTTTTCGTCTCGGGACTCTTCCGCTTCAGGGGAGTGGGATCGTCTCTTAGAAACGAGGGTCCGGTTCCGTTAACCGGCGTGGCAAAGTTCAACGGGCTAGGAAGCGTGTTGCTCTCCCCGCTGATGCCGTATCCCCATTCGGGATAGAATCTGCTCGGACTAGGCAGCAGATCACCCAAGAACCGAGATGGGAGGGCGGATACAGGAGTGTCGATGTTCATATTATTGTTGTGTTGAATAGTTGATCGAGGAGCAAAAGGATTAGGTGGCCCTGTGGCACCCGCAGACGGTAAATTAGAGGCGGATGGTGACGGCGGTGGAAGTACAGGGCCGGTCTTCAGCGGTTGTGGAGCGGAGTCCGTTGTGGTCGTAACCCGAGGAGAGCTTGCCGACCCAGCAGCGCTTCCGCTATCCGAGTCGTCCGGAATCTGCACCTTGAGTCGCGGTCGCACTGGTCCACCTCCCACACGCAGGTGTTGGGGCCGGGATGGCGGAGGAAGCGTCGATTGTGAGATTGCAGTCAATGAATTCGTCCTCTGCGCTGACCCTTGGCCATGTGCACTGGAGAGCTGGATAGATGGTGTAGAGGTATTAGGCTTAGACACGTTACCGCCATCGACACACTGCGACCGGTTGTTTGGCGACTCGGACTTGATATCCGGACGGAACGCGGCAAAATGCTGAGACAGAATAGACTTGTTCTCTGGTTCGATTGGCGTAAAAACACTGCCCTGCCCAGGGTTCTTAACCGATGTATTCAGCGCGGGAATCAGCCGGCGTGGTCTCTCCATGGACTCTGGCTTTGGCGGTGCAGGAGGTTGGAGGTTTTGATTAGACATAGGCTGAGGTTGTTGCTGCTGGTGGTGGTGCTGCTGCTGAGGCGGTTGAGCTGGCTGTGGCGGAGGAGGCGACATATTTGCGCTCGGTAGCCGCTGCGGCTGCTGGGGAAGCTGGGCTTGGTGAACTTGAGGAGAGGCAGAATGGCGATGTACTTGTTGCTGCGGGATCTGTGGTTGGAGAAGTTCAGGCGGAGACGTAGAATGGCGATGTGCTGGGTGTGGTGGCGGTTGAGAGACAAAAGTCGGGGGAAGAGGCGACCTCCTCTGGTCCTCGAATTGTTGCATGGGATGAGCAGGTGGCTGAGACGGCTGGAATGGGTACTGGGGATGCAATTGTGTGGGAAGACCATGAGTAGGCGCCATGGTAGCAGGAGGTTGCGGGTTGTAGATGGGAGGTGATGGCACGAAGGCGCTCCTATTCTGAAGTTCCTGGGCAACTCCCGCGGGACCGACTGGCTGCCCGGGTCTCAACCTTCGGATGTCGTTGACGGATGATGGCCGAGCGACGAAGGGCGGTTGGGGAGTATGAGCGCGGCTCATTTGGTGTCCCGGCTGAGGCCCGAACGCGCCGTTTGGTACCGGGGGTGAGTCCGAAAGACTTGTATGCCGGAGGAAGGGATATGAAACCGGCGGATTTGGTTGGTACATGATATGTTGTTCCCCCTGCGAATTGGTCCCATTCTCGTCATCGTCGTCATCGTCGTCGGCGCCGCCATTGAAATCAGAAGGGCCTTTGTGCTCATTGGGTCCTCCGTGCTGCACGGTGTATCATGGTAAGTACTTGGTCTCGAAAGAAGCAATCTTGTTGGGGTCTGCTTACGTAGCTATATCGTTGTAGTATATCGCGAATGTTGCTGGATGAATATTCGTATAGCTTTTTGTTGTTGCCGAAGATAATAACGGCAACGTCGACGGAGCACAGGACGGAAAGCTCATGGGCTTTCTTGAATAACCCCCCCTTACGCTTCAAGAATGTTCTGTATGTTCCGGAGCATCAGTACCAGCTACATGGGAGCATTTTCCACCGGGGTTGGAAGCTTACACGGAGCGATTCCTGTCATCCTTAATGGCCTTGATTTCTATCTTTCTCCTGCCCATCTTGGCGAGGTGTATATGCGAAGCACTGCGATCAGATCGCTCCACGGAATTGGTGTCTTGTGCCAGGTATTAACACGATGGATTCGGCAAAACAGCAAAGTGTAAGTGGTAACAGGCGACGCGATGGGGAGTTGGGTTGTCGTCGGATGTTTGTGATTGACAGCGCCGGGTATGCGGTCCTCGGGTTCGGACGGGAGTGTTTCGATCTGATGTTGCTGTGGAAGCACAATTGGCATATGTATGCAACTGATACTATGTAGAAGCTTGTAGTAATGGCCAAACACAACAAGATTGATGCAGAAGCTGGATGTTGCTGATGGAGGACTCGGGGAGGACGTCTGCTAAAAGAGTGAAGTCGTCAACACCACCGGCAAGGTCAACCTCTTCGTCGGCAGCTGGATATCTTGGATATAAAATATCTAGACATGCAAAAGATGTTTGAAGACGTCGTAGTACTGCAGTACCTTGCGGCGCCGGTCGATGCAGTTGAGGCTGGTTTGATGATTCTAATAATAGATCGTCGACTTCACGTTCACACGCAAGTTAAGTTGGGGGAAAGAGGAAAGACGAGCGACGGGAGTGTGCGAAGGGGAAAGCTCGGGGCCTGGGGGCACCGCTGCACTACCTCCTGCCACACTACCCACTGCCGTAGTGGAGGGTCCGGTCCCTTGGGTGCCGTGGAGTGCGTGGGTGCGAGGGTGCTTACCTAGAGGTACTGCAGCGAAGTGGAAACCACCACCCAGGGGACACCTACAACAACCTAACCGCATCACAACTGAACAAGTTGAAGGGAAAGTCGAGGGGCACACCGGGCACAGGGGACACACACGAGTCAGGTCTTGGCGGACTAGGCTCTCCTTCATCTCTCATCCCCGACAAGGCTCCATTTGTTCTTCTGCCCGTCTGGCACATCCCGCTTGTCTTTGCACCGGAAGTTTGGACGAGAGGAACGTGAAAGCCCGAAACACCCCGCAACTGGTCGATACCCTTCCGTCAACCAGCCGACGCCATCTCGCTTCAGGGACTGTAACAGCCGTGTACAGAAAATGCAGTCCCGCCCGTCCCCTTCCTCTTGCTTATGGAAAATCGAGCCGCATCTACCTAGGTCTGGACTTTCAGGACAACAAAGGACGCCATCGCGACTTCATCAAGGCCGGGGGGAGATAGAAGTATGCAAGGTTGGGTTATAGTACAAAGATCGATAGAGAAGCTGATTGTTTCGTTGCAGATGAAACATAGCTCGTCCCAAACATTCTCTCAAACGGCGAACTCGACTACTAACCACCCACACGTTGATTAGAACATTCCTGCGTTTTACCCTCTCAAAGCGCTTATCATGTGCACAAAACGAGTCTTTCAGCTCCTAACAAAATGCTTGCTCGCTGTCTCTTTCTCGAAAATATTGCGTATAAGTGTCCTACAGATTGGGTCCTTTGTCGGGGTGACTAGGGTCCACGACACGTAGCGAGGGTACTTGGGTACGTGATATTTTGTTGCTCGATGAACTGGCTAACCTCGCTCCGCATTGGAAGTAGATCAAAAAGCCTGCACTAATTTGCCGGAACGATCTAAGATCACCCTTTCAACCACCCCGGCTTCAACCAGTGATAATGAAACGAATGAATTGCTCTACCGGCACTACAACAGCAATGGTAAGATGTGCCTCCTTTCACCTTCTGATCAATTCTCAGCGCGTTAACTAGAACATATGCTTACCTGATCATAGCTTGAGGTTGAAGTCGCTGTCACAGTGTGACGACTGGCGATGCTGGTCATCCAAATGCTCGAATCGGTTCGTCCCAACTCCCCCCGGCCTTCAGTCCGGTACGTACCCTCGTGGACGTCTCCACATGCAGTAAGGTACCTACAGACAGCATGACGGCCCCGGGCCCCGGGATGTCTCGGACTTCGAATATGCTGTACCCACGACGTCCTCCGAGTCGTATGGAAGCTTTTATATCGACAGCTCGGTACCACAGGATTTTTGCATCCATGTCAGTAGTTTTCAAGCTCAACGTTGAAGATCCGTCTCAAGGTTGATCAAAACAGAGGCCTACTCACAAAGAAAGTATTTACGTCTATCTACGTACCCACAGGTTTTGTAATGTCGAGATTTACAACTGCAGAGAGCCGAACTTACAAAACACTCATCTTGAAACAGAAAAAAAAGACAAAAGTTTCTAAGCCCTAAGAGATGCTAGTTGCCGCCGTAAGCCTCCACAGGCATGTTGACGGGATCTACCCATATTACCGGGTTTCATCTAGGAGGAATGCTTGTCATACCTACAACCACTACGTCTTGAGCAGAACTTTTAAATACACAAATAGATATCATCCTCTTGGCTGTCCAGTGACGGTGAATAACTCTCTGTGGTTGCTTATACGGTAGCCTAGTGCTAGTTCAAACTACAGATTTGATCATGGCCCATCATTTCAAGGCATCATCGGCATCTCAAAATTAGGCGCTGTCTTTTCTAGTATATCACAACATTGCATACCTAGTTGGAGGTGGGAACTATTGCCAATGCACGGTACCCGAGACACCGAGAAGAAGACGCAGCGTTTCATCACATGGCATCTAAAAGAGTCTAAAACAGATTGATATGTCAAAGTTAGGATGGTAAGATGTGTCGTAGCAATCTACCAAACTTGGAGAAAGGGGCAAAAACAAGTCGGCCTGGTCAATGGCGGCCGACTGCCAAAGGGCCAGACCTACGATCGTTAAGCCGCATCCGATGACGTCGCGTGATGGCCGTTGTTAATCCCCTTCAAAACATCACGGACTTGGCTCCGTCTGGAGCTTTAAAAAGAAAAAAGAAAAAAAAAAAAAAAAAAAAGGTGGGATATCTGAAATTCTGAACCGTACGGTAATCAAGACAGTCTTGTTCACATCTCCATACCGAAGCAATAGCTCGACGCTTTTTACCTCCTTGATTGACATCCTGCTTTGGCACAACCTCTCAAGTCAGTCTTCTGAACGTTGCTAGAGTCTGGACTCCAACCCAGTCCATTGAAAATTCCCACCAGACAAGCGACGCCTCCTAAGCGAGGTGTTGATCGATCTTCCACTCTCGGGTTGTCGGAACCGGGACCGTGTCATTGTGCAACGATGCAAGGAGACCGCAACGGTTCACGATGTGACGCATGCACATCGCTGCACATCGCTGCACAGAAACCCCCCTCGCACAGGACGAAGTCACCGAACGACACGCCATCTTGCTCCTCTGATTGGTCCGTTGCGTGGGTTGCCCACAGTCGGGCTACAAGCGCCCAAGTGGGCTAAAAGCTCTCATTGGGCAAGCCAAGAATTAGCCCACTATCGGAATCTGACTGGGCCCCGCCAAGATTGATCTATTTTTAGCTATTTTTAGCACAGTGCATCTTGAACGAACGGCGACCGACCGAACGACGACTGCCGCACGGGCTGTATCAATCTTTGATACACTGTCAGCACCCTTCTTTTCCTTACTCCGCAGTGTCACGATCCATCAATCATCCAGTCATCCATCCACCCCAAAGAAGTTTCTTTTTTCTCGCTTATTGCCCGATACAACACCCTCTCTTGTTCCGATACCCGGCATTGGCGTTAGATGACCCTGGATTTTGACTTTTACACCTTCCACATCTGCCTCCTACCAGGATTAAGTTGTCTCCCCCAACTAATTTCAGGAACGTCCATCTTTCCAATATGTAAGAAGGAGGAACAGAATGTTACCTTTCTCCAAATCATCGTCGTCTTGCCCATCAATACCCCCAGTCCAAGCATGCCGTCCAGAAAAAAAGATGGCTAATTCGGGACTCAAAATCCCCAATTTCTGCGCGTCAGCGTTCCATTTCGTTGATCTATACAGCGTCAGTGGATGTTTATCCCGTCCACACAAAACATCATGCGGCTCCTTGAACTTATTCTGGCTTCCATTTCAACGGAACGGCGGCTATGCAAGGTACAAGATCTCATCTTCTTGGAAAGAAAGGAGTCGAATGAATGCACCGCGCCAAAGTTAGAACCAAGAAACGCAGATTGACTTCGATGACACTCGAATATTCGAACTGCCGTACTACTTCCCTTCCCCTAGTTCCGGCATGATCTTCCTCGAGCTCTCCGGCGCCAACTGACTATCCAGGGAGCGAGAGAATTTATGTGTCGCCTGCCCTATATCACACAGAGGATCACCAGGTCGGTGACCATCAGCTTGGTGTTGATCCCACATTACGGGCGTGTTAAAGTGGGACGGAATATCCCATAGACATCTTATTCAGACAACCACCACTCCAGCCCTGCCGTCTGTCTTCCTTCAAAATCTGAAACAGCCGCGCTGGGGGGAAGTCTGGACAATGACTTCATTGGCTACACCAAACCTAACCCGTTACATAGCCAGCATTACTATGCTACCTATGTATCTACCTACGTCAAGTGCTCCCTCAAAAAAAGCAACCGGGGACAAGGGTAGCACATGGCAACCTGCAGTCAAGTTGCCCTTCCACACCATTCATGTAGTTGATGACCATTGGATCATTTTTACTATTGCACCTCTCTCTGTTACTACAAAGATACATCGTCCGTTACCTCGATTTGCTTCAGTCTGAAAGTAGTACATGCTTGTTGGGAAATCTGGAAGCGAGGAGGGAGCCGCTTACATCATACACGTTTTATAACGAGGATGGATACCTTTCTACACAACATCCAAAATACTGGGGACCAATGAAACAGCCGTGTGCTATTTGTGAAGCCACAGTACGTACCGGCGTTGGGAAGGTCCGTTGTCAGTTACCTGCTGCCGAGATTCAATGTTCAACTGAATGGATCTGCGGACCGTCTGTCACACAGCTCATATCCAAGTAAGGTATCCAGCTCTCACCTCTCTCAAGGTGAGAGTAGTTTCTCGGACTTACTTGAAAACTCAAGCAACGCACACATTACATTACATATGTAAGATGGTGAGTAAGATGAAAAGGATCGATATATGCCCAAATACGTGAAGTTGATAGCAAAGCAAAGAAAAGAAAAGCAGTCAAATACACAGGTTCCTCCACAAAGCAACGAAGACTCCAGACGCCGGCCGCTCTGCGCCACTGCTGAAGCCTCAAGCCTCAAAAGCCTCCCGCAATCCCGTTTCCATCAGGGTGGAATCTTGATCAAGCCCATGCATGCCCACTGAATGGTCAGATTAGACGCGGCGTGGCGGCTGATTGTATACATCGATACGCAAAGATAAGTAGATGGGTGGATGGATGGCTCTGCGGTTCAAACTGTGGCTTTCGGTTCGGGCTTCCCTCCTTCCTTCCGTTGAAGTTCCGTGGGGCGTAGGGCGCAGCCAAGCCATGATGGAGGGAGGTATATCGGAACAAGCCGTCAGTGTACACTTGGGGAAGTAAGTGGGTTTCTTCCGGGAGCTTTAGTTGTGGCTCTGTGGCTTATTTCAGTCCTCTCAAGTCCTCCACCCCACGATTGTGTAACCATCTAGCTTATATGTACCTATTCCTCTCTAGAGGCACCTGTGATACATAATTGGATGCCTTATGATGTGACATTAACCGTGGAAGCAACAGTAAGCGAGCTATATCAGGTAGTAAGTACTCTGTAGATGGTTGGTTGGTTGGTTCATGTGTGAGTATTAAACTGTCTTGCATGTTTTGTTTTGATGGGTTTAGAGATGGGTAGGTATCCAACCTCCGGCATCAATGATCTTTGGATTACTATACGCATCAGAAATCACAACTGTCACAATACAAATGCAGATAACATGAACTAAATGCCTCTGAAGCACGTTCTACTACTCCTCAGTTATGGAGACGCCGTGTGTACTGTTAGCGACTAACCGCCCCCTTTCAACCTTCCAAGATACAAAGGCCGCACTGAAAAAAAAAAAAGTCCACGATGCCTGACCTGATTCTGTGAAAATATCCATGACCCATTTTTAAGGCCCCTCCTTTCATCCTAGTTTTTTTTTTTACCTAGGTAGCTTTCCATCCATGTCATTCATGTCTTTCGTCGAGAACTTGTTTTGTTGTTCCTGTTCGCGACCTCAATGCAGACAACCGACGTATATCTCTGCTTGAAAGTGATGTTACCGGGCTATCCACAGCCCTGTAAACGATGATAGTACCCTCGACTGACTAACTAACCGACCCGAAGCAAGACCCTCTTGGTTGGTGATTACCGGCCTCGTCCTAGTTCCCCAAAGACGGGACTAAACCTAAACCTCCCAAGTTGCAACCGTGAACCTAATATAATGGCGCTGAAACGGTCAAGAAGGGACGAGAAGACTGATGCTGATATGATGTAGAATATAAGATGTGATGCGTCGTGATTTCGCCAACCGCAAAAAGCAAAAAGCGTCACTGCCCTTGTCCTTTGGATATACAGAGCGGAGCGCCAACCATGCCAGGCAATATACTGCCTATTTATCACGCCGTATACCTCGCCATGGGGACGAACGTCATATGGGAACCAACCCGTGTGAAAGAAGGCAGCCACCGCGTCTTCTTCAGCTAGCTCCAATTCCAACACCAGAACCAGCGATGACAACACCCATCACAACCCTACTAGCTAGGACTCATGAAACTAGCAGCGACCGGCGCGTTGGGGTTGGGCGAGCCGACACCAGAGGCGCCATCGTCTTGGTTTTGGTCTTTGGTCATCGAGCCGTTGAGCAACGGGCACAGCCTGGAAGGTCGGGGTTAGAGGACTGAAAATCAATGAAAAAAGAGGGTGCGGATAACTCACTTCTTGTTCGTCTTGATGTGGCCCTTAGCCCCACAATTTGCGCATCTGCGTGTAGTTCCGGTGGCCTTCTCGATCGAGGGCTCTAACGACCCGTCGTCGTTATCGAGGGGTAGAGTTCCTCCGCTCTTGAGCCGCTGTTGCAGTTGTTTCTGCCTCTCGCGCTTCATCGTTCTCATCTTATTCTTCATGAGACGATCATGTTCCTTGTCGAGCCTAGAGAGAGATGTCAGTGTGCGGCCCTTCCAAGTACAATGGATAAGGGTGACAAACAGTTCGAGAATAACGGCGTCCCGCTCTTGGTCTCCAGTAAGCTTAACGTTGTAGATACTGCGAATAAAGTCAGTCACTAGTTCCTCTTCAAGTCTTTCAATTGGGGGGTACTTACTCGATCTCGGACTTTTGCTCTTGGCGACGCCTCTTGACGTACTGAGCAATGACAGTAGGATCCCTTACGACCTCTGTCACAGTCCGCGTTTGGCCATTTTCATCCCTTACCTCCCTCGTAATCACGAGCTTCTTCCGGTTGATAGCACTGGTGGCGCTCTGACTGATCTGACTAAAGCCGTCCTGGACCACAGGGGTTTGCGCGAATTGGCTCTCGTGTACGTTGAAACGCTCGTCTTCATCCTCTTGCCCAAGCACATCTTCATCATCGTGTTCTTGGGAGTCCAAGAGACTCTCCCGCTGGCGGTTCCAAATATCGGTGAGAGCCTCAGTGTAGAGTGTGTCTTGATTCTTGACATTGTACATGTGCCCACCGTTCGCTTTGCGCTGTCTCTCAATGGCATCAGCTGATGTAGCCATTGGACCTTGAAGCTGCTCAAGGTAGCCGCCTTTCATGGACGTCCTTAAGAAACTGATGCCTAGTCCCTTGCCCGTTGGGTCGCCGGCGCCATGAACTGCAAGCATAGCTTTGCCATGACTGGCGTCAAGGAATGCCTTGGTAGTCTTCCAAGGTGCCATCTTGTTTGCAAGAGCATCTGGAGAGAGCTCATCGTTCACGTCAATTCCAATGTCATCGTCTTTGAGGGAATCGGTAGCATCGTAGCCACCCTTCTCGATCTCGTGTAAGCCCACTTGCATCGCATCCAACAGACAGACCTCTTCTGGTCTAACAAGAGATCGAATCGCCGGCTCGGCCATTAGCTCTTCGCCTTCAGGCAGCGCCCAATCCTTTGTTTCCTTTCTGAAGCGCAGGAACTCCTTCAACTTTTGACGGTTCTGAGACTCATTGGACTCAGCTACGTGCTTGGTAATATCATGGAGGGTAACATGCTCGCTCTTGCGAAGCAAGCGATACGAGACCATCTTGAGACGGTTCTTGGCGATGTTAGTAACACGCCTGGAATGGGGTCCTGGGACCTCCATGGAGGGCAGGGTTTGGCCGACAACGTAAAGATGATCGATATTTCTGATGTACCAAGTTGAGCCCTTTTGGCCGGTACTGCTACGACCAATCAGGAAGTCTGTATTCTTCGGGTTATGCTTGAAAATAGGGGCGCGGAACATGTGGTTGTGAAGCGTAGGCACGAGCTCGCCAGGGTGGACGTGGCCGAAGATGGCGAAGGGTGAGCGATCTTCTGGCATCAATATACATGTCTCGCCAAGCTCACGCTTCTCAGGTCTGCTATCAGCGCCTTTAGCGCGACGGAAGTAATTGATGATTTTCTGTCCCATGCCAAAGTTGGAGAGAACGGTGGGAATTTCCTCGCAGTACTCGAAAAGGATAGCGGTCGAGTTGTCGTTGAGGGAGAGGTCATGAGTGCTCTTGAATACCTCGCTGACGCGTTTACCCTTGAGAGCCTTACGCTTAATAATGGCAGGCTTGTCAAACCTGATGTGACCATGGAGATCCCTCTTGGGGTGGAGCTGAGGCCGGTGATAACTATGAGGATCACTTGCCGAGAGCTTCACGCGGTAATAAGGCCAAGATAGTCTCTGCGCAGGCAAACTGTGCTCGACAGGAATAGTAGCCAGTGTTGCCCGGACCCTGTTTTGGCTGTTCTCCTTCAACGCGTCGTAGGCAGCGTCAGAGGAGAAGTTGAACCGTTGTGTAAGATCCCGCCCAGCTTTCCCGTTCGCCAAGCGGACCGTCTTATGTTGGGTCTTTCGCCGCTTAGATGACCGTTCAGATTCGACGTCGTCTATCAGCAAGTAAGGGTCGTTCATGTCAAGGATGACACGCTTGCCCAGCTTCGAAGTAACTTGCTCGAACTCGTCCAAGTTTGGAGCCGTGAAGTGAGCAATAGGAGGAAGACCTTTGGGAATCTCGATCTTTCTCCGCTTTGGAGCAGGCTCATCAAGAAACATGGCATCCCAGTCCGCCTCTTCATCACGCTCATCCTTAATGATCATGTTGTCAGGTTTCGGCTGCGGTCCCGGCTCGATGGCGGCCGCAAGACTGTCGCCCAAGAAGATCATCTGTTCCCAGTCCTGACATATCGTGGCTATGTCCTGAAGGGTGTAGCCGCCTATCCTCTCCGAATCCGTTTCGTCGTCCAAGCTGAATACTTCCAGATCGGTCTGCTCCAAAGGCTCCGGTTCTTCGAGACAGAACAGGCCTTTCGCTTCCGCTTCCTTGATCCTCTGCCAAACCGAGCCAGTAGCCGGGCCAGGAATCCGGAACTGCTTTTCCTGATCTGCATCCAACTCCAGGCTGAGTTTTGATGGTATCAAAGGCTTGGGGGCCCTGGGGGGCTTCTTCGAGATCCATGTGGCATTCTTGGGCTTTAATAGTTCGTTCCAATGCAGGATGGCGTTCTCCTCAAAACCGGGGAAGAGTTGCTTAACGGCGTCGATGAAGTTTTCCGCTGGCGGGGGAATGTCGGGATCTTGGTTTGTCGCATCCGGCTCTTCGTCATTGTCGAAGTTGAGGTTTCGGAGGTCTTCAAGGGACTCCCCGGCGGCATCATCCGGACGTTTTTTGGCATCGACATCGTCATGGGCGTCGAGCGGCGGGGGAGAGGATCTCAGACCATCGTGGGCCGTGTCCATGGGCGATGAGGGGTCGCCGCCAAAGAGGTCGTCGTCATCATTAGTGCCGGCGTCGTCGATGAGGCTCGGCAGCTCGCCACTGGTGCCGGAAGTGCTCGGTTCGTCGTTGGGCAAATCGTCCTCGTCGCTCAAGTCGATGTCCTCAAAGTCGATGGCATTGTCTGCCTTGCCTCGTTGATCGATCTCGCCTCCCGACTGGAGGTTCCCCAGCATTTCAGTCAGGCCATCGTTACCGCCCGGGCCGAAGCTGTTGTTGATCCGGCGAATGGCCTCCTCATCGCGGGCCTCCTGCTCCTTCCATCCTTCCTCATTGAGGGCGTTGAAATCAAAGTCGTCGTTATCTGCGGGCATCTTGCTGGGCGGAGAGGCGATGCCGCCTCGGGGCTGTGTGTCGTCGTCTGTCGCGCAGTCGTCCGCCCCTCTCTCTCTTGCTCCCTCCAACGGTTGCGCGGCCGGTTAAGCTGTCAGATCATGATACTGGAGCGGAGAAATCGTCGACAATGCCCGCGGCGGGGGAGCAAACTGAACCAGGCGCGCGTTCGGTGGTGGGGTGTTGGCAACGCCGCGTGCAAGTCGTGGTCGTGGTTGTGGTAGAGTCGAAATGACCGTCGGGTGAGTCGAGGTTGAGGTTGACGTTGAGGTTGCAGCGGTAGTTGCGGAAGTTGCGAAAGTGTCGAGCCTCCCACAAGCACACTGCCACTGCGCGGAGAGCAAGCGAAGTGTCGAATGCTTGAATGCGAACAATCGGCCTGTCGGGGCCACTGCGCGGTAGGTGGCAGTGGCACGCGCTGTCGGCCAAGTGGGTCTGTCGACCGGGGTCCGGCTGGGAGAGCCTAGCGAGCTGGCCTTCAGTGACTGGGGGACGCTAGGTGCAGTAAATGGTCTGTGCACATAGTAACTGGCGAAGTATAATACCGTTTCAACTTCCATAGGGAATCTGGAAGGAACAACACCTCCAAACTTTGCTTGACTGAATCCAGGTTGAATACAGGGAATGGAGAATGGAAGCTTCCCGCCCTGTGTGACAATGAGGTCAAGACGGGCACAGAAGGAATGGGGCTCAGCTGCAACAGACAACCGAGAGGGACATCAAACAATAATCTCTGACAAAAGGAAAATACTTGGAGTGACGCACAGGTCTCGGGGTTCGGGCCAAATGGTCACGATATCACCCACATACCTCTACATAGGTATGGAGGGGGCAGAACACACTTGAACTGATACGAGGAGATGTCATTTTCGGTCTCATCGATTTCTATCTATCCTCTGCGTCTACACTCGCACGCCCATATCATTGCTTCATTCGTTCGGGATGGTTTTGGATTTCACCTTCTGCGAACTAGGAGTGCCATCGTGTACAGCGATTATGGTGGCCTTGATGTGTGCATTTGGAAGGTGTGTTAAACCCACAGCCAAAGTCGTGACTGCCCATGTTATTTGCAAGCCGGTATTGCTAAAATTGATAGCCAAACCTCTTTGATACTCATATGACTAAAATGGAGGATGGATGTAACGAATCAGCAAATATTGTGGGCCACAGAGTCATACATCAGCTTCCAACTTCGTCTGACTATCGACGGGAACCTGCCCGCATCATCACCTTTTCACGATCTCCCGCACCCTTACACCACCAAGTGAAGTTACGAGGGTGAAGATACCTCTACCGCACTTCTCTCATCATGGACACTTCTCTCATCATGGCAGAACTCCTCATGGCAAGGGAGCCGAAGAAAAAGCAAGATGTCCTAAGGGCGATGTTTGTCGGCAAGCAGCTGTCCGAGGTCCCTACACCCAGCGTCGTCCTTGACCTTAAACAGGTCACGGTGAACTGTGAGCGCATGCTGGAAGCGGCCGAAAACCTCGGTTTGCAATGGCGAGCTCATATCAAGACTCACAAGGTAAGAATCAACTATCAACCAGTAAACGACAGAAAAGTACCGTAACTAACAACAATCAATGACATATAGACAACAGAGCTCACCCGCCTCCAAGTAGGCAACGAGCTCATCACTCCAGTCCTGCTAATCGTCTCCACCATCCTCGAAGCCGAGAACATCACCCTCCTCCTCAAAGAGTACCAATCCAAAGACCGCCATGTCAACGTTCTTTTTGCCTTCCCGCTCTTCGCCTCCGCCGTCCCCCGTCTGGCCGCCGTCTCCCAGCAGCTCGGCCCCGATGGCTTGTCGGTTATGATCGATCACGTCGACCAGCTCCCCTACGTCAAGGCCATCCACAGTGCCTCGGGCAGCTACCCTCCTCGCGTGTTCATCAAAATCGACGTCAACTACGGCCGAGCCGGCGTCAAGACCGATTCGCCCGAGTACCCGGCTTTAATCGACGCCCTACTGGCTGCCGAGCAGGAAGGATGGCTGGTGCTGCATGGCGTGTATACCCATGCCGGCCAGAGCTACGGCGCGCGCAGGCTTGGAGATGCTATGTATGCTCTTTCCAATGAGTTCAGGAACGCCCATATTGCTGCCGAGAAGATTCGCGAGAAGAGCCCGGACCACGCTGCGCTGGTGCTGTCGGTGGGCGCGACGCCGACGGCGACGACGATTCAGAGCCCTTGGTTTATGGAGGAGTGTGATGTGCCCAGGGGAAACCCGAGTGGAAGCATGAGGCCGAGGCCGTTTGAGGAGGATCTTACGGAGTTGTGGGGCAGGTGGCAGAAGGAGGGATATATTCTTGAGGTTCATGCTGGTGTTTAGTAAGTTGTTCCCTATACCGTTTTCTCTATATGTGGCTCCATTGTGCTAACATATCTACAGCCCGACCCTCGATCTCCAACAGGTAGCAACTCACGCACGACACACCGGCCTCCTTTCTGAACAAGATATCGGCATCAGCGTAGTCGCCGAAGTCGCCTCTGGTACGCAAAAATCCCCTCGTTGGTTTCCGTAAAACTGTAGCAGGACAGCTAACATTCTGTCCCAAACAGTCTACCCAACCCGTGGCCAAAATTCCACCCCTGAAGCCCTCATCAACGCCGGCTCCCTGGCCCTCGGCCGCGAGCCCGTAGGTCTAGACAAGAAAACGGGCTACAACGAGGAAACCGCCAAGCCCTACACTGGCTGGGGCGCCCTGATGCCTTGGGGCGTTCTAGCAGGGACGGAAGAAAAGGACAGGAGCGGCAAGATTCTCGGCGAGAGGTTCCCTGATGACTTCAGGGGTTGGCAGGTCGGCAAGATCAGCCAGGAGCACGGCATCTTGACTTGGGTAGGGGATGAGGGGAAGAAGGCACCCGAATTGAAGGTGGGTGATAGGGTGAGGGTGTGGCCGAACCATGCTTGCATCATGGGGGCGGGTTTTGAGTACTATCTGATTGTGGACTCGAGGTACCCGGGGCAGGAGGATGAAGTTAGGGATGTTTGGTGTAGATGGAATGGGTGGTGATTACGAACGGGGTAGAGATTAAAGGGCTTCGGGAGCGAGGGATGGAGGGATCATAACCACTCAACTTCAGCATGCTAATTTCTGATTTGGTCTCACGCATGCAAAGGCAAAATTTCACTATTCTGTGAATGCTTCGTTAATATGCAACGAGGCGAGTTTGTGTCTCCTGGCAGTCCTTGGAATATAGTTGTTCCACGTAAACAAAAACGGGGTTGGCGTGGCAACCACTATGGGCCGCCGTTTCCCCTGCAGCTTTGGCGTATCCGCGCTGTAGTCCAGGGCACCTACTGTACCACCTACAGCTTCCACTTCTGCTGTCAACTGTCCCGTCAGGGGCAACTTCCGAGCACCGGCGCGTTCAACCACACTTGCAACCTACCTACTCGTCGGTTAGGTGGGAACGCTTGCAGCCAGCCAACCAACTCTCCTCGTCCCTCTGAGAGTCGGCTTTTTTACTTGTATCTTTCAAGCCGTGTATCTTTCAAGCTTTGGAAGGAATCCCTCAACCAAAATGTAACCAAACCATATGCAAAGACATTCATTTGATACGTCTCAACTCGGGCTATCTATCGGTACCCGAAGCGATTCGTTATTTTGGATTGTTATTGTTTTTTTCCGTTGCAATTCTTCTTTTATAGTGATCCGTTACTACTTGCTCGAGGGAGGGTTAGGGTTGTACTAATCTCAGTACTAAGTTCAACACTGAAGTTATTTGGACATTTGGGACTGTGTAAAAATATTCGTTAGATACGTAAAGTATAGGTTACCTCCCATATGTCTTCTTGAGTTAATTGTACTTGAAATGGTGGTGTTGTGGCTGAAAGTCTTGAAAGATACACCACTTGAAAGATACAAGTAAAAAAGCCGACTCTCAGAGGGACGAGGAGAGTTGGTTGGCTGGCTGCAAGCGTTCCCACCTAACCGACGAGTACAAGGGAACACCTGAACTCCAGGGTGACGACCACATCCAACGCCAAAACATCACATCTTCCGTTATCGTTGCGCCAGGTTTTGAACAATTCACAGAGCCTCCGCTCCGAATCACAACCCATAAAGCGAATGTCACGAGAATGCCCATAACATCAGAGGAAGAAGAGGAGGACGGCACGATGCTGTCCCACCCTTCAGAAGAAGACAACCACGATGATGGCTCGATATCCGGAGAGGATTCTTACGACGAGGACGACATCTCGGACGACGACGACGACGACGACGAGCACCTCGCGCCCCCACCGCCCGTCTCTCAACACACCTTCGCCCCTCCCTTCTACGGCCGCCCACCGACCCCTCTCCCGCCCTCCCCCTCTTTAACCTCCCTCCTACGCCCCTCGCGTCCCACCACGCCGGACGCCTCCGACGACGAGACAGTCGCCAACGGGGGCGGGGGTCCCGAGGGCAGCAACGAGCCCCTCCCGCGCGCCAGCCCCCGCGTGCCCACGTATGAGTACTACGGCTTCGTCCTCTACCTCTTCAGCAGCCTGTCGTTTTTGATCTACCTGCTATGGGCCTACCTGCCTTCGCCGTTCCTTCACGCGTTGGGCATCTACTACTACCCCAACCGGTGGTGGTCGCTGGCTATTCCGAGTTTTCTGACAATGACGCTGGTGTACATCTACGTGGCGCTGGCGGCTTATAATACCGAGTACCTGACGCTGCCGTTGGGATCCATTGAGACGATTGTGGATGAGGCGGCGCAGGTGGCGGTGGTGGATGGGAAGGGACATATCATTAGGCATGATAAGAAAGGTGGCGGGAGGGAGGAGAGGAGACAGCATGGACATGGACATGGGCATGGGAGGCATGGGTCAACGGGGGAGGGGAATGGGAACAACGGCGGGAGGGAGGTGTTGTTGCCGGGGGGAGGATTGAATTGGAAGGAGGTGTGGAATGAGGGGACGGATGCGGTGATGGATGTGCCGCTTGCGGGTGTTTGTGAGGTTTTGTATGGTGAGGGAAGGGAGAAGGGGTTGGAGAGTGAGGAGGAGGAGGATGATGGGAAGGGGGTGCTGCATAGTGGGAATGGGCTGGATGGCTCGAGAGTTGGTCGATGGGGTTAAAGATGGGGTTAAACACATGTTATGAAGGTCCCGAGACGGGATAAGAGGCCTGGTGTTCTGCTATGTCCATTGTACAGCTGTACTGCTTGCACCTGTGAAATATGATATCCATTTTTTCTTTTTGGTGGTGGCACGATATTCTGGGTGACTCGTGTGCCGATATCGTACACAGTTGAGACCACATACGATGCTCGCCATGGATACAGATACCAAATCTACCAACATGCGAATAAGGGCACAAGATGCTTCTCGCATGGAGACGGTTGACACTGTTCACATGGAAGTGGTACCTTTTGGTCGTGAATTTCAAGCTCTAAAGCTACTTTGAGAGCTTTAACAGAGCAAACGGTACTTCAGGCTTTCTACTTTTCTTTAAAGTCAAAAAAATCGACCTTTTTAATCACAAGAGCTCTTGTTAGGTTTGTTTGATAGCCACTTGCTGTCCCTGGTGTTCTTTAACCGTAGAGGTACGTACCGCGCCCCACTTTTATAGAGCTGCAGGAGAGCCCGTCTTCTTTCACTTGCGCGCGCGCGCCCCTCGTCTCTGGAGCTCCGTCGTCAAATTCCAATTGATTTCCAGTTCATCGAACTTCAACGAAACGCGACGAGACCAAACAACCAGACGCGCAGCGTTATTTGGAGACCCTAGCTCACGCCACTTACTCTGCCTGCCTTTCCATAATAAACCTCAACGATATTCCTCCATACAGCGTCGGCGCCTACCATGTCCCACCAACAACCTCTCTCGTCGTCGGTCCAGCCGACTGACATCTACGGCGGAGGTAAGCTTGGTCCAGACGCCTCTATCCAGCGACATTTCACCAACATGAAGGATTCCAACTGACAGCTGATCATTTCTTCAGATGAGGTATCCGCGCTTGTACTCGATCCGGGCTACTGCAACACCCGCGCTGGCTACGCCGGCGAGGAAATGCCCAAGCAAGTTCTCCCTTCTTTCTACGGCCACATCAACGGGCGCGACGTATTCGGCGATGAGTATATTGTGCCAAAACCGGGTTTCGAAGTGCGCAACTACATGAACCGCGACAGCGTTGTCGAAGATTGGGATGCTGCCACCAGGATGTGGGAACACGTTCTCGTCAAGCGTCTGCAGCCCGAGCGATCAACACCTCCCAGCAAAAACGGTCTCAACATTAGCGACGACGGCGACGTGCCCATGGAAGACGAAGATGGCAACAACAACGAAGATGCTATGGACGCGCTGGAGAAGCCGCTGGCCGAGAACCCTCTTCTCATGTCCGAGGCGCCGTGGAACTCGCCCAAGGCGCGCGAGAAGGCCATCGAAATCAGCATGGAGACCTGGGGCGTGCCCGCATTCTGGCTTAGTAAGACACCTGTGCTCGCGGCATTTGCGGCCGGAAAGGCCACGGCCTTGGTAATAGACGTGGGCGGGGCCAACACGAGTGTCACGGCCATCCACGACGGCATGGTCCTCAAGCGATCGATTCAACGGTCTCCGGTAGGCGGTGTCTGGCTGAGCGGCCAGATCCGCAAGATGTGGGACGGCAGCGAGCCCAAGGTCGACGTTGTGCCGCGGTTTATGGTCGAGAGCAAGAAGCCCGTGGAGGCTGGTGCGCCCGCCGAAGCCAACCTGCGAAAGTTCAACTTCGACATCCACCCGTCCTTCCGCGCTTACGAGGAAGAGCGTGTCCTCACCGAGTTCAAGGAGTCCGTCGTCGAGGTGTGGCGTGGTCCCCAGCGGTTCACGACCCCCGGAAACGAAGATGCTGTCCGTACACAACCCGGCCGTGTCTTCGAGATGCCCGACGGCAGCAATCAGATGTGGCGTGAGCAGCGGTTCAAGGTGTCGGAGGGCATGTGGGACGAGACGGCTGCCTATAACAGCACTGACGAGGAGGGACGTGTGACTAAGGCTCAGACGATCCCGGCTCTTATCAAGGCGGCCCTCGAGGGTGTTGATGTTGATCTCCGCCCCAACATTCTCGGAAATGTCGTTGTCACGGGTAGCACGAGCTTGTTGAACGGTTTCAACGACCGTCTCAACCATGAGCTTGCGCAGATGTACCCCGGTGTGAAGATCAAGATCCATGCGGCGGGTTTGACGACCGAGAGACGCTTTGGTGCTTGGATCGGAGGAAGCATTCTGGCGAGTCTCGGAACCTTCCACCAGATGTGGATTTCGCGGAAGGAGTACGAGGAGAACGGCGCGGGTATTGTCGAGAAGCGTTGCAAATAGGATATTGCTTCGTTGATCAACAATAAGAAGGTCGTCAAGGCATGAAATGGCGAGCCCCTCGCAAGCCGCGCTCTGGAAATGATGGGAGGTTACAAAGCATCAGGTGGCGAGTAAGGCCACAATGGGTTAAGCCCAAAAGTGTTCACGTATTCATGAATTTTGTGTTGGGTGGAGTGTGGTGGTCATAAAAAGATGGGCATTGATGTTTTACGTTGCTGATTATTAGGCAGGTGTATGTTATGGTCGCACGATATGGCGCTGAGGCGTTCTTGAAGAAACGGGGTTTCACTGCTTTCAGCACATGACAGATACACACCACCATTGCCTGTGTTATCGACGATTTTTCCTTCAATCACAGCTAGATTCAAGAGCTTCACCCGTCTTCTGGTGCCCCTTCAACGTTTAAGTAACGCTTCTACATACAAAAAGTAATATCTTTCAGACAATCCATAAACCCCCAGTCCCTATCTGTCAATGGGGCACCTATACTGCCTCTTCACCCCAAGCCCATCTCCATTAGAAGCCGCGCCCCCATTCTTCATCTCAAGAGCATCCAGGCATGCTTGATGGTAAACGTGCCTACAGGCCAGCACAACCAGGGGGCTAAGCTTCTGTTCCCGCTTCCCCATCACCGGCCCTTGCAAGCCTTCATGTCCAGAAGTATTTGCTTGCTGGGTCTGGTCCTTCGCCGACTCACCCTGCTGCTTCAGTCGCGGGCTGCTCACATCCTCCCCCTTGCCCTTCCCCTTTCCATTTCCATTTCCACTTCCATTATACTCTTCCCCGCCCTGGGGACCATCCGTTGCTGGCCACACATCATGATCCTTGCCCTTCCCCCTTTCAGCAGTAGCACCCGACGACGTCTTGCTCCCTCCGCCCATGGTGAGCTGCTGCTTCCTCGCCTGCCGCTGACTCTCCTCAGCAGCCTGGCGCTCTTCCCACGCCTCGTAGACATTACCCGCCACACCAGGACCCCAAACTCGTCGACCGCAGGCCTCACAGGTGGAACCTTTGGGACGCCAACCTCGCTGGCGGAGTTGGACGGCTTGGTTTACACTCACGAAGAGACTGCGTTCCAAAAGCCGGTTTGAGAGACCAAGGATGGACTCCTCGTATGCGTATGCGGCGAAAATGCTGGAGAGAACTGAGCGGAGATCTGCGAGGTTGGGTGACGACGCCGCAGCGCGAGTGAGGAACGCGCGGAGAATGCGAAGGAAGGATAGATTGGCGTTTATGGCTGGAGGTGTATCGCCCGTGTTTGCAGATCTCGAGCTACGGGTTGACGTGGATGACAGGAGGGTTGTAAAAGTGTTTTGCACAAGCGATCGTACCAAGGTGACAAGCTTCTCTGTATCCAATGACACAAGGACAGATTCACCATTGGAGTGAGATCCCCCATTCGTAAGCTGTCCTTGTGTTGAATCTTCTGGTGGTGGTGTTGGCTGCAAGGCCGAAGTGACCCGCTTGGTGATCTGTACACAGCTCTCAATCAAGCTGAGCCAGAGTTGCTCGTCGGGTGAAAGGTCGTCCTTAGGTTGTGATTTGTGCCGTTGACGTGCATTACCGCTCTCTTGAGTGGCTTTGGTTTGTTCCTGGCATAGCCAAATACCCACACGAGTATAGTTTTGCAAAGCCTGCATAAGTTCCTCGGCACTTTCTTGAGGGTTAAGATCCACTTGTGACTGAGAGGCGGTTCCGGTCAACAGACCATGTAAGGCTGATTCAAGAGTCTCCAAGTGTCTCGTCAGTCGGTCCATGGCCTCCTTCACTTGCCCTTCTTTCGCCATCAGCATGACGGCAGCGTCAATCACACCAGTCTCTTCCATTGTAGGCAGTAGCTTCTCTAGCCTCAAGTTTGTAGCTTGGACTTTGTTCACGTATTCGGGTACATGTGATGGTTCAAACCGGCACATGAGCTGCAAATACTGCTCCACGAGATCCTGCTGAGGCGGACGCACGTTCACCATCTCCTTGTTGGGCTCCAGTATCGTCTTCAGATAAGTATACTGAAGGTCTGGCTGCTCGGAAACGGAGTCCAAGATATGGCTGTGCAACTCTGGAGCGTAAGTCTCAATGGCTTGCGCCGCTCTAGCAGAGTCGATCTGGACCAGTTTTCCAGCGTGGTCCCGGATGACCTGATGCACATCCTGTACCTGGCGGCGGGTAAGACCTGAGTGCGGTCGAAGACAAAGCTCGATGCAGTCAAAGATAGCATCGCGCTCGTTCGGGTCCTCGAAGTAGGTCAGAGTCAGTTTCCCGTACTGTTTGTCTGCTTTGTATATACGCTTGAGTATCCGATAAAATCCAGCCTCCTTGAACCGAGGTATCAAGTCGGGAAGATCTGGGGGATGATAGATGGAGAGTAAGTATTCGGCGCTGAGTTGGGCGTCCTCGGCTAGGTCATCCCCTGGATATTGACACAGCCCAATGAGGACCTTGGTAAGTGTCGATCCTGTGAAGAGAAGGTATTGCGGATATTTGGGAAGGTTTCTGGCAACGAACATGTCGAGGTAGATAGTGTCTTCCTTGGCAAAATCTGCGGGATTCATTATCTCCATCAGGATAGAGGTGATATACTGCCTGTCCACCGTTAAACCAAATATTTCTTCCTCTGGAAGATCACGACTTGGGCCACCGCCAAGCTGCTTTTCGGGTGAATCGTTCAAGAAGGAGTCTTCAAAGGCCTCGTTGAGCACACTCAGAAAGCTGGGTGCGTCAAAGTTGAGGATCATCCTCAAGTAGGGGAAGGATGGTTCTTGAGACTGTCCTGGTCGCGTAAGCAGCCTCTTGCTACTGCCCTTAGGCCAGAAGATACTTTGGCCCGAAAAGAGAAACCAGTAAAGCTCCGCTTTTGCCTTTTGAGCTATAGCATCCGGAATTTTCTCACCCGTAGGATAGGTCTTCCCGGTAAGGATAAACGACAGATATGGAAAGATTTTCAGTGCGTTTGTCTCTCTGATCTCGTTCTCCAACACGCTTGCTGTTCCATCCACATCCCCATTCTGCATCAACGGCACCAGTAAGGCCAGCAAGTCGATGAATGGGGCAAGATAGTCGTTTAGGGCCTGGTTCCACACGTATATCAATGCATCGTATAGGCTATGCGTTTTGCAGAGCGTTGTGACTTGATCGAGATCTAGAGTTGAGGTGTCCATGTGGCAGATGATGTCTTCCAGCCTGGTTTCGAGCCCGTTGCTGACGAAGTGGGTGACCAAGGCTTTCACAACTGCGGGCGGGATAGCTGTAATCGATCCATCAATGATGTATGGCTCGAGGGTTTCCAGGAAGATGCCTTCCAAACCGGCCTCTTCATACCATTCGTACATCTCATCGAAGAGAAAGTCAGTTTTCCCGGCATTTTGAGAAGCTATGAAGCAGTTTTCGGCTAGTTCCCGAAGGTGCTTATCGTCTCCCGCTTCTCGGCGTTTTGTTCTTTGCCCAAATGCGTACTTGAGAGATGCGCTCATGATCTCCATGAGCTTGTCAATGACCATAGAATGTCTTAAGGCCGTATCCTCCGGTAACCCAATGGTCAACTTGTTGGCGTCGCCCGTGTAGTAAGACGTCGCAAGTCGAATGGCACCGACATAGTCACCGCTTTCCATCAGAGCGAACAGCCGATCTGCCCAGTTAGATAGGGCACCTAACGAGACGTCGGTAAATCCAAGCAGAAAAAGCCGGCCTTTGTAAGCCTTGAAGCTCATGTAGAAGGCATCGGCAACGACGCCATGCATGGTAGGATCTTCATCGTCAAGCTGCTCGACCAGAGTGTGAAGTTGCTTGGAGAAAAGATCAACATGGTAGATGTGCTTGTGTATAAGGTCGAATGCTTCAGTCATGCGCATGGTTCGATCCTCCAGCACAATGAGCCTCTGAGTTATCGTGAGAACTGTCAAGACAGACCGGCTCAACCATTGTACAGCAACGATTGGCTCTTCACATTTCCACCGGTTTCGGGGTCTGAATCTGAGGGTTGGCGGTTTATCCTTGTTTTCTGCTGGCTCCTCTTCCACCTCAAGGACCGTGAGGACGTTTGACCAGCAGTAGACGAGCTTGACCTTGGACACGTTGCTGCCAGTAAGAGGATCCGGGACCTTCAATCTCACTGCAGGGAACCAAGCTAGACATCCTGTCATGGCACTGTGTGCGGTTACTTCCTTTGGACGCGCAGACTTATGTTGTGTTTGAGCAACAGGCGTAGTAGAAACGATGACGAGCAAGTACGGGGTGAGCATTGCCGTCAAACCCATAGTGTCCGTGGCCATGTCAACGTTTCCTAAAGGCAGAGACTGAAAGGCAAGCACAGTACTGGGCTTGAGTATCTTCCCAACAGGCGGAGGGGCGTCTGGGTACCGGCCGAGAATTCGAGTAGTCTTGACAGTCCTGCCAAATGATCCGGTACCCCGGGTAGCAAGGTGAGAGAAGGCCATCCCTCGGTCATCAGCCGACACTAGGGCTGTATGTCGGGTCCCCAGAAAGCCCAGATGTGTTATCTTGGTGTCCGGGACATGTCCGTCAGTTGATCTCTGCTGAAGCTGGGGTAGATGTGGAATACTGAGAAATGGTCGTGAAGGACGAGTGGTATCCCAAGTAAAGATATTTCCATTGGCATGTCCGCCTGCGATTGTCGTATGGTCTGCCGAAATCGCTAGAGATGTCACGGCACCTGATTCAACAGCTGGGGGACTGGTCAACAACATCAACACGCAAGGTTCAAGTGGGGGAGAGAGCGCAAACCTTTTGTTCCCGGCCCAATGATCATCTTCAGATTCTGATTAAAGTCGAACACTAGGATAACTCCTTTTGACGTTCCTAGAACAATGGAGGTGGAAACGGCTAGGCATGTGGGAGAGCCAAAATTCCTCCTCCCAGATTCGGAGAATGCTAGCCCATCCAATTTCAGTAACTTTGTCCAGCGCACAACTTCCCAAGGAGGGGAGCTTGTTTCAGTTTCGCTGGAGTCGAGTAGTAGATTGCTCGTAACGGATAGGGTCCTGCTGTGGCCTGCAAGGAATGCCGGAGAGGACGGTCGTGGGGAGAGCGTGCCAGGCGAGCCAAAGGAGGAGAACCTCCGATCAAAGGGTCGGAAGGAAGGTGTTGGGCCTCTTAACCCGGGACGGAGTGCCAAAGACGGGAGGATGTTGCTGCTACCCGGAGACGAAACGACAGAGCCCTACATGCGCCATTAGTCAGAGCAGAGACCTTCAACACCAGAACAGACATGACTAACTTGTACGGAGGGAGAGTCTCCAGAAAGCGTAGGAAAGGACTCGAGGGGGCTTGCGGCTGAGCGCAGTACTCCATCCGTAGAACCGTCCTCTGAGGTTGTCGCATCGTGTTCGGCCTCGACCAGCTCGCGGTAACGGTTCGCTATGGCACTCGGCGCAATCGGAGTGGGCGCGATTGGGGATGCCGCTGCTGGTTGCTCTTCCACTTCCTCCCCATCCTGAGCCGTAACGGTGTGTTCTCGGATGGTCTCATCGCCGCTCAAGCTCGGGTCGTCGGTTGGACCCAGGTCGGGTTCGTCGGCCATCATGTCGTCCACTGACCCCTCCTCATCCCGCCGCGGTATGTTCACGCTCATCGGGGATAGCCAGAGCAGCACATGTTTTCAGTACAGTCGGTGTATTCGTCCAAAGGGTGTGCGACCTCTACCCTCGTGGTGATCGTATACGTAGTGTTTCTAGTTGTAGTTGTAGGTGGTAGCTCCCGTCTTCCGGCTTGTATTCTTGGCGACGCAGTTGGATAATGGATCGGATGGATCTAGGCACCCACAACAACGGGATAAATTGACACTAGAGTTGTCGTGATGATTGCCAGCTCCAAGCTAAATAGACTATGGTTTGTCGGATTTCTGCGCCTTCGTTTGCCGACTAAGTAACTTCAACGGCGCAAGGCCAAATGGCGGGATATCGAGCTTCCTTGTGTTCAACTGCTGGAGCTCCAGAGCGGGACGGGAGCAAAGGCAATTACGCACGCACTGCAAGGAAGGGGAAGCTTCAGCGCTGTCAGGCCTGCCATGTGCCATCACCAACAGTGACCGGTCGTTCAGCGTGTTATCGATAAGGACTTATCCACCGCCCCACTGCCTGATCAGGGACAGGCTTGCATCATAACTTCAGCCCTGAAGGCTTGCAGACTGCAGGCGATGTTGAACTGCCTGTGACAATTTGACCGTGTTTCCATCCTCGCCCTCCCATCTCAACAACCACAACAACTTTTAGTTTCCACATCTACACTTTCAACTCTTATTCCCGACGTCATCGAATACAACTCTGTTTCATAACCCAATCCAAGACCGCGAACCATGGCATCCATTGGTCCCCAACTCCCTCCCCATCTTCAAAAGCGCAAACGCGACGACGAAGACGAAGAGTCGTCTTCTCCTCCGACCAAGATATCGCGACCAGACAACCGCGACGAAATTCCACTCGAAGGCGACGACTCCGGCGATGACTTCGGGCCCAGCGCGCCCAATCCCAATCCCTCGCACATTTCATCCAGCATTGGTCCATCTGCGCCACCGCGACCATCAATAGGCCCCACCGCTCCCACATCTTCCGCCTCTGCTCCCAAGCGTATCTACGGCCCCGCCCCTCCACCCGCCGACCTCTCCGAACGTCCCACCACGGATCCCAACTCTGACTCTGACTCCGACTCAGACGACGGCTACGGCCCCGCCCTCCCCGGCACACGACCAGCGGCAGCTGCCAACTCCTCGAATCGTGGTCCCTCCTTCCCTTCCTTCCAACAGCAACAACAACACCAAGCCGAAGAACCACAAGCCCCCAAGCGCGACGACTGGATGGTCGCCCCACCCACCAACAGCAGCTACCGCGCCCCGGACCCAACAAAGCTCAAGTCGCGCAAGTTCGCCAGCGGGCGCTCGGCTGCGACCGGCGAGAAGTCCGGAGGAGGAGTCAGCAGCATATGGACGGAGACGCCCGAAGAAAAAATCAAGCGGTTGGCGGCGGCGGTGTTGGGTCGGGAAGATCCTTCGTCTTCTTCGCACTCCTCCGCTACCGCCGCCTCTGCCTCTGTCTCAAAAACTAGTAGACCAAAAAACCTAGACGAAGAAAGAGTCCGTTCCTACACTGAACAAACGCGGGGACGGAGTCTGGTGGAGGAGCACCAGGCTGCCATTGCGGCGGGGAAGAAGAAACTGACTTCCGCAAGCTCTTCTTCTGCGTCGAAGTCCGGCCGGCCGGGGGATAAGTATGGTAAGCAGGATGTTGATGATGAAGATGACCCGAGTAAGCGGGCGTTTGATCGGGAGAAGGATATGGCGGTTGGAGGAAGGATTAGCCATACGCAGAGGAAGGATCTGTTGAATCGGGCGGCCAACTTTGGGGATAGGTTTCAGTCGGGGAAATTTCTTTGAAGGAAACCTCATACCGCTGGACTTAGGTTGGCGGGGGGGTGTCAACGGTCGAGTTGACAGGCTACTCTTGATGTGCCTCTCGGTGATACCGAGATGCGTATGATACTTGGGGTTTGCCTCACTGTGATTTTATGAGAGAAACCACTTGGGACTCCGTATGAGGCGTCGACTTTCCATAAATCATGATATATCACAAACAACATATTCACAGCACAGAAAAAAAGCCGAAACAAATGATTCATCGCATGTTCATTCCACTCAAGCCGGCTAACTTTTGCTTCATTTGACTCTTCCCTATTTCCCCAGAGTTGCCAGATGCGAATACCCATAAAAACGTGCCGTGGCCAACTTATGATCAAAATGTCCGCTCAACAATGAGGTGAGGTCTCAAATATCATCCAATGTACATGTTCACAAAAATCAAAATTCCATCCCAATAAACTCCATGCTATCCCATCCCTTCCCATCAATAACAACCAAAGCCACACGCGCCCATTCGTGGAGCACCACCTTCCGTTCCAACCGACCTTATAAGCACCGAAACCAATACATACTGCTATGCATCTTGCGCACTGACCTGCTCGCTTTGCCAGATTTGCAAACCATAACTGTTGTACGGAACGATCGTATGTAATATCCTGATCGAACTGACAGCGTCGTTCATCGTGCGTCGTCCTCTCAAATTCGTGCCCTATGTGTGAATCTAACCCGATCAATAGCTGCTACTGGAGAGCAGAGGATGCTCCTCGCAGCAACGCCATTTCTTTCTTTCGGCCGACATTACCAATACAGGTTGATAACGGATAGTGTAAACTCGAGATATGGTAGGTAAAACAGACGGATATCGGTGTGAAAATCAGCTCCGAATAGAGCGCCGTAGGAACCAAGTCTCTCAGATTCGTATCACTCGAAATTAATTCGCCGCAGGTCGGACTCCCGCTTCGAGATTAGAAGGCGTCACGGTTGGGTTGGCATTTGCGTCCGCGTTTTGCCCCCCATTGTTGCGTCGGAAATTGGGGAATGCAGCCCTAAGATTTGCAAACACGCCGCCCTCGCCACGATCCTCCGAAGCTTGAGATGAAGAGGCAGGTTGACTGAAAGCACCATTGTCCCGTCTTCGCTCACCATGACGCCTCCGAGACCCTCGTTGGTCGTTGTTAGACACCACATACACCGTCCTTGCTGGACGACTCAGGCCGAAGAAAGCATGTCTCGGTCTGTTTGGCAGGTTCATGCGATTGGATCGTGGGTCGTTGGATAAAGTGACATGGATAACGCCAGGTTGGCCATCGACTGGTTCGCCGGCTGTGCGTGGTTTAGGAGTGTAGTAGTCGGCCTTGCACAACGGACAGCATGCTCGCCTGCTCGTCAACCACGGGTCAAGGCATGCCGCGTGGAAAGCATGTCCACAAGTCAACCCACGCACGTCGTCGTCGTCTTCCAAGGTGTCAATGCAAATAGCACAGGTATCACCAGAAGTGCCCTCGCACTCCGGTGGCAATGCGGCGTCAATCGGATCCTCCTCATCTTCGCCCTCGTCATGCGAAACCCGGGCTTCCTTCGGTGGTGTCGTTGCTTCTGAGACAGAATGGGTCAAAGGCACAGTGCTGGAGGTGCTCTCCTTGGCTTCATGTTGTGGGGTCTTCGAGTCCCGGTCAACGGGTTCGGCGGTGCTTGTCGTTGGCCGGCCCTCGGTCGACATACGCTCCTTGTTCGGCAGCTCTCGAGAAATAGCGTCCGCGTCATGAATACTATTCGGTCGGCTGGGCGCTGAAACGCCACCGCTGGTGGGAAGACCATCCCGCGCTCGGCTCGCAACCCAAGTCTTGTACTTGAGCATGGGGAATTTCTCGTTGACTTCGTCTATTGTCATTAGTTTCTTCTCACGACGGCGTCGGTGCGGCCGAGGCATGGCCTCCATGTTAATCTGGTCGCCCTCCTCCGCCAGGCGCATCTGACGAGTTCGAGCATTATATCGAAAGCAGTACTTGACGCCCACAATGATCCTGCACCGCGTGTTAGTTGCCCATTTGGCAAAACATGGGGCGGCACACAGAAAACCCACCAGAGGTTGGTGAAAACGACGCCGAAGCCCAATGCCACAAAAAACAAGAGCGGCGATGACCCTCCTTTGTCATCCTTTGAATCGGTATCCCCAGATGCGGGGCTGGAAGTGGCGGGTGGAGGAAGGGTAGTGGGCGATATTGATGTTGGTGAAGTGGTTATCAGAGTAGAGCTGCCGCTTGTCGGAATTGCTGAGGCCGTCGCTGAGGCCGTCGCCGATGCTACTGCTGAGGTGAGTATCGAAGTCCCCGTCTCGGCGACCTGCCTCGCCACGGCGCGCGCCCCTTCCAATATGGCTGGATTAACGTAAACCATTTTGCCGACTGTCGACAGATGAGATGCCGATGAGATACGAGTGGCGACGAGGTACGAATTACTGTCGCAGGGTGTCCATCAGGTGGAGATTGAGTAGCGCACGCAGCCGTCACCAGTCCGTAGAGAAACCCGCTGTGTCCTAGTTTGACAAAGCTCAGAGAGCAAGGAACGGTTTGTCGAGGACAAAAGAAGGATGAGCGAAGGTCGAGGGCAAATGTTGCAAAAGCCTCTCGGAAGGCTTGGAGAAAGTGCTGAAGATGGGCTACCAGAAGCAACGTAAGCGGGTAGGACGCCCGAGTGCAGGGCTGATGTGTGAATGGTTGAATGAAAACAGTTCAAGTTGGGGCGTGACAAGCCCGGAAAGTGGAGAAGAATGACCTGCTGAGCGACAAAGCGATGAACTTGCAGAAGGTGCAGATGCAGCTGCGACTCGAGAACTGAAGTGACTTTGAAAGTGAGAGAGTGAGGTGGGAAATTGTTAAGGCTCTGTAGCGCACGGTCGCCAGGCCACAGGCGCTAAAGTGTTGGTCGTGATTGTCGAAACGGGGGATTCCTGAGATTGTTGCGCAGTGCTGGTGTCAGCATGAAGCAGCCGAATGGGGGAAAAGATACGAATTGAGGAGGGAAAGTGCTATGGTTGTACAGCGTTCAAATAGGGTCCGGGTTTGTAAGAGATTTGTGGGAACTGTAAAAACATGGAACTGCTTTCAGTGAGACTGAGGACGGGAAAGGAACGAATCCTGGTTTCATTATTCATCCATTTGACTTGGATCTACTTGCCCGGCTGCCCGGTTGCGTCGAACGAACGCATCCTCTTGTCCTCGATCCACGGTGTCAATGATAATACGATTCCACGCAGCCTAGAGTGAGAGTTTACCCTCCTCACAATCGCTCTCACTCATCATGGGCATGACACAGCAAAGCCACAGTGACCGGGGCTGGGAAGGGGACATTGGGGGATCGGGGTTGGATGGCTTTTTCCCCTTGGTCACAAAGGGTCGCTCTCGTCGGCAACGAGGGAGGGGGGTCGAGCCGTCGAGGGTCTTCCACCCCCGGAAGAGACGGACGGGATTGGCGGAGTCTCTGGAAAAGCTAGGAAAACAGGGCAAAAGGCCAGCAACGAGTCGGCAGGGATGGCCTCACCTTTCATGTCAGCCTGGCTCGAGCTTGGATTTGATTCAAGTTGGATGACTTGACAAGCCCAAGCGACTGAGGCACTGCAATGATGTTGCAGGGTACGGGATGACGCACTTCCGTCTTTGTCTTTGACAGGATGCATTCACCGTTCACGTGGAAGGGCTACATATTATCGCATATCTACAGCCATTTTCAATTGCAAAGTTCATGAAGTTGCTCTGTCTCAAGAGTTTCGCTTGCAGACCTCCACGCTATTTCCGGCCATGTGCCCTGGTGCAGAGTTGCAGACGTGCTAAATTCTGGGGTACTTTGCGTCCATCCCCGCCTAGAGGTACGCTACCCCAAGATCTTGGCACGGCAGCGGCTGCATCTCTCTTCTCGGATCCGATCCCATTTTCATCATCTCCCGTCTGTATCATCCCGTTCGAGGATGGTTGTTCGGACACTTGCCATTTGGCTTGTAGCATCATCCCGGGGAATACTATCGTCGATACCCCAAAAGGCAAATTCCCTGTTCGGTTACGAAGCATGAGGTTTCTGATTCTATCGAGGTGTTGCATGCCAAAACTGGTTGCAAAGACCTTCCAGACCACAGCGACACTTCCAACGTGATCAATTTCCCCCTCTGAACTTCACAATTACATAGGCCTCGCACGGCGTCATATAAGCGCGAGGATACCCTTGAGACCATCTGCTTTTTGCGGCTAGGTAACGTAAAATCTAAACCTGAAACTCTTCAAAAAGGCGACTCCATCGCCTAACCCCCGTTGGGAGATGTTCAAGGACCTTTGAGATGCACATCACTTTCGGCTATCTCCGTAGAGGTAAAATAAGGTTGTCCTTGTCTTCCCTTTGAATCAAGATGCGGAAAGCAAGGCTAAATACAGCCCTATCACACACTGACCTGGACGAACTGCTTAGAGTTACTCCGAGCGCCTATTTGAGTGGCACCTGCTTGCCTTGATAATCTGATGGAGGCTGGAAGGCGACAACGAAAAGGGCTTGATTGTAGTTGTCTAACGGAAGAGGAGAAACGGAAACCAGGGCAGCCTAAATACCTGGAAGGGAGTGCCGGTAATGGAACGGCCCAGTGAATGGGCAAAGCCGGTGAATGGGCGGCCCAGGGCACGGACTTCCAACATAATCACACTCGCGGCAGAAACACAATTCATCGAATAACACCTCTTATGCTTGAACGAAGAACAACTCCTTCTTGAAAGAAATCCCTTGGACACAACCGCTTCGTCCCCTAGACCGTTCCCGTCCCGCATGCTGGCCTCAAAAACAACCCGGGCTCACGGGAACAACAAGCAGTTGACAAAAAGCGAATAAAAATACTTGGAACTCGTTCCCATCTTTCCAAGAATCGTAACGATTGTCGTCCAGACTCCGTGTTTTCTCCGACCGATCAAAATACGGACGGGTTCCTCGGAACTGAATACCAGCCGGCACAACGAGATCTCCGATCCTGCGCAGTTCATCAAGATCCCCATATTCGTCCATCTGTCTATCTTAACCCCGCAACGCGCTAGAAAATACAACCAAGACCAGCCCAGTATCCCCCTCCCGTCCTTCGGGGTCTTTCTGGGCAGCTGGGCAATGGCTAAGCCTCCTTCGGCCTCTCGCAACGACGCGTGGGACAGGGTTCTTGGCTGCGTCTTAGCACTGTTGTGAGCAGGCCATGCGGACAACTTGATGGTGGTGATAACGCGGGCTGAGGCGGGTTCCAGGTTTTGGTAAAGAAAAAAAAGAAGAGGCAAAGGAGAAGGGACATTGTGAAAACGTGGGGAGGAGCCAAAAAAGACAAAAAGAAGATTTTGATGTGATCCGACTGAGGCTCGATCTCAGGACCTTCAGTGTGTTAGACTGACGTGATAACCAACTACACCATCGGACCAATTGATGTCACTTGTTAGTGAGTCCGATCATTATAAGACGCTAGTGGCTATCTTTGTCGGGTCTTCAAATTTCGAACTGTCTACAGTCCGATACTGGTTTGTTTGTTAGCTCGAGACCTCTGGTCGACTTGTCCAGGCGTTTCAACAACAAGTTGATGTGTTTTCTTCGATAATAGGGGCTTAAAATTAGCATGAATATGTCAAATCAGATACTGATAATCTGTTTTTGACTATGATTTATGCATTTTAAAGTACCATTGCGGCGTTCAGGATGGGTTAGCATGTGTCTTACTCGGGGTACAGAGCTAACAAATAAACCAGTATTGGACTATACACTCGTTACGCATCAGAGGTTGAGAAACTACAGTATGTATAAAAACTCAGATTTTGCCTGCTACTGAGAGGCATATTTGCTGATGATACTATGGGAGATCGTGCACAACGGTAAGGCATAGAAAACGGAATGCACCAGAAAGCCGACACACAGCCTCCTCTGTATTCAGCATCACGGAGTTCACGCGAGTATAGCAGCGCGAGTGAGGCAAGAGCCACAAGTATACACAAAGATAACGATGGGTTTGTTTTCCCAAGTCTCAAGAATCGAATCATCTAATAGCATGCTTCGGGAGGTTGTACTTGCAGCGTACAATGACGTGCCCAACCACACCTTGAGCCTGGTTCGTCATCTGGTCCCCTGACCGGAGAGCATTCACTTCTCCAAGGTAAAGTAGACTTTGACCTCCACTTCGTTCGACCAGCCCGCATCGAGACCCATCTCTTTCCATGCGGTTTCAATGTCAATATCGAGGACATGGTTATCCGTCTTGTCGACAGTTACCGTATGGGGCGGGATAGGTTGGCCTTGAATCGTGGCCATAAACTCGTCCTGGATGGATAGCTCCGGAAGATGGGAGATGTAGATGCCTAAGCGCGGTAAAATGTTAGTCACGTTCAAGGTTTCAGTAAGTCATTCCAGGGATTCTCACCAAGTACACCCAAGGCCTTCAGCCTGGTGCTAATGAACAACCGTCCGTTTTCGAGCAGGTCGGTGCTGTGGTTCAACATGGCAGCGCATCCGGTCATCTTTCCCACCAGCCCCAGGCTTGCCACATATACGCGACCTCGGGTTTCAGTTTCGTAGAGGGACAAGGGAATGACGGAAAGAATATCGTAGCCGCCATTGTCGAGAGTTACCGTCAACAGAGATGCGGACGACGTCGTCTGAACCGGCACGGTCACCTTTCCACTCTGGTGAGAGCGTACCACGTACCACATCGATGGCAGGACGCCCGAAAACCGGGCGAGAGGAACTAATTCTGTGAGCGGACGGCCCGATACGTTGAATATGCCCATGATCGGAGTGCCCGTGACGGCCCTGCCATTGTAAGCGCTAATTTTAAGCAAAGAAAGATCATCGTAGTTGACATATTGGTCAAGGTTACGACCCAGAACGCTGGGACGGAAAATGACGGTTCTGTCCCGTGGCGTGACACCAGTCATTTGCTTGATCAAATCGAGATCGTACTGGCCGGGAACGTCGGTGATATAGATGGGACCGCCGCTCACACAGCGCGCTGCAGCGTGAAAGCCGGCATATGCGCCAGCGGTTTGGAACATGTCCCAATCTGGGAGGATGTTGAGATGCTGGGTAAGCAAGCTGTTGTGGGCATTCGCCCAGACATGCCAGGGGTGAGAAGATGGCACTTCGGGGAAAAAGTCATCCGAGTTCCTGCAGAGCATCGTGGGTCGTCCCCGAGGAAGTTGTGTATGGAAGATGATCTGCGGAGTCAGGGACATGCAAGAGATGGCTCTCCCGCTGAAGTGCCGAAGAGAGGCGAGTAACCAGTTATCCAGGTACGGTTGGATAAGCTCGCGCCGGACCTTTGGCGATACCCAAGTGTCGACCATGAACTGCCCATCAGTCTTGACTCCTGCCACACCACTCTCGGAGAGGAAGCGATAGAAGTCATCGTAGAACTTGTGGACATCCTCCTTCGCAATGACTGTCATCTTGCCGCCAAGGGGTATGTTCTTACGTGAGCTATCTTCGCCACGCACAACCTCGATTGTCCTGTAGCGTTTGGCAAGATTACCATCGGGCGCTATGCCGGCCCAATACCCTAGAAGGGCATGCCACACGGCAACATGCTCGATATTCTTGTGCTTGGATCGTATTTCGGAGACCAGCCCTTTGAGACCGTTTGGAAAGGCCCTAGGTTCAGCCTCGAAATCATTCCAACCTTGCTGCCACTGATCTCCACGGTAATCAATATCTTGCCAGTTGTCATCGATGATCAAGTTGCTGATGTTGATGTTGTTATCGGCCAGAGCATCTACTGCCATGATAACCTTTTCCGCCGTCAACCTTTGGCCAAGGGCGTTCCACGTGCCTACGTACACCTGTTAGATTTGCATCATGAACATGTTGACAACTTTCACACTCACAGTAACCCAATCCGTCATACCAGTTCTCGTACCAGTTAGCCTCGACATTGTCACTAAGCGTCTCCAGCTCCGTAGAAGACTCGCCAGCTCTTTCGGCCGTGCTGACGAGGCCGCGAGCGTGGTACATGACAGCAGCGTTTGCACTCTCAAAGTTGTCGCCAACTGCTACTAAAACAGTACCGCTACCGGCTTCCACGCTATCGTTCCGAACCTGGCCGTCAAGGTTAGTCGTGATGGGTGCACATTTGTCTTGTGATTAATAGCCTACATGGATGGTCAACCGTCCAGATTCGTCGCTGCGAAACAGGGTCATGCCATCGACGGCTTTGTTGATACCGGCGAAGCCCAGAAAGACCAAGTGTTTACCCTTTGGAGAGAGAAACGAGCAAAGAAGTGCATCTTTATCGAGTTCAACAGTTGATCTTCCCTGTCTCGGAGCGAGCCAAGGAGACCAGTCTCTGACCAAAGCGAACCACCTGTCGCCGCTCTGATCAGCACCCGGACAATTTTCCAAACACCGGCTCTCGCAGGAGCCCCAAGTTCCTTACCTTAGAAACCCTCCCCAAGGAGTTCCGAGCGGAACGTCGCTGAAAGTCGAGTTATCGTCGTCTTTAGCCCCGTCAACGGGAACCCCAATGGTCCAGAGTCGAGTTCCGGGACATTGACTTAGATGAGAACTCCATTTGAGAGATGGGTTCAAGCCGTGAATCAGGTCTGGCAAGTCCTCGCCATCACTCCTTTCTATCGCTCCATCATCCACCACAATGTAGCCATCACCTAGACCCTGCTCGTTACGGACCCATCTCCAATCATAGTCAGGTCCCTGGCGGAACTTGATGGTGAAACTCAACGATGACTGCACGGTTAGATGGGCAGCAAAGTGTAGGCGTGTTAGCTGATCCGCAGGGTCGTGCAGGGTCGACGGGAAGTTACTCTGCCCACTTGGAGCGAAGGGAGTCTCGACCCAGCTTGCCTTGGGACCATCGCAGCTGCCAGTGGAATGCCAGAGCGCGAGCTGCCACGAGTCAGCAGCAAGGGATTTGGGGACCTCTAACACAGCATGAAAGGGCACACTGGCATCCTTTAACTGGGTGATCTGCTCCAGAGGCGGATAGGTTGCGACGAAAGGAGACATCAGGACGAGACCTGTTGGTGACCAGGCGATATGCCCGATGTCGGTCGTAGCGGTGGGATCGAGGAGATATCAAGAGTGACAGACACGGTGACGAGGCCGGACGACTAGGAGATATAATACAATGTATTGGGGGTAAGGGGCAACACGGAGGGGGGATGTTGCTGGGAATGATGATATGCCTGTGAAGAAATAGGTGGTCCCTGTTCAGGGTCTCAGTGTAAGAAAAAGACCAAGGAAAAGGAAGAAGCCAAATGCCAGCGCAGAGTAAATGTAGGTAGGCGTGAGCTCCTTGAGAGAGAAGCCAGAATCTATCGGAGTCTGCTAGGGCTATTTGCAGCTCTCCGATCGATGGCACTAACGCCCAAGTAGTGCCATACGCTACTACGGTACAAAGCTCGAGAGAAGAACCATTCCCAACTGCGCGTGAGGACATAGGGGATGGAGATAAGTGCGAGGAAAATTCAGTTCGGAATTGCTAAAAGTCAGGTCGGAATGTTTGCGGATCATTCCAATCTAGGGAGGTAGTAAGTAGCTTGAGTAGAGCAATTATACACAGTACTGGTGGTGGTACAAGCAGTTGCAGTCCGCTCGATCATGATGGGATGAGATTGGATGATATGAGAAGAGGGATAGGGAAGGAAGGTGAAGAACAATACCCATACGACATGCATGATGCTTCGGCTCCCGCCATGTACTTCCCGAACTTCAGATTGGGTCTGACTGGAGAGGGCATACAGTCCAATGCTGGTTTGTTTGTTAGCTTGGTACTCCTGGTATATTGAAATTTTTTCTCAAAGATCGACGATCCAGTGGCACTATCGCTTGAGCTGTAGAGGTATGTATAGTTCAACCCTGGTTTGTTTGTTAGCGTGGTTCCTGCGACAGAGTTGCGAAGAGTGCGTAGTGAAGTCCCGCGCTAACAAACAAACCAGGGTTGATGTATACTGCAAGTGCAAGTGCACAAGTTTTATGTACAGTCCAATACTGGTTTGATTCTTAGCTCAAGACCTCGGATCAACTTTCTTAGGTGTTTTTATATCTAATTGATCCGTCTGATTCCATGATTCAAGCGTAATCTTACCTTGAATATACTTTTTCCGAAGTTCAATATGTCATATTGAATCTTGTTAATGCCTTTTCGATCCGTGCTTAGCCATTCAATTTGCAGAGAACTCTAGATAAACAGCCCTACCGGACGCAGGCTATCTCCTAGGTACAACTACACAGTACCTGTCATTGTGCTCTGTGAAATGCAACCTCGAACTCGACAGGTGTGAGCGCTAGACTTGGCGATGACATGGAACCAAGGTCGATGTGACGGGAGCGAGCTAGGCCAGGTGAGCTGCACTGGTGAAGCTTCGGAGCACGGAGCACGGAGCTGTTGCTGGCTGGAACCCTTGAATGGATGTTTCGCTTGTCGTGGGGAGGGGAAGCTCTGACGTGAAGCCCAGCAGCTTCCCGTCGCCCAGCTACGTCGCTGGCAGTTTGGCCGTGTTGGCGGCTCCATTGCTGTGGAGAGGGGCCGAGTCGCATTGTGAGAACGAATACCAATGGCTGAATTCCAGTTTCCAAGCCAAGAACCCGGCCGGCACTGCACGTGATTTCAGTTTTTCGAGCTTTCCAAGACTGGAGCCGTTCTTTGGTTGGCCCGAGCCCCGGGGGTTCCCGAGCTGGCCTTGGAAGTGAGGCAAAATTAACGACTTTTTTGATGTGAGCAGCTAGAGGTCCTCACTGTAGCATCCTTTCCTTCAAACCGCTCATTCCACCCCCCTTCAAACCACCGACCTCCATGGCTTCCCGGAGACTAGCTCTCAACCTGGCGCAGGGCGTCAAGGCCCGCGCTGGGGGTGTTATCAACCCTTTCCGCAGAGGTCTTGCTACTCCTCACACCGGCTCCGGCATCAAGACCCAGACCACCACCCTCAAGAATGGCTTGACCGTGAGGACGCCCGCCCTCCCCTCCCCCGGCATCCGAGCCCGACTCCGAGCCCCCCTCCGGCCCGATTGACCCCCTCCCCGGCTGCTGCCCCGGAACTCAAGACACCTCCAGACTTGTCCTAACGTCAATTGCTATCACAGGTTGCTTCCCAGTACTCTCCCTACGCCCAGACCTCCACGGTTGGCATGTGGATCGATGCCGGTTCCAGGGCCGAGACCGACGAGACCAATGGCACCGCCCACTTCCTCGAGCACCTTGCCTTCAAGGTACGCCCCCGATGTTACGCGTTACGAGTCCTCTCCCCGGGCTGTGGTTAGCTTTGATATGGCGCGTTGGGCTGTAGGATCGGTGGATCGTATGAGAGGGCATCTGGTTAATTCGACGACGACACGCAGGGAACGACGAAGCGCACTCAGCAGCAGTTGGAGCTCGAGATTGAGAACATGGGCGCTCACCTCAACGCCTACACCTCGGTTCGTCTGATCTTGTCGTCCGGCTCATCCGCCGCCCGCTAACCCCCGGGCACAGCGCGAGAACACTGTCTACTTCGCCAAGGCCCTCAACGAGGACGTCCCCAAGTGCGTCGACATTCTCCAGGATATTCTCCAGAACTCCAAGCTCGAGGAGTCCGCCATCGAGCGCGAGCGCGACGTCATTCTTCGCGAGTCGGAGGAGGTTGAGAAGCAGCTCGAGGAGGTTGTCTTCGACCACCTCCACGCTACCGCCTACCAGCACCAGCCCCTCGGCCGCACCATCCTCGGCCCCCGTGAGAACATCCGTGACATCACCCGTACCGAGCTCGTGAACTACATCAAGAACAACTACACCGCCGACCGCATGGTTCTCGTTGGCGCCGGTGGCGTCCCCCACGAGCAGCTCGTCGAGATGGCCGACAAGTACTTCTCCAAGCTCCCTGCTACCGCCCCCGTGACCAGCGCTTCTATCCTCTCCAAGAAGAAGCCCGACTTCATCGGCTCTGATATCCGTATCCGCGACGATACCATCCCCACCGCCAACATTGCTATCGCCGTTGAGGGTGTCAGCTGGTCCGACGACGACTACTTCACTGCCCTCGTTACCCAGGCCATCGTTGGCAACTACGACAAGGCTCTTGGCAACGCTCCCCACCAGGGCAGCAAGCTCAGCGGCTTTGTCCACAAGCACGACATCGCTAACAGCTTCATGAGCTTCTCTACCAGCTACAGCGACACTGGGTAAGCACGCCCAGCTTTGGGAGATTTTTTTTTTTGAGGTACAACTACTGACACGGGGAAACTACAGTCTCTGGGGTATCTACCTTGTCTCTGACAAGCTCGACCGCGTCGACGACCTTGTCCACTTCGCCCTCCGCGAGTGGACCCGTCTCTGCTCCAACGTTACCGAGGCCGAGGTTGAGCGCGCGAAGGCCCAGCTCAAGGCCTCCATCCTCCTCTCCCTTGACGGCACCACCGCCGTCGCTGAGGATATTGGTCGCCAGATCGTTACCACCGGCCGCCGCATGAGCCCCGGTGAGATCGAGCGCATCATTGATGCCGTTTCCGCCAAGGACGTTATGGATTTCGCCAACAAGAAGATCTGGGATCAGGATATTGCTATCAGCGCGGTCGGCAGCATCGAGGGTCTGTTCGACTATGCCCGCATCAGGGCTGATATGAGCAGGAACGGTTTCTAAGCGATGGGGAGCAAGAAGGGGGCCGGGGTTTGTATTATAATCGGTGTTGCATTCCAGCCCAAAACCTGTACTCTAGGGTCGGAGGCTAGACATAGAGCAATCAATTTCCTTGCGTACAAGTCTTACGGTACAGGTTCGGTCGGTTACCAGGGTCGCAAAATGGTTATGTTGCGGGGCGAGAAAAGAGAGGGAGCTAGAGGCCAGGATTACCACTTCGATTACGGATTTCTGGCATGGTTTGCGAATCTTTGACGACATTGTGCTCCACTGGATTATGCCAGGCGAGAGAGCTTGAGTAGGACAAGATGAGGATGAATGATGAGAGACTTGCCACGACGCTGGAGTTGGACGAGACCGCATCCAGGGCTTTTCGCAACGTTCACCTGCATCAAAAATCTGTGATGGTGGTATCCGAAGGGTTACCATGAGCCGATTTCTAAATCGCAGTCTGGGCCTGACGCAACAAGGTGTCGGGTGTGTTGACAAAGCAGCATACAGACATAGAAAGGCACCTTGTAACATGAAGATTATGCTGTAATGCCTGCCTTGCTGGGAATCTCTGCGCGGGCTGGGCTTCGGAAGGTGGCACAGACCAACCGGAGTCGGGAGTTGGGGTCACGGTACGGACCTGAGACAGATCAGGTCCGGGGTACGTACTCGCTTCGCTAGCTAGAGGCGCACCCGGCCTTATCGTGTTGGTGGCGATCAATTTTAGCGCAGGTGGGTGCGGTGCGCACGGGGCAACAAAGCCTTTCAGCCAAACGGCAATCGAACTTTGGCACTTTAACGTGACGTCCAGTGCAAACTCGGGCCGGTGACCATCTGAGTACCGCCCTTGTCCTGCTACGCCTTGTCTTGATCTGACCTCCCCGTTTGACCCTTTCCTATTTGCAGATCCCTCCCCCGAACCCATTCCTCCCGGTTGTTCGGTTGCTGCACCCTCTTTTCGACTCGCCGTCTGCGAAGCGAACTTGCGCCGGTCGGAGGCGGCATATATCCATCAGCTGCGACCCAGTACCCTTCAACCTCAACTCAACATCGAATTCTCTTTATCGCCATCATGATTCCCCAGTCCGTCCGACGGGTCGTGGCTGCCGCGCCGCAGTCGCCCGCCGTCTCCTCTCTGGCAGCCTGTTCCGCCCCTCGCGCCGGCGCCTCCTATATGCTCTCGTCCTACCAGCCCAATTCCCTGCAAAAGCGACGATACTCCTCCTCCAAGTCGTCTAGCCCCGATGACGGTTCCTCCAGGGCCTTCGCTACCCGCGCCTCTGTGCCCGCCGCCGGCACCTCCAAGACTCCTGGAGAGAAGCGCAAGCGCAAGGCGAAGGAGCCGGCCATGCCGCCACTCCCCAGTGTGCCCAGCACCAGGCACATCAAGGACGAGGGTTCGTTTATCCGCGCCTTTTGTTGCACAGGTTTGGAATCAAGTTACTAACAAGCTGTTCTAGCTCTCGCGCTTTCGACCTTCTTCGCCCTCCACAGGCCCATCTCAGTTACTCAGCTTCTTCCCAAGACGGTAACCGAGGAGTCATTCGCCGAGATCTTCAACTACCGCAAGGGACACAAGGCGACCGATGTCCTCTCGACCTTGTCGCAGGCCGTACACGATCTCGAGTCGCCCATGTCTGGGCTTAAGCTCTCCGATAACGACGTCGAAGACGGCTCTACCAAGATCAGCCTCAAGCACCCCGACGGCACCGAGTCCGATGTCTACTTCCAGCTAAACTCCATGTCCGGCCACTTCCCTCCCTTCACCCCTCCTCCGCCGCCCGAGCCCATCGCCGAGGTTGACGAGGCCGCCGCGGAGGCTGAGGACCTGGAGATTGCTGCTAAGGAGATTGCTGCTATCGCTGAGCTTGCTGCCGCCGCCGCCGAGCAGGAGCCGGAAACGCGCGTGTACAAGGCGGTCGTCACGATCGAGGAGACGAGGGATACCAACGGCCAGTACAACATCATGGCGCACAGCCCACAACTCGTCGAGGACGATGCCGTGCAGCCGCGCAGCTTCCTGGAGCGTCTCGCTTTGCGCCAGATCCGCTACGAGGATGCTCGTCAGCAGCAGGGGATCATGCATGCTATTAGCGTGCGTAGGCAAAAGAAGCTGAAGATCAAGAAAAAGAAGTACAAGAAGCTCATGCGCAGGACAAGAAACGAGCGTCGCAAGCAGGATAGACTCTAAACTACACAGAAGTACATCCAGCTGGTAGATGCTCTTTTTCTTTTTCTATACCTCACTTGCAATGTAAAATATCCTCTCCACATACTCGCACTCACACTGTCCCACCATCAGGTGCCTCGTCACCCAGTGATCAGTGCGCATTGTTTGAAAGCTTCATGGATTCACTTGCTCAGCTTCTTTTACGGGGAGGTTTCGTCTGCCGCTTGGTTGATTTTCTTTTGGTCTCAGCATATTCGAACATTAGAGGGAAGAGGAGAGGCAAGCTCAGTAGGTCAAGTAGTATCAGTAGTAAGTAGCAGAAGAGGACGATATCCCAACAAGAATACGCTCACAGGTTCCGTGTAACACCTTTGGTTTGTGTTGACCACAATGATGTATCAGCATGTAGGCATTTCCTGTCTCCCCTAGCCAGTTGCTCTTCAAGCACCAGTGCGTCCTCGCTTGTCATGGGTCACCTCCAAATGACATATTCCGGGTTTTTATCACCATGAAAGACTGGCATTCATTCCTTCCATTGAGACACTAGAAGCCCCAGTAAGAACCGTGCTGTACTCTCGATCATTTACACATAGACTTGGCCAACTATCCAGTGGTCAACCATCCACCCACATTCTCTCACAGAATTATTCCAACCCCTCAAGCAGTACTCTTCCTCAAAAACTCCAACCACTGCTCCACCGTCCAACTAGAACTAACATCCCCGGCAACCACCCCATCAAAAATAACCGTCGGACTCACATGCACGCCCACCAACCTCGCCATCTTGATCACCGTCTTCAAATCATTCGTCACACCATTCCCCACATTCAAACTCCCATCCTCTCCCTTCTCCGTCGGAATCACCAACAGCTCATACAGTTCCTTCTCATCAACCCCGACACTCTCCGCCCCCAACTTAGCCAGCCGCTTGTACGTCTCGTTGCGCGGCTCGTTCACCAGCGAAACGTCAAAATAAGCCTTTTGGTCTTTGAACAAGGCCGCGGAGAAGTCCCAGAATTTGGTGGGGGCTAGACGTTGAACGGCGAGGCCGGCTTCGTGGGTTAGGGTGGAGGAAGGATGCCAGGGTTGGATTTGGTGGCGGAAGATGAATTGGAGTTTGGAGCCGAGGTCGGGGTGCTCGGAGCGGAGAGAGGGGAGGAGGGTGGTGTAGAGGGTGTTGTAGATTTCTGGTTTTGTGGGATGGGTGGGATCAGTAAATCGTGTCTGGGAAGGGTACGTACGTATTGTATGATGGATGGGTTGGTGAACTGAGTGGGTAGGTAGGTAGGTGCTTACTAGCTGAGAAAGGACAGACGTAGTCGAGGAAGATCTCGACGGTGTGGAGGGGCTGGGAAGGAAAAGAGCTGGCGCCGGCTCCTGCGGTGGGGATGAAGCGCTGGCCGGCGAACTTGGGGGGGAGAGCCATTGTGATGGGAAGTGATGAGAGTGCGGATTTGGTGGTGATGGTATAGTGCGAGTGGGTGAAGGTTATCGATAAAGTCACTACAAGTGGACAAGTGGGAGTTCTGAACGACGATGATGATGGTGAAGCTGTGGAAGTTCTGAGAAGTGGACGACTGTCTTTTAAGAAGGGCACTTCAGTTGGACGCAGAGAAGGAGAGGATGATCTCTAGCAGAATGGATTTGGAATTATTTGGTATCGAATTGGCCAAGGACCAACGAGCAATGGCCGAAACAGGGGAGTTGCTGAGAGACACCTCTACGGCTGGGGAGGAGTCGCGAGCGGGGCATGGGTAGAGTAAGCAATGCAGTTAGGGGTAGCTACCGTAGTTGCGTAGATAGCTGCTTGTAGCTCAAAAAGTCGTCTGAATGAGAAGACATTTACTTCACAAACTCTTAGTGACATCGAACTGCTTCGACATCGACCAAAAGCCTATGGTCGATAGCATGTCTGGTATTCTTAGCTAAATATGCCTTTCAACTAGGTATCGACAACGTTTGAAACACTCGACAAGAGGTCCCACACTAACAAGCTTCTCAAGTCATATACCTCAACGAGGGGCATTCTTGCACCACCCAGCCTTACAAATCACAACATCCGGTCCGTTTCCTTCCTTCTCTTCCTAATCTGATGGACATTTCACAATTCCAAATCCTAAACTTCCCCATTCCAAATTTCCAAACAACCAACAGTTCCAAAACGAGGACCGAGGACCGAAGAGCACATCAATATCATTTACATACCCAGTCTCCCAGTTCGTCCCACATCATCCAACACCAACCACGCCACACCGAGCACACATCACAAACTAACCGAAGCAACTGATCAAAGTATATTAAAGAGGTTGACAAATTCGATCTTTTGCCCCGTTCATGGCCGTGTAACAAACGACCGGAGTAAAAGCACCGTGGTTTGTAACCCTACTCAGGTCCTGTAAAAGTTCGGTCGTGATTTGGAACTGCCCTTGCCCACCTGATATCAGTATCAAAATCAAATCGTTGTTGCACCAGACATACGGTACATCTTTATAAGGCCATGCTCGCGAGCCTGTCCATAGTTCTAGATCTTTCATGATTATCGCAGAAAATTTCCACAAACAGACCTCCAAGGGAATGTCACTTGTCCTACATATGTCCTTGTCACAGGCCGGGACAGCGTTGCTGGTACACGGCGTTTGAAATAAGGCAGAAGGTTATACAAGATTAACCCCATGGGGATTGGGGACTGGGGATGGGAAATGGGAAATGGGACGTTCTGGATCCTGTGTGCCCTCGTCGCTCGTCTGGGCTAGAAGCGCCGAGTATTGGCTCCTGTTGCTTTGTACTTGGTCAAATCTCGAATCTTCCTGCCGTTAACGATCTAAAATGCTTTGGCTGGCAGGAAAGAACACTCGTGTTTGACCCTAGGATCATGTGTCAAGGGGATGTCTGAGACTGCTCTCCTAGACAAAATTGTCAAGTCGGGAGCATACATTCAGTTCACGGCGCCAGGTTAGGATAAACCATTCATCCGAGAAATTTGTGGTCTGATTCACATCTGTCAATATCAGCTTCACCTTGCTCACGGGATCATGTAGGTTGCTTTGATTCGGGGAATATCGTAAATCCCAGGTAGAAGGCATAGTAAAGACGAGTTGATATGTAGAAGAGTATGCGAATGTGTCTTATACGAGGCCTGTTCGGTGGTATATCCTTGCAACCTCATGATTGTGGGCATGGTCATGTAACCAACTTGAAAACGTGGGGACCAAAAATTCTTATGTTCTTCTTCAACTTCGCAAGCAGTGAACTCCAGTGCAAACGCAAGCATGATATGTCCACAAAATCGAGAACCATGGTGTAAGAGAAGCTACTTGGCTGCTTCTAAAGCAATCGTCCGCAGTCCACAAAAATCCTCCCAAACTCCACAACACCACTGCGATAAACACTCGAAGAGAAGCTAAGTAGCAAGGACAAGACATAAACGCAATATCACAACTTTTATCACAGAGAAGACAACAAATGGGAATGAAAATCAACGGGCAACAAACACCATACTGAGGTTATGCCCAATTCCTCAACATTTTATTATCAGTGACACCGGCTTTCATGATCTGGTAGGATCGTCGCCGACTCTCAGGTCGGCTTTTGAAAGCATCCTCGGTTCACTCCAGCCACCCGCCGCGCTCATTGCATTTACTTCCTGCTCCTCCTTTGCTTCTTCGCAGGAGGTGCTGGCGCAGCCTCGGCTTCTGAATCGGACTCTTCAAGTTCGCTGGCACCTTCGATGTCGAGGTCGGATCCTTCCTCTCCATCTTCGCCATCAGAGCCCTCTTCCTCGTCTTCCTCTTCCTCATCGCTCGACGCGTCCAGGGGTATCATATCTTCAGCAGTGCTCTTCTCCTCGCCCTTCTCCTCAGCCGCCTCTTCGACCTCAGAGTCGCTGTCACTGTCGAAGCCGGCAAAGTTCTCAAGGTCATCCTCCTTGGCATCCTCTCCTGCAGAAGCGGGAGTGGTGGCAGTGGTGGCAGGCGCGCTCTCGTTCTCGTCACGTTTCCGCTTCTTGGACATTTCACCGTAGCGACCTTCGCGGCCCTCCATGGTATCAGTCTCACCCTCCTCCTTTTCGGGGGCAGGCGTGAACCAAGGGATCTTGCCGCGCATGAAGTCGTTGAGAACCATCTTGGCAACACCATCAACATCAGGCTCGCCACCCTTGAGGAGTCTGCCGCCCTTCCTGGCAAGCATCTCAAGGAAATGGATGTGATCCTTCCAACCCTTGAGCTCGTATGTCCTCTCCATGTGGTGAGGCTTGACCTTGTTCAACACCGCAGGGATGTACTGCTCTGGGTTATCGACGTTTTCTACACGTACGACACCACGAAGCAGGAGATCCTGTGGTGTATCGTTCTGGTTGGGAGGAACGATACCAGGGCAGTCGATGAGGTAGATCCTCCTCATCAAGGTAACGTACTGCCACACCTTGGTCTCACCGGGAATAGGGGCAACCTTAGTGACGGCCTTGCCACGAAGGGCATTGATGATACTCGACTTGCCGACGTTGGGGTAGCCGACAAGACCAACACTGATCTGTTTCCTGTCCTTGTGGAGGATGCTGAACTGTCTGAGGAGATCGATCAAAGAACCACGACCGAAGGGGTTCTTGATGCTAGATCTCATAGCACATGTGGGGTGATCCTTCTGAAGCACGCGAATCCATGCAGCCTATTCTTTCAGTTAGTCTCAATTCGTTGAGAAACTAGCACACAAGATGTGGTGTGAAGAAATGTGTGAATCATAACTAAGAAGACCACCATGGTAGGGTCTGCTCAAAGGCAGGGTGGAATTCAACTCAAACGAAACACGTCCGGTATCCCGTGAAGTCCTCCAAGACGGAGTCCATCAAATCCCCGATCCCAAGACGGGACCAGGGAAGTTGGGAGGTGGATATCAATCTCCCAGCGATGTAACAGACCAATCCCAATGAGCGCAAGTGAATGCGGGAAAAATCCTGACAAAATCCCTGGGAACCTCAAGATTTGCGCTAGGCAAGTCGAGAGATTCAAGAAAAAGGAGTGAAAGCAAATGGTGACGTAAACTTACAGCAGTCTTGGAAGGAACAAGATCGATCTTGTTCAGCACGAAGATAAGGTGCTTGTGAGGGGCCTCAGTGGCAAGGTATTTCTCAACGTGACGACACCTGGTTCCCTCAGGATCTCTGGCATCGATAACGTGCAGGATGACATCTGACGAATCAATGACCTTGTCTGTGTGATTGTTAGCAAACCGAAGTCACAAGTCCAGAGGCACAGAAGAACTTACACAGCTCGTTCCAGATACGCTTCGACTGGCCCTTTGTGAAGATGGCCTCCTTGGCCGTCGCGACACTGAAAACCTCTTCTTGAACATCGTCATCGGCGAGACCACCGCCATATCCAGAAGCACCACTTAGTAGCTTGATCTCCTCAAGTCTGGCCTGGTACGAGTCCATGCTCTTCTCCTGGTGTTCTGTCAAGTCACCGATGGTGTTGAAGCTGAGTTTTGGCCTCTTCCTCTGGGCCTTGGGGCCGAAGGTCTGTGAAAACGGCTCGCTCTCGATCGTCATCTTGGCTTGATGCTTCTTCAACGCATCCTTGGGACCATCTCTGATCAAGCTCATGGGGAGCTTGTTGCTCTTCAACAGCACCGCTACAAGGCAAAGCGCATTAGTCTTGGGTCGGCCGGACAGAGGGGAAAGAAAGAGGGAGTTGAACGTACAGTAAGGATCCTTGTCCTTCTCAGCAATCGCCTCCCGGAAAGATGTCAACGTGTCTTGCGAAATGACTCTGGTGTTGTTGAACCATCTCCGGTTCGGCTCGATGACGGCTGTGGGGACATCTCTGCTCTGATACGACGCGGCCTTGACGACCTTGCCCTCCTTGTTGCGGATGGCCTTTCCCTCCTTGAGCACGTTCAAGGCCTTGATCTTCTTTGCGCTCCGGTAGAAGTTCTCGCCCTTGACCTTGGGATCGCCCGTCACCTTGCCCTGTCGCTCAATGCGAGATCTTTCCTTCTTTCCTGTTCCCATTTTGGCAGATGTCACTCGATGCCAAGCTTCTGATTAGGTTTGTGGGTAGAGGATGCAGATGTGGAAAAATTTCGTTCTCGCCTGCGAGAGCGGTCCGGGGGTATCCGTGAATCGGGGGGATGGAGATTGACTGGAAAGAAGAAACACACGAAAAGAGGGAAGAATGGGTAAAAAGCAAGAAACGAGGCTTTGGGGTATCAGATATCGGCAGAGAGTGCTGGGGGAAGAAAAAAAGAGAGGGAAGCGAGGAAGGAATGGGAAGGAGGAAATGCAATTCAGCGACTGGCCCGGCGAAAGTTTTCTCAGTTTTTTGGCGGGGTGTGGAGGCTGCTGAAAGCTCCCCTTAGCACAAAAAGTTTAGCGGTGTGCGACGGCAGAACGCCCGCGACCAGAAAAGCTAGCACCAAAGCGCTCTAGCGCCATTCTGACCCCCCGAGCTTTCAGAATTTCGAGTTGAAAGCCCCGTTCCGTGTCCCACGATCCCGAGCCGAACCTAGGAGAGCGAGAGAGGCCGCTGCACCCGCCTGGTCCGTCCGTCGCACGAAACCTCCGCATATCACGGCCCGGCCAGAGGTCTCCCAACTCCGACCCCTTCCCGCCCACCCCGTCTTCAGCCAACCCACCACCTCAAAAATGGCGCCAACTCTCGCCAGGCCGTCGCTCAGCGGCGTGCAGTCCATTCTTTTTTCCTCGACCACAACATGCGCTACTACCAGCCTAGTAACACGCGCCGTCACCGCCCGATCATTCAGCGCCACCCGATCGGCTAGAGACTCGGTCCCTGTCCCCCCCGATTCGCCCAACTACATCAAGGTCCCCGAGCCGCCGCAGTCTTCCGAGGTCAGGCACCCCTTCGTCAAGGGCCACCTGCCGATTCCCCGCTCCATCTTCCCCAAGAAGGGCGTCCCGGAGAAGGTCCAACCCGGCTATGTCGATCGCATCGCGCCCAAGTCCGCCGCCGAGCTGGCCGGTCTGCCGCCCAAGTCCAAGCAAGAGTCGTGGCGCCGCAAGATGGCCGAGGCCCGGCGCAAGTCGCTCGAGGCCGGTCTGCAGGGACTCTGGCAGCGCAAGGTGAAGCTCGACAAGAAGCAGGCGAAGGAGAGCAAGGCGCGGTACCTGGCGAACAAGCGGGCGGCCCAGGCGCCGGAGCGTCTGGACGAGGTGTTTACGCGCGCGACGATCCGCGAGAGCACGGCCAAGAACACGTTCGTGCCCGTGGACCCGACGGCGTTCGAGAAGGCCGAGGAGGCGCGCATTAGGCACGCGGAGAAGGAGGCGATGAAGAGCGAGGCGCGCCGGGACGCCCTCGTCCAGCTGTACGTGGCCTCCAAGAACTTTATTGTGGACGAGAAGGAGCTGGAGGAGCACGTCAACAAGCACTTCACCGAGAAGATTCACAACGCCGGTCTCTGGGAAAGCGGCCGCAGCATTTGGGATTCGCAGAAGAACCCTATCAGCTTGAGAGAGTTGCGAAACGAGTTCAGCGGTTTCAACGACAGAGTTACTGCTACCACTTCAGCCGCCGTGAAGACGACAGTCAGGCAGAAGAACGTGGCTGAGGAGTTGACTGGCGGCAAGTTGTAGTTGGGATGCAAGAACGCTACTACATCTCATACGTCCTTCTCTACCCTTATCATGGTTGTACAAATAGTCAAAGGTTTGCTGCTTTGTCGTGAGGATTTACACGATTAGTGAACCCAGCAACCTTATACATGAAGGGAGGGTTGTGTACAAATAGAATCAGATCGGCCAAGGACACCCAGCCATCACAACACTCATATTGAACTTACAACACTGTACTTTATTCCGATACCCTATTTCTCTGAACCGCTGGTTTTCAGAACACGCTTTATTTGTTGCCTAAATAGTACGATGATGCCCATGACCCAATACGCCAGTGTCAACCAAATATTTCCAAGAAACCATTCCATTATGTCCATCATGAAGAAAACGCCGTACAAACAAAGAAAAACAGGGGTACAGTATGACATCTATCTATCAGAGTCAACGCGTCATACACGCCGGTCTAATAACGGTTGCTACATCCTCCAGGTCTTCTATCACCGCGTTACCTCTTCTCAACAAGGAGAATGTGCATAGCACCATAAGCAAGAATGATAAAAGTCATGCCAAAGAGACCTAGGTTCATGATATCCCTCCACATTGCCGAGTTGTCAAAGCCAAAAGTGGTCAAGATCGTGGCGCCAGGAACAGTGATATCAAGACCGTATTTGTGGTCAACGAGGGTGAGCTGAGTAACCTCGTTGACAATCAGAGCCTCGAAGCCGTAGTGGAAGATAGAGAGCCACTGGAGCCAAAGCGCCGCAGCCGGAATGGCGTTATGGTTGAGCAACAGACCGGCAAAGAGAAGACTGAAGAGCATAACCAAGCTACCAATCAGATTGGCCACACCTCCGTCCTTGCAAACGATGCCAATGAACAGGCAAATGGCTGCAGCGGCCAGGTTGAAGAGGACCAAGACCAGGATAAAGACGAAAAACCGCTGGTAGTCGGCGACGAGACCAGTCATCGGGTAGATAATGGCGCCAAGCAGGATGGGTGGAATGATTCTCAGGGGAACAATGTCGAACAAGACCTTGGCGGCGAAATAGGTAACAGGCGAATAGTAGCCATTCGCCCTCTCGCGTACAAACAGCAACCTCTCCTGGGAGAAAACACCCAAGCTCGTGAGAGTGCTGAAACCAAACAGAGCGAGGACGAAGAAGAAGAGGCCAAGCCTGTTCTGGAAACCCGCAATGTCCAAGGTCAAGCCGTAGAACAAGTAGCCGGCGAAAACGGCCAACAGGATTGCGATCGCGTAATGAGTCAACATCAACATCGGGTTCCGGTACAGGTTCTTCCAAGTGCGCTGAGACAGAATAACGAACTGTCGGAACAAGCCCACGCGAGCATAACCTTTACCCATTGTACCGGTGTAGATGTTCCCATCTGCAACATAACCGTTGGCATTTTGACCATTACTGTTCACCGCAGCTGCGATTGCCTGATGGATTTCATCATGGGTACTAGCAGCAATGTCGGAATGGACATACGACTCAATAAGGACGTCAAGATCGGTGCCAGTAGCAGCAGGAGGGGGAAGGTCGTGGAGGTCATCGTTCATGCTCCGCAGAGGAGTAACCGGTGGCTGCTTTTGCAATTTGTAACCCCCAATCTCGTCTCCAGCATCCGAGGAGACAGCAGTATCAACGGCTTGCTTGCGCCTCGTATAGAGCTCCCTCTCCTGTCTGCGTCTGACCGAGTCACGGCGCTTATTCCTAGGGCGGGAAGAGGATGATTCAACCAGGCTGTCATCACCGATGCTAACTCCAGACACGCTGGCGATTGACTTAACAGCTCTAGTACTGCTGGGTCCCACACTAACCCCATCAACTGACAGTGTACCATCGTCGTAAGAGGTAGTTGATCCAGCGTGCATGGTCAAATCAACCAGGTAATCGGCAATGTTGAAGCCAGGAGGGCAGGTGTAGCCGATCTGATCGAAATACTCCTGGCATTGGTGCAGAGGTCCAGAATACACGGTCTTGCCTTGAGCCAACAGAATGAGCCGGTCGAACAGCGCGACGATGTTGGATCTCGGTTGATGGATGGTGAAAATGACGGTTCTCTTGTATGTCTTGGCCAGAGTAACGAGACATTCGACAACGTTGTAAGCATTGTAAGCGTCAAGACCACTGGTGGGCTCGTCAAGGAAAAGGATCGAAGGACTGGTGACCAGCTCGCAAGCGATGCCAACTCTGCGCTTTTCTCCACCGGAAATGCCACGTCCTTTGCCTTCTTCGGAACCAATCAGGGAGTCCCGGATATGGTAAATTCCCAACTGCTTCTCGACTTCAATCACTCTTTGTTCCTTCGCGGCGCGTGTCATGTCTTTCGGTAGGCGAAGCAGGGCGCTGTTAAGAATAGTTTCGTGTACGGTCAAAGTCGGCAACATGGTGTCCTCCTGGTCAACAAAGCCGACGGCGTTCTTGTACTCCGCATCGCTAACCTTTTCGCCGTTGATGTAAAAGTCTCCCGATACTTGGCCGCGCTTGTTCTTCCGGGCAAGGATATCCAAGAACGTGGTCTTTCCTGCTCCAGACGCTCCCATGATGGCGGTGACTTCGCCCGGATGAGCCATGCCTTGGATCCCAGACAGAATATCTTTTCCGTTTAGGTTGTAGACAACGTTCTCGAAATAGAGGGAAGCGGGCTTGTGGTCGGTCATAAGCTTGATAGCCTCGTCGTCCGAGTCATCAAGGTGAATCGGGCCGTACTTGAACTTTCTTCGGGAGAGGTACCAGGTTCCCAGGATAACGGCAACCAGGAAGAGCCCACAGGCGGCAATAACACCCGCGATAAGTGGCGTGTTGATCTTGGGGACGGTAGGCGTGTATCCGGGTACTTCGGTGTGGTAGAGACACTCGCCAGCGCTGCAAGTGAGAAGGATGCTCTGGTCGCCAAACACATCATTGATGAGATTGTTCATCTCGGGCTCCTTAAAGGCACACTTCTTTGCTTCACCAGTGTTCTGAGTGCATTCGAAGCTCGCAGGGCCCTTGATCTGCTCGGACAGGAAATCGCCAATGTCAACGGAGCCATGTTCGCCGCATAGCATTCGATCCGGAATACACTCGCATTGAATCTTTTCGCATTTGTATGAGGTCGTGTTCTTTCCGTTGTCGAAGTCAAAGTTGGCAGTCGAGTCGCATTCTCTCAGGTGGCACATGAACGACTCGCGTTCCTCGACCCAGACTGAAAACATGTTAGTGAGCAGGCTTTCGAACCGATGGACAAAAATAACTTACACTGGAAGTCACATTCGCCGGTTTCTTTCTTGCAGGTGAAAGTAACCTGAGGGACTTTGGTTCCAAGAAGGTCCCGAATAGCCTTGTTTGTAACATCGCAGATCTGGTAGTTTTGCTTGACAACCTCGCCGCCGGTATAGCAGACGCCACCATCCCCAGTTTCGGTAAAGGCGTTGCAGACGTTATCATTCGTACAGACATTGCAATTGATGCCTGTCCACCCATCGTCACATTCGCAAGACTTGCCCTTGCGGACCGGTCGATCGGGGCCTCGAGAAAGTGAGCCGCAAACTGTGACAAGCCATAACGATATTTAGCATCACATCGGAGAGCAACACGGTCCTACTCATCGGGGTTCACGTACGTGGTTCTAAGCAGTTGTCGCCGCCAAAGCCATCGGGACAGATACACTTGCCACTGTACTCGCTACATGATGCGAATTGACCACACGAGTACATGGGAAGGTTGCAGTTGAAGCTAACCGGATAGTATCATCAGCATCACCAAGCCAAACATATGAACGGCCGGAGGAACGGAGCGTACCATGGAGGACAGTCTTTGGGTCGATCAGCCATCAGTTCCATTTGCGCTCGCAACATATCGATGGACGTGTAGTTCTGGTAGGCTGAGGCAACGCATGATAGCGATAGCGCAGCGAGCGCGAGCGCGCGGGGTATCCCGAACGCCATGATCGTAGGAAATAGCCCAGGCCTCGAGTGAAGGCACTGTTGATGGCCTGGCGTAAGAAGGTAAAGTTGTTGTCGTTATTCGACTGAATTTGGGAGGAAGTCGGTGTCGGGTTGTTGAAGAGACACTCCAACCAGGCGCGCTGGACGTGCGTGCTTTGAGGAAGATGATAGGTGGTGACCAAGTGAGCTGTCGGATCGGCGTGTAAGTACCTATCGGTGGTGGCGCGCCAGGCTACCTTAATGTGCCTGGCTATTCCAAACGGAGCCAACCTGAGCCTCGAACAAGACTCAGATGACCTGACCCAATTCCCACGGCTCGAACACCCGAGAATCCTCAAATATTGACCGGTTGTACGGCTGCTGTTGATAGCGCAATGTCAGTCGACCACTGCGCCTGTTGTTGACTTGAAGAGTTGCTGATGAGTCGGAAACCAAAGTTATGAAAAGGTCGTGATGAGGGATATGAAACTGGACTGGAGCAAACAAAAGAGCCAAGTAGAAGTTCGACAGCGGTGGCCGGAAAGGTACTCTGCGTGACCTGTAACACCGAGCCGTGACTTGATGGTTGCAGCCAACCTGAGGTGAGCCAAGTTGCCCGGCCCGTGTGCGTGGATTGCTCTGACTGCAGCAATGACGAAGGCCGTCCAGATAGTGGAGCCGTGACTTTCCTTGGCCCACCAGCTGGAGACAATTCGACGAGTTTCCGTAGATTTCATTGGTTAACTGTGGTAAACTGGAACATGGGTGTTACAGTGTGGATTCACATCTTCCCCAGCTTTGCTGAAATCCACCTGTCCCCCCGCTCGCTGTCATTGGTTACAACCTCACGACTCACATGGCGCTCAAGTTATCGCGAATCATGCGGGGATTGTCAATTGTTGAGGAATGCGGACGACGGTGCCTGGGTGCCAAAGCCTTGGGAATATTGGAGTCGAAACACCAAGGAAAATCTCACGATCCTGTCAGTGCTTTCATGCAGATGTCTTGGTTCAAGACTGCCTCCCTTGTCACGGAAGAGAGCTTAGGAGCTTGATGCTACCAGGTCTGTGGAGCTTCGTGTCAAACAAATCGAACTATCGAAAGAGAAGGGCGCGCCCTTCATGTCAAAAGCTCGAGATGGACTCCATAACTTAGTCTTATATAAACCGACATCTGTATACACGAACTCGAGTCTCTAAGCATAACCGAATAAACACACCAACTAGCCACAGGACACATTCCACCCTGTTTTACATCACTTGCCCAGTGACAGTCACTCCGAAGAATTCAAAATGGTCAAAATCACCCCCTTCGAAGTCGAACAATGGATGGACCGCTACGAAACCACCCCAGGCGTAATCAACATAGCCGAAACTTGTTGCGCCTCCATCTCCGTCGACGACCTGATATCCCTAAACACCGACAATTCCCCTTCTTCGCCCCTACAGCTCTCCAAGAAGCTGACATACGGCGACATCCTCGGCTCCAAGACTCTTCGGCAGCGGGTGGCCTCGCTCCTCAACCGGGACCTGAACCTTTACTCACCAGACTTGGAACCGTTAACCGCCGAGAATGTGATCATCACCCAGGGCGCCATCGCCGCCAATTTTTTGGTCTTCTATACGCTGGTTGGACCGGGGGATCATGTCATCTCTGTGTATCCTACTTATCAACAACTTTACTCGGTTCCAGAGAGTTTGGGCGCTGAGGTTTCTCTGTGGAAGTTGAAGGCGGAGAATGGCTATGTTCCTGATGTCGAGGAGCTTGAAGGGTTGGTGAAGAGCAATACCAAGGTCTGTTGTGTCTAGTCCCGCCTTCTTGGACCCCTTCCCCCCTCTTGCCCCCTTGACCAAAACCATGTCGAGAACGGCAGAAACTGACAAAACCAAAACCAAAAGCTCCTCGTCCTAAACAACCCCAACAACCCAACAGGCGCCACCATCCCCACTCCAACCCTCCAATCCATCCTCGAATTTTGTGCCTCCCGTAACATCACCATCCTCTCCGACGAAGTCTATTCTCCCCTCTTCCACTCCCTCCCCAACCAGTCCTCCCCAGCACCCCCCTCCATCCTGTCCTTATCCCCATCCCCTTCCCCCTCCTCATACACAACAATCTCAACAGGCTCCACCTCCAAATCGCTCGCCCTCGCCGGCCTTCGTCTCGGCTGGATCGCCTCCCGCTCTCCCTCCTTCCTCCGCGCCATCGCTTCTGCCCGCGACTACACGGCCATCAGCGTCTCGCAGCTGGACGACCAGGTAGCCAGCTACGCGCTTGGTCCTACCGTACTGCCGGCGTTGCTGGAGAGGAATTTGGATTTGGCTAGGACGAATTTGGCGTTGCTGACAGAGTTTGTGGAGGGCAAATACGGCAAGGTTTGCTCATGGGTTAGGCCGACGGCGGGGACGACGGCTTTGGTGCAATTTCGGAATCTGAGGGAGGGAGGGGAGCCGGTTGATGATGCTGCTTTTGTGTTGGATGTCTTGGACAAGAAGAATGTCCTGTTTATGCCTGGCAGTCCTTGCTTTGGCCTTGGGACGGACTTTAAAGGGTGTGTTAGGATAGGCTATGCTTGTGAGACTGAGGTGTTGAAAAGGGGTTTGGAACTGTTGGGTCATTATGTGGAGGAACACCTGCTCTGAGGAAGGGTAGCTTACAAGCTAGCGGCACTGATGTTCCTAGAAGCCAGTCAAGCAGGAACTCATCTTGGAAGCGTACCGAAACATGGAAGCTTAACACCAGGGGATTGCTACAGTCTAACATCCGAACACCACTAGCATATACGCAAACCACCATGCACAGGCCATAGAGATCACATTGCAAGTTGGGATCATGATTGTACAATCAACTGTATTAAAAGTATAAGATTCTTCATCTCCTGGGCCAAAGTAGAGGTCTGAACCGTCAAAGGGGAACCGGCACTGGTAAACGCCATCCGAGCTGGCTATCCACAAAGCTTTCCAAGAGGAAAGAGCAAATCATTGAGTTTCTCTCTTCATCTTCAGTTTACGCAGGCAGAGGCTCGGTAGTTCTGAAGTTCTCTGGGTGCAGGATACCGTGCATATTTCCTTGCTTGATCCGTTGCATCGTCAGGGCAGCGATCAAGGCAGCACCAACACCGCTTCCGTCCTCGGCGGCGAGAATCTCGATCGGATCATCTTCCTTGGGGTCCGCCTTCTCGGGCCAGTCCAGGATCTCACGGAGTGCTTGCGCACCGCGAGCCTTGAAATTGGGATACTTGTTGAAAACGGACCCGTCAGCACCAACGTGGCACTCCTTATATCCCTTCTTCTTGCTGATGGCAGCAACGCCGCAGGCGGAGAGGCGAGCGGCGCGGGTGCCGATTAGCTCGGCGGTGCGACGAATCAGCTCCAGTTCGGGGCCGGTGGGAGTAAGCCCCAGCTTGGTCTGGAACAGCTCAAAGGTTTCGGAAAGGTTCTCAAACGGATCCCTGCAAGTGTTTGTTAGTTGCCAGGTTCTAAGTCTTACAAAGATGTTATACTCACTCTTCGATGAGGGAAAGGAAGGACGAGTCGAGGCTATAGGCCTTTCGAAGCTTGGCAATATCCTGGCCAGGGAAGATGTGGGTCTCGTGGTTGTCGTGGAGGTCAACCAAGACGAGGCGGAAGATTTCACCCAGATACAACCCTGCGACCATCTTCTCGAAAGACTGCTGACCGGGGCGCGGCGAATCCTTGTCAATAATGACGTCGTAAGGAGTACGAGGCAAGACCTTATGCTCGTTGTCAAAAGCTCCCCATTCGCAGTTGATGGCCATTGGCATATCCGGTGGGAGGTTCATGTGAGCGAGCTTGGGAATAGAGCCACAGTTCTCCATATACGCAGCATTGCAACCTGTGCCGAAAATGCATCCAATTCTCATCTTAGGATCAGTGTATGCCGAGGCAATCAGGGTGCCCGTAGTGTCGTTGATCAACGCCGTCAGCTTGATAGGCACTCCCTAGAGACAGAAAACATTAGCAGCTGATCAGAGAGAGCTGAAGAACGCAACCTACCCGGCGTTTGAGGGCAGCCTCAAACATGGGGACAACATTATGGCCCTCTACGCCAGCGATATCGAAACCCTTGGTCCAGCGCTGCAGAACGCCCTCGTCGATATAGTGCTGTGTCGCAGGATAGGAGAAAGTGAAGCCGAGGGGAAGCGCATCGAGCTTGGTTGGGTCTCCGTGGTGCGTTTCAATGAATTGCATGAGGCAGTCGGCAATATACTCCCACAGCTCCTCGGCGTCGCCCGTCTTGAGCTCCTCAGGCATGCGGTACTTGGACTGGATGATGTCGAATTCGGACTTTGTCTCGGTCAAAGTGACTTGGCAGACACGTAGGTTTGTACCACCCATGTCCAGAGCCAGATAGGTACCGGTTTCGTTGCCGTCGGGGAAGGACATGACCCAGGTAGGGTTCATGGGCTATTGTGATTCTATCGTCAGCGAGGCTCGTTCCAATGTCTTTGTCGGTAGGTCGGTGGTAAAACGCACGATGCTCCCTCCCTGGACACTAAGACCTAAACACAAGAGAAGCAGTCAGCATATCGTCTAGCCTTGGGCATAAGTATCTTTGCAATCCGTCAAGTGCTCACCTTTCTCAAGCTCATTGACGAAGTGGTTGGTGACTTCCTTGAGCTTGGCGCCATCGACGGTGAAGAGGCGCTCGAGGTGCTCGATCTCCTTGCGAAGGTCCTTAGGAATGTTATCGAGGGTTCCTGACGCCATGGTTAGCTGTAAGATTGGGAACTATCGTGGTAAACTTCTTGCCCTCTGCGCTGGAATTGGTCCGACTGTGGCAGTGGGCGTGGTGGCGATAAGAGCGAAGTCTGCTGAGAGGAGGGGGATGCTCAAGGTGGACTAGGCTTCTTGGCGACGACGTTCCGGCAGGCGGAGGCGCCATAGCTGCATCGAAAGCCACAGGCAGCAAAGTCTACACTATTGACTGGAAATCGGCAAGACGCCGAAAGTTGCCGTTCGGGAACCAACAAACGCAGGGAAAATTGGGGCGTCTGATGTTGTTACCCCTGTAATAGAGGGAAAAGCAGCGAATGATGGGTATAGCACTTGAAGTGGCTTAGGGTCTCATAGGTGAAGTCGGCGATCTCACTCTGGGTGTTGGGGTACTGGTGGTGCAGGACAATAGCTTGAATCATAGGTCGGAAGCTTGGGGAGCTGATCACCCAGGAAGACGGGACTTTGGGGTTCCATCCAAGGATAAGATCCAATATCAACTGCTTCCTAGACGTAACTTCCGCTGCTTCGACTTCAGTTTCATCCGCTCTTTCCCAGTTGAAATAACGAGACGTTTGCTCAAGCTCTCTGGTCCAGTTGGTAGTACCTGACCTTTGATGCGGCGGCCACGCAAGCTGACAGGCTCGAGGCACGTTACGCACGCCAAGTTGTGAAGTAAAGAAGGGGGTAAGCTGACCCATCCAGAGCTGTCATCAGAAACGAAGGAAGCTACCCCTCCATGTCAGAAGGAAGGGGCTGCCCACCATTTTCCGCTTTTGCTCACGCCGGTCAAAGCCAAGCAAATACTGGCAAGCACAATGGTGTGTATCTAGGTAGGTTGGTGTTGGGGAAGGCACCATGCGGGATGATACCTCCACGGGAATGGAAATGACCCGGGATAAGAACTGGAAGCGAGATGGAAAGGGACGGGAAAAACCCGGGGTAGGATCACGGAGGTTTCTCGACGGATGAATCCGAAAGAACTCGTCGGCACAAAGTAGCACCGCAGCTTCAGCAGAGGGCACCGACGCCACTTGGTCTCTCGCTCGAGTCGTGAAAGGTTTCATGAACCGCCCATGCCGCTATCAATCCCAATTCCGTAGAGAGTCGGTGTAACGCGAGGACGCGGCGACTTGTGCATATCCTGCCGCCCGTAACCCGACTTCTCACGCCGCCCGGCATCTGATGATTTGACAAAGGAGGTGAAAAGAACATGTGCCGGGAGGTGGAGTAGGTGCCTAGTTATATCGGACGGCTTGATCAATTGACCGGAGAGATGTAATTGATGATGAGGCTGAAAACAAATCTCTGTACGTACCGGTGCCCTTTCTGGGAAAGGGAGGCTTAGGTCCAAGTCCAACCATGACGGGCGAAAAGACAGAGTATCTTGATAACTCGGGGTTATATACTGCGGTTGTCGAGGTCCACTGAGAGCTCGAAAGTCGGAAGAAGGGAACAGCTAAGGTTGATGTTCAGGAACACGTCAACGGTCTGGGCCTTATATATTTAACAACAGCTGGGTGAAAACGTATCATCTAATTGTGTGCAAACATGTGGAGGAGCAGTCGGCCGGATAGGTCGCGATTGGAGAAATGAGGGCCAGGAGTAAGCTAATTATCACCGGGCTCATAGATAGAATGTACTGCCAAGCAAAGTGGAAGCTGTCAAGCTGAAGCTAGATTGCATTTCAGGGTATGATGAAGTGGAAACCAGCGTGGAAATCCGCCCAAATCATGAGGGGGACCTCGTCGACCTAGCATCCCGGAGCTTCACGATCCACATCCAGTGCAGTAGTGGTTGTGGTGGACAGCACGCAGGCAGTTCGTGGGTTTCTACTCTCCTCTCTAGAGGTACCTTTTTGGGTCGGTCCCTATTCCAGGGTTCAAATTGGATGTTGGGGCTATTATGGTGATAAAGTCTCAGAGTAAGGAGACAAAACTTTCCATGCGAGTTTTTCACAAAGTTTGAGAGATTGGGCGGTTACAAGCTCCCAACGTGTGACACGCATTTGCCCCTCATTGTTGCCGCTACATGGGTGCTCCCCCGCAGCTTGGGCAGAAGCTCAACGGCAACTCAAATTACCATCATTGATATGAGCTGGCCAGCCATGGTTGACCAACATGGAGGACATGAAGGCGCGCTGGGAGCTCCATCTATCTCCAAAATTTCGGGAAAAGTAACTGGTAACTCTGAAGTTTAGAGATGAATCTGAAGTATGTGTAAACACCTCCAGAGAGGTGAGGTTATGGCGGGGCAGCCCCTACAGTCTTGACGTCTTCAGGGTCGATCGGTTCCATGCAGACGGAAGCGCCCGCCAAAATCTTTCGCGTGGGATACTGGTATGTATCGCAGTTTACCCTAGAGTCAAAAAGTGTAAAGTCGGGATCACGGCGTCATCATCCTCCGAAGCCAGAAACACCGGCCGGAGCCCGGGCCAAGGCTCGGTGGAGGTGAACGGACCTCCCCGTCAAGCGGGACCTGGCGACCCACTCGGAAGCTTAAGCTTGGTGGCCCGAGCTCTAATTGCCGGGGTGGACACCTCTACGGACGAACAGGGGTCCATCAAAGCAACGTAAGCGTTTTGGAGAAGTGCTGGGCAGCTGGCGGAACACGGCCGATTATCGAGAGGCCACGGTGATGCTTGTCGGTACACTCTTGACAGCCAGCTTCTCGTGTAATTGAATTGTAGCGCCTGCTAGGTCCCTATCCCAAGTCTTCCACATCTTCAATTGGACTACTGAACGGTTCATGAACGCGTCCCAGTCCATTCCTTCAAGATGAAGACATCGGCCGTCTTCTCTGCCGTTCTTTCGTTGCTTTCCCTAGCATCGACAGGCTCGGCGCATGGACATCACCATCACCATCACAAGCACAGCGATAGCGGCACCTCGAGCGCCTCTGCCCCGGCAACATTCACGCCGCCCCAGGTCTTCAAGAATGTCAACCTCGTCCACATTGTGTCCCTGGAGAAGAACTACGTCAAGGAGTCCATCAATGTCGTAATAGAAAACATCGACAAGGAGGCGCAGTCCGATTACATTCTGCCTTTTACAAACGAGCAGTTGTCGCGTCTGGGTGGTGTGGAGGTTAGGGATCGCAAGAATGCCGAGTCCGGTCCATTCGTTGTCGAGCCTGTCGAATTCGAGTCGTCCGGGTCAGTGATTGTTGTCCACCTGTCTCCCAAGTCCCCATCTAACCTCTTTGCGTAGTCCCAACCAGTACGTTCGGATTCGACTGCCCACACCTCTCGCGCCGGGCGCGCAGCAGACTTTGGGCATCACCTACTACCTCCTGAGCGCCTCAAAGCCTCTCCCAGCCTCGATCAAGCAGGAGGAGCAACAGTTTCTCTCGTACTCCTTCTCGGCCTACTGCCCCTCGGTCTACACTACATCCAAGCAGAAGACCGAAGTCAAGTTCGCATCGACCATCATCCCCGATTACACCAAGCTTCCTGGCAGTGGAGACGTCAAGGAGTTCCCCCAGAAGCAGGGATCCAAGCTTGTCTATGGTCCCTTTGACGAAAAGCCCGCCGGCGCGCTCGAGCCTGTCCAAGTTCGGTTCGAGTTCAACAAGCCCGTGATCCACGTTTCTCACCTCGAGCGCGACATTGAGGTCAGTCACTGGGGCGGAAATGTGGCGTTTGAGGAGCGCTACGATCTCGAGCACCGGGGTGCCAACCTCTCGTCCCTCTTCAACCGGGTCAAGTGGCAGCAGTCGCAATACTACAACCCTGTCACCCATGCGCTCAAGGAGATGAAGTTCCCTCTGCGCGTTGGCAGCGCCGACCCCTACTACACCGATGTTATCGGCAACGTTTCCACGTCCCACTTCCGTAGCAACAAGAGGGAGGCTTTGCTTGAAATCAAGCCTAGATACCCCTTGTTTGGAGGCTGGAAGTACCCGTTCACCATTGGCTGGAACTCGGATGCTGCGAACTTCTTGCGCAAGACGGCGACCGGAGGCTTCGTTCTGAATGTTCCCTTCCTTGAGGGTCCCAAGCAGCCCGAGGGTGTCGAGTACGAGCAGGTTGTGGTCCGTTTGATCCTGCCTGAGGGAGCCGAGTACGTTATTACTACCCCAGAACTGCCCCAACGTGTTACTGACATTGCTTCGCACAGGAACGTAAAATGGACCACCGGAATCCCCAAGTCCTCGATCTCCGAAGCGGGTGTGCAGATTCACAAGACCTACTTGGATACCATCGGCCGCACAGCTCTCGTCATCAAGGGGCGCAACTTGGTCGATGACTTCAGAGACCGTGATCTCACCGTCACCTATGACTATCCGATGTCGGCTGTTCTGCGCAAGCCTTTGGTTGTGTTTAGCAGCTCGATGGCCGTCTTCGTGAGCCTTTGGCTTCTCAGCCTTATCAACCTCAAGTTCGCAACCAAGAAATAAGTGAGGAGCAAGCGGTGTGGTTTAATAGACATATGGGTTGGGTGAAAATTTCCTATATAAGTGTATCATCGTCATACTTACAGCGGCCAGGTATTTAAAGGAGCAAAAGAAACGAGATTGTGTATGCGGAGAGAGTCCATTGCAGTGAGATCAGTGTTACTGACTGCGACAAGTGACAGCGAAAGCCTACCAAACCCATCCACTCGGCAGTCCCAAAGGCTCGCCTTTAGGCACAGCATGGCAACAGGGCGTTTGTTATGAGAGGAAAGAGCCATATGGATGTCCATGGGAAGACCTGAACGAACGTAACAACTCAAGCTCTACCCATCTACTACCCCTCAAGTTGTTCAGGATAGTCATCGGGAGTATGGGCTCAGGTCAACAGTAGCGCTACACAAAGTTGAGTAGTGGTTCTCCGACATGTCGTTTGTTTCGAGTTACAAAAGCATTGTCTTCGTGAGAACTTCCTCATCAGTCTTGGGGAAACTGTTTTGGCTAACAAAAAGGCATATCCCAGTTGTTTACGACTTCTCAAAGGCAGCGAAGGGCTTATCCGAAACAGGAAATCAATATCAGACTGTCCATGGTCTTTTCATTCTCACAACTACTCGAGTGACCATCCTGGAGAACTCGCAAGGGGAACAGCTATGAGAAGTGGGGTTTGATCCCCAAAGCGGATGCGAAGGGTCTTTTGCTATGACGTCACACAACCTCTTTGTCTCGAAGACTTGAACCGCCGAAGCCATGACGACAGCAACCACACCACCTCTTTATTAGGTTTAGAAACAGGTCCACTGAGTACGTCGACGGCGATATTGTGCTCAAGTTAACGAAGGCAAGTGACAGACATGCATGAGACTAGTGACGGGCAGAAGAGAGGAGGGAAGGCAGAGCAAGGCCATCAAAGAGGAAGGGGTTTAATAAACAGTATGCATGCATACCAGTCACCTCAACACTCCATTTCTCCATTTCAAAGCCGGTCAAGTTTACGATCTACCGGGGTCTATGGGGGATTGAATACCTTGGTTTACACGGTACATCGCCTGTTCTCAGCCTCATCGGGCCCAATGACGTCGAGCCTGAGATTACCGAGAGAGTGGCACGCAGGAGGTTGTGACGACCTGCCTCGCCGTCGATCGCAGGAACCGTAAACCAGTATACTCCTCCAAAACCAAATTTATTCCTCGGTAATTGTTTTTGGACTTTCTCTATAACTTACCACTTCTTTTATAGTTCATCCATCAACGTGCTCTATCGAGTCTATACACCAAACCCTTCATCAATCACACAACACTTACAGCAATAAGCAGCACCTTCCAAAGAGGGGTAACTAACAACAGAAAGAACGATCAACACCAACAAACCCAGAATCTAAACACTCTTTATCACTTGTCATCACTAGTGGCCGTCAGACACCATGTAAGTTAGCTCACCAATACCTATCCATCAACCTAGTGAAAACAACCTACCACCATGTCCCGCAAGAGCATCGACAGCAGTCGCTCTCCAAGCTTGTGGTACCTTCGTTCATCAGCATATCGCTCTGCCCCAACATCTACTGACACCATACCTTTGTAGGAACCGAGCACTCTCCATCCGCTCCAACAACCGGAGCGGCGGCGGCGGCGCCTCCACCGGCGCCTCCTCCCACCACCACAGTTCTCGCCGGGGCTTCAGCCTCTCCTCTCTCCGGGGCACCATCCAACCCGAGCTCTCCAAAAAGCTCTACCGTCTAATCAAGTCCGAAAACAACCTGATCTCCGCGCACGAGACGGCCGCCAAGGAGCGCCTCTCGATCGCCCAACAACTCTCAGAATGGGGCGAGCAGACGACGGACGAAGGGATCAGCGACATCAGCGACAAGGTCGGGGTGATCCTGTCGGAGCTGGGCGAGCAGGAGGACAACTACGCGCACGCGCTGGACGAGAGCCGCGGCACGCTGAAAACCATTCGTAACACGGAGAAGAGCGTGCAGCCGAGCCGGGACGGCAAGAACAAGATCGCGGACGAGATCGCCAAGCTGAAGGCCAAGGAGCCCGAGAGCACGAGGCTGGTGGTGCTGGAGCAGGAGCTGGTTAGGGCCGAGGCGGAGAATCTGGTTGCGGAGGCGCAGTTGACGAATATTGTATGTGATGTCTCCTCTTCCTTCCCCCTTTTGGTGTCCTTCCCCCATCTTGTCCTTTACGTCGAACTAGCTAACCACGAAACGAACAATGAACAGACCCGTCAAAAACTCAAAGAAGCCTACACAGCCGAATTCCTCGCCACCATCGAGCGCGCCGAGAAGCAAATCATCCTCGCCCGGCACGGCCTGCGTCTGCTCAACCTCCTCGACGACACCCCCATCGTCCCGGGCGACTCGCAGATCCCGTACACGCAAGGTCACCAAGCCAGGCAAATTCTCAACGATACCGAAGACGATCTGCGGGACTGGCGGCCCACGACGACGGCGGCGGCTTTGGACGAGGACGCCAAGTATGTTACTAGCAACTCGCCTCCTCCGACGGTCCAGCAGCATGCCCAGCAGCCCCAGGCTTCGCAGCCGAGGAACGCTGCTGCGCCTGATCAGCAATTGCAGCAGGTACCGCAGCAGCAGCTGAATGAGAAGGAAGTGGATGGTGCGAGTTTGACGCATACTGAGACGAATACGACTGGGAATGGGAGTGTGGTAGGGGGTAATCAGGAGGTGCAGACGACTGCTGCTTGATTTTTGCGTGTCTTTGATGATGCTTTTACCCGAGTCTGTTTCAGCTCTATGATACCGAGTTTGTTTTGTTTATCGAGTGTTCGAGGGACTTATACCTATTTCAAGTTGATGGGAAGCAACATGTTTTAAGTCTTGACCAGAATTCAACAACTTTTACCAGTATTCAGTCCACATAACACCATGGTATTTGATAAGATACAGTACCCTCTTCCAACAGAGCTTATGACAACTTGAAACATACCGTAACTCGAACCCTGATCACTTCAAAATATCATCAATCCTTTTGACATCATTCAACTCCAATCATCATGACCCTCGACTCTAAACAGTAGCCGTAACCCTCCTTATACTCTTCCTCGCACCCTCACCTGTCACCATAACAGCACCCTCCATCTCCAGCGCCCTCATAACCTCCGAAAACTCCGCCGGCTCAACTTGCACACCCGCCCCCTCGCCCAACCGTCTCGCCACCTCCGAATACCTAACCGCCTGCCCACCGCTCGTCAACTCGTCCAGCAGCCGGACAACCGCATCCTTCATGTCCGCTTTGCGCTGGCGCTCCGCCGCGCTCGTGCCCTCCGTCAGCAAGCTCATGTCGATGCGGCCCTGGCTGTCGGTGGCGGCGGTCTTGAGCGCCGACTTGATGAGGCGCACGGCCTCGCGGACGTCGTCACGCGTGACGGTTTGAGACAAACGCATCTTGGCGTGCGCCTCGGCGAGGCGGATCATGGACTCGAGCTGACGCGTGGTGGCCGTGATGCGCTTCTCGGCGGCGCGCACGTCCTGGCCGAGCTTGCGCATCTCGACGTAGGCTTCGACGAGCTCGCGGCCGGCTTCGGGGGTGAGGGCTGGGTGGATGTGCGAGCGGGCGTAGGAGATGTAGGAGGTTAGGAATTCGACGGGCTATTTTTGGGATTTGGTCAGGTTTTGGAGTTCATTTTCATAGACAGATGAGGGTATAGGAAGAATAAAAAAACTTACGAGGACGTCGTTGGCTTGCTGGGCACTCTCGGGCTTGTCTTCGAGATACATGGAGAGCAAATGGCGGGCAAGACGCTGATCGTTCTTCTCGTCGACACGATCGAGAATAAGGTAGACCAAATCGAAACGGGACAGAAGGGTTGGCGGGAGGTCGATGTTTTGCGGCACTGAGAGATCGGGGTTGTATCTACTGCCGATAGGGTTGGCAGACGCCAGAATCGATGTTCGGGCGTTGAGGGTGGTGATGATGCCAGCCTTGGCGACGGACACGGTCTGTTGTTCCATGACTTCGTGAAGAACGGAGCGGGTGGATTCGTTCATCTTGTCGAACTCATCGATACAGCAGACACCACCGTCGGATAAGACGAGAGCACCGGATTCTAGGACGAGCTGGCGGGACTCGGGGTCGCGAGTGACATAGGCTGTAAGACCTACGGCGGAAGAGCCTTTGCCACTTGTGTAAACACCTCTTGGGGCAATTCTGTGGACGTAGGAGAGAAGCTGGGACTTGGAGGTGGATGGGTCACCGCAAAGGAGAACGTTGATGTCTCCACGGTATTTGGGGCTTCCACCCTTCTCAAAGGTCTTGTTCGTGCCTCCGAACAGCTGAAGGAGAATACCCTTCTTCACATCGTCCATCTCATAGATCGATGGAGCCAAAGATCGTGAAAGGAGATCGTAGATATCCGGTCGAGCGGCGGTTTCCTTGATCCTCTCTTCCTCGTCAGGAGAGACCTTTCGGACCTCGTCCATGCTCTGACCATTAGCATGGGCTTCCTCTTCCTCGGCGAGGTCGAGGGTTGACGGATCGCTACCCATCCTCTTCCGGTCAACCTTTTGTACATGGACAACATCAACATATGTCTTGTGTACGCTCTTGACCGTCCTCATGCGCGGGTTAACGCGGACAGGGGTGACCTTGAAGATACCAGTGAGCTCAACTCTGTCACCGGCCTTGCAAAAGTCCACAAGCTCGTTATAGACGCAAACGGATACCGAGTGGGGTGTCTGACCAGCAGGCACGTTATCCGGAGTTTCTTGTAGCTTGATAACTTGCTTGTCTTCGAAAGCACATCTGTTGTGGATGATCTGCATCGAGTTCTTCGAGGCGCAGCGAGCCCGAGGACACTCTGTAGGCTCACGAATCTTGCCACGATCTAACTGAACGGTTATAGAGTGACCGCAAACACTGCACTTGAAGAATGCATCCTTCATGTCGGGGATAACCGGCGTGGTTCTGATGACAAGACCCTTGATGGACACAAGCTTGTCCATGTCAGATGGGTTCAGATCACGGAGGTTGGTGATCTTGTCAAGACCCCACGGGCGAACCACATACGCCATTTGGCTGACTTGGTCCTCGATAGTGGGCGCCGCTGTTTGGGCAGGCCGAGGGGTGGATGGTTCCTCACTCCTTTCAGAGCTTGGGAAGTTCGGCTCAGAACTCTGGGAGGCACCTGGGGCGGTCCTAGAGTTCTGGGATGCTCTTTGGCTTGCCATTTCCTTTTGCGCCAACTCCATCATACAATCATGTACACACTGGTCCATGACCGGGATGATTTCAGTAGGATAGTGTTGGGCCTGGTGCCAGAGCTTCAGGGTGCGTGGGTAGGACTTGAGGTCGCGGAGATCCAGATACAGCTTGTTGGTACCAAGCAGCAGCATGTTCTCCAGTGCCTCCCAGTATGGCTTCGAATCCGCATCCGGATGGCCAATAGTCTCGGCCTCATCTGCGCCATCTGCCCACATCCGGTATTTCCTGGTGAAGTTCCTGAGGAAGTCCTTGAACGCAGAGAACGAATCGTCGAGAGAGATGGTTGTACCCCAAACAAGACCTTGGCTTTGTCCACCAAGAGCATCTGCCTCAGAGGTGTTGGGATTATTGGTGACGAAAGAGTTGGCATCGGAGCCAGGGGCATCGCGGATCACACGACCGGCGTCGTCGAGAATAATTCGGCGGGGAATCTGGGCGGGAGTTCGGAGAGGGTCGCCATTGATGTCGCCTCGACGGGATCTACCGGTGACGGATCTCTGTGAGCTGACGAAGAGCTGACTGCTTTCGCTACGAAGATCGGACTGTTGGGTGAGCTGGCGGCCCGGGCTAGAACTGGAGGCATAGCGGATGGGGGACGAGTCTATAGAGTGTGATCAGCATTCAGTGTAATCTCGAGTGTGTTGGTGATAGCCATACCCCCAATCAACTGGCTCCGTCCGTTTGCGCGGGGAGTTCGGTCGGCATCGCTCTGGGTCTCTGTCTGCTGGCGCAAAGGCGAGCTCGGCGCATTGCCTTGGTGGGCAGTGCTCTGGGTATTGCTCATCTGCCTCAAGGGCGAGGACACCGGGTTGGCGCCATTGGCAGGCGAAGAGGACTCGTAGAATAAGGGACTGGAGGCAAGCTGTGATGCGCGGGTCTGGCGAGGAGTTGCGCTCGAAGGACCAGCCTGCGAGCTGCGAGTGGCGCGGGGGGTCGCTGATTGGGAGCTTCTCGTTGTTCTGCGCTTTGCTGGGGAAGACATGGTTGCTGCTCTGTCTTTTCGTGGTTTGGTTCAGATGGTACAGAGAGTAAAGGGACAGAAGACAAGTTGGGATGAAGACGCTGGAGTGTTGTTGTGGCTCCCGATCCCTCTGTATTGCAAGGTGGTTGGCAGGTCGGCAGCGTGTTCAGGGCGAAAGGTGGATCACGTTCCTGTCTCGTAGAGGGGAAGCGAAAAAAAGACAGTCGCGACACACGCGTCTCCGATAAAAGCACTTTACACGGCCGTGTCTGCAGGGGTCTGGTCGCGTTAGCCCATTAAAACCCCTGTCGGTCCCAAAACAGACGAGGCCAGCTTTTGAGTTTCGAACTGTCAGGTACGTACCGCGCAGTGGGGCCTTTGGAGAGCTCGCTCTGGATTCAAGCCACATCACAGGGACCGCTTCTACCGCCTTGTCATTGTTAGCACTACCCAGCACCTCTGGAGTCTTAAGCTACCACTATTTACCTACCCACTTGCGCCCATCGACTTCGAGTTGCCCCTCGCCGCCGACCTTCTCCAATCGATACCAGCTTCAAGACGGCAATTGTTCTAGGAACGAGAACCCCCAGATAATCAGTCAAGATGTCGCCAGGAATGTCGCTGTATAGCGTCAACGCTATAGGTACACTAGGCCACCACGCTGGTCCCGGGTCGCGGCTTATACGCGCCATGTCGAGCAATGTTGACAATTGAGTTCCAACAGTAATCCTCTCCAGCGATGACGGTTCGCGGATATTCTCCAAGTACTACACTCCTCCTCACGCTGCCGCTGGCGCACCAGGAACAGGAGTGGCCGCCGGACTCGGTATGCGATAGACGCTCCTTTACCCCCTTTTCAGGTGTCGCATGTTCCCATGAGGCTGACCAGACCGAACCTCGTACACAACAGCTTCCTCAAGCGCTTCCCAGAACCCCTATCCCGACAAGACTTCTCAAACCCGTTTCGAGAAGGGCCTCCTTCAGAAGACAGCAAAGCAGACCGGTGATATCCTCCTCTACGACAACAAGGTGGTGCTCTACAAAATGGAGTCGGATGTTGCTATCTACGTCGTTGGTAGCGCGGACGAGAACGAAGTTCTTCTCTACAACGTACTTTTGGCGCTTAGGGACAGCTTGCATATGCTCTTCAAGTGAGTTCCTCTGACAAACGTGAAGGCGCTGGTTATGGGATATGGCTGGCTAACCACGGGCTTTCTACACAGGCAATCGATCGACAAGCGCACAATAGTCGAAAACTACGATCTCGTGTCCCTCGCCATCGACGAAATCGTGGACGACGGCGTCGTTCTCGAGACCGATCCTACCATTATCATTCAGCGATGCAGCAAGGCACCACCTGCGGATGTCAACCTTAGTCGTCTCGACCCCTTCACCGAGCAGGGTGTCAACAACTTGGCACAACTAGGCAAGGCTAAGCTTACCGACTGGCTTCGTCAGGGTCTCTAAGGGCATATGTTGGTGGATAATGACCAAGGAAAGAGAGTGCGGTTGTGAGCAATCAAGGTGAAGTTGGCGTATAGGTTCGTTGAAGAATCATAGGGCCTTTGTGTAGGCGGGGCCTCCTTATAGCAGAGTAATGGGCCATGCACACATGAAGAAAAAGACACACAGAAGGCCAACAAATGATGGGTTAGCAGAAAACAGGAGTTATAGTCTTTTCTTGCGATCTATAGGGGTTGACCCCGTCTATATTCTAATATCGGAAGCTGCTTTCCTCAGCCTGTTCATGACCGCCGCCGCGATATCATCTCCATCACTCACGCCCTCCACGAATATTACATCTGCGCCGCGCCTGTCCAGCTCTCGGAGAGCAGCGAAAAGGCCATGCGCCACCCCCTTGACATCATTGCCCAAGTCAATCTCGAGCAGCCTCGCCAGCACCGTGGTGTCGTCCTCATCCAGCCATTGCCCTTCCCTAACAACGAATCCAATCTCAGCCATGTCCCCGCTGTCCTTAGCGGCAACAGCGTCGTCAAGCCCTTGACTCCTCAACCCCCCAGCAACAGGCCACCTCCCCGTCCTTATAACCGCAACACTCTTTACCTTCCCACCCTCCTTCTCCCCAACCGTCTCAACCGCCTCCCTCACATCCCCCCTCGGCACCTCCCCCCCCCCCCCCTCCGCCTCATACAACACCACCCTCGCCTTCGGGCTATAATGCTTATACTTCATCCCCGGCGCCCTCGGCGCCGTCTTTCCCCCGACCTCCGCCTGGTCTTTATACGCTTTCTCCACGCCTTCCCAACCGGGACAAGCCCTAATCTCCTCCAAACTGACGCCGCCCGGCCGCAGCACAACAGGCGGGGAGCAAAGCCCGTCGACGACCGTGCTTTCCACCCCCACGCTGCATGATCCCCCGTCCAGAATCAGTGCGATGCGACCGCGTAGATCGTCCAACACGTGCTGCGCGGCGGTGGGGCTGGGCTTGGTGCTGGCGTTCGCCGAGGGCGCGGCGAGAGGGGCGCCGGCGAGTTTGATCAGCGAGCGAGCCAGCGGAGAAGCGGGCATGCGGCACCCGAAGGTGGGCAGGCCGGCGGTTACTTCCGGGGCGAGCAGGGAGGGGGAGGGGTTGGGGAGGAGGATGGTGAGTGGGCCGGGCCAGAAGCGGGTGATCAGGGGGTGGTAGATTTCTGGGATTGGGTCTTCTTCTTCTTCTCCTGCTGAGGAGAAGGAGGGAGAAGAGGGAGAGGGAGAGGGAGAGGGAGAGATGAATGACCGTAACATGCTCAAATCGCAAACGTGCACGATCAAAGGGTTATCGCTTGGTCGACCTTTCGCGGCGTAGATCCCCTTGACGGCCGCGCTGCGGGTGGCGTCGGCGCCTAGGCCGTAGACGGTTTCCGTGGGGAAGGCGACGGGGATGTCGGTGGTGCGGAGGTGGTGGGCTGCTTCGCGGATGGGGGCTAGAATATCTTCATTTTCTGGTGTAGTTGGGACCTCCCATGTGTTGAGGTTGCTGGTTCCATTTTTGTTGTCTGAGTCCTTCCAGTGGCCGAGGGCTTGGATGTTGCTTTCGTCCACCTTCACTTTGAGAATCCGGGTTTCCATTGTCGTTGTCATAGCGGGTGCCATTAATGGCACTGCCGTGGGCTTTGATCTAGTTGTTGTTGTAGTGATGCGGTGTCGTCGTTGGGAGTTTGGGGTGAGATGTGGGAGGTGCGATCGTCTGAATCGGGCAGTGAGGGTTTTGATATTGGCGCAAATAGGTCCCCTCATTCAGGGGATTCGGCGATTTTGAGTATTGATGTAAAAATCAAGTGTCTGTCGATTTCCCTATAGATTTTGAGTAAGAGATATCTTGTAAGGCATCGATTGCATTGGTTATCAAATCTTGAAGGTGGTGGTGGTCAAGCTCAAGGTTTTGAGTCACTGTGGAGAATTTTTTCTCTTTTATCTCAACTTCAACCCAACAACATCTTACACCCTATACTAGGCTGCCCGTCTTGCAATCACCACCACAGCACTATCGATTACATCATTTGATGACAGTAAACAACATCTTCAATCTCGACAAATTTTCACTAACAATCCGTTTGTTAACAAGAATTACAATTCCTATGCTCTTTGTATACTACCGCTAAGACGCTTATCCGTACCTGACCCTAGATCCATGCTACACCATATACCCCTGAACTCTCCATGCACACACCAACTACACACATCAAATAATTACTTCAGTGTGGTTTAGAGACAAACCGTATCCCAATGTAATACTCATACTTCCCTCACACACTCGTATTCACCTCGCTTCCCCTCCTCCCCTGCCTCACCGGAAGCGTATTTACATGCGCATTCGCAAACCCCAGGTGCTCAGAGAAGCTAGCCAGCAACCTCATCACATCATCCCTCACCTCCTCTCGATTCGCCATGCCCTGCATCACCCTGACTCTCGGCGGCTCTGGGACTTGAGGCATATGCATCATATCCGTTGAACCCTGGCTATTGCTGTGGCCATGACCATGACCATGACCATGCGCCTGGTGACCATGATGCCCGCCACCATGGCTGCCCATACCATTATTCCCATTCATGCTCCCGCCCATGCCGTACCCGCGAGGCGGATGGTGCATATCCGGGTCCGGCCGCATGCCGCTCGGCCGCCGGCGACTCCGGTTGCGCTCACGACTACCCATCGCCATCGGATCCATGCTGCCGCCCAGGTAGTCCGACTCGGCGTACTCGCCGGCTGAATACCCCCCCACGTCGTCGTCGGTGGCGTAGCTGTAGCTGTCCGCGCGGGAGTGGGCGCGGCTGCTTGTCCTGCTGCCGATGCTTCCGCCGCCGATGCTACCGCCGCCGATACTACCGTTCCCTACGCTGCCTCCGCCGTTAACGGATGAAGCATAGTCGGGCGTGCCACGACCGTTGGTCCCGATGAATTGCTCCTCTGACGGCGCCTGAGCGACCCGGGCGTAATCGCTGTCGTCCGACACGTAGATGGACGGTTCGCGGACCGATGATGATCGTACGACAGGCAGCGGCTGATAAAGTGAAGCGTGCCGTTCGAGGTCGAATGGGTTTGCGCCGCCTATCTCTGAACCACTGACGGAAGCGGCGTCCGAGTTGGCTGTGGATGGCCGCGTATACTCCCGATTGGTGAAATCGTTTGTTGGCATAGGTAAGCTTTCATCGAGATCGATCAGGCTCCCTACCGAAACGCGGTTGTCGACCGGAGGCTTGGGCGGCATGGAATCGTAGCCCATCGATTGGAAGCCTAGCGGGTCTGTTGGGTGGTGTATGAGGGGTGGTCGAACGAAGTTGTCGTTCTGGCTGTCGTTGGAGCGCTCTTCATTCCACGGGAACGGGAAGCGCGACATCTCCGGATGGGCAGAAGCCGGCGGAGCAGCCATTGACGGGAACTTCCAGTCCTGCGTACGGCGGTTGATGTTCATTGGCATATCTGCCGGGTCGCTGAGGGGCGGTTTGCTGAAGTCCGGGTTCGGGTTGAAGGCTGCGTAATCTATCGAACCACGGGGGCCAGCCTTAATAGTCTCCATGTCAACAAACTGAGACAGGTCATTTCCATCAAAGGAGGCATCCAGGTCTATGAGCGACTCTCGCAGTGCCGCCTGTGAGCTCGGTTCATATTGTCGTAGGTTGAGATCTGAGTCTTTTGGTAGATCCAGTACTAGTGTTGTCTCTGCTGTAGCCGTTAGAGGAGGCGCCCCCAGACCGTAATAAGCACGCGAGTTCTCATCGTAGCCAGAGATCGTATTAGGATCAAACAGCTTTTCCAGAGGTGCCTTGAGAGCTAGCAGTTTAGGAGGAGGCGGCCGCCTCCTTCCTTTAGGCTTGGGGCGCCGGGTCTGCTCTTCGTCGAACTCGAAGTCGACATTGTGCCCATAAACATCATACACAGCTTGGGCATCGCTGTCCATGGCCATTCGGTCAAAGTCGACCGTTGTGCTAAAGTTCCACTCGTCATTGGAGAGGGCAGTTGAGGCATAATCGGACGGGCCTTGAGCACCAACGGGCGCGAACAGTGATTTTCTGATACCTCCCTGCGCCTCCCAAACCTTATAACCTCGGACGAGATTGGAAAGAGATGCTGCTGGGTATTCTGAGCTCGTGTTGAATATGTAAGGGTGCCGTTGGACTTGTTCAATGGTCGGTCGTTTTGCGGGGTCCTCCACCAGGCAGAAAGCCACCAAGTCCTTGAGATTGTCTGAGTACTGGTCTCCCTCCAGACGAGGCGCGTGGGACTTGATGTAATTGCCAAGCTGGGGGATGTTAAACCCCGACATGACATTGGGAGGAAGTCCAGAGGCAATCTCGTATACCATAGATCCAAACGCCCATATGTCAACCGGTGTGCTGTAGGACGGCGTGGGTTCGAAGAGTTCCGGTGCCATCCAATGAGGTGTCCCGATAAACGTCGACCGTTTGTCGAATTTGGTCTCGACGATGCCAGCCACACCAAAGTCACAGAGCTGTACGGCGCCCGTCTCCGTCACAAGTACGTTGGCGCACTTGATGTCACGGTGAATGATTCCTTCTTTGTGTACCCAAAATATGGCCTCTGCGACTTCTCGTAGGATGGGAATGATCCACTTCTCCTGCAAGCCCCCGGGTGCTGTAGGCTTCATCAGAGTAGCCACGCTTCCGCCAGCACAGTACTCGGTGATCAGCCACATGGACTGTCCAACGGGCAGTACATCGAGAATGAGATTGATGTTCTTTGCGCCGCTGTTACTGAGTAACTTGAGGGCACTGGTCTCCTTCATAAACTCGCTATACGTGTCCGCCAGCCTGGGATTTTCCCTGTCGCTCTCTTCGATGTCGATGATCTTGACAGCCACAACAGCACTGGACTTGTTATCCGTTGCCTTGTAGACGCGGCCAAAGCTGCCTTTGCCGATGAGCTCCTCTAGCTGATATGGGGGTGCTTCTTTTCCTGACTTGTTGCATTCTTCTGCAACAACAGCCTGCATCTTCTTGGCATCCTCGATGGCCTTTTTCTTGGTGGTGGTCAGGAAATCTGACCCATATACTGATAGGGTCGCCATGATTGTTGACTGTCCCCGAAGAGGGACTGGAGGAAACTGGTGGTAGTAAAGTACTAGTGATTGTGTGAAGCCTCAATGTTCCTCCCGTAACTCTACCAGCGAGTCGGTCCGGATAAGGGACAGGCTTCTGGTCCCAGGCGGTGTGACGGCGACGTAAGTGTGTCAACGAAAACGACACCTCAGCTGTACAGCGTTACTCTAGCGCTTTCTGGGGGCGCAGATGAGATGAATGTGTTGATGAGCCTTATGCCTCGAGTGAGTTTCAAATACACTTTGCAGAAGCTGGGTATCAATACTATTGTAAGTTAGTCCTATGGTAGCCTCGGAATTTTTAAGATAGTGACCAGGTAAAAAGGAGACGATAGGAAGTTATAAGGACAATGAATGAGGGAAGCCCAACTGGGTGGTCTTTGAGAAACGTCAGTGTCACTGAACTCCTCAATCATGAGGTAGTCGGGTGTTTGATGTATGTATGTCCCCTTGAGCTATGAGTCTAGAGATGAAGGTAGGGGTACAACTCTGATATGCAGTGTCCATCAGGAGTGACACCCTTGACAAGACGGATGAGAGGAATGGCAAGGTCGAGGCTTGCCAAGGATGAGGACTCATGTTATCGCTCCGATCCGGAAAGAGAGCAGCAGGTACTCACATGAGAGTCGATACTAGGGGTATCGCGGTATGTTCGCTCCCTCCTACCGATGAGGATTTCCGTTGTTGACGACGGACGATGAGATTGTGAAGAGAAGCAACTTGGTGTAAGGTTCGGAACTTGCCCGAGTCAGGGTCACCCAAGTCCGCGTTATTCGGCTCCTTGCGCTGCCAGGGGCAAAGTCGCCCAACTTGGCAACAGAAAGGTCACACCTAAAGCCCAACCCTCAGGGTCCTCCGACAAACGAGCCAGTTCCGACCTTCATCCAACTGAAGGTCAAAGGGTGTATCATTCGCCTCAACGCGATGGCTGGATCATCAACGGAGCACGGATTGATGGATGATGGAAAGCGGTTCCCTGTCGTCAGTGCACATCCACACCGCTGGCTGACAATGTGCCCGTCCCAACTGTTGGTTGTCGTGGTTTCCACCAGCAATTTGAGTGTTGACAGCGGATAGAAATCACACGATGTGCTAAAACGGCCCGAGAAGTGATCCCGTCGTAAGCGAGGTCAGCCAATAAGAGTCTCAGGACCACATGCCACCACGCGTGGATGCGGCTCCACTTGTGGAGGATGTTTGAGGTCCTTCAGCGGGAGTTCAGCGGTCCCAGGTCTCAAATCCAGCCCTGTAGCGGACCTTCGCCAGGGCATTGTGTAAAACAGGGACTACCTACTAACGTCAGGTCCGATGCAGTGTCAAACAACAAGAACATTCATTGAGCTCATGGCCTTATGTTGATATCTTTACGTCAAACCGAAAGGAAAACCATATCCCAGATCCATAACAATGGAAGGTCTACTAGGTAAGGCAGGCTCTCATGCTGGGTCGACCCCGCCTGAACCCTCCAGCCTCTTCAACATCTTCCCGTGGATTCCCTCCCAGGCACTTTCACACTGCCCTTTGGCAATTCCAATCAACAACCTCGAGCAACTGATCTCTACATTTTCCACAATCTCCAAGCCCCCATCTGGCCCCTCTTTGATCTCCCAAACGGTCTCCATGACCATTGACAGCGGGCTTCTGATTCGGACAAAGAGGCCAGTATCCAGCTTCGCGAACTCATACGTACTGACAACGTTGCTGTCCCACAGTCCGGCAGGCAGCGTGTGGATAACGTCGGTGACTTTGTAGGACTTTGTCTCGCCGAGCACTCGCGGCTCCACAGCGCTCGGAACAGTTGGCGGCGTACTGGGGATGAGAGGCTCGCATTTGGCGAGGTGCGGGTCGCACGAGAGAAGGAACTCGTCGTCTTGTAATAGTTCTATCGCCTGTTCCCGGGTGGTCTTTGGTGGGATGGGTGACTTGTGTACGAGTTGCGCTTTGGTGGAGAGGACTACGAATGGTCTTCCATTAGCGATGTGATCATTCGAGGTAATTCACTGGTACTAACATGACATTGTGACTTTTTCGATCAAAGTCTATGGACGTTGGAATGGCGTGGTCAAAGTCGGGTTAAAGTTCACATGAAGGTGAAAAACAAATGGACAACTTGGTTGATCTGTCGAGAGTTGTTAAACGCTCCTGCTCCCTTGCTCTCAGGAGTGACGCTTGACCTAACAGTTACAGAGGCGGTTACAGGTTGCTCGGTCCCTCGAAGGTCGGGTCTTTCGCCCAACTTCTGTTTACAGTTGTCTCAATATTATCGAAAAATCAGCCAACGACATTCGCACAGCAACACAAGGCCTGACTGCTAGCCTGGCTCCTTGTTGAGCTTTCAAATGTAATAGAAGTGTGAACAAAACACAACCATGTTAGCGAGGACTTCCAAAGGCGGCATTCTTACCTACATAACTTGTGGTATTCAGGAAGAGAACGAATGCTATAGCCGGGAGTAAGTACCTCAATGAAGACTGCATTAGTACTTTGGTGTAAATGCAGTGTATTGGTTAACAGAAGTGTCATGGCTGTACGTTTACGAGACAAGCAGGGTTAGGGTTCGCTCCCAATTTAGAAAGGAGCTTGGGCCAATCGGTCGCGCAACTGGGAAATCGGATTGGCGCGACTTTCTCCATGAACCCTGAAGGCCAATCCAAACCTAATTAGATTCCAGCACCATCACAAGTGCTGTAGCTACTATGGAAGCAGTAGCAAGAAGAAAAGCAGCTGCCTATGTCTGCAGGAGTTGTACCCGGCAATTCCAACGACAACTTCGACGAAACTACTCGAACTCTGCCCCACGACCTGACATCTACGATGTGGTGTGTGTTGGCGGAGGACCGGCAGGTCTGAGTCTCTTGACTGCCCTGCGTAAGTCGCCAGTTCATGTCCAGACTTCACATTTGGCCAATTGCTTATTCTTAGGTCTACAGGTGCGAATCCCGTCACTTCCCACCTCCGAGTTGCCCTAGTCGAAGCCCAGGATCTATCCAAAGTCAAGTCATGGAAGCTACCGCCAAACAAGTACTCGAACCGATGCAGCTCCCTCACCCCCACATCCGCCTTCTTCCTTGACCAGATTGGTGCCTGGGAACATCTCGATCAAACCAGAGTCCAACCGTACCACGAAATGCAAGTATGGGACGGCGTCACGGATGCTCGGATCGAATTCGACTGGGCCCCCGGTTCGGCTCCGGTAGAAGGAACTACCATCGCTTACATGAACGAGAACCTCAACCTCACATCCGGACTACTTAAGCGACTGGAGGAGCTCGGTGGCGTATCGGTATTTGAGGGTGCCAAAGTTGAGAACATTACCTTTGGCGAGGAGACGGAGGACCTGGATCTAAGTCAATGGCCTGTCGTACACATTTCTGGAGGCAAGCAGCTTACTGCCCGCCTTCTGGTTGGAGCCGACGGAGCAAACAGCCCAGTTCGTGCTTTCGCTGGTATCGATGCGAAGGGTTGGGACTACAACAGACACGGCGTGGTGGCCACACTAGAGATGGAGGGCGAGGGCTGGGGCGGAGAGCACACCAAGATTGCCTACCAGAGATTCCTTCCCACCGGCCCAGTTGCTATGCTTCCCATGCCTGGAAACTATTCGACACTTGTCTGGTCTACAACCGCCGAGAATGCCTCATTACTCAAGAGCCTCTCGCCCAAGGATTTTGTGGCGATGGTGAACGCAGCATTCCGTCTGAGCCCAGTGGATCTGGCCTTCATGCACACCCAAGGGGCGGATCAAGATGATGAATATTCGTGGAGGTTACAACACACATCCTTCAACCCGCGGGCGATTCCACAGACCGTCGTTGGAGTTCAAGAAGGCACGGTTGCCTCATTCCCATTGAAGATGCGCCACGCCGATACCTACATCGGAGAGCGTGTTGCTTTGGTGGGAGATGCTGCTCATACCATTCACCCGCTGGCAGGCCAGGGCCTGAACCAGGGCCAAGGCGATGTGCAGAGCCTGGCCAAGACGATCGAATTTGCCGTCACCCATGGACAGGATATCGGAAGTATCATGTCACTCGAGTCCTATGTATCGGAACGATACACAGCAAACCATGTGCTCCTTGGGGTCGTTGATAAGCTTCATAAGCTCTATTCTGCCGAAAGTGGCCCGTTAGTGCCCTTGAGGTCACTGGGCCTGAATGCCGTTAATGCTCTTGGGCCGTTAAAGAGCTTCTTCATGAAGCAGGCTGCGGGAAGCGGCACCAAGCTCTTCTGAGCTCCGCCCCTCCATTTTCAAACAGGATGGGCAGCTTTTGGAGTAGTGTATATTTACTTGTACCAACTTTAGCCATGTGTCATGTATCACCATACCCCGTACGAGTTTGCTTCTAGGGGACAACTGAACCGATCTTCCGCGAGATCATTGGTAAAGCGGAGCCTCAAGACCCCTCAATAACGCTGCGAGACGGACCTGTTCGATGTTTGAATCGTGACTCCCGTCTGTGACAAACACTCCCAATGGACCTAGACAACCTCTTAAACCACATCAGATCACAAAATGCCCCTTACGCGATCTCCTGACGATTCAGTCCCATATCCTTCGACTCACACCGAGGCAACTGAGCTAGGCTTCAGCCGTTGGTATACTCTACCTGTAACCCTACATCGATTACCTTCATGGCCAGGCCCTCCGGCTCATTGGACTTCCATTTGCCTTGTCCCTTTCGCGGCTCCGATCTGTGCAGTCCACTCTTTCTTCTTCCTCGCGCTGGCATCGGTAGCATCAACCGACTAGTCCTGGCCTGTTCGTCCGCAATCACTACGTTCTGCCAAAGGAAGAGTATCAACCTGCCGTATCTTGTTGAATGGGCGCGGGCAAGGTGCTCAACCTTGCGTACCTGGAGCAACAAAACCTTATTTTGCGAGCCCAGGCAACAACTTGGATCACAACCCTCACTGAGCGCAGCTATCTGTACGAGCCACGATCTGTTTACATATCCAGCCAGCCATCTATCATATTATCTCTAGGTAGACCTCTCCACTGGAGGGGACTATCAGCTTTCACAGGATCAACATAGAACCTGCCGCAGTTCTACAGTCGCGAATCAGACGAATCATCTACAAGTGACTGGTCGACTCATCCGGTGCCTCATCGCAGTCCTAGATCGAGCATATTGCGGAATTGGTCATCTGCGGCGAAATTAGCTGATCGGTTGTTGGTTGGCATCCTCATCAACTTACACTTGGCTTACCTTTGCCGGCACCAGAAGCCGATCGCATCTGCCATCCGCAGTGATTGCGCTTCAAAACACTGCGGTGTCAGCCAGGTGCTCATCTGTTTGTCGTACAATGAGGATAGGCCCGTTCGAACATCAGAGTATTCAAATTCGGTACCGAATATCAAACGCTCGGGAAGGACTCAGATGCCGTAATAGGCAGCCGAAGTTCGACAATCACTGATCCTAGAAGGCTTGTCGTCCTCAAACCCATTGAGTCCGCTCAATGCCACCGCCTAACGGTTGACGACACAGTTACAACAACATCGAAGGAACCTTCAACGGGTAACCGAAGCAGGAAATTAGGATCAGTTGGCAGTTCCACACATTCAACATCTGTCAACAACAGAGCATGAAGCCTTTGCCGATATCCCTACGCACCGATATTCTTCGATCGACTATAGCCCTAGTTCCTAAGCAATACCTCCAGAGTGTGGCTTAGCCAGACCGAACTGATACGAAATATCCTCGTGAGCGGCCCAAGTTAACAGAGGGATGTGTATCCAAGAGTATATCGCCTACCAATGTGGGCACCGAACGCCGGGCGTCGTCCGCCCATGCCCCCTTACCACCGCAGGACACAACTTCCCCGTCTGCACCATTCATCCGTCGAAGCAACACCTGGCACACACCATGTGCGGTCCTTGTGAGAGACTCCTACACTCACGATGGGTGCTCATTCGGGAGTGGGAGCATCGCTGGCTGCATGAGCGTGGAGTTTGCGGTTGTGATGTGGTCTTCCCCGGCCTTCTGACCCGGCCTCGCGTGATTGGCAACGTCTCAGGCTCAGAGGAGGACGTCACCGAAGGGACCCGAGGCGACACAATCGGACGTTATGGATCTGCCACCCCCGGTGACACAGCGGAGGCAGCAGAAGAGGCACAAGGACAAGGTCGTACAGGAGGGAATTATCACATCCCGCCCATATTCACCGAAACCGCCGCCGGCGATCAGCAACGTGTTGCCATCCGTCTTCCCAGCTTGTACGCGGCAGAGTGGCTAGCTGATCACCGCGCTCTTCATGACAGTGGACGATGCCAGTGTTCGGTCCAGTTCACGCCGTTTCAGCCTGACGTGGGAGAGTACGATATGACCACCGAGGAACGGGAGTTTCTCGAGGAATACCGCCATACTGAAAGCCGCAACCGGGCGATAAACGAGAGTGAGGAGGAAATCGCTTTGCGGATGGCACAGATTAATGAGACGTTTGGACCATTTGATCCTGCTGCGGCTGCTGCATCATCATCCCCGACCAAACCGCAACCGCCTCTTGTATCTGATTTACCTCCTCCCACCGGCCCTCGTCGTGCTAGAGCTCCCTCACATCACTGCCAGGGCCAGGGCCATGACCTTCCTCATCGACAGTCTCATCAAGGACAGGTTGGACACTACCACAACCAGCCAAGGTATGCCACCTCTTCGACTTTGGCCACGAACACCTCCGTGCCCTTCTTCCCCCAGGGGCAATCTTGTGATCCGGCAGTTCAGTATCAGCAGCGACCGGACCTTTTCGGCCTGGCAGATCAGCTTGTGCAGCTCTCTATTTCGACTCCAAAGGGAGGAGGAGGAGGAGGAGGAGGAGGAGGAGGAGGAGGAGGAGGAGGAGGAGGAGGAGGAGGTCACTTCGATTCGTCGTCCTACACAGGTGTGCCGCAGCAGCCGAACTACGACAACAATGAACAACACGTCTACGGACCACACACCTTCGTACCAATGGGCATCATTTTCCCCGATGATCATCACACTCACAATCCCAATACTCAGGACGGACAGGGACAGCATCAGCAAGAACTTCGCTCCCTAACCAGTAGTCTCCCCCCGCCCCCGCTTCTTCCATTTTCATTTCCATTTCCACCGTACTGTGGTCTGCCCGTTGGCTCCGGACCAGAGGGCAGTGAAGTACACATGCCTGAGTGGGAGGAGTGCCCGCTGAGGAGATGCAAGTCGAGTTTCCAACCTGGACCTAGTTCTGGAGTCGGCAGGGTGCCCCTGAGCGAGATTGAGGAGACTGGAATTGAGAGCGACGGGGGGGCTACGAAGGAGAATGAAACTGAGATCGGGGAGGAGGTTGGAACTGAAACCAATACCGGAAACGGGAACGACGGAAACGGGAACGACGGAAACGGGAACGACGGAAACGGGAACGACGGAAACGGGAACGATGCTGAGAGCGGTTGTTGTGAAACTCAAGTTGGTCACGCTGAGCAGCACCAGCAGCAGCACCAGCAGCATCGAACTAATTTGGGAGGAGGAGGAGGACACCAACGGAGTTGTTCGTTCTCCTGAGCGGGATTTGTGGATTTTTCTCTATATGAGAGAGTCCTTGGACTGGTGAGTCGGCGTCCTACCCTCGTTCCGTCCCCTCCTTGACTTGATCGAGTATATCGATTTCTCCGAACACGAAGAGACTGGTTGCTTGCTACGGGAAGTGACTCAATTGAGGTCTAATTAACAATACAGGCAAAGCAGCGAACCAAGAAAGACAGAGAGGCTATATACAGTCTTTCCACAGCGAAGTGTGACGACTGGACGGCTGGATGGATGGAGATTCGCAACTCAGCAGAGGCAGGGAGCAAGTGTTCGCTTCCACCACCACCACCATGTTCTACGGCAGCCAGTCCAGCGGCTGGGAGCGAGCGAGGTTATTGTAACAAATAAGCAGTCGTTGCGTTGCGTTTTTTCCGGTTCGTTTTACAGCATACAACCATACAACCAGCAAGGGTTGGTACAAATACATCAACAGAAAAAAATATTGACAGAGCAAGAACAACACCCACGTGTTGCAAACAACGACGACAGACCATGACATAGAGAGGGGGGGAAAAAACCACGGCAAAGCACCCTCTCACTTCAGTCTTTCTTTAGAAAAACCAACGACTGAATTGGCCATTCTTCTTCTCTTGCTGGTCTGGTCTACCTTTATCTATGTTTCCTGTTCCGTTTTGCCAAGGGATAAGAGAAGAAGAAGAAGACAAAACGTCCCACCTTTATCAGCAAAACCTAAGTACTGTTTCTCCTTTCGGCTTTCTTCAAAGGTAAACCATCGCGCGCGGCCTGCTTACCCGCCTATTCACTATGCTTCATTTATCAAAAAGACCATCTCATCTGTTGCGTTGCGTTGCGTTGCGTTGCGTTGCGTTGCGTTGCGTTGCATTCCATTTCATAAGCTTTACAGCAGGAGCTTCCACATTACCGATCGACCTCACCTAAGGGAGAAACAGGTGTTAGCTACCAAACTAGTTAGGATTCTCGAGAGGGGAGGGGGGGAGGTTTAGGGAACGAGAAAAAAATAAACTTACCAAACACCAAATCCATTGTGCCGATAACAGCCACAGCATCAGCCAACATGTGGCCCCTCGACAAGTGATCGAAGCCACCCAGATGAGCAAAGCCCGGAGCGCGGATGTGCACACGGTACGGCCTCTCGGAACCATCACTGACGACATAGACGCCCATCTCGCCCTTGGGGGCCTCGATAGCCGAGTAGGTGTCACCAGGCGGGACGGCATAGCCCTTGGTGTACAGCAAGAAGTGATGGATGAGAGCCTCCATGTTCTCCTTCATGGCGGAGCGAGGGGGAGGGGAGATCTTGTAGTCCTCGACGCGGACGGGGCCGGCGGGCATCTTGTTGAGGCACTGGTGGATGATGCGGAGCGACTGGCGGAACTCCTCCATGCGGCACAGGTAGCGGTCGTAGCAGTCGCCGTTGATTCCCACGGGCACGTCGAACTCGACCTGGTCGTAGGCGTCGTACGGCTGGCTCTTGCGGATGTCCCACGGCACGCCGGAACCGCGCAGCATGACGCCCGTGAAGGACAGGTTCAGGGCGTCGGCGGCAGAGACCACGCCGATGCCGCGCAGACGGTCGATCCAGATGCGGTTGTCCGTGAGCATCTCCTCGGTCTCGTCGATGCGGTCGCCGAACTGCGTGGCCCACATGTAAATGTCATCGAGCAGGCCGAGAGGGAGATCTTGGTGGACACCTCCAGGGCGGACGTAGGCGGCGTGGAGACGGGCACCAGAAACTCGCTCGTAAAATTCCTATGTTTTTTTGACACATTAGTTTAAGGTGCTGGGGTTGGGTGTTGCATGATATTTCAGGTATTTTCGCGTAGAGTTTCCCGCATTGAGTTTTATATACCCATCTGATAGAAACCTCCGATATTTAAACAGATGAACCAATTAAACTCACCATCAGCTTCTCTCTTTCCTCGAAGCCCCACAAGAAAGGCGTGAGAGCACCGACGTCCATGGCGTGAGACAGAACAGACATGAGATGGTTGAGAATACGGGTGATTTCGGCGAACATAGTACGAATCCACTTGGCGCGTTCGGGGATCTCAACGTTGAGCAGCTTCTCGACGGCCAGAGCAAAACATTGCTCGTTGGTCATCATGGAGACGTAGTCGAGACGGTCGAAGTAGGGCAGCGCCTGGAGGTAGGTCCTGTACTCGCACAGCTTCTCGGTGCCGCGATGCAGCAGGCCGACGTGGGGGTCGGCACGGACAATCTCTTCACCCTTGAGCTCGAGAATCAGGCGCAACACACCGTGAGCGGCCGGATGCTGGGGACCGAAGTTGACCGTGTAGTGCCGCACCTTGCGGGCCAGGATATGATCCTGGGGAGGCGCTCTCGGGGCACCTTCCGCCTTCAAGGCCTCCAAACCGTAGAGATCCTCGTTGGGCGCAAAGTCCTCGCCGGTAGGGACCAGACGGGTTCCTTGGCCCTCGTAGCTGGGCTCGGCATACCGTCTGAGAGCGGAGGCAGAAAAGGCACGAGTCGAGTTGAGGTTGTTGAAGATGGGGGCGCTGGGGCGCATACAATGTCGCTTGGCATTGCGCCCAGCGAGTCGGAACAGCGACGTCGCCATTGTTGTTAGAGGGACTGTCGCTCGGAAGGTCGGGGGCCGGGAATGGATGGATTCGGAGGAGGATGGACGGCGACGAAGAGACAAAGGGGAGGTTCGCCGGTGGGTGTGGCCTCTTCTCCGGCGTTTCAATGGCTCGCAGTGAGCTTGCGATGTGATAGCAGCAGTACTGTATGTAGCAAGGTGGTGGTGGGGATGCTTGACGTCCACTCGAGTTCCCAGACCACGGCAGCGGCAACGCCCGAGCTTCGAACTCCTCAAATCGTTGCCGTCAAACAGTTGGTCAGTGATTTCAATCCAATCAGACGCCATCAGTTGAGCAGCCATTCCAATGTCACTCCCCCACGGCGGGCAAGCTCGTCTCGACTGTTGCCGGCCAGGGCGTTTATCCGGCAGCCGGCCAGGGCGTTTATCCGGCAGCCGGCCGCCAAGCGGTGCCATGGATGACAGGGTTGTATGTCATCTGATTGGCTGACATCTTGACTTTGGTTAGACTCTTTCGCCAGGCAGTGTAAGTTGGAAATTGGGCTTGTTGGTTGAAGATTTCCAAGAAAAGAGGGAGAAGGGAAGAGCATGTCCGCATTTATATCTTTGTTACCAGAGAGATCCAACATGTGCTGGAGTTAAGAGTGGAGTTAGTCAACAATGTCACTTACTCGCGACAAACCTCCATGTGGACATTGAATTCGAAGCCATGATGTCTCCCTCGCCGGAGCTACAAAGCCGTGGATTTTGGACTGATACTCTCGACATGCAAGTATATCTAGTTGAAGTATCTTCATACCTGCCTCTTGCAATTGGAAATTCAGCTTTCTCTCTACGCCCCAGGTTTCGTCCATGTTCGAAGTCGACAACCTGACCAGAGGTTATGGTCCGCCATGTACCCTGTTGGCCTTGTCATTGCGGTTCTGTCCACAATGTCTCCGCCGAGGCCCATCAGCACTGAGCCAGGCAGTCCCTGAACCTCTCCGCCACTGGCTGCAGCGCGATAAGATCTCAACCGGCCAATCAGCCGCGCTCCCGCAAAGGCGGTCAAAAAGTTTCCCGTTCATGGGAAAAATTCTGCCGCTCCATCGCCCGTCGCAGCAAAGAGCTCTCTTTCCCAAGAATTTGCCCGGCGTGCCGACCTGTGATAGCGAGAGGGTAACCCCGCCAAAGCATTATTTACACATATCGTCGCAATGGGATCCTCAAAGAAGCAGACCGCGGTGCCCGTCAGGACAAAGGTCCCAAACCAAGAAGAGATCGAGAAGCGCAACGTACGTCAACAGTCAAGGCTGCGCATGCAACGAGAAACTGACTGCTGGCTTTATATTTTCTAGACTGTCCATATCAACGCCGAAACTGTCACCAATGTCACATCCACCGACTTCCCCGGTTTCTACCCCGGCGAGGACCATTCCTGGGATATCGAAAAGTTCCGCGAAAGCGTCCGCGTAGTGTTCCACCAGAACGACCCATATGAGGCTCAATTCTCGCTCATCGGCGTCGACGCCTCCATCGCCAACGCCTTCCGCCGCATCATGATCGCCGACATCCCCACGCTGGCCATCGAGGACATCTTCATGTGGAACAACACCTCGGTGATCCAGGACGAAGTTCTCGGCCACCGCCTGGGCCTGATCCCCTTCACCGGCGGCAAGGAAGGCCTCCACAACTTCCTCAAGTGGTACAAGAAGGGCGAGACGCCCTGCGACTACAACACGGTCGAGCTCGAGCTCAAGGTCAAGTGCGAGAACAACGAGAGCGCGCCGGCGGACAGCAAGGACCCCAAGGAGCTTTACCACAACGCCCACGTGTACGCCAAGGACATCAAGTTCGTGCCCAAGGGCCGCCAGGCCAAGTACTTCTCGGGCGAGAACGCCATCCGCCCGACCAACCCCGACATCCTCGTCGCCAAGATGCGGCCGGGGCAGGAGATCGACCTGACGATGCACATGCACAAGGGCGTCGGGTCCGACCACGCCAAGTTCTCGCCCGTCGCCACGGCCTCGTACCGCCTCATGCCCACCATCACCATCCTCGAGCCGATCCTGGGCCGCGACGCCGAGAAGTTCCAGAAGTGCTTCCCCGAGGGCGTCATCGGGCTGGAGAAGGTCACCAAGGAGGAGGCGAAGAAGAAGGGCAGCGGGTACGAGGGCCACGAGGGTGAGGTCAAGGCCGTGGTCCTGGACGCCATGCGCGACACCGTCAGCAGAGAGTGCTTGCGCCACGACGAGTTCAAGGACAAGGTCAAGCTCGGCCGAAGGAGGGACCACTTCATCTACCTGGTGGAGAGCACGGGGCAATGGGAGAGCGACGCCATCTTCCTCGAATCGATCGCGCACCTCAAGGAGAAGGCGAAGAGGTTCGAGAAGCAGGTGGTGAACATGGTACAGTAAATGTTGTACTAGGGTCAGGGGAATCAAAGACAACACGAGAAGAGGTGAGGTGATTTTTATGTAGGATGGTGTTGAAACAGAATTTGAGCGATCATCATGTGGAATCACACAGGGAAAGAGGAAAAAGTCACACGGGATCGTGAGGATACCCTTCTCTCTTGTAACCATCTAAAAGAACATTGGAACGGCGTCACGGAGGCTAGGGATTGGTGGCCAGCTTTAGTTTAATGGTTTCTGCTTGTTAATTATTATAGACATGTCGGTGCACAGGATGTCATTACCAACTTGTCTTGCATAAACAATACCCCTGATTAGAATTGATGTCTTTCGCTACGTAGAGGTAGTAGGTTTTGAAGCACATGATTAAAGATATCTTGTATTGATATTGACTCAAAGGAGTGGCCAGCAAATTCGTCGCTATAACCCCCCTTCAAAGCCTGTCATTCCCCGCTGCTTGTTGTGTGACGCTCCCGCTTGTAAGCAATCTACAAATTCAACCCGACTACAGCATAAACATAGTCCAGCCAGGCCAGGCGAAGCAACCACAATTCTTAAATGCCATGGAGTGTTCATGCAAACCTGAGGCTAAAGTTGAACACCACTCCTACAAACGCTGGATCAGTAACGGCGATCTCGGTACCTGCCGTCAGCCCAAGCTCCTCAAGTGTCTTCTCCAAGTTCGGTCTCGTCTGCTCCTCCAAGCTCGGGGGCAACTGCATGTACAGCGTCTTTCCCTCGGCGCGGACCGACGGCTTCTTCAGCTGCGCCTCGGGAAGGGTGGCGAACGATTCGATGAGCTCCTCGAGCGTCCACTTGGGGTTGACCTTGAGCACCCTCGCCGTCATGCCGCACACGGGGCAGTCCTCCTTTTGCTCGTGCTTGAACGTATACGTGTAAATGCTGTCGTTGCCGGAATACATCATGTAGTTGGGCTCGCCTTCGCCGGGGGTGCCCAGAAAGGGTGCACAGCTGGACGCGATCTTGAGCGCCTCGTTGCAGCAGGCCGCGGCGATGACCGAGTTCGTGGCCGCGATGGCCGGGATGATGTTCTTCACCACGCCTTGCGTCGAAGAGTACGTGACGCCCGAGATGTTGAACTCCTTTGCTCGTTCGAGCGCCTTCTGGTAGAGCCAGGTGATGTGCTCCGGGTCGTCCTTGTCAAGCTGGGGGAACGGCTTCTCCTTGTCCCAGGCGATGACGTGCGCCCATTCGATGCAGTGTTCCGGCTGGCGAGGGATGCTGGCAAGAGTGCAGAGAGGGACGGCGGCTCGCGGAGCGTGCATGTCGAGCTGGCACTCGATACAGGAGCCCATGGTCGGTAGGATGACGCGTGCTTGGCCCTTGAAGCCCTCGGTGCCGCCGTCGATTAGCGGTTTCATACTGTCAGGGTTCTCGTAATTTGCCATGTTGACAAGCGTGGCGTTGATCCATCGGCGAGCCTCGATGCTGTCCAGTCCGCAGACTACAATCTGGAACTGCTGGTAGAATTCTTCGTCGAAGTCCTGTATCTTGCAGTTATATGGCGTAATCTTGACACCTTTTACCCTTCTCTCAACGAACTTGGCAGCTACTTCGGCTTTGAATTTCCCTACGTCCGCGTGGCGGAAGAGGAACTGGCGGTTAAGGTTGGAGATGTCGATCGTATCTAGGCTTCCAGGTCAGCTCTTGATAACATATACTCTCCTATAGAGGACAACCGACCCATGTCAATGACGGAAATGTCCTTGAACCCGGAAAGGGCGAGGTTCTTGAGGATCTCACACCCTAGTCCTCCTGCTCCGCTAATCTGCTGTCAATTTTCACAATCATGGCTTGTTGAAGCACTGGAATGAGACTAACATGACTCTGGAAAAAGCGATCAGCTTCTGCTTGAGATACACATACACTTGACATACCGCCAGTTGGGCCGATGACTTACAGGATTTTGATTTTGTCCATGTTCTCCACCACCGTTGAGCCGTCAAACCCATCCGGATCCACGAACGCGCCTGGCCGTGTTCGGACATTGTCGAGATATTTCCTATGGTAAAGGTAGCGTGTTAGCTGTTGGGTCACAAGATTTCAGGATATGGAATCTAGGGGGGTGTTCTTGGGTTACGGTCGAGAGCGCATGACACCTACCATCTTTTCGACTCTGAGCCTGGGAGTACTTCCGCACTTGACATGACTAGTTTATGGCTGGAAGGGGGGACTTCGCTGGTGAGAATAAGAAGAGAGGCGGACGGCGGGTAAGATGGGAATAGTGATAAGATTCGCTGGTAAGTCGGAGCTCACAGATTGTTGCGAGTTGAATGTATGTACAATAGAGGGGTGAGTTGACGGGACAACAAACAACGGAACTGGAGGGGGAAGCTTGCGGGGACTTCCCAAGGATGGGAGATGGTGAGTGGATAGCTCCTGCCGCCCTGTTAGTGGATACCCTGTAGGTTGCCAACGGCGGCAACCGGAAGTGCCCGAGAGTGTGGTTCAGGGCCCCTATAGGGAAGGGACGACTGCCTGCACAGTGGATCAGTTAGTAGCAGCAATACGCTATCATCCCCCTGTTGCTTTCCGTTTAACGCAGATGAATGTCAACAAGAGACGGAACTTCCACTTTCCAATTTCTCTTTCCATCGTCAAACGATAGGTAAAGTTCCGGGGTTTGAATTTGATATCAAGCCCAGCCTTTGTGATCCAAAGTGTTCACCAACTAACTTCATTTCAGATAAATGAGATGGACGGCCTTTTGACGCCCATCAGCACCTCCCGCCTGAGTGCGAACCACAACGAACCTCTGCTCCAGGAAGTCGGCCTCATAAAGGAAACAGCAAAGCCGAACGAACCTCTACTACAGGAAGTCGGCCTCAAAAAGGAAACAGCAAAGCCGAACCGGTCTTCTGGTCAGAGGCCCTTGAACTCGCCCGAGGAAGCCCTCGAAGTTTTACGACATGAACCTGACTACGACCAGCTAGTCGCTACTTTGCGATTCCTCAGCCATGAGGATCTAGCCGGGTCCGCATTCAGCATCAAGGAGCCAAGTCCTATGACCGCAAAGCTAGTTCAGGTGCTGGTGTCAGAAATCGTCCCGAACTATTGGACGTTGCTAAACGAAGACTCCCATGAAACCAAGTCTTCGGCCTTAGGACTTCTGCTAGCTTGTCTACGCAGTCTTACGGGAATCAGGGCGATTATTGTGCGTCTGAAGGCATTGCTACAAGAGGCAAAATCGGGCGATGGCAAGCCCAAGCGACCAGATATCGCCATCAACCTGGCAGTCCTTCTCAACTTGGTATGCCTGTTACTAAAAGGCGATGATTCCATACGTGGCATTTGGAACGCGGCTACAAGGACCCTGAAAGGGGACGTCAAGACCAGAATGCTCTCGCAAGAGATTCTGTTGACCTTTGGCAGTGGTCGGATCCTTTCACTGACTGCAGAGGCAATTGAACATGCGAAGGATCACAAAGCAGAAGTTGACGTCAGCAACATCTGGCTCGCAAATGGGTCAGAGTATACCAAGTGGTTAAGCGGAAACATTGTCAAGTGGCAACTCACCTCGCCGACACCGGATGAGACGAAGCTTTGTTCCGAGTTGTTCTTGAAGGCTCTACGACTGGGACACTCCGGTAAGACGGCTCCGAATGACTCTAGTTTCTGAGACGATGGCTGACCTGGGGCAGATGCGGCCATGAAATGTGTCCTTACCAGGTTGCTACTTGCCCAAGGGGCCGACAATGAGCGCTTCGGGTCCCTGTTGGGTAATCTCCCTCGAAGCGAGCGGCGTAAAGTTCTCTTTTCGGTCTTGAAAACGTTCGCCGAGGACCATCTTAATCGGTTGGGCACGTGTGATGCCGAAGGCAGCAGAGAAATGGTATCCGCAGTAGCTGGTGCAATCAGCTCTATCATAAACCATGATCCGGATAGACTGGCCTATCTTGTCGAGTGGCTGACAGGTTCATCTGGCGCTGGACTTGGCGACTCTATCGGTATCCGACGAGCCGTGGTGGCAGTTGTCTCTCAGGATAGGGACTCTATCGTCAGTGTGCTTGAGAAGAGCATCGCCCAATTCGGAGATCAGTTATACGTCAAACACTCTCCTATGTTGCAACAAGAAGGTTGGTTCTGGCTTCAAACAACGTCTCTTTCTTCTTTAGCGTAACTAACGGTTTCAAAGTGCATGCGCAGGTGCTGCTCCTGAGCGCTGGATACGTCCACAAGATCTCGCCCTTGAAACTCACACTGCTGATGAGATCAAGCCCTTGGCTAAATGCTATCTCCAACAGGCTATCGTCGTCAAACCAGAGGGCTCGTTTCCTGGGCATGGTCATTGGCGAAGGGCTTTCCAGTCTCGTTGATAAGGGTGATAAACGCCTGAACTTCCAGCTTGAAGAGACGGAACTGCCGGAAGGAAAGTGGTACAAGAGTCTTGTTGAGATCCACGACACTCTCGGCTCATGGGATTCGCTACACAAACCTCATAAACCTGTGCCAAAAAGGAAAGACTTCAAAAAAGCTTCCCATAAGCCAGCACCATCACAGCCTCGGACCCAGGGGTTTATCATCGAGGAACTAAGCGATGAGGACCTTAGTGAGCAGGATGATATTGTTGGCTACGGAAAGCCCGACTCAGATGCCGAAGACTCGGATGACGATCCTGAATTAGTCAAGAGAGACAAGGCCAAGGCACCAGTTTATATCAGAGATCTCATCAGATACCTCCGCGACACTGACGATTATGATCGCCAGAAACTTGCACTCGTCACCGCCCCAACGCTCATTCGACGAAAGGCCAATTACGGCACAGAGGTCACTGACCACGCAGAGGAGCTGGCGTCCTTACTAGTCGGTCTCCAGGACAAGTTCGAAATGGACAATTTTGATGATCTGCGGCTGCAGGCAATGATTGCCATCGTTGTTGCGCAGCCCCAGCTCATGGGTCAGTGGTTCGCAAAGACCTTCTTTGACGGAGACTACTCGGTGTCTCAGCGATCTTCCATCCTTGCCGTCTTGGGTCTAAGTGCCCGTGAACTTGCCGGGTTCGAGACATCCGAGTACGCAGCAGCTGCATCCTTCCCTTCCAAAAGCCTCCCAGAGAAAGTGGAGAGGCTGTTCATCAGCCAAGGCCCTTCAAACGCGTATCAAAGCTCCTCCTCATTGAAGCCTCTGCCTCACAACGCGCTCGAAAGCGTAGCAACGTCCATCACGTCGAGCTTCCTTGCGCCCCTATCAGCAGCCGCCGCCGACTCCACCACCGGGCCCGATGTGCTGAAGCTTTCCACCTTCAAGTCCCGTCTTCCCGGCGACGAGGGCAGCAATGACGCAGCAGCAGCAGAAGAACAGCACATTAGCAACCCCAAAATCAAAATCAAGTCCCGCACCAAACCGCGCATCCGCGCCATCCCCAACACCACCGCTCACCTCATCTCCACCTCCTTCTTCAACCCCCTCACGGCCCGCTTCCAAGCAGCGCTGCACTCGTCCGTCTCGCGAATCCGTGGCATCATGTTCCAGCCGTACCTGCTAGCACTCTACCTCAAGACCCTCGCTCTATTGCTCCATGCCGCGGGGCCCAGCACCCTCGCGCTCCCCCAGATGACGGGAGAGCTGTGGCGGCTCCTGCTGAGCACGAGCGTGCGCGCGCAAGCTGTGGGGGACGTCGGTGTCACGCAGGCGGTTTTGTTTGGGTTGTTGACGTTGCTGGATGTCAATGAGGACCGCATGAGGGATGTCTGTCAGGAGTTGGGGAAGGAGGTGGTGGAGACGGAGGGGTGGGTGGCGGGTGTGTTTGAGGGATTGAGAGGTGGTGATGAGGGTGGGGAGGAGGAGAGGACGAAGATGTTGGCTGCGGGGGTGCTGGTTAGGTTGAGGGAGGGGGTGGAGAAGTATAGACTGATGATGGTTGGGGATTTGATTGGGCTGTGAAGGGTGGGCTTTTGTTTGTTGGGCTGAGAAGATGGAGACAGAAAGGTAGGAAGACTAGGGAGAATGAGAGGGGTGTGGTGGCGAGGTGGGTGTAAGAGTACTGTCTTCAGGGTGACAGAGGAAGAATTGTACGATGGTAATCTGTCGAAGTAGAGAGGGCAGGTGTCTGTCTAGTTTTTTGTTGAAAAAAGAAAGGAAAACCTGATGAAAAGCAAAACGAAACAAGATTTCAGATGCGCTGGCTATGATCGATGCTTCCATACCACCAAGACACATAGTAGTAAAAAATAACAAAAAGATTGCGTGGAAGAGCTGAGCCAGGAACCCCTAAAACACCTCCCTTATGGCACCTAAAGAGCACTGTAGCAAAAAGAGCAAGACAACCCAACGCCGGGAGTGGTGACGATTAGGGTGATCATGTGACTTGTGGATCTACTGACGCCAGCCGGCTTGGCGCATGGGGTACGTACCCATGCAGCGCTAAAATGGCCCGGGGGGCACCGGACAAGTCGGCTGTGGAACTGGATGGATTGCAACATTGACAAATCAATTGGCACCATTCATTGAAATATTTCGAGGGACAAGGTTGTTGAAGTCTTGCTTGTTTCCTATTCTCTTGCATATTCCCTTCAGCATACTACATACTTCACCATGGGGTCCCAAGCTTCTTCCCTTACCGCCCTTCGTAAGTACCTCTGCACAACTAACCGACTGTTTCCGGCATAAAGCGCTCTCGCTGTCCGCGCGGTGACTAACCATCAATGCGCTTGTTTACTACAGCTTCCGCCGTTCCGGCGCAAATTACGACTCCTTCCACCGATGCCCCCGCGAAGCCCAAGGTGCGCCTCCGACCCCCCGATGAACACCAGCTCACGGATACCACGAGGTTAATTTACGAATACTAAAAATAAACAACAGCCGTGCTGCGTGTGCAAGGAAGAGAAGGCCAAGCGCGACGACTGCATGCTTTTCTCCAAGTCCGATGACCCCCAGAAGGACTGCGTGTCGACGATAGACCAGTACCGCGCGTGCATGGCTGGTTTCGGCTTCAAGGTCTAAGACAGATCTTCGTGCGAGCGACCGAGCGATCAGCAGTAGCAGAAGCAGTAATGACCGACGACATGATGAGTCCAAAACACAATATCCATGTATAATAAATACTACTACAACCACAACCGTGCTGGCCAGCACCGGAGGCGGCGTTCTCAGGCATAAAATCATACTACGGCATCATACATTTGTACAACAATAGAAAAGGAGGGAAAGAGACTCTTGGTTGAATCTGCATTGTTGGGTCATTTACAATTTGGTTCTCCCACTTCCCTACACTCGCCGCCGGGACATCGGCTCTTCGCCAGTTCTCATGGTCTCTAGCTGAGCCGGGTAGTGTACGAAACACCTTAGTCTCACTGACTTTCACGGTCGGCAGCCCGTTCTACCATTTCCATCCTCCCAATCCAGAGCCTACGAGATCACCGTCCGAGAACACACATGGTCAAACACTAAACCCGTCAAATGCGACCACAACGAAATCACATCACCATCAACGAGTTCAGCACAAAGCATTAGCAGCCTCCCATTCCTCCCTGATACCAACCTTCACCACAGCAGCAGCCGGCCTTGACGAAGCTTCCTTTGAGACCATGGATCCCTGCGCACCCCCAGGCAGCAGCTGCTGGCCCAACGACTTGTCCACCTTAGGCGACGCGGCACCGTCCTCCTCAGGCTTCTTAGGCTTAGGCTGGGGCAACATGGCAGCCAAGTCCTTGCGACGACCCTCGTATAAGGCGCAGAGCTGAACACTATGGTTGCTCATGATGCGCTGCACATCGGCCAGCTTCTTGGCGATGGCTGTGAGCTTTTGGTCGCGGGCTTCTACTGCTTTCTTGAGTCGAAGGAGACGGCTTGTGTGCATGGCTGAGCTGCAAGTACCATGATCATGGAGAATTAGAACAACGAGGGCGAGATGTTTTTTTTTCCCCCGAGAATGCGACATTGGAACGGGAACGAAGTGAACGGTCTAACGGCGGGGCCTGGTTGGTAGGTTCCGGTACTTATCGAGGTAGACTTACTGGAGGTCATGATACTTGGAAACCGACTTCTTCACGCGGTCTTGGATGGAGGAAAGTGCGCTTTGGTAGGCTGATAGCAGGGCCTTGCGCTTCTTATCTCGCTCTTCTCTTGCCTGGAATTTTGAGAGAAATCAAGATTATGGCTAGATGAGTGTTTTCGTTCACCGGAATAATGCTTGAGTTCGCTCTTCGTTCTTGATTGATGACCATACCTTCTTGAGACGTGCTCTAGCAGCGCTGGCTTCCTGGAGTCGCAGGTTGTATGCTTGGTAGTCGTCATCGGAACCCGAATCGTCAAGTGCGGTGCCAGTCGATTTCCTGAGCCTGGACTTGGCGGTGCTGGCTGAGGGAGCCATGATTGGACCAGGACGTTTTTATTCTTGAATGTAGAAAGAAAGGAGGGCTACTATGTAATCAAATAGCAGACTACAACGGGAAACTTGAAGTCAAAGTGGTCAGAGAAGTGTCAGATGAACGGGAGTTCGTCCAGAATTCACGACGATTGATGTCCTCGGAAGTCGGCAGGCAAGTGTAATTCTCCACATTTAGATCCAGAAGGAGCAAGTGACAGGCACCTCCCCTGCAGCGATGGACCACAGTCCCCAGACTGTGTGGAAATTGAGGGCGGTGAAAACTGGCAGATCGTTGATGGGATCGCAGGCCCCCGCCAAAAAATTGAATGCAGCAGCACAGACAAGGGCGTCCCGAAATTCGAACGTTTAGTTGTACACCAAGCCCATTGACCTTTGACGACTCAGCACACAAGCTGAGAACCTCGTCAACGACGTCAAGCAATCATGGGTCTCGCCGCTGCCAAGAAGTGAGCGCATATTGGATGGCTGTGCTCCCCTTGTTTACAACGTGCTAATCGCGAAACTTCAATAGCAAGCGGAAGCTGGGAACCGACCCCAACAACACGAAATGGTCCCGTAACGAAACCACTTTCGGCCAAAAGATCCTTCGCGCCCAAGGCTGGCAGCCCGGCGAGTTTCTGGGCGCCAAAGATGCCGCGCATGCCGTACATCACACGGAAGCCAGCTCGTCACACATCAAGGTCACGCTCAAGGACGACAATCTCGGTCTCGGCGCGAAACGGAACAATGGCGACGAGTGCACCGGTCTCTTCGATTTCCAACATCTTCTTGGGCGACTGAACGGAAAGAGCGAGGATGTCCTGGAAGCTGAGAAGCAGAAGCGCGAAAACCACATGCGCAACCACTACTTGGAACAAAAGATTGGAACGATCCGCTTTGTCAGAGGCGGCTGGTTGGTTGGTGACGTGGTCAAGGAAAAGGTGACGGAAGAGGACGGCGTACCACAAAGCGATGCTGCCGACGAACAAGCGAAGACAACTCCTTCCCAAGACACCAACAGCGCCGAGCCCACAGAACACAAATCCAAGAAGAGGAAGGCAGATGCGGACAGCGACGAGGAAGAGGAGAAGGTGGAAAAGAAGGACAAGAAATCGAAAAAGCGGAAGACCGACACCGAAGCTGAAACAGACAGCGAGTCCTCCAGGTTAAAGAAGAAGGAGAAGAAGGACAAAAAGGAAAAGAAGGACAAGAAGGACAAGAAAGACAAGAAGGATAAGAAGGACAAGAAGGATAAGAAGGACAAGAAGAAGTCGAAGGACGCGAAACAGTCTGAAGAGAGCTCTTCAGATGACGTAGAATCGTCTGCTACGGAGACCAAGAAGTCGAAGAAGGACAAGAAGAAGGAGAAGGAGAAAAAAGACAAGAAGAAGGACAAGAAAGAGAAGAAGCGCAAGGAGAAGGAGTCGTCAGACTCTGCCACAGAAAGTGAAGACAGCAAATCGAAAGATAAGAAGAGGAGGAAAGACGGTGCTGAAACAGAGGCGAGCACACCAGGTGGAAGCGGTACTTCTACGCCTACTGTTACATCTTCAACCCGGTTCTTGGCCAGGCAAAGGTTCATTGCGCAGAAAAAGATGGCTTTCACCGACAGCGCAGCTCTCAACCAGGTCAGTACTTCAACTCTGGTGAATCTCCCCGTTCTTTGAGTGTCACCACTAACTTATTTATGTCTGCAGATTTTCATGATCAAGTCATAGTACATAATTGATGTGGTCGGCTGGGAAGCCTTCTATGTTGCGTACTAGTTTCTTTTGTTCCATACCTCATGATAAATTTAGCGTTGCTTTTGACCCCAATACCTCATTCACATTATAGCAGCTTGTCTAATGAAAATGAGTTGAAGGTACCATTGTCATGGTTTGACCAAATCCGCCAGCTACTTCACCAACAATCCTGAATTATGATTGTTATGTGAACCTTAGGCTGAAAAACCTTGCGAACCATCTGTCACTTCATTACGACGCCGTTGATCGCACCTCCATTTTCGAAGCAGCTCTGCTGGTCGTGGCATTCAAGTCAAGGCCGACTGCTCGTCAATCCTGGCTGGATGCTTGGACCACCAGAAGACTGATGGAGTACTTGTTCCTGTTCATATATGTGTGGACGGGGCAGGCCAAGGCCGGCCGATCCTGCCCATGGGCAGCAGACGAAATGATGAACTAGTCTTACCTGGTATGATACTTGTGTGGTCTCTTTCTACCCCCCATGTCTATTATTTTAGTCTTGAGGATCAGAGTTCTGAAGGACTTACTCATCTTGAATCAGATATGCCTGATGATCCTATTTTTCCAGAAGTCCACGCGAACCAATGCTCTGTGACTAACGATGCGGGAAATCAACTTATTGTATTCCGTGTTCACATCGGCTCCATTGCGCCGGTTTATCAATACTCTGGCCCTCGAACTCGGACTGGTCGCGGACAGTGACAAGCACGCTCTGCCGCCTCGTGGCAGGTACTGCGTCCATTTTCCGTACGGGAGAGGTTTGTTCGGACGACGGAATCCAGCCGCAGAACACCCACGATCGCTTTCCGCTTTCTTTGCGCAAAATATTAATTCTGCCATAGAATGTCGACTGCTTCGGTTTTTGCTCACGGATCTTTCAAGGTCACGATTTGCAGTTGGTTGTTGGTTCTAGGGAAATAAACTATTACACGCGCCTTTGATCACTTTCCGGTTGGCACCCCCCGCCTTCACTCACCCTTCACTCACCCGACCTTCACCCTACTTTCGAAATCGCTACGCCCATCTGGCTACTTCTTTTCCCGCACTTTCTTTGCTACCCTTAGCACCAACCGCCGGTGGCCACACAACCGCATTTCCCGCGCGGCAGCATCTGGTGGCTACCTCGAACTCAACTCCGATCAAAACCCATCGCCGGAACGCAGTTCAACGTCATCGATGATGGAGAAGAAGAGCCTCCCAACGCGGTTTCAGCCGCTGTCGTATGCAAGCGCTCTCCGGGGGAAGCAAGGCGCACGTATCGAAGTCAAGCCGACTCCGACTCCGACTCCGATCCCGAAGACCGAAGCCCCTCTCAAACCTGCAGTCACATCTGTCCCTTCGAAATCAACTGTGCAGCAACCCCCACCAGCAGTGCCTAATCTCAAGCAGCCAGAGCAACCAAAGTCCGCTGTGCATACGAATTCCACGACCGCTTCGTCACGAGAGGAGTACCCGCAGCTTGCACAGCGTGTGGCTAAACCGAAGCTGGCTCCAGTATCTTATGCCCAAGCTGTGACTGGTAAAAGGACAGCCACGTTGGTGGTCAAGAAGAAGGAAAAGCAAGGGCCGCACACGGATCCGCAGAAGACAGAGGGGGAGACCACTGTGCATCAAGAGCTAGGGAAAAGTCCTCAGAAGAGTCCGCAGAAGAGTCCTGAAAAAGGTCCTCAGAAAAGTCCCGAGAAGGTTCCCCAGAAGGGTCCTGAGAAGAATTCTCAGAAGAGTCCCGAGAAGAGTCCTCAGAAGAGTCAGAAGAAAAGTCCGAAAAAGAAAAAGAAAAAAGGAAATACCAATCCAGAAGCGAACACGGCGGCGTCAGGTTCAGTCATCAAAACACAGCACATTCCTCACCACCAAAAGGCGTCCAAGCAGAGTCAGGAACCGGAAAAGAAAAGTGCTGCCACTATCGAGCGAGGTTCGACAGCGCCTCAAGGTGGCGGACTTAGCAAGGAGAACACACGCAGCAAGAATGCATGCACAGCCGCAGCTGCTGGTGAACAAAACCAGGGAAAGAAGTTGAACGCCGAACCGCACCGCGGACGAAGCCCAGTTAAAGCATCACCATGCATGCGGAATGCCCCAACCAAGCCGAAGGCCGCAGCTTGGGGTGGCCAAAGTTGGCGCTCTCCTGCTACTATAAGACCAAGACAACGAAGCACAACTTTTCCTGGTTTCGAAATCTCTTCCCATCCTCTTCACAACCAGTCTCCCACACTCACCGCTCGCTATCAATTTGGCCAGTCACCCAGACCCTCGACCAGCTGTGCAACACGTTTTGCCAAACACCCTCAATACAACCATCACGAACATAATTTTCATCATCGTTCCAAAGGCTCCGTACCAACAATGGGCAATCCTCACGCGTACCATGTTCGTTGCCGCGCTCTCGGCGTTGAGCAATGGACCAAAGCAGCAGCAACTCCCATACGATCCTCCAACTTTCTCGGATCAGGAGATTTCGTCATCCACTGCGATGAACCTGGCGAAGAGGGATTGTGGCCGAAAGCCATCAACAAACAGCGGCGGATCGCTGAACATATCAAGAAACACGACCGAAAGGAGATCGAGTATGTTGTTCCCATGCGTGGCTGCCTGTTTCTCATCAAAACGTTGGTAACTAACCTCCACTGATAATAGCTTGTGGACGGAGCCCCGTGATTGGGACGTCCGGATCGAGTGCGGAGGTGAAAAGTTCCTCGTTCATCGCAAAATGCTCGCCCGAGAGCAAAGCAGTTTGAAAAGCCTGTCTAGAGTATTCCCAGTAAGTACCTATTTTGCACTATCTACCGAATTTTATTATCTCATTAAAAAAAAAAAAAAAAAATATATATATATATATATATATTTTGATTTTTTTTTTTTCCTTACGTGAAATGCTAACAAGCTCCTCAGGACGGCTCCAAGACCATATTCTCATGCCCTTACACGACCCCGGAGCGGATGGCCAATGTATTGGCCTTTATCTATGACAAGAGTAAGTTTCAGTCCCTTCTTCTCCACCATTTTACTTCACCCACAGGTTGCAAGGCCAATGAAACTAACACAAAACCCACACAGGCACCATGGAAGGAGAACGCTTCGTTCCCTCCGAAGACCACCCCCTCGACGGGGGCATTATCCTAAACAACACCATGGCCTATCTCGCCGGCACCGAAACCGACTTCCCAGCCCTGCGCGACGTCGCGTTCTCCAACTTCCAAAAAGCCATCCAAGGCGTCAAGCGCTTCTTCGACGACGCCAACGGGCTCATCCAAGATTCCGAGAACGAAGCACACGGGACCCTTTCCGAGGAATGGGATTGCCTCGGATCAGTCGTCACCGACGATGAGCTAGCGACTTTTTATCGTCCATTCCGCATCGCCATGCAGGCCCTTTTCGATTTCTACGTGTACAATCAGGACAAGTTCTTTGTGGATGAGATGCTGCCGCTGCGGGAGGCGATGTGGGGGCTGATGAATGATGTCTACTGTAGACGTCTTTTGTTGAGTAAGACGTTTAGAAATGATGAGCAGTCGGAGTGGGACGAGAGTGGGCTGTGGCAGTTTTGCGAGGAGGAGGCGGCGTTTTTTGAGTGGTATTGAAGTGGATTTGTGATCAGGCTGTCTGTGGTTACGAGGAGCATCACCGTTTGCTGAAGAAAGGAGAAAGTTCACTAGCTCGTCAATTTGCTTTGATTCGGAGGATTTGTTGGTTGGGGAAAAAAGGGGTTGATACATACTTCATTGGAGGAGCAAGCATGTTTTGTTCTCAAAAGTCCAATGGGCCCCGTGTTGCCCTCTTGGACTCGGCGAAGGGATTGAATTATGGGATGGTTGGGACAGAGAAGACCTTTTTTGTAAAATGGCCCCGTGTTGCCATTGAGTTATGTTTGGAACAGCGAAGATTTTTCAGGTGCGAGTCAAATGGCCCCGTGTTGCCTAGGACTCAGCAAAGGGATCGAATTAAGGCATGGTTCAGGACAGCCAGGATATCTTGACGCAAGTCAAATGGCTCTGTATTGTCTGGAAATCATTCGGCGAAAGGATTGGAATTGACAACCCGGTTTGCGTCTCGTGACGCCCTACAACACCGACCTCTTCCCTTCTTCCTACATGTGCCGCAGTGAATATGATAACTCGTGTGGTGAACATCTTTGCCAGTGCTCTTTTCAGCATTTACAACCTTCCCTCAACGCTGAGTACCTCTATGACAGTTAAAACTGTAGGTTTCCCTTTAGTTCCTTCCGAATTAGACGGAAAAACTGACCGGGATAACATGACCGGAACAGCAACTCCAAATGCATTCAAGGAAAATGCGACTGATAATCAGCCACTGAGAGCTTCCACATCGATGCTTCCGATGGAACACCACCGGCATCCTTACTATTATGGTACTCATGGCATTTACGGTAAGTTCTCTGCTGCAATGATTGGGACTGTCCTCCCTCAGAGGCGCCCTTTGCACTTGCGGTATCGTATCACCGGCCATAACGGATGCAGATGATATCACGGCTTTTAAACTCGAGACTTGTCTCTATCATGAGAATGCTCCATGTGCCAAAAACCAATGGTGATGTGATTAACTTGCTATCATCAATAGAGTGGCTTTATTCCCTTCTTTTCTTCTGAATGAGTAGAAGCTCGATGGTACTGGAGAGTATCTTGACACTGACACTAGGCGAGGCCTATCCAGCCAGTCTCACGCTTCGCTCTTATGGCTCTTGTGCTTCGTAGCGCTATATTCTCAATGGACACAAAGCACCTTAGGTATGTATGGAACTTCGCCCATGTGGGTAGGTCGAATCTGGTGTCAGGTTCTAGTTTCCAAGATGAAGCATACAATTCAATACTGGTTTGTTTGTTAGTTTGGTTCTTCAACCATGTGTTGAACAGGGGAGTTTTGGAGCTCTCATTCGCCTTTGAAGAGAGGAACTGTCCTCCGTTTGAAGCATTATAGGACAATGACCAGGGTTTAAGACGCCACAGAAGCCTTTTATGTCTCTCTCCGACGCCTTCAAAACTAGACGATATCGGTCTACAGTAGTTAACCGATAGAAAGCCGACGCTTTCCTATATTCAGTAAAGCGTTGGCTTTTCTGTACCAAACTAACAAACAAACCAGGGCTGGATTGTAGGTATCTATCTCTTTTTCGTTCCTCCTGCTGCTCATAACGAGGCTTCATTTTCCCAGCTTTCGTTCGAGTTTACAGAGAAAGAAGCATCTGACTGACTTGAGATTTCGTTCATTCCCTGCTTTGTTGTTCCTGATTCCGCAACATCAGAGAGTGAAGAAAATCTTAAACTCAAATTGCAAGAAGTAGCCTCATGACCACTATCATCATAAATATAATTCTTTTTTACTACTCGAACTAGGATAGTGTTACCAAATCACGAAATAAAACCCATTTTCCTACTACTGAGGGACTGTGGCGCACCATAGAATCTCAAAGGCACAAATAGTGAGTATGTTCACAAACGCCCATCAGACAAAATATCATCAAATCAGCGTGCTTCCAACAAGGTGTTGCTAAAGCAAGAGCGCAACTCCATTGGTCTTTCGGTCTCTATGTCACCCGGAGAGTAACTCCGCAAGAAGAAGAAGACCCTCCCATAACTTGACCCCTCCCCTTTCCCACAGACCCGTTAGAAACGGACAAACCGGCTAGAGAACAGAAGGAACAATGCCCCAATCATGGCACAAACAGCGCTGTGTACCTATCTATGTATCTATATACCCTGATGCAGCATCGCCATCTCACGGTGTGCACCAGACGGTCCCGGATGTAGGTCGTGGTTGTGCCTGATTGACTACCGGTAGATATCTATTTGGGTTGCCACCTAGTGTGCTATTGAGTTTGGATTTCGAACTGGATCTGGGTACGGGTTGGATCAATGACTGGAGAGCATGTAGCGTATGCGGAAGAAATGACCTGTTCTGGGAAAAAGAACCCGCGGGTATTGAAGAGTAAAGGGAGAGATGTTTTGAAGAATGCTGGGAGAATGTATTAACAGGTAGAAATTTCAGGTTTCCTGTTTTTCATTTTCCTATCTTTTCATTGTCTTTCTACCATTTTGTTCTCAGTCCAGTGTGTCTCATCTTGGGATTCTCTGCTCTTTGATAAACGTTATTCAAGCTCATCCGAGAGAGTGTATCTCAGCCGGTTACTCTTAAGTCATGTCACTTGACGGGCTTCATCGCTGGAAAGCTGACAATGGTTTGTGGTATGTCTTAACTCTCATGTCCCAAAGGATTGTCTTTCCAAACCTTTCTCTCGATGTAGTTATTTGTATGTAGAGAATGCATGACTTTTTTTTTTCATGAAGCACAAAGGGACCATTACCCCAAGCGGTCATCGTTACTAATGATGTCTCAGGAGTTCCGGCATCCGAACAGCCACTCCTCTTATCTGATCTTGTCTCCGGACAATCTTGCTACTTGTACGGTGAGACAAATCACGTCAACTTCCACGGTCCAAATTTGGGGTTTGTTTAACATACATAGTTCAGGTCATCCTAGCCTGTAAATGAGGGTGTATTTGCCAGGCTTCATGCCTCTTGTGCAGGAGCTATTAAGGAGTGTGCTCTCTCTCACTCACTCTTTCACTTTTTGTCCATTTTTCTGGTGGAAATTCGGAAATTGCATAAACAAACTCACTTGAACGGAATAAACATCGGCCCATCCGAGGCCCAAGCAGGCGAGAAAGGTTGGTTTCTCGAACGAGACAAGCGGGAAGTCGGAGAGACTACTACGCCAGCAGCGGTCAATCTGCTCACAGTCATGCATCTACCCGGGCCGGATTGAGACTTTAAGAGGCAACGTTGGGTAACCACCGCAGATATTAATTGTGCTGAGGGTAGTGCTGGTGTAACAATGCTTGTGAAGAGGCGAACGAATCTGAGAAACAATGAAAAGCTAGGGGTCGAATGAAGGAAAATGTCGAGGAATACGGAACCATGTTCAGAAAGACAGCTTGTCGCAAATCGAGTCAAGGTATGTAAGAGCTTTCTCCTATTTTGTCAACGTGCCAGGGGTTGACTCGGCGCCACTTTCTGACAGGCTTCTACGCTGTCACTTGTTGATCTAGGTCTTTCACGTTGAGCTTATTTTGCATATGGCTCGTCTGTCTCAACCATGGTATGTGAATCCAACATGCGCAATTCTGTCTCATTGCCGCTGGAGATATTGAGATGAACCATAATAACACATTGAGGAATTCTGCCCGAGGGCATTATGATGGATAATCATCGCCACATTAAACTCGCAATCTGTGTGCCAGAGAGAACATGGGTAGCCTAGGGTTCCTCAACTCCATCATCGGGGTTACACCAACCGGAATCCGTAACTTGAGGAGAGATTGAATGGCAAGAATGGGTGTCAAAGTCAGAAATTGAGCGGACGCCGGTCTAGGTAATGGTGTGCTGCATGCAATCAAGGTTATGTTGCCACAACGAACCAGTGAGGGTGGAACACGGCTTGTGATGGTTGTTGGATCTGTCTTTCATTGCAGATGTGGTGGGTGGATGTACACAAGGGGGGGAGGTTTACCGGGCCTCTCGGACCTCTCGAGGCTCACCGGCTAGATTGGTAGGCGAGGTCGGCCAGATCTCTTAGATCCCTTTGACGCCCTTGGCCTCCCGTTTGAGGAGCCAATTGGCTAGTTAGAAAGGAGGTGTCATGCAGGATATCTAGTACCGGCGTACAGTGTTGGTGGGTGGTCTTTATGGAAACCTCTGTCAAGATGAAGGGACAATTCTTTGACACTCCCAGACGCATCTTGGCGGCATGGAATTGGCCAGTATACTGCGTAGAGGTCCCTTCCGTGTAAACGCTGGTACAACAAGAAGGATGAAGCCTGCCCACATATCAAGCCGGTCCACTTGGCGGACTACCTTTGGCAGAATGTTGGGGGATCCCGTCAGTGTAAGATTCCAGACCGGATTGAGAAGCTAAAGTGGAAGCAGTCGAAGGAGGTTGCAAAGACCACACCATCATGAGAATGAAGAAGCAGCCACCATGGCGGAGCAGATCTCCGTCAGAAGATGGGCCTCAAGTGTCCATGTTGATAGACCTCTGGCAACTTCCATTGAACGGAATCGACAAATGGAAACCGCATATGGATAGGAACACAGCTTGGACCAAGGTATGCAGAGACTGTGCTGACACGTGCATCTGCATCTTTAGGGAAGCTTATCTACAAGGATAAACGACCGCATGGGTGCATGGAAAGAGCACCAGCGCGGTCCCTCAAGCTGATATCCGATGATGGCGGATGAACCGTCCATTGAGAGCAGAAGGAGGAAAAGTGGAAGCGTGAAAGCCAAGTGATTATATGAAACGCCCAACTTGGACATGCCTTCCATGCCAGTCCGTACTTGCCTCGCAGAACATTCCAGGTTAACATGTCTGACAAGCAGGAAGTTGTTTGGCAGGAGGCGAAATTTCAAGACAGGAAGCCACGGTCCGTGGTCACGATAATCCATTCCAACAGAAGGAGCAGCTCAAGAAGCAGTTCAACTTGGTGTGGTTCAGTGCAGAGAGCAGTGACGGCAATCCCAGCCACTCACATTCGCGCTTTCTTACCCCGCAAACGTCCTGACATGGGGGGTAGCCATAGCTGGGGGCCGTGACGTCGAACCACTTGGCTCGCTTTAGCGCAAGTTTAATTGTTAGCGTCGGACGCTGCTAGGTAGCTTCCCCGGCGAGTCCCCGCAGTCTCCAATAACCCGCTAGCACAAACAAGGAAAGGACCCTCAGACGAAGAAGAGACATGCAACTTTGATTGGATAACGAAATAAATGGCTTCTCCACTTTGGCAGTGTGGAAGCCAATCCATCGCGGCCATCCTTTGGAGTCTCGCGTGCTTCTGCCTTCTGTCACTCCAACGGTGAACTCTAACAGATCATGGTTCAGACAGAAGAACTGATCGGCAGCTTTGCACTATCATTTTGCTATTGACACCGGTTACTAATACGGTTAGAGCTCAGAGTGGTAGCCCGATAAGCGCCGATTGGCTGTCAGACGCACAATCATCTCCATATTAGGTTAGCCTATGTGTCAATAGCTCACTGCCATGCTGAGCTCAATGATACGGAACCTTCCCGGCTGTTATACCTAGGGTGTGATGCGCCCCTTGAGGGTACATACCCTCTACCTGACGAGCAGCTTGACGAGTAGGGGTTCTTGGGGACTTTGTCTCCCCTCTTTGATAGACCAAGGAAAGTGTACATTATCCCCTCTTGCCTCCGGTTTCCCTCGTCGCACCTCATCCCCAATTCCTCGTTCATCATCTTTTTCTCTGAAGCTCCAAGTACCGACACCCCTCAGAGCCACTCGCAACAAAGAGAAGCACGAAGGTGTAACTTGAAGCGGACATTTGCCCACCATTCTGTCCTCTGCTTAGCGGGAAACAAAGGAGTTAGGAAGATAAAACTACTTGGTCCCGGATAGCTCACTCTAGTCAACCGAGACGGGAGATATTGCGAGTGTCGATCGTTTTTGCTGTTTGGCCATCAGTTAATTCCATTGCACGGGATTAGCGGTTTGACTCAGATAGAGTGCGCAATCGGGAGCAATCCGATAGCATCACATCATTCCTGCCGTCTATAAACCTCCCCTCGCACACCTCAGTCGTCATTCGGCCCCGCCCGACTTGACGTTTACCCCCTAACGGCTGCGTTTCACCTCTACAACACCGACTGCATCGGGTTACACGCAACTCGAACCACTGCCACCTGCAAACATACGAGCTCGTCTTTCACGAAAACAACTACCACACCACCCTCCACTCACCTTTGAAACCGTTACCGTTTCTACACGACTTATTCCAATAAGACCATCAACACAGTCCGGAGCAGGCCAGACCCTTCCCAGAACCTATATATCCCCCTTTCACCTTGCCACCACCTGTCCGCCTCTTTCACCATGTCTTCCGACAACAACAATTCGAATCAGACCAACAACGATATGGCGCGCCAACAGAGACGTGGTTCCGTGACTGCTTCTTCTGCCGCTTTGGCAAGCCTCTTCCGAAGCAACTCCATCTCACAGGGCCAGCCAACAAACTTCCCCGGAACCTCTGCCGCCATCAACGAGCAACGTCGGAGACTCTCCATCACCACCCTCGGCCTGTCCGGAACATCGCCGTCGGCTTCCTTTATGCGCCGTGCCAGTCTCTCCACCAACAACTCGGAACTGGCTGAAGAGAATGCCATTGATGAGGACGATTCTGCCCGCACCGCCCCAGCCGCCCCCTTCGGCCGCCGCATGAGCCTAGGTGCCAGAGGCCCTCGGGGTGGTGTTAGCCCCGGGATAAATGGTAGGCCGTCCCCACCAACCCGCAATGATAGCACTTCCCTTCGTGGCCCTCCTCCTACTCCTCCGCCTGTCTCGTCCCCGGGCATTGGTAACTACACATGGGGAAGGACGCCTTCACAAGCAAACATTGCTACTCCACTTAAGACCCCTTCTGACGTGTTATCTCCTCGTTCAGAGCAAGGCTTCAACTGGTCCGACCAGCTTCGATCCCGTGCTGAGAGCACCGTTTCTGGTCACCGGTCCTCATTCTCCTTTGCCTCGGGCCTCAGTGGCTCGCCTCCTGGCGCCGGCTTTAGACGCCCATCTCCGCCAGCCTCAACCCCTCAACATGACCGGGCCAAATCTGTCTCCGACATGCCGGCACCTCCCGCCCAAGCACCGAAAGCTCGACCTGTCCCACAAAAGCCTGATCCCTTCCAGGAGCGCATTCTGAAGGGCGACTTCTACATGGATTAAGCGCCGTCCAGAAACCACTGGCTTCGCTTTTTTTTCTTTTACAATGGTATCTACAACATGACATATCTGCTTTTCCTTTTGGGTCTGGGGCATCAGTTTGCTCCGCCCTCATGCACCGGAGTTCAGGGAAAGGGTCGGTTCTCCTGTCGGGGCAGGCCTTGAAGAAAACAAAACCGGACATAAACCATGGTACAGGTTCATTTTCCAGAGGGGAAACCCATCGAAAAAAATCACTAATGAATCGTTGTCTTTTTCTTTCTATGCCGGCAAAGTCACATACGAAGGTCTTTCCAAGGCGAAGCAGGCGAGCGATCAGGAATGAGGAAATGACTTCACTACACGGTTTTATCAAGTTGGAACGAGCAGGCTTTTCTTTTCTTTTCATTTTCTGTACGAATTGGGTCTCGGTTGTTACGGTATCGGTTGCTTCACAAGGCTGGCATGTTTGGCCAGAAGAAGCTGTATGAACACCCATGGGTATTGAGGCTCGTACTTTCAGATTGGGAGGATTGGAAGGAACATCAAGCATATGGGCAATGGTTAGGAGAAGGGTTAGTGATGATGGTAATGGCCGAACAGATTGCCCCAATACAATACATATTATTCAATACCTTCTGGTTCCTGTCGCAACACAGTTTTCACATACCCAGGTGGATTGAAGCCACACACTTCGATGAATCACTCATCTACCAGGTTGTTCTAACCCAGACCCTCAAAAGACAATCACATGCCTCGGCCCATCCACGATTTTTGTTCACAGGCTCCCAGCGGCCGGCACCGACACTGCGAGATTGCATCATGGTACTAGACTTGCAGACGCATGGTATGGCATGTACTCTGCGCTGGGACCATGTGCCATGAATTCCAAGGAAGGCGTTTGTGACAAGGAGCAGATACACGATTGCAAGGTTAAATGTTCATCCAGCATCATTCTGCATCTATCTACCAAGTACACACCGCTGCGTCTCCCCTATCCCCCTTCCCAGCGACCAAACGACCAACGTCTGCGCAACCGTTTTTCCCAGTCATTCCATTATTTTCTAGCTTCGTTTGTATCCTCAAAGAGGAGTGAGAACACGAGCTGGACCGCCGTTTGGGCCCGTACCTAGCCTTGCCAATGAAGTATCGTTTGTGTAGCGAGACGACAGCAGCAAAGAATACACTCAGCACGTAAATCATAAAAGGATAACAGATGGGTGACGGCCCGAAGGTGGACGGACGTAGATAAATAACAGGTCTAATTTCGGGCCGGAGCCGACGCCAACACCATTATGGGTTCCGAGTTTGAGTTCAGTGACTGTCTTCCCGTCTTAATTTCTGGCATTCATGAGGAATAGGAATAGGAATAGGAATAGGAACAGGGATAACATAGAAAGCCACAGAACCAGAAAGGCTACGCTACCTAGGTTCTGCTACCTAGGTTTGGATAGCTGTGTTATCTTTTTGCGGTGTGCATGAATGATCAAGTATCACCATGTAGTTCCATTCGTCTCTTTCTTGTTGTTGCCCGTCTGTAAGGGTAATAATTAATGGTGAGCATACTGGAAATGTACTACTTGTAGTGTTTAGAATAGTCATTATGGCTTCCAATTACTTACAGTGTCATTCATGTTCTGTTCCGTTCCGTTTCTTTATGTTCTGTTTAAAACGGTTCAGTCAGTCAAGTAGACTTCAACGTGTTTGCGCACAATCATCCATCCATCTTTCCATCCCATTTGAATCTGAGGTGCGTAGTGGCTTATTCTTCTTCTACTCTAAAGGTAGAGAGAGGTATATACGTACCTCTACCTACTTTCCGTGGCTTTCACTTACCCGTTCGGTTCGCCTGGTTCAGTTCGGAGACGGTTTCACAAATGACGACGACTATGGCGGTCCCTATGTACCTTTGCCACCTCTCATATGTCATATGTTTAAGTCTGAGACTCCTTTTCTCCCATATGAGCAAGATATGAATGATACGTATGTCAAGCAGAAGGAAAAAAAAAAAAAAACATGAAATACAACCGCTTTCATTCAACAAATGATGATATTCTATCCCATAGATGCCAATGCGTATCCCACCTTCCAGCTCTATTTTTGATTTATAATAATGCTTCGTACGAATCATAGTTGCAGAGCTACACTCCACGCACGCCCAAAAACTCCCCAGGTACGCCCATTTTTCCAAGGTGCGAGAAGGAAAAGGAACCACATTCACGCTTTTACCTCCAAGTAACCTATAATACAATCTTCTATATACTTTAAGTTTATTCTAAGCCTCTATTACTTTTCTTCCTTTGAAATAGCTTTCCTTAATTGTATTTCGCAGTCTAACAACGAAACATAGGTAAGTATCAGACGAAAAGTACACCGTCTAGTACGCTTCCTCAATAAGACTAAATGAGTTGGAATAACGTCATACCGTCTTAGAGAATGGACGGAAAAAGGTATATCGAAGACAAAAGTCAATGCAAATGGAAGTACGGAATCCTTTTCTTGAGTGTCTTAAGAGGGTGTACTTGAAGGGCGTACCTGGGGAGTTTTGGGCGTGCGTGGAGTGTGGCTCTTGTTGCATCCCTGACGAGTACAAAGTTCTTCTATTAACCATTAACCATTACTCATGCCACGTATCAATGCTTGATTTTATATCCAAATATCCAACTGATTCAAGCTCTCCAACTGATTCAAGCTGTGACAGAGAAAGAGACATTCGGGAGAAATAGTGCTAACGTTCAGAGCACCAGCGCTTTCGAAGACACTCCAGTCCAGCAATGTCACCATGGTTTCGTTCCATCAGTAATAACCCATATTGGGATTTATACCCCCAGCATGATGTCCACCACTACCGCCTCCTCCTCTCCCCTGATTCCCATCCTGCTGCTGCTGTCCCGCCCCATACCAACCTTGACCGTAATCATACGCCGACGGCGGCCTTCCCCCCAACCCAGCAGCAGCAGCACACTGATCTCCAAACCCAGCGCCCAGACCGCCGTCGAAGCCCCCACCGCCCATTCCTATGCCTACTCCCATACCCAAGCCCATACCCAGCGCCATCATATTGAACTCATCGCCCACCAGCCCGCCGAGCGTCAAGTCCATGGCCTGCTCGAATCCGTCGCCGAAGATGGCCGGTTCGAATTCGGGTATGAACGCTTGGCTGAGCCAGGGTAGGGGATCGGGCTGCTGCTGGCTCATATCTGGAACTGTCGTGGCGGGACTGGCGCCAGACATGAATGATGGTTGTTGGGCAGGCTGTGGCTGTGATCGGAGATTCCACTCCACCGAAGCCCCGTTGGGTGGAGCGCTGATTGGGGTTGAGAGGATGATGTTCGCGTTGTTGGGCATGTGGGCGGTATGGCTAGGTGATGGACCTGCTGTGACGGTGGGTTTTCCGGGAGGAGGAGGACCGGAGTTGGGGGTCGGGACGGTTGATGATTCGTGTGTCGCGACCTCGGAGAGGAGATGGAGTGGCGTGTCTGCTGTGGTTGGATAATCGGATGCATTCGGTTGCTGTTGCCGTTGCTGTTGTTGCTTGTATGTTTGATTTGATCGTGACGGCCCGGCGGCGGTGGCGAGGTCCTTGTCGCCAGCGTTATCTTTTCGTGATGATTGATTGCCAGCAAATGAAGGCGTACTTGACGACTCTGTCGAAGTTATACTACCCATTGCTGCCGCTCCGGAAGGACCACCGGCCTCAGCATTGGAGGTGCGTGAACCTTTGGGCCAGGTAGGCTGCTTCTGCGCTTGGAACCATTGTCTAAGCATCCCGAGAACGAAGAAGAATTTGGCAGCTGGCCTGTTCTTGTCGTCCGCCATGGTAGCTTTGAACTTCTCCAGGAGTTTCTCGATCCACTTCTCAACCTCTATGTCCTCCTTTTTCATCACCTTTCCCAGCTCGGTCTTGGGCGAAATCACAGACAAATGGATTCTGATCAGGATTACCACGGCGTAGGCGATGCGCACAAAGCTGAAGGCCGGCAGACAGCGTATACTATGGACCTCCATGGTGAGAAACACGTCAAAGATGTGCTTGCTGGCCTCCAGAGTTGCGCTCAGCGCTTTCACGTGGGCAGGCGTCAAGTTACCGTCCAGCCAGGCTGTTTGGCCATCAATTGACGTGGCAGGCCCTTTGCCGTCATCGGGGCTCTCATTCTGCCAGACGATCTCGTGCATGTACAAGTCAAGGACGTAAAAGCTTAACATGAGCGATGGCTGTCGCATGTCGTCTGGGAGTGACTTCTGGTACTCGTCCAGCTTGTGCTCAAAGTAGCTGAGTAGATGCTGTGTTCTCGGAATCGTGATGCTGGAGCCTGAGTTATGATCATCGAAGAAATTGATGCCAACTTCGTCTGCTAGTCTGTGCGTCCAAATTAGGTGACACAGATACTTGTCCGTTGGTGCTGCTTCAGGCGACGTCTCTAGTATTTTGACACTTTCTTCCATGAACGAGGACCATCGGATGAGATTCGGTCGGTGGAGTGCCATGGAAGTATTGGTGGCGAGAAAATAGCACGTCAACCACGCCCGTCTGGGTTCGATTGACGTGGGATCCGGCGGAGGTGGTTTATACATGATTTTATCACGTATGGTGGAGGGCATGCCATTCCTTAGTCCGCCCCTTGGCTGTCTGTTCCTTCCAAGACCGAGATCGATGGCCATAACCGCGGCGATGTGAAGTAACTGGTAGAACTTGAGCTCCTCAAAGCGTTCGGGCGGCCAGTACCATATGGTAGCCACCTGAATTGCTTGGACGAGCTCTAGACTCTTGCTTCCAGTCACCATGACCTCCTCCGCAAAGCGTTTCATCAACTCGTTCGTCAGAATCTTCTGCACTGAGGGTACTTCCCCCGCGGCAGCAGCCATGACTGCGTGGAAAAGGATCGGTTTTGATCTCCTGAGCTTGTCTGCCGTCATGTCGGCGGGGAAAACGACGCCTGGTAGATGCAGAACCATATGCTTATGATAACGCTCGAAGAATGCAGCTGCCTGAACCATGCTGATTATGTTTCGGTCAACAATATCAGGGTGTCTTATTGGCGGCCGTGGTATCGAGAAACCATCTCGCGGATCCTGACTAGCTCGCTCTCTATCATCGGTATGCTTCCTTTTCTGTCCCCCAGGGGCTATAGTCGGCGTTAGGTAGAGGTTGTTATCGCGATCCATTTCACTGTACCCAGGCCAGGCTCGTGACGGTGTCTGTTGGCGTCCTGACGCAGGCTGTTCTCTTGGGGGAACAGGCCAATCCTTTGTTGCGGAAGGCGGTTGACTAGATGCCCCCCTTCCAGATCCATAGCCATTGGGATCATAAGGAGTCGCTGTATACCTGGGCGCCGCTTGTGCATCAGGCCCAGTAGTAGTTGCCGAGGAGACAGGTGGGGATGTCATGGGCAAGGGATTCGTGCCACCGCGCACGTTTTGCAAGGTCGCTGTCAGAGCATCGATCTTCTTTTCCAGCTCCGCCACCCGGTTGTCTGCCTTTTTCTGACGCTTGCGCGAGGGTTCCGTCACGATACAAGGACGCTTTGCTTTGGCACATCGCTTGCAGTCCCCGTTCGGATTCGCGGGGTCTGGCTCACATCGAACCTTGAGACCACGGCAACTTTCGCAAGCCCGAGGCTTCTTGGGTTCCCCGTTGGGATCCCTGCCTCCGCCATCAACACCGGGAGATGGGACATCGGCAGGCGTATCATTGGCCGTAGCAGTGCCAGCGGCAGCCGAAGAGTTTGGACTGTAACCGACGGACGATGTTGGCGATTGCGGCGGGTTATGAGCAGTTGTTTGCGATGTTGCGGATGCTTTCGAGTCTGGTCGCCTGTGCGGTGTCTGCAACTGCGGTTGGACATTGTAAGGTTGCGCCGACGACTGCGACTGCGACTGATACTGCACTGGCGAATTCGTCTGACTTACAGTAGCAGATCGAAGTTGGGAGCTGTGGTCTGGTTGACCGGATGGTAGGTGGGCCTGGGAGTTGGGATGATATTGTGGATGTAGCTGTTGTTGATGTTGGTTGCCGGGACTCGGCGCATTGATACCACGGCCACCCTTGGTATTACTCGTCGCGTTCTGGGCGGCCGCGCTTATCGACGGTGTCGCCATTGAAGCTTTAATTTGTACATTCGGCGTCGGCTTGCGATCAATATCCATGGTCGGCTTCCGTGGTTGGAAACAAGCGTCGGTTGACGTCGGTGATGACGGGCCTTCTTCGTCCGATCTGCCGATGACGCTGTTGGTGTCCGGGTGGGAAAAGTCGGAGGTCGGCGGTTTATCTGACACAGTAACACTAGCCGCGTTAGGTCGTATGCCTGCTCACGTGGTCTGTGCTTTTGCCCCTGATCGGGTGTTTTTATCACCACCTCCGTGGGGGTTTGAATCAGCCAATTGAGAACTCAGGAAAGCTTGGTCGTCACAAAAGCTGTCCATTTGCCTTGAGCATGAACATCACTGCATTAGTATCAGCTTTGAGCCTGCAGCAACTCTCCAAAACTTTCCTATTCCTTGTCATTAACTCGTCAAAAACTCGACTCCATACATACCATTTTTACATATTATCCAAGCAGATGTTCCTCTCACATTGTAGCCATATTCCAAGTGGCGTGAATGATGTGCTAATATAATACATGACGTCTTGAGGGTTGTGATTTGCAACCAAAGTTGAACTGACGGTCTAATGTTTGACAACAGCCGCCATCTAGTCTAAGTGACCCCGAGTGAGAAGGGAAGAAGAAGATGGAAGACGAAGAAAAGAAGCTAAAGGACATTGGAATGCAATGGTATCTCATATTGGTCACGAGAAAAAATTGGGATGTAAGAATATTGGCGTAAAAATGCCATACAAAATGTTTGTAAAACATCCAGGAAAAGGATCCAGAGATATCCAAGAAAAGGGCCGGAACAAGTGATCCTCAGCGCCGATATTCTCCGTTGAAATGTCCGATAAGAAGAAGTACAGATTGAAGTGGTTAAAACCGATTGTCGTCTCTCATATGGCCTCTTGCTCCCGAAGGATGAAGGTTAGGCATACTGCTTTTGCGTCGGTCCTTCATTGAATATTGCTCATAAGAGGGGACGGAAGGATGGAAATCGTGAGATCTTTCGAGGCCTGTACTAGGCCTCATTCCTGATTGCGCAGAGTATAACGCAATGTCGTCATAGGCGGGTCTTTGAAGCGGTGGTGTGGGAGTACTCCGCGAATGCATTTGCGCAGCGTGCATCTGAGCCATCTGTTGTTGCATGCTCATGGAGAGCGGTGGCGTTGGTGTGTTGCGGCTCACTTGGCCCTCGATAACGGGCTTCATGGGCCGTTGCCCATAGGGCGAACCACTGTGAGTTGACGACCGAGTGTCCGACGGGTGCGACCCGGTACGTTCGTGGATACTACCAGAATCCGTCGTGGGAAGCTCATATTCGCTGGGGTCAATGCCAAAGATGGGTTCGTAATTCTGGAGGAATAGTGCAAAAACAGGTGCGGGAATGTTGAGTGTAGGCGAGAACACAATGGCAACGTTGCGCACTGTCATTTTGTTGGAGTCGGCATGGTTGATGATCTTGATCAGGAAAGCAATCAGGTACTTGAGAAGAGTACCATTGGCTTGTGGGAGCCGTTCCACGAGCACCGAAAGAGCTGCGATCCTCTGTGCCTGATCAGAAAGCTGTTCGGTAACGGACTGGAACTCGGGATGAAGATCCCGTGTCAGTATGGTCGTGGGCAATTCGCGCAGATAAGCCTTGAGCAATGATGCGACAGCATGGATATCGTGATACTGCCCATCGTTAATCAGGTTGATGTCGCCCTCATTGTTAAACCGTTCTTTCAGCTGCTTGATGACAACGTTGGAACCGCTAAGCCTAAAGATACCCTCTTCGTTGATGGCATCCTTTGCATCCAAGTACTGGATACAGCGATAGACAACAGCCGGCAACGGGACCCTGACGTCCACTGGTGCGTTGTACCTAACTGCTTCAGCCAAGGGCGCACCAAACACAGGTCTGACCGGACCGTGGCTGTTCATCCCGGCACCCGCATGACTATTCTCACCGAAAAGCGTATGGTGTGCATCGACAGACTTTCCGGCCTTCTCTTTGCTATCCCCCCATCCAAAGATACTTCTTCGCGGTCTCGGGGCCTTTTCCACAACGGGCGGTGCTGGAAGTGGCGCTGAGGGACCCATGCCTAACTTGGTGCCCCAAGCCTCGGAGTTCGAAATGACCTGGGGATCGCGAGGGGCTGAAATTGTAAAGCCAGCTTGAGATGGCACGGCGTGCCCTTGAGCAGCAGGCTGGTTTGATGAGATGCCTTGTGGCAAGCCTCCTTGCTTTGTGGTATCGTAACTTCTGCCCAGAGTCTCGACATGTTGCTTCTTATTATGGCCTCCATTGGTCCGTTCGGAGGTATTAGAATCATGTCTGTCATGGGTTTGGTTTTTCTTCGAGCGGTCATCCTTTTCATCGTCGGTGTAGTCGATCCAGCGCAGCAGTGCTGACACCCACTCATCCCTTTCCCTGTCGCTCTCGGCACACAACACATGTGTAGTGACGCTAGTTGGGTCTTTCTTCTTGGGTTCCCTGATCACGAAAGCATGGCGGTACTGATTGTCGGGATTTTCCATCCCGGGTCCACGGGCGGGGGAATCTTCAGCGCCTTGATGACCCTGTTTGCCGATCTGCGTCATGATCTGTGCCTTCTGTAGCTTGATAGTGCCCAGATGGGCACCGCCGGGGGTCTCGTAATACTTGAGGTTGGGGCCATCTAGGATGAAGTACCTGGCTTTCCAACCGCCAAAGTTCTTGCCGCGTTTCGTAAGATAACCCTTGCGGAAAGGCCTTCCACCGGGGCCTGTTAGTATCGCTTCTGGATTTTCGTAGCCAGTCGAAGATCCGGTCTCGTCGGCATTTGGCGGCAGAGTATGCGTGGACAGATACTTGCACAGTTCCAGCGCCGTAGAGTGATCGAGAGGAGTATTCAATAATTCATCCAAGTATTGGTTGAGAGCAATCCGACGGGCGTCCAACTTTGCGGGAGCATGTCCGCTGAACAAAGACCTGTCAGGAGTTTTGGCAGTGAACGTGGCACACGTCTTAAGCCTGGAGTCGAGCCTTGCCAAAGAAGCCGAGTCCTTTTCGACCCTCCATAACTCGCCACCGTCGGCTCTGGAGAACACAGCCAGGGTAAAAACTGGATCTTCTTCGAGCTGTGTCATGGACAGCAAGCTAGCCCTGGAAGGCTTCATGCGAGAAGACGCTACCTTGATATCGATGGATGGAAGAGCGTTCGGTGGAAGCAAAAGGTCTGGATATTCCTCGGTAATAAAGCCCCTGTAAATCCTGGTCCTTTCCGTCGGGCTTTCGTATGTGCTCTTAGTCGGGCTGGAGGTAGAAGATATGCTGTCGGTTTCCTTCACCATATGTATAGGTCTAGGAGAAGGTAGTGGCATCGTCGGCGGGGCGGAGATGTGCAGGGGTGTGTTTGGAGGCAGAGGAATGGGCGCTCGCGGTGGTCGTGGGGACAACGGTGCTCCCATAAAGTTCATGCCCCTAGGCGAAAGTGGTGGTGAGCTGACTCCCATCGGCATCGGGCGTGGGCTAGAGGGAAGACCAGGGCTCAAAAGCGGCATCGCATAGGACGCATCCCGCTGAACGGTCCCACTGAGAACCCCGGCGAGTGACGAGACGGTCTCCTGAGGAGGGGCACTCATCTTCACTTCGAGAAACCGGGGATCGGATGGCATTACAGCCGGAGGCGGAGGCGGCGGCGGCGCGTCCTCATTCGCGGCCCTACTGGCGCTTTTCTTGCTCTTTTTGGACAGGCTTCGCAATTCGGCCTCTTTCCTTGCCATGATTTCACGATCGCGTTCATCTTCCTCTCGTGTTCTTCGGCGGCCTCTTCGTTCTTCAAGACTCTGTTCATCAGCCTTCGGGTCGTCGTCATACTCAGATTCGCTGTCGGCCTCGGGTTGCGGTGCCCTTTTGCTGTGTAGGGCACTATCCTTGAGCTGAAGAGGCGCGGGCGGTGGTTTACGCAAAGGTGGTGATGTTGGAGGGGGTAGCTGCCCCTGTACAGGCAGCTCAATACGCTTGGAAGAAGGCTGTTCTGTAGGTGTTGCAGGGAGCGGCATCCGGGGAGGCTCGCTTGGCAAACTTCTCGATGGTGGTAGGTTCGGATTGATATGAAGCCCGGTGGCTTGCTCCTCGGCCTCGCCCGCTTGCCTTCTGGCCTTCTCGCGTTCCCATTCCAGCGCGTCATGATCGTAATGATCTAAAGCATGTTCGCTCGGCCTTGGCATCGTATGAGAAGGATCCAGCATCTCACCCAGAGAACCATGAGATGGTGGTTGGCCAGCAGGAGGAGTCACAGGGTACGGTGCCATAGACATATCAACGGATGATTGCCTCTGTTGGCCAGGAGAACCTGGGACTTCCAGCACCTGCTCCTGGGTTGAGAAGTCGGAGGCGGATGAGGTCCTGTTTATCTCTTGAGCCTTGGCAGCTGCTACCGCCGGGACTGACGGTCCATCTGGGTCGCTCAGAAGCTCCTTTAGCTTCTTCCTGTATTTTTCTTTCTCCTTCAAAGCCCGCTCGAGGTCCTTATTGAGGCCCAAAATCATGGCTCTCTGCTTATCAACCAGTCGCCATAATTGCGCGTTCTGTTGCGATTGTGATTGCTTCTCTTTCAGCAAGTATTGGATGACTGCCTCTGGACTTCCGGCGGTCTTGATCAAGTTGGCAATGTCTGTCGGCCCTGCGTTGTTCTCTTGGGACGCTTTTGTAGTGGTATCTGATCTCGATGATATTGCTGATATTGCTGAGTCCATGGAGGAGTTTCTCTTGTCCGGGCCACTCCTGACAAGGTCAGCCCGCACTGCCGATGGACCTGCCATGGCAGAAGTTTGGCCGGAAGAGGAGCCTGGGGGAGGCTGCTGTATCAGTCCCGTAATCGAGTTATTGCGATCATTCGAAGATTTTGGGCTGAACGACGAATCTGGTCTGATACATGACACGCGATGTTAGCACGGTGTTCGGGGCTCGGTTTTGCCTTTGGTCGCCAACGCCGAAAGCCAGCACGCATGGGACGGGGTCTACACACCCTGGCCGTGTTTCCTCTGGAGTATATCTGCCCGAAGATTCGCTATCGAAGAAGGCCGTCGGCGAGAGGTGATCGGGAGCCGTCGTGGTTACTATCCGTGGAATCGCGGCCGCTGCGAAAGGGTTGTGAAACTTGGGCGGGAAGTCGGATTGTGTTGGGCCGGGACTCGTCGGGGGAGAGGCAACGGTACTTAGTTGCAGGGGGCTTGGGACAGGTTTCTGTGGGAACCTGATGTGGCAGATCGATTGGGTCAGTATCGTGGACACAACTATCTGACAGTAACACGGCAGTGAAGACAGCAGAAGAATCTGGGGGGTAGGTCGGCTGGCGGCGGTTTGTCCGGTGTCGGTTGTGATCGAAGGTTGCTCTTGGTCTCGTCCGTCCGATTTTCAGCCTCTTGCGAATTTCCCTTGCAGCCCGTCTCCAATATCTCTCCAATGCCCAAAGTCTTGAAGCGGCACGGGTTCCGATAGTGTTGAAGACTGATCCACGTCCTCCCAAAAACGATCTCAACTCCACACTCACTTGGGGAAATTGGAGGCGCAAAACGAGAAACGACATGGAGCAAGGTCAAACGCGGAAACAAGATGACATACCTCGTCGATGAGGGTATTAATGGCAGCGCACTGTTGGGTGGTGGTGGTCCAGTGGTGAAGGCTCTCCCGTCATAATGTTGGTTTGACGGGCCAGCATCGGCCGGGTGAGCAAGCTGCGACATGCCCGTGGTCCGTAATGCGACAAAGCGCCCCTGGGAGAAGGGGAATGGAACCTAGGTGCTACAAAGAGGAGGAGGACAGCACCAGGAGTCCAGGACTTGGCGGCCAATTGAGGACGAGACGTGAGAAGGTGACCTGTGAAAGGGACCTGCGGAGGGGGTCAGAGCTTAGGTAACGCAGGATAACTCGCCAAAGTTTCGAAGTGCCCGGGTGACCCTGATTAACGTCGCATATATTAATTCGCCGTGGTAGCCTCTCACGGGTGATTAGATATTAAGTGTTGACTTGTTATTGCGATGCTGAGCAATGAAAATATCCGTGTGTAATCGATAGCGTAGATGGCGCTGTTGGATATGGCTTGCTTGGTGTAGATGTGCCTGTTTGGCTGTGTTGGACACTAATGAAAGAGTAGGCTATTCAGGGTTTCAACCGAGATAGGCCTTTCCACGGGAAATTCTCGGTGTATCGCGGAACGTAGGATGTTGAGTGAGGGTCTCTGTGTCCTGTTTTGAACTAACCTACAGTGTATGTATGAGTCGCGACATCTGGGGGATCAGGGCCGAGACGGGACGAGGAGCGGGAGTGGTAAGAAGATAAAAGATGGGAAGTGTCAAACGACGGGTCCAGACACTGGAGGACCAAGAAGGAAGACCCAGCCGGATGGGATGGCTCGGATGGGACTGAACAATGGGATGGGATAGGATGAGATGGGAAGTTGGCAAAGGTGCCCGTAGACATTCAGATTGGGAGATGCCAGAGAGGACCGATTTGATTCAAACCTTTTTTTTTCCTCCTCAGACCTCTTTGGCCTTTGCTTCCCCTCTCCGTCGTCCAATGGCACTCTTTCCTGTCCCTTTGTCGACGTCCAGTCCTTTGTTCGGGGTAACAACCCCCCTCCCCCTAATCCCTGAGATTTGAGAGATCGCAATCGACTGAACTGATTGTCTAGCGCCATCTCCTCCGGACAGCGGCCAACTCTGGGCCAAGTTTAATTCCCCGTCGTGCTCGTCGACAAAGCCTGCCCCCGCGACGTGCCCCGTGAATGCAACTGTATTGGATCCGCAACGTCCGCGCCAGTCCGCATCGCTTCACTTTGGGTGCCCTTTTGTGCATGAGGCAGTGCCTGGGCTCCGAGGATTCTCACTAACACGATCCATCGTGGACCTGGTGCCAGTGCTCTTTGAAGCCAAGAAATGACAGGGTGAATGAGATGCTCGGAGTTAGCAAGATACTCGCTCGGCAGTGGTGGCTACCATCCCCACCATCCCTCATGAAATTAAAAGCAGGGATCAGGGTCACAGCTCGGAGCCCATGCCGCCATGGCAATCGGCGCCACTGACCTGCTGGAGGCTAGGAAGTTGCTTTGGTGATTTCACCAGACCGAGAGCAGCAGCATCTCATTTCATGCTCAACAATACGACTCACCGGACCTTCTCTCGGGTTGGTAGCCATTCTCATTGTGAACTGGACAAACGGCGGAAGTCTTAAGATCTGGAATTCATGACACAAGAGTGATGTTGAAAAGCATCTGTGTCATCCCCGCCGCTGTCCCGCGGCCCCGCCTCCAGCGGCACCGGGATCGATGCAAACTCCAGTGTCTGCATGCACGAGCTCGACATTACTGCAGGAACACGGGACAGCTGTATTTCTAGCGCGCGCAAACATCCTCACGCCATCATAACTTTATCTTCTTTGTGTTGTAGTGCAGCAGCTTTACACAGTCTCGGTCACCATATCTACCTGAGACGGGAATACCTCAAGTCCAGACGAAACAGGCGCCTCGGTTGAGACAATTGAAGGTGAACCACCACAGTCAGGACGGGTCCTGCTGCTTGCTCCCCGGCCCTAGGATTCAGCATCGACAACCAAGATGAGCTACCCAGTCTCACTCCCCCAGTCCAATATTCCATACCAATAGCCTCTGGAGCTGACGTGAGGGGCACTAATATTCTTTCGCGGGGCAGCCTGTTGATGAGCATTGTCCACCTCGTCAGATCTTCCCCCAAGACAGTATGTATTCTCCGACCATATGGCTCCGCTGCTGTCGCCAGCAAACATTATGAAGTCGCTTAATCGACGGGGCTATCAAGCGCGATAATGACCCCCGTCCGGTTTGTCCTACCTACCTATGTACTTAACAATCAGGACAATAGTTGACAGCGTGGGATAAGGGACCTGGCAGACAAGTATGCGCGCTACCTGTCAGTTCTCTTTCATCATGTTCCCACGATCCTTTCACCGCAGCTCCCAGCTCCTTTGGTCATGAGCTGACCACGTACGCAATATCAGATGTGTATCAAAAAGTGATATATGAAGCCTGTTCTAACTCTTGTGTTCAACCCTCCAAAAAGGCACATCTCTCCTCCCTGTGCTTGGTCTTCAAAATTCAGGGACCCCAGTAGCCAATCAAACCATTGATGTCAACCTCCCGGTCATGGTTAGGCGCATCCAGCTAGGCACGCCATAAAAACAGACACCAGACACGGGGAAGACAGGGCAATGACAGGTCGATGCTGTTTTGGGCCTTTTGATAGGCCTGATACCTAGAGGCAGCCGTTAGAAATTGGCGGCTCCTGACGGCAAAATCTCTTTTCTTTCTCATCAAAGAGACTTGCCGAGGTCGGCATTTGTGTGTGGTGGCAGAGTTGGACAGCAGGACAGTCATCGATCGGGAATCAAAAAAAGCAGGTCGACCACGCACGCAGGATTCCCTTTTCTACATATTGCGACTCTGCGCCAGGTTCCGCAGATTATCGCCCCTTTTTTGCACATACACTGCGTGGTATCCGTATACCATAAGAGGCAGGCCGTTCTGCAACTCAGCGCACCACCATTTGGCACCCACGCTCTCTGTCGCAAGTCGCAGGCGGCTTCGTGAGCTTTGGTCGTTCATACCAAATGGGGCCAATGTCAACTCCCAAACAGGTGGTGTACCACACACACTCTTCCCACGCCCAGACTTATTGACATTCAGGAACCGAATGGAACCCTCAAACAAAGAAGTTGACGACACGGGCCTCTCGTGTCTACCTAAGGAATGTCGATATTCGCATGCAAGTCATCTAACACTGCCAAACCTCCCGTCCCATTGTTGAAGTTTCTTTCCGCCCGCTGTGCGGCGTGTCTGTGGTCACCCTCACGTGGGATTCTTCGCAGAAACGGGTGTTGTTTCTCCCCAACGATTGGCTGGATGTCGGTGGTTTCGTAACAGACCAGAAGCCCCTGAAATTCCACATGAAAATGTTTGGACTAAAAACAAAACCTGTTTGGAAACCTCGAAACTTTGGAACGGATTGGAAAAGGCAAGTCACCATGCGGGCCGAGAAGTGGAAGGTCAAGGTCTCAGAAAGAAAGAAAGAAAGAAAGGGTTTGGTTTCTGGGGCTCAACAGGGGGGTGGGGGTGTCAGTGTGAGGAAGGGTCCCATTGTCCTTTCTGTTTTCTCTTCCATTTGCAAACGGGCACTCATATCAGAGGATCCCCGTGTTCCCTACCTCACAACAAGTTTTGATACGCAACCAACGTGCGAAGGAAATCGAAACAAGGTAACAGAGAAACAATAACCAAGGAAACAATGAGATTTGAGGATCAGGGTCCGTCCGGTGGTTCAACCAACCATCCCGAAACAAACAAGTGCCCAAATTAAAGGTCGTAACTGAAGTGCGAGGCCCGTGCGTTTTATATCCGGTCTCCGGTCTCCGGTCTCCGGACTCGTAACAGGCGATCAATGTTTCTTGATTGAACACAGCACTGTCAGATAATTCGTGATGAAGATACTTTTTTTGCCTTGTAACCACCTCTCTCAGTCAGGTTGGATAGAGTTGGTCGAATCTGACGTGAAAAGAGGGCAATCACCCCTGTTAAGCTAGAAAAAGGGAAAGAAAAGGAAGTATATATATTGCCGAAGGACTAGTTACCATTAATAGAAAACTTTGTTGCGTCTAGACATCGAGGTTTACTATTAAGTTCCCAAGATGATCTAACGAAGATGATGCATATCCGTTGAACTGATTTGACCACTATCTTCACCCGTTTAAGTCCTGACGAGATGGGATGATTGACCACGATTGGAAGCATGTACTGTATACTGCCCCAATGTCGGTATTAAGAGGGAAAAAACGCGGAGATCTTCCCAGAGTTAAACATTGAGTATGTGATCACTGGGTTCAGCAAGACGACGTCATTAACTGTTACAGCACGTAGATTGAGGGTTGACGCACCAAAAGATCAGACGGAATAAATAAGGGGTGAAAGATGGAGGAGAGGAAGAAGCTAAGATACACGTGGGTGGATGGGAACAGGATCTTATATGGGATGACAAACCAAAGGGGATGAAAGACTAGAGACGAATATCAGGCAGGTCTTGGCATGTGCCATCAAATCAACCTCCAATAAATGAAAAATGTTATGTTCATAATTATCATCATCATCATCATCATCATCATCATCATCATCGTAGCTAAACTAGATAGGTATCGTTGCGTAACATAAACTCATAAAAGTGTCATGAAAAAGACGCCCTCATTAGGTCATATCCTCCGGCCATCGCAATCCAAAGGGGACGAACTCCAAGCTCCAAGCACAACCCCCAAGAAAGAGGACATCAACCGAAGAAAATGCAAGAAACACCGACGAAAAAGCCTAGCATCATCAGCGGTAATACGACCCTCTCTCCCAACTCCTATCCCTCCCCCTATCCCTATCCCTATCGAACCTCGCCCTCCTGCCCTCTTCAATCGTAATATTAATCCTCTCCATCTCCCTCTCCAAGCTCGTCGTGCTACTCCTGCCCGTGGTGCTACTCATCCTCGACGGACTCCTATGTCTGACCGTCGACGCCGACCTCGTCGAACTCCTGCTGTCCTGCTGCTCCCACGGGTATGGCGGTCTTGGCGGCGGCGGACTCCTCATCCTCCTCGGCGGTAGTGACTCGTGCCTCTTCGGTTGCTTGGGACCCTCCACGTATCGATACGTCTTCAGCTCCTCTTTTACTGGCACCGGCACTGGGACGGGCACGCGCACGGGAACGGGCACGGGGACCCGCACCTCGCGCTCGATGATGACTTCGCGGTCGCGGCTGCGGCTGCGCTCGGCGTGCCGCGATTTGGAACGCTTCTTTTTCTTCTTTTTCTTCTCTTCGACGTCGACGGCGATTACGTCGATGATGTCTGCGTGCTCGTCGTCGTATAGGACCGGTGGAGGTGGAGGAGGTGTGTGTGTGTGAGTGTGTGTGTATTTAACGTCTTCTTCCGTCTCCCGTAGGGTATGTTCATGGTTGTGATGTTCATGGTTGTGATGTCCATGGTTGTGATGGTGATGGGGCTCAGAAGCCGGGACGTAAACCGAAGGCGGATGAGGATGGGCGGGCATCGGAGCGTAGACGGGAGGGGCGTGGTGATGTGGTGCCGGGTGAGTTGGAACATAAGCGACTGGTGGAGGAGGCTCTGGATAGAACATCGGCGGTGGTGGCGGCGGTGCGGGCTCGAGCACGTGTACCGGGGGCGGAGGAGCTGGTTTAGCTGGTTTCTCGATAACTGCCACTTGCTGCTCAGACGCAGGAACGATCGTGGTGACTTTCCTCCGGACGGTCGTGGAGCCATTGACGGGGGGCTCTAGGTAGAGACGTTTCCTGTGACGGTGTACTTTTGCGGCGTACACTGGCGAAGATGTTGGTGTCGAGTACTTCGAGGCAGACAAGGCAATGAAAGGGAACGTACTGGTGACGGGTTTTTCTGGCTACGCCTGATACCTCGCTAGGCTGGGGATGGTCCTTCGTCGTAGTCTTATCGTGTTTTGGGGACAGAAGAGTGTTGTGGGTGGAGAGCAAGCTCAAGAGAAAGGAAACGGGAAGGGCCCGAGATAATAACAGGCTCGATGCTTCATGGTGTGGGTGAGTCCAGCCCTGCCGGAGGTCCTCGTATAATCCATCTGGTTCTCGACTGCACGCTATCTACGCGTTTGCGAATCGGGTGAGAGATTGGACTGGATGAACTGGATGCCGATGGTGGGATGGCTTGGAGGGAAGCTATGACGTCGGACAGTCTTGGAATGTTCTCCAGCAAGGAAGACGATGTTTGGTTGGTTGGGCACTTGGTTCAGACGGAGCCCAAGACCGAGACCCTGTGACGTGATCGGCCACGGTGCGTTGACAGAAAGTGCACGGAGAATCTGCACAGTATGCCCCTAACTACTCGAGCTACTTAACTGCTACACCACGACACAATTGCTTCCCAGGTGAAGATGGGTGAGAAGTCAAGCGCTCTGATAGTCTATAACAATTCTATACCTGTGCTTACAAGCTGACTCTTTTCCTTATGCCAAAAGGTAATTCCACGATTTTGCAGTGCCTCACACTTCCCATCCTTGCCTTCTAACCGTGATTGCCCTTGGTTGGATCTTGAAGCAACACAATGTCCTTATTCAGTATAAGCCTCCGCGCCAGCTATCGTAACTCCGGTCAAGCCTCCAACATTCAACAAGCCATCCTCATCCAGTTCTCGTCTCTCCCTTTGTCTCCTCAACTCATCATAATCCGGCATATACCTGCTGACAACAGTGTAGCCCAACGCCAGCAGCACCATCAAGACCCAGATAGCATAACCCCATAGCCACTGTGTACGAGCGCTGATAGCAAAGAGACTAGCAAACAAAGCCGGCGAGAAGGATCGTACACCGCTAACAAGCGACAGAGCCAACGCGTTCAGCGTCCCGAGGGTGACGGGGCTGGGCGAGGCATCGTTGAGAGCGAGCTGGATAGCTGTAAAGGACATGCTAACGCCGCATCCGAGACACAGCAGGACCGGAGTGATGAACCAGAAGATAGTCTCGCCCGTCGAGCCACCGTAGCGCAAAAGGACACTGAAAAAGGGGCATACGGCAAAGAAGAACGGATACGCGATCGCGCATACCCGCAGGACGCCATTGGTGCCGATGCGGTGCTGGAGGGGAGGGAAGACGAGCAGGATCCAAATCGCCTGTGCCAGGCCGTTGAGGCCCAGCAGGAGCGAGATCTGCAAAGGCGTAAACCCAAGGCCTCCGAGGTCAATGCGAGTGAACCAATAGACGGGCACAATTGCTGTATAGGAGAAGGCCAACAGCATAATATGACCGTAAGTGTAGAGAACAATGGGCACACCCGGGGACTTCAAAAGATCCCAAGTAGTCATGGACGCAGGTTTGGCCGGGGCACCAGACTCCTCGGTATCGCTGCCGCCGCCAAATATGTCCTTCTTCAGCGTCTCCTCAGCAAGGAAAGCAGTAACCAATACCGCAGTAACGGCGATGCCACCCACAACAAAACTAGGCAATGCATAAGGATAGTCTTTGAAGAACTGGATGTTGCCAAAGAGCCCAGGGTACTGCCCGGCAGGATCCGCCAGCGCCCCCCCTATCAACGGACCAAAGAGAATCCCCAGGTTTCCGGTAAAGGCAAACCAGCTGAATGCCCGAGCCTGTGTTTTGGCGGTGCTGTGCTCGGAAATCATGGTCCGGATCGTCACGATGGTCCCCGCAAAGACACCCGCCAGACACCGAAACAGAATCATCTGCGAGATGGTCTTGGCCATGCCAAACAGGGCTGTCGCAAGAGTGACCCCCATCAGAGAGAACACCAGCACCGGTTTCCTCCCGAAGCGATCCGCTGCCCTTCCCCACAGGATCATGACAGCCATCTGCGTCAAGGAGAACAGCGACTCGATCAGGCCGCTGTAGAAACCGACGTCGGCGTCTGCCAGGTTGCCGTTCTCTTGCGCCATCTTGTTGATGTAGGGGAAGATGGAGAAGAAGGCCACGGGCTCGACCCATCGTGCGTAGCATAACACAAGAATTTGAGCCACGGGGAGAGGCTTATCGTCCGGGTCGACCTCATTGCTGCTGCTGCTCGATGGCTCGTCTATGAGCGTAGTGACCTCGGAGATTTCGGGGTCGGCGGTTGGGGCGATGTCCCCGGCTGCCAGCAACGGCGTGCTCTCGCTGGCATGCTCTACCGATAGTCTCCGGGTTCTGGGAGACATCTCGAGAGGAAGCGTAAGTAGTCCGGGTAGGGTATCCGAGATGTAAAAGTGAGATGATGGATCTCCAGTGTCTTGTCTTGGCCTCGAGGGTGACACTCAGACGCGGTCCTCTCAGTCCTCAATTATTGAGGAAAAGAATTGCAAATGACCGGTGGCAAGACGACGATATTATGGGGAAACCGTGACTGTAAGTATTATTGTGATGACTGATGAAAAAAAAAGTCCGATGCACACGTAACAATACTAAGTGCGAGACTTGACTGTCAAGCACCCAACTTTTGTCAGTAGGACACGACCTCATTGGCCATTTAAGAGGAAAATTGGGTCGTAATTGAGTTAGATGCAGCTTCGGGGCTCAGGGTTCGGGTTTAACATGGGAATTTGTCTGAACTCTCAGGGTTATGTATGAAGACGAGTCCACGGGCTTGTCGCCCCGGGCAGTTTGATGTCCCGTCATTTAGAGGTATCTTTTGCAACCCAACAATTGCTTCACTTGTTGCCTGGAAGCCGTGTGACCGTGACATGTAATCAATTGACTCTAAAATCCGAGGCCCGGATTGATATGGACATGATCCTCGATTCTCGCTTTAAAACCCTTGCCGGATTCGGAAGGTTCCACATAAGCAACCAACTTACACCTTCTTCTCATCACTCACCGGGCATGACATCTCGCTTTTGAGGGTTTCGGTCCTTTGAATCCTCGGGTACATTTCGGTGGAAATCTGTCTCGTCGTTTGTCATCGTACTCATCAACAAAACTTTAGATTAAGCAGCGTTCTTTTACACAGGCGGAAGCAGGTACCGAGTCCTCCGAGAAGTTTCAACACCATCACACTACTTGGAAATAGTTGACTCCAATTCCTACATCAATCTTGTATCAAGTATAAATGACCACCATCACAAATTCTCGCCCAGCCTTCCTTACGAGTCCGACATCCCGGGTTTCGGTTTTCTCTCGCTTATCTTCTGCTTCCAGTCAATACCGTCCCGTGTTATCATCCCGTGCCGGATCTCCCCGGTGTAGAGATAAACACATTTTGCCGGCAAAAAATGCACAAAGAGCCCCAACCTCCCAGATACTATGAGATAAAAATAGTTTACACGGTGGGGGTACTCAAACTCGCTCTATATTCGGACTTACACGTACATTAGATGAGTACGGGAAAGGATAGTCAACACGGATGTGATTTCGATGAGTTCGGTGACATCTGATGACTTAATGACCAGAAACTTGACCGGTACGCATAGCGAACGAAGTATGAGTGATCGATCAGCAAAGTTGCAGTTTCGTGGAAAGGAGAAGAATTGCTCTAATTCTGTGCGAAACCTGGAGAACTAGCCGTCTTAAATGAGCTGCGCACTGCATACACCAACCAGTCTATGTAAAACCATTGCTCTCGCCAATTTCAACCCGTCAACATATACTCCTATCCTCTAATGAATATCATAAACAACAACGAGCAAAAGATACCCCGTAAACAAAACCAGCAAACGCCGTACTAGTGTAGAGAGGAAAGACCTCCTCGGCTGTCGATCCAACGGCCGTTACCTCCCATTGATCCCAGCTCACGTCAAACACAACTCCCCTCTATCCACGCTACCCAACACAACAGTCACAACAGTCACACATACCCGCCCCTTGTATACCTCCAAAGCAAACTGGCCCCCTTAATAGCCGGTACTCGAATCCTAGTAGCATGCTTCCCTACTATCCTTCCCCCCAATCCTCCCCGCAGCAACGGATCCCTTTCCCTTTCCCACTGCCTCTCCCATTCCCATTCTGCCTCCCTACTGGCACGGCCGCCGACGATTTTCTCCTGGGCTTTTACCGTCGTCCCCTTTCCAGACCTCTTTCCCCGTCCGCTATTACTAGTTCCTTTTAAACCCTTGCCGGATTGTCGTCCATCTCCTCCATTTTCTAATTCAGCAGCCTCAGCAGCCGCAGCAGCAGCAGCAGCCGCCGCCAAACAAGCAAGTCTATTCCTCTCCATAACCTCCAAACTCTGCCTAACCGCCTTTTGGAACCGTCGTCGGAATCGTCGCCAGTCGTCGTTGGTCGGCCAGGGGCCGGACCACTCGCCGCCTCCGGTTCCGGAACCGCCACTACCTCCTCCTCCTCCTCCTCCTCCTATTCTTACGTCTCCTGTAACGTCTTCGTCGTAGTTGTTGCCAATGTTGTTGTTGTTGCCAATGTTGTTGTTGTTGTTGTTGTTGTTGTTGTTGTTGTTGTTGTTGTTGTTGTTGTTGTTGTTTGTCCATCCTGGATTGTTGTTGTTGTTGTTGTTGTTGTTGTTTGTCCATCCTGGATTGTTGTTGTTGCTAGAGGTACCGCCCCCGCTACTAAAATTGTAATAATCAAAATTCTCCCCATCATCACCATCATCTTCCTTGTCCTCTACCTCTATATCAAGCGGGTAGTAAAGCAGCTCGTTGAGGTGCGGGCGTCGAGGGGCGTGGTTGATGTTGGCTTCGATGTCGAATTTGAAGCGGTAGGCTTGGTGGACTAGTTGGGGTCGTTGTGGTTGAGGAGGCGGTTGGTGTTGTTGTTGTTGTTGTTGTTGGAGGAGGAGTAAAGGGAGAGGGAGGAGTGGTGGTGGTAAGTGGGGATGCTGTAGAGAGGATACAGGATACGGCGACGGCGGCGGTTGGATAGACGGGAATGGTAACGGTGACGAGTATGGTGGTGTGTAGAGGCCACTACGGTTTGCGATGGTGTTCTTGTTGCTGCTGATGCTATTGCTGATGGTGGAATCAAAATGGAGACCATTGCTGGCTGGTTCTGCGAGCGTCGGGATGGGATTGCTTGATGAAGACCTCGACGGTGAAATGATACTGCTACTACCGCTGCTGATGGGGGATGGAAATCCAGTGGCGCTGGGCCCGGTCGTGAAGAGAGGTTGCAACGTGGTCGAAACGGAGTGTTGGAGCGGATGGTTCGGGATAGGGGTCATGGTGCCGGGGAATCGGAAGTCGAACTCGAACTGGAACTCCTGGTGAACGATGAAAATGAGGACCTTGAGTCGTGGGAATTTGGCCAGGTTGGTAAGCAACTTTCCCATGTTGGTCTTGGATACCTTCCAGCTCAGCACTGGGTGGCAGATGCCCGTGTAGATGCCATAGGATGTTCCGAGCGCGAGGCGGTTGATGTTGTCTCGAAGTAGCGGAATTTGGCTCATGAAATGGAGAGTGCGGTGAAGCCTCTTAACGAGTAGGTATGGCTCAAGAAGGAGAACGTCTCGAGACAGGTCGACGTATTTGGTTGTCCTCCCCAATGTTAGAGCCTTGTAGTTGTGAAGAACAAAAGATCGACTCTCACGGCACACGGCCGCTAAGGCTGGCGGAGGTTCTGGATGGATGTTGGCAAACATCAAACCTTCATGGGGAGGGGTCTTTTGTTTCGAGTTTGGTGCATCTAAAACCTCATAAACCCGTGGTTCTGGCAAAGAAAACTCCCATATGATGTTTCGCAGCTCGGCCGGTAGCCGTTGGAAGTTGGTAAACTTCTCCATCGAGTTGACTGGGCAGCACTGATGGACGCCGTAATGATCATAGTGCATTGTGAGTGCTCTTTATTCGTATCGTGCTGATATGTCGCTGCCGATTTCCCACGGCCTTCACTTGGAAGATAAACGGAACCCACAGGATTCGTCGTAGAATATTCGGTCTTGCGGAATGGTGATAGTGTTGTCGCTCCTGAACTGTCCTGGACAGATATCGCTTGGTCACGCCCTCCACGATCTTTCACCGCAGGTATTCGTACTGGCACTCGAAATGGATGAGTAACTCGAGAAGCGGAAAGGTCTTAAATGTCGTTTTCGATGTGTTCCGATCAAGTCTGTACCACCGTTTATTAACAGGCTGACGAACTGGCCACGACAGCGTGGCCCTGGATAGCGAGGGGAATTACCACAATAAGGTGTCAAAGACGTGGAACTCTTATATCTCCTAGTCAATGACTAGCCCTAAAAACAGCGAATCAAGAAAGTCACAAGCCGTAAACAAGGGCTTTGTATCACGTCATCTAATCTTGATATGGTCAAGTGGCTAGGAGGAAAGAGAAAGTCGATACGAGTGTAAAGATGCGTTGAAGGATCAGATACATGTATGATCTAAGGTTTGGACTCGCCCCGTATCTGTGAGCTTCAGCTCCCGTCACTTGACAAGCCATTTTCAGTGACGAACTGACCGTCAGTCTTGAGACAATTTAAGCTAACTAGGCGTGCCAGGTAAGCCAACATCCGAGTGCGCGAACGTTTTAGGAAATTTGTCAGGAACAAGGAAGAGCAGGACTTGCCCAACGCTAGGAGACCTGGCTATGCGAGTTGCTCTACACGGTAAGGCGTGCCCTTGACTGGAGCAAGCACATTAGGATGGAGAGGCGAGACCTTCGGCAATGAGGACGCTCTAACACTAGACTGGCCGTGGACTACCTGGAACAGGCACCAACATGACGGGAGGTGATTCAAGAATCGTCTGACGACCGCCGGTTGCCGTTAGGGATCCACGATATCCATACCTGCAAGAGGCAGCTTGTCTGCTCTGGCCATTGGGGTCGAAACTGTTGCCGTTCGGACGGGTCCCGGTGACCTAGAAGCGGGATGAAAGGGTACCCCGTACTGGAGGGGTCCTTTGACAGCGTGGTGGTAAACAGGTGATTGCGAACTTGCCTGTAAGGGGACTCGATTCAGAAGAAATACTGGGTTAGTTAGTACATAGTGGACAAGCAGACGGATGATACATGACTAGGGACTGGTATGAGCTATTCTTAGCATATAGCGGACCGCCTTCTATGCCTGCAGCGTTTCAATTCATTAGTATTTACCACCGATCTTGGAGCCATGGTAACGTGCCGTCGAAACAGAGTTGCAGTTTACGCGGTGGTGTTGGAACCGAGGGGTAGGGGTCAAGCGGCTGGACCGGACGCGTACGTAGTGTATCGATGAGACGACGTAGGTAGAGGGAAGCGGGGGTTTACTTCAAGTTGGCTGCTAGAGCTTATAGCTCAGTAGTCTAGCGAATGACTTTTACATAATCATTGCGCAGGTTTTGCAGATGGCTTCAAACTAGACAGCCAGGCTCGAAAAGTTTTTGAGAAAGCAAGTTCCGGCTTCCGGGTCCCAGCCATGGAGAAGATGACAGGCACAGTTGTTAGTGCTGATTCCGGGCTGGAGTACTTGATGGAGTAGAAACCGACGAGGCGTAGGAACTAGTTGCGGCAAATATGCCATTGTGTATTCGGAATATCGTATAGCATGCGTCAATTCCGATATGAACGCCTCTTTCGCTTTGCGCTGTGCTCAATATCCAATACATTGTGGACGTTGTTACGGATTCGTAGGACATCCGAAGGGTAACACCGGGATCCATGGATCAGCTCGTAGCTGGCTTGAGTTCAGCGACGACAGACTCCAGTCTCAACTTGGAAGACCGCGCACCCCACGCACACGAGACGATGTGGGAGACGACGATCAGTCATTACGGTTATGCGATGGCCAAACGCTGGTGTGCCGATGGATCCTCGCATGCTTGTTTCGCATAATCTTTCCTCATATCAACCGGCGACTTGGAGGCTCGGGGCGTGGGCGACAATATGTGTTAGCTGAGAGACGATGTTATGCTGGGCGGAACGAGCACACCGTCCACACATGCTCGGCTGGGACATTAGAGCGCAAACGATGCCACTCTATACGGAGCAATGCCCCATGTGTAGTTTCAAAGACAGTAGGCGAGGAAAATAGCAATGGAGCCCGAGATGTGGTCCGTCGCTTTGCGCTGTAACATACTATCCCATATGTGAGCAATCAAGACTTCAGCTTCCGCTTGGTCAGGCTTGTCGGGGCCCCAGAGGCCCAAGGACCTGGAGTGCCTGGCTGTGAAGAACGAAGGACTCGAGGCCGAGGAGGGGTCGCACAAGACAGGAGGCATCACCACGACTCCAATTCCCGCCAACGATATTGAAGCATCCGAAGCTTCAGTGGTGGAAGTGGGTAGGTAGTTGGAAGCGGCGCTGACAGTGTGTGGTCGGTTGGTGCTGGAGGTCTGGTACGGCACGGCGTCAACATTCTAGAAGTCGACTCGGACTTGTGACATTGGCTGACCGCAGAATGAATGCTACGGCGCAACAGATGCCAAGACTGAATGGTGAGTGGCCGAATGTTCTGCCAGCTGTCGATATCTCACAGAGCAGGAAGGATGTTAATTGGCTAGACATGCTGAGCCCACCTCAAAACCCAAAACTGTGGAGCAAGCATCCTGACTAAGCTGTTTAGAATGCTCCACTAAAATTTTGAATATCTAGACCTCGAACCGAATTCCTTTTCCTTCCTCTTTTCTCTTTTTTTTTTTCTTCGTGCGGCGGTCACGACTCATTCAAACATTACCCGTGTTGCTTCGTTTTCATCTCCCTCGGGAGATTCCGTGAAAACGTCGCGTCAGTCGTGGCCTAGATAAATCATATTGCAGGCCGATTTCCTCGTCAGTCAGTCCATCGAGAAACAACCCCTTAGGGCTGGATGGTGATGAAGAGATCGGACATTTTATCTGGGGCTACTTTCATGACTTGTTATGTGTAAATAACAATTGGCGTCGTGTTGGTAATTGCGAGATTGCTCTTAAGAGCAGCTCTATAACCGAACCGGTGTCGTCCTGTGGATTGAACGTCATGTCTGGTTATGAGGGATCTCATGGTCAACCACGGTTGTGCGAAATTACACGTCCTTGTACCGGCCTGGTGTTTGACTACCCTTCCGTTCAGTAGCGTGCTGTTGTGAGCACATGGACTTCCTGAGACTGTTCTTCTAGTACCGCGATGGTGTATAGCTCTGCGCAAAACGCACTTATACTTTGGATATGGGACTGGATGTTGTGCAATGCTCATGTTTGTTCCCTATGGCACGGAATCTTGGAGAAGAGGGATGCCCGGCCGGCCATCTATGTAGGGTCGGCAACCAATGCTACGCTTGGGGTAGCATCGAGATTCTCAGACTATAACAAGTTGCGAAACTTGTCTATCCGGTGTAAGGATTGGGTCGAAGAGGGATTCCAAATCACGTACAAAGCTTTGCTTTGTACCTCGCCTCTCCCCACCCCCACCAACCGGTCTGCGGTTCGGGCGGTGTTCAAAACCATCGAAACGATGGTCACATCGGCCCTTTGGGCGTACCACACGGCAAAGTCTCCGGGGCAGTTGGGACTGCCGGAAATCTGCCCGTGGGAATATACAGGCCTGCCCTTCGACGGCCTGTGTACCCACGCGGCATTCATTGAGGGGGTGAATTTTTGTAGTCATGCCCAGCATAACCCCAGTGCCAGCGACCCCGATGCCACTACCATTGCGGAGGTGGAGATCAATGCGTTGGAAGTGTCAGCCGAAGAGCGACGCCAAGCGTATCTTAAAAGAAATCGGGAGAGGTACCATGAAATGAAACTGATGTACCCCGAACGATGGCAAGCAATGGCAGCCAAGAAGAACGCGAACAACAAGAAGGTGTACTGGGACCGCAGACTCAACCGGCCCGATGAGCATCGTGAGCTCCGGCTCAAATATAGCCTGGCCGCCGAGACCGAGGAGCGGAAAGCCAAAAGGGCTGCGACGTACCAGGACAACCTCGAAAGCAAACGTTTCTATTGTGAAACTTGTGATATGCCTTTCGGCAGTTATGGCCACTTCGAACACCATAAGTTAAGCAATGACCATATCGCCAAAGAGAATGGGACCTATGTCCCGCCTAAGACGAAAGACGGCGAGTTGAAGTGGTGGTGTGACTTGTGCAACGAGGGCTGGACGGATGAGTGGTCCCTGATCCAACACCAACGGAGGTCATACGACCATGAAGTCAAGCTCGCTGCCCGCGAGGGCCGTCCTCCTCGCCCACAGGACGAGAGACTTCTTTGCCCGTTCTGTGACAAAGATTATACGGATCCGAGTGCTCTAAACCGCCACATAAAAAAGCATCACCCCGGCAACGCCGAAGTCATCAATATACAAACTTTTGTTTGTGATATTTGCCCGGGATTGAGTTGGGCAAAACAAACCGAACGAGATGTCCACCGCCGCAAGTCTCACTTGCACGCCGTGCGGGCTGCCGACGCAGCCGGACTTCTCCCTCCGCCCACCCCGGAATTCTTTTGTGGCGTCTGTGGGTTCGTCTACAAAAACGCCACCACTCTCCAAAAACATCGACGCAGAGAACAGCATCATGAGATATAGGATGTCTTGATGTTTTTTTGGGCTGCTGTTTTGGCCTCTCTTTTTTTTGCTTCTTTTTTTGGTACGGTCACCCCGATATCTAAAGGCAAGAGCAAGATCATGTCTCGTCCAAGTGTCAGAGCACCCGGGCGCTCATCTGGTACGACCACCCCTGTTCTACTCGCCCGGAAGATCACCAATCTTCTCCAGTTTGCCCATATCTCTGGCTGCCCACGCTCATCTGGTACGGCCACCCCTGTTCTACTCGCCCGGAAGATCACCAATCTTCTCCAGTTTGCCCATATCTCTGGCTGCTCCTGACTCTCCAATGAGCCTCAGCCTATCAATCCTGACCTTCTCGCTATCACCGTCCCCATTGACAACAAACAGAACCAAGCTGTTAATGTTTTGGAACCGGACGTAACGCAAAGGAATGCTGGCAGTTCCTTCCTTGTTCCAATCACTCTCGGAGAGCTCGATATCTTGCGTAGCTTGAAGATCCTCTGCCTCGTCGAACCCGAGATTGTGCGGCTTGTTGACAAAAAGCTTGATCGTCTTCGGCCTCATGGGTGCCTCGTCGTCGTCATCATCAGTGGGAGGAAGGGAGGTGATCTGGTAAGATAATGTCAGTTGCTTCATTCGACCTCTACCCAAAGCTTTGGCAGGACCAACCTGGAGAGTATGCAACTTGAGCATAGACTGGAAGGGCATGAAAAGCAGCAGTTGCTCGTCGGTGTCACTTTCTACCCAATCCTTGGCGGTTCCTTTGCCTCCAGACAAGGCACTTGGCTTTTCGCTCGAAAAAAGCACCCGGACGCCACCGGTCTCTGTGTCAACATTCAAAAGCTCAGACCGATTGAGCTCAACCTGATCGGTGACATCCACATATCCGCGGGGAAGTGCGGCACCCTTCCAGCTGCTGGAGCTCCCGCTTGCCTGTTCAGTCTTTGCCGAGTCAACTGCGCGTTTGAGTTTCTCAACCAGTTGCGCCAGCCTCCTAGGATTGTCACCGGCAACCTTGTCGATTTCCTTGCCGTTCTGGAAGAGCATAGTCGTCGGAAGGGTGGTGATGCTGTAGGCGCTCTTGATCGCCTTTAACTCGTCCACGTTGACCTTTGCGACCTTTAAGACCGTGCCGTGTCCTTCGAGATCTTGAGAGTGGTGTTCGAGAACGTGGATAGCTTCCAGCGAGGCCGCGTTACTGGGGGAGTAAACTGGGAGGAAACCATGTCAGCAAGCTGTTATTGACGAACCGGCACCACCAGGGAGAGAGATCGTGCGTAAAGGAAACGTGAATGCATGGCGAGAGGGCGTCTCCACGCTTCCGTAAGTTGAATATCCCAGGGTATGCGATTCATGACGGGGGAATCGCTTCCTCGAGCGACTGGGGTAGGAATAGAACTTACATTGTGCCACGACGATGTTGGTGGCATCCAGTAGGGAACTCCATTCCGCTGGGCTCTTGATTTCGACTGCAGGCGACACCATCTTGATCGATACTCTGGAAAATGGCGAAGTGGTAGAATAAGGGAGCTTAGTTGTGATGGCGGGGTTGCAAGTTGCAAGACTTAACGAGAGTGGAAGCCAGGCGATGACAACACAGAAGTGGAAGCTTCAGTTAAGTTCCAAGCCTGAGGTCCATGCCCCGCGCTTTCATCCTACCCCTGCAGGGCAGGACCAGTCTCGACTCTCGAGCTTGCAGTAATGGAGCCTTACGCGGTCAAGTCGTACCTACCTACTTGTACGCAAGCTGTACATGTGTACTATGTGCTGTCGGCTCTGTGTATTTACCAGCGTTACATAGCACCTACCGCAGCATCCTAGAGGTAGGAAGTGAAAATTTTCTGCAAAGAAAGTGGAAGCCGTGAGTGCAAGTGAAAGGAACTCGGCGAAACAAAGCGTCAACGGTAGGTACCTCTACGGTTTGTATCAGTGCCACGTGTGGCTTGTCAGGTACAAACTACCCCACCGTCTGCAGTGAGTTTACTCGAGGGTGGCAATATTTTGGGACATGAAATAAATCTGGGACAACCAAAATCGTATGCACATTGCGAACAAGTCTGTTAGCGGAAAGCCAACACCATCATTTCCACCACGAATTGTTTTTCAAAAATTCATCGAAAAATAAGGTAGGAATGTCTAAGAGAGAGAAGCAGCTTCCAATTGAGTGCATTCTCGAGAAAAAAAATCCTGACTTTGGAAATGACGATTTTCTCGTTTTTCCCCAAGATTTCGTTTTCCCTCAATATTTCGTTTTATATAAGAACAGCAAACTCTTTCACGATTTCTCAACCAAACAATGACCAAGAATATTACTTCAAGCTGGAGAACATTGCATTAGGCTAGAATTATCTTCCAGGAAATTTTCATTGCGATTTTGGCAATTTTCATGCTGCTGTTGAGATGGGAAGTTAATTCCCATACAATTTTGGTTGTCCCAGATTTATTTCATGTCCCAAAATATTGCTACCCTCTCCCTATGGGGAGAGGGTGGAAGAGCCTTGGCGCCCAGAGCCAGAAAAGCACCCACCACCCTCGAGTAGTTTGTTGACATCGCTTAGTTGAAGTTCTCCCGACCTTGTCGTTTCGAGATTTTGCGACACAGCATCCAAATCAGCCGTGATCTCACATAATGCCTTGGCTTTCACTGTTCGATATCACACTCTAGTCGTCTTAGTTCCAATCACAAACCAATAATTCATCAAACCCTCAGTCCAAGACGGACTCACTCTCTCAAGTCTTAACAACAACAACAACAACCTCCTCCACGACAAAGTCGATAGCTCGCTTCTCCAAAAGGTCGTCCCCGGCTCCCCGCTTCGTTGTGACCGCTAATCCCCACTCGCGGATTTCCATCCAATGTTGGGCTCTCATTCTGCCAGGGCTGTTGGTGCCATGGGTGCCGAGCCCGAGATCCCAACTGTGACAAGGGTCACAATTTCAGGGGTAGACGGTCCTGCGGTCCCAAGTCCAGTCTCGAGTCCTGGCGTCCAGTCGCAGACCTCAACGAGAACGAGCCCCAGCGAGCCCAGCCTCATGAATTTCCAGCGGTGAGAAACTGACGTGAAAACGGATTGAATTACTTGTGGGAGATTGTCGGACTGTTTGGGCTGGCAAAGGCATGAGAGGTTTCGAGAACCAATCCCCTCGCCAATCTCGCCGTGTTTCATTACCTTATCCTACCGTTCACTTATACATGCACAAGGTCGAGTCTTGAAGTGTGGTGACAACGCGTTCCAGACGTGCCACGGCAGCAATTCAAGAAACAGCGGATACATATATGTCTGTGTTAGCTGTCAATCGCCGTGCAGATTTCGGCTCCTGAAAGGGGAAACTCAGCTCACAACATTCTTCCCACCCTTCCCCGGACACGTCAAGCCGCTCCTGTTGGTCGGAGAGAGTCCCATTTTCCTCCACTTCCAGAAACCTAAACGGCCCGGACCTGCGTGGAAGCAATCCTATCTTTTTCTCGAACCATCAAACCTTTACCAGCTACCGGGTTGAAGAAGACCAAGACGAGAACAACGCTATAATATTCATATTTTGATTTAAAAAAGCAGTATAACACTGCCCGCTCAAGAGAAGTCGTTCCACATATACACACATTGAAATAAACCCAACCCAAACCGCCAACATGGGTCTCTTCGGCGAGGGTTCCATGTTCTCCGGCCGTTCATCAAAGTCGAAAAGGCCACAGCCCTCGCATCGGTCGTCATCCTCCAGAAAAAGCAAGGAACAAATCGAAACCAAGGAACGAGACCGGGAGCTCAGAACACGGGAAAAGGAACGAGAACGGGAATCCAGGGAAAGAGAACGAGAACGAGAACTAGAACGCCAACGAGAACGAGAGAGGGACCGTGAACGTGAGCGGGAGCGGTCACCACCGCCATCAAGAGCCCTCTTTTCTCCTCCAGATGCCAGTGACAGCAGCGGGAGAAGGCGGAGGCAGGAGAGTTATAGAGCGGAGAGGCAGGAGAGTTACAGAGGGGATGAAGTGGCAAGACAAGGAGGAGTAGGAGTAGGAGCAGGAGGAGCATCAGAAGGAGGAGCAGGAGGCTTAGTAGGCTTCCTAGCCTCTCTCCTCCTCGGCCACGACGACGACCTCGACGGCATGGGATACGGCAGCGACTCCGACTCTGACAACAAGCCGCGGCGCTCATCTCCCAAGACTCCCGGGTATTCCGATCCAGACCGGTACGACAATGACGGAGGAGCTCCGCGCGACTATTTCTCTCTCTCCCGAAGGAACAGCAGCCGACTCATCGACACTCTCGGCGGCATCGGCGGCGGCACCCCGCGCAGCAGTCACCGTGACAGCAGACCAGAAAAGCCTCCGAAACGTCCATCGTTCTTTAAATCCTCCTCTTCTTCAGGCAGGCGAAGTTCATTCTTTGCCAAGTTCCGTATGTTCTTCTTATCCCTCCCCCTCCCTCCCTCTTTTTCCAAATGTTTTTTTTTTTTTTTTTTTTTTCTTTTTTCCTTCCATTCAATATTCTAACCCCCACTGCTTAGGCCGCTCCTCCTCCTCCTCCTCCTCCTCCTTCTACAAACGCTCCCCCCGCCCCCGCCTAATCAAAAAACTCCTCAAAAAACTCAAGCGTCTCCTCCGCGACCTGGCCTACTACGCCCAGCGCCACCCCATGAAAGTCTTCATGCTAGCCATCATGCCGCTCATCACCGGCGGCGCCCTAACCGGCTTACTCGCTAAATTGGGCATCCGTCTCCCGAAAATCGTTGATAGACTGCTGGCTTTGGCGGCCAAGTACTCGGCTGGCGACTCGCTGGGTGCCGTAGGGGAGGTGGCGAGGTTGGCGAGGGATGGGATTGGGCTTGGTGGTGTTCTTGGTGGTGGTGGTTCCGGTGGTGGTTCCGGTGGTGGTAGTGGTGGTGGCGCGGGGGCGGCAGCAGCGATGATGGGGAATGCAATGGCTCGGGGGTTTAACACGACGAACGTGGAAAGAGGTCGGAGAGGAGACGGATTGGTGTGGGAGAAGAGGACGATGGAGAGGGATGGGGTGTTTGGGCCGGGAGGGCCGGGGGTGAGTTGGCAGGAAGGGTTGAGGAGCGTTTTGAAGATGTTATCGGATTAGGAGGAAGGCTTTGAGTGACAACCAAGGGTGGACATGTCTCTTAGTGTTTGGGTGTTTTTGGCGTTTTGCGGGCCGGGAGGACCCAGTTTCTTCTCTTTTGGGTATGTGGTATGTGGTACATGAGGTACGAGACATGGCTGATTTGTCGTGTCTACTTTTCTTGTTTTTGGTTGTTGGTGGTCCTGGGCGGGTTTGAGCTTGTCAGGGAGCAGCGGTTACGTCCTCTGCATCACATTTCATTACATATGGATTTGATGGAAAAGAAGCATCACGAGATTCGACAGGCAGCGGAAGGGAAGCGTGAATAGGAGAATAAATATTAAGAACCACAAACTACTATATCTATCGACGCAATACACACACACACAAGACATCGAGCTAGCCAGCCCCCCTGTTTCTTTTGTTTTGCCCTGTCCGAGTGCAACCAATTTCATAACCAGAGGTCCCAAGTAAACAAGTAACCATCTCAACCACGACTTCTGCGCTTGGAAGAAGATGATGACTTGGAAGAACTACCAGTCAACATCTCCTTCCGCTTGACGATTGAGGGCGGGTCGCCAGACGTCCTCTTAGACGAAGAAGAAATGATCTCGTTGGCTTGCTCCTCAGCGACCCGTCGCTCTCTCGCACGCTCCGATCGGTCATAATGGCTGGTGCTCCTCCCGGCGGAACTGCTGATCCTCGATGAATGCCGGTGCTTGTCTTCCTCGCCCGCCGAATGGTCGCCCGGGCTTAGATCGCTGGTCGTCCGGTGTCTGTCTGATGTTGTTGTCCGACTCCTGTAGTCGCCTGTGTAAGTGGGGCGAGTGGTACCACCGGGATGCAAGTACTGGAAGGGATCAGCTCCGCTTCCGCTTGAAGAAGCTTGCCGCGAAACATCGTGGTGGGGAGAACTGCCCGTGGCTCCAGGAGATATGTCGCCGTAGGAAGGAGAATCTCGAGAACGCCGAATGGTACCAGCGGGTTGGTCTTTGACGTACGAATAATTAAAAGGCGAGGAGCTCTGCTCCCTCTCGGCGGTAGTTGTTGACCCGCTGGGAAGACGTGCCGGAGGAACTGGTGACTGTTCCCGCGGGGTTCGCGAAGGTTCCCCACGAGAGGAGCTCCGAGGTGCATCTATTTGGGCAAGAGCACCTAGCGGTACCGCGATCCGCTTCTCCTTTTTCTTCCGCTCTTCGCCGTTCTGACGTCGTTGATACCGTTCGAGAGCTGCCAGTTCGTCCTTTGTCAGCTTGACGTCGGCCTTGCCCTTTGCCTGAGCCCGGCGAATTCGTGCGAGGGCAGACTCGAGGTGGACACTGTCCTCCTCATCGCTCGCAGAATCCTCCGAATCATCGTCTGTCGTGTCTGCCCCATAGGTCTGTTTTCCCCGTAACCTCGCGCCACCACCGTCTTTATTGCCCATGTCGATGCCCGTGAACCGAAGGGGATCGCTAGCAAATCTTTTACCCGAAGCTTTTGAAACCAACCCCCCAACGCCGTCATCGCTATCCAGTTCCTCCACCACACGCCCAGAACCCCACCAACCCTCAGCATCACTCCCGTTGCGCGCCCGCTCGCGCCTCGATGGTCTTCCCCATTGGGGCGCAGATTTGGGAGCTCGCGGCCGACCATTTAGACCGCCTCCCCGGAAAAAGCCTCATCGATGGGCTTGTCCATAAGCGAAGCATGGCCAATGATGACCAAGCCGCTGGCGCCAATCAACCACATGACAGTGAGGAAGGGCGAAGAGAAAAGACCGATCGGGATCGCAACGACGTACAATCCCGTGTACAGCTGTGACGTAGTGAAGCGGTGCTGGCCGATCTCGAGATCACGGCCATCGAGCTTGCCAATGAACCACATGCCGGCAACAACGAAGACGATGTCAAAGAGCAGCCAAGGGTTGGTGAGCAAGGCATAGATGCAGAGCATCACAAACACGACGGCATAGTTGCTGGAGAAGTGGCCAAGGTTGTAGTTGACGCGGGACTGCGCCTCGGCGAAGTTTTCGGGCTTGGAGAGGCGCTTGAGATCGAAGAACTCGGAGAGAGGGCGCAGGTTCGAGAAGCGGTTAGCAATCGAGCCCGAACGGAAGTTCTGGAAACGCTCGCCCATGTTGAGGCGAGACGTCAGGATGTCTATGGGGATCTGAATTCGCGACATTGTGACTGTGTGTAGGGCGGGTTGACTGAGGTTGTAGGGAGTCGCACGGCGTTTCGAGTGCCAGAGTTGGTGTTGCGTGAGGCAAGAATAGGTTCGAGGATAGGAAACGCGTTTGAAGTTGCGGTGGGCTGCGATTATGAGATCTGGCAAGAACACGGAGGTCAGACGTCAGGGCGAATCAAAAATAAAACGCTGTGGGCGCAGCCACTAAAAAAGAAGGGAATGGCATTGGGCCAGCATGTGCAAATGCTGAATGTACCTAACGATAAGGGGCAGGCTGCTGCAGAGGTCCTTTTTTTGATTGCGGTTACGCGAGCATGGCGGGGCGATGCCGCGATGGGAATGGGGACAATTTCAGGAAGATGGTTTGTACGTACCCCTTCACTCTCTTATCTGGAGAAGAGACGGTAGTCGTCAGGCCCTGAAAAGCAACTTCAGGTTCTCGATAGAGATGTTCGTTTGAGGTTTTAGAGAGATGAATGGTAGAAGGTATCCAATCTTGGACCGAACAGGATCCCCGCGGGCGGTGTTTTGAAAGTCAGGATCCGAAAATGGTGATGTTCCAGAATAGGGGGTGGGTTGACGCTAGCTGACTCCCCCAGTGTCGCCCCTGGGCCTGTGCTTGCTGGCGGGTTGACCTGAGCGTTGCCAGGAGCTGCCCGAAGTGGCCGTGTCCGAGCCCCCCGCCGGTCAGGTCAGACCACGAGTGGGGCTGAACCGTCCGGTGTCTTCCGGTGTTTTCGGATTTCCGTCTTCTGCCCACCTTTCCCGAGCAACGTCCTCGGAGGGTGGATGAATGATGGTCAGTTGAATGAATTCAGGAAGAGTTCAAACTCAATGGTATGAGGGAGCGATCAGGCTTTTAAGAGCAACGGCTATGCACAACCGATAGAGGGTTATCTCGCTTTCCAACAGGAAATGGGATTGGGTGTTTCAGTCCGCCAGAGTGAAAGCCATCGAAGCCCAGGCACCCATGGACCGCCCATTGGGTGCTGATTGAGTTGGCGACGGCGGGGTTGAAGGCTACCTACCGACTGCAGTCTTGGATTCGCTGCATGTGGTGTAAACGGCTGCATGCTGCGTTCGGTCCCGTCCTGGTCAGTCTCCAGACGAGGAATGGAAGTTGCAATATCCAACAAACAGCACAATTCTGGATCGTATCGTACTCCGAACGCGTTATATGTCGAAGGGATGCCCAACGAACGATTCACCCGTGTCAAAATCAATATGCCAAAGCTACTTGCGGCTTCCTCATGTTGTGTACCCTCTGTCGTTGGGCTGCACCAAACAGGACGACATGGACGGCAAGAGGGTCTACACTACAGACAACTTACCTGAGTTGACAAACACTGCCTGGCTGGGATCGAATTGATATGGAATTATGTCGCTTCAGATTGAACTCGGTAATTTCTGGTTGCCTGTTTGACGACATGCCCCAGCAATCCGGCTTAATGTCGTGAGCCTCTCCTTTAAAATCTGGTCTGACCCAAAACTAACTTGGAGGAAGTATGTCATCTTGTTTTGCGCTTAGATGGGTTTACACAAGCCTCCCGCTGATTGCATCATCTTCCAGCGCGGAACATCTACTGTGTACAACACCAAAGCAAGACAGGCCACCCGTTGTTGCAGTTATATCCGGAAACACCCAAAGCGCAGGAGACAGCTTCAACTCCTTGTGAGCCTCGTCGTACGCCGAAGAGATGAAGACGTGACGGAGCCTGGTGTCGGATGCGGGATCCGTCACATCAAGAAGGCGACGAGTATCAGCTATTTCAGGCCACTTGGTATCCAGAAAGATGTTATAAAAGGAAGTGAGTTAGCTGGAATGTCAGAGACTCCGTTGCCCAAACATGTCTTGCGTAACATGGAGGTTTAAATAACATCAAGTTCTGAAAGGCCCAAAAATACCGGTCTTTCACCTGCTTGTACCTTCCTCCGTTTTGTCCGGAGTTGTACTTGGAAAGTTCTATCAATGGCATTAAGTTGATGCGGCTTGTGACGGTGTCCCGCCCCTCAGGTTGTCATTATGGAGGATGTCGACTACTATATCAACAGACGAATCCCAAGAGTCCTTCGAGTTCCTTCCTGGTTTCCAATGTGAACATATCGCCGACCTGGTACACTCGTTCTGAGCCACTCCCCTCCTCGACCTTACTACCTGTATAACCTCACAAAGGCTTGGTACTCTCACAGACGACCTTTTTGGACTACTATCAAGGAACCTCTCTACCGAAAGTTCTCCAGGAACAATGCACATCCGACCCCTATATATCCTCCTCCTGGGCGCCGCCAGTGTCACCACACATGCAAGCCCTACCCCTGCCATTCTCGACGACGGTCACGACCTGAACCAAGTCCCGGCCTTTAACGTCACCAACTTTGAGGCATCAGCCATGGTCCTCAGTAACCGAAACTTGTAAGTCCGCTTCTCATTCATTAGTTCACCCTCCCCTTCTCTTCTTATATCTTCCAGCACATTGGATAATCCGCTAATCCCCAACCCACCTACTCTAGCTACAAATTCGACGTAACCTTCTACCACGAAGCCACTCCAGTTCACTGCGAAGCAATGGGCACGACCATCAACCACCAGTTGACCAGCATCCCACAGACGTGGTGTCCTGGTCCAGGTGGTAGCGGGTACGGTGGAAACGGAACCGGAAACAATAATAACCAAAGCAACAGCAACAGCAACAGCTCAGCAACAACGGGACCAGGTGTATCCTTCAAGTGGACCGAGCAACCGGACGGGAGCGCAGCGTTGTTGATTGTGCGCCGGATAAACGATAAAGCGGCGGACACGGCTGTGTACAAAGTCACGCCGGACTGTATACCGATGATGGGGGATGATATCTTTCGGCATCAGGTGTATGAGGGGCCGGAGAACTTTTCGGTGCCGGCTTATCGGTCTTCTGAGTCGGGTTGATGATGGGATGGTTTGATGCGATTGGGGTTGGTTCTGTGTTGTTGAGCCACTCACTTGCTTGCTCTATATATGTTTACATGGTTATAGGTTCCCCAGGGACATCAAGTTGTGGAAATGGGACCTCGTAATTTGGTATTCCGAGTATTGGGAGTGAGATAGAAGGACATGAAAACCCTACCATTGCAATACCTACTCCAGAACCGATATTTTCTCCCGGACGTCCATCCTCCCCTATTACTTGTTCATCCTGTCCCTCCAAGACCTACAAAGAAATACACCCACCCGCACTATCCTCAATGAAAATCCCGCCATAAATCTGTCCTTCATCAATACCACTCTCCTGATACCCCGAGTTCACCACATCCTCAGTGCCAGTAGGTTTCTTCAGGATACCAATCTGATATTGGCCCTCTCCTGCATTATTATTCGGCACTGGCTTGATAACACTGCGCAAAGGCTCATCACCCTTGGAATAGTAGACTTGTAGTGTGCTGTATTTTCGTAGGTATTCTCGTCAGCGACTTTCCCTCATTAGAGGAGAGTAGGACCGATAAACCGGGAAGAAAAAAGACATACTTTGTGTTAAAATCCAACGTAATAGCAAAATTCTGCCACTCCTTCTTCTCAATAGGCGTCGACCAGATCAGCTTGTTCTCCCGGCTCATGATCTTGAACGTGTTTTTGGGAAGGCTGCCTTCCTGGCCGATGATGGTGCCGGCTTGGAAGTTGAATTGGTTGGCTGACCAGTCGGAGGTTTCGTGCCAGACGTTCTATAGAAGCATAAATTGGTTAGGCAAACGCCATTGATAAGGAGCATAGAGCAGGGGCAGATATGTAGGAAAAGAGAAGGGGAAGAAAGGAAGGTCCAAAGCTTACAAGATACTCATGCGTCAAATTCAACCCCCTCTTCCCATCCTGCCTGACACTAAAATGAAGCGTCTTCACCCCTTTCGAAGCAGGGCTACCGGTATTTGTGCTATTTTCGTTGTCGTTAGTCTCAACATCAGCAACCATCTTCCCAAACCCCAACCCCCAAACATCCCCCCAGACATTCTCCCTCCCCATTAGGAAACTAATATACGTTAAGGAATAAAAGGAGCTCAGCCTCGTTCCTGGGCTGAATACCCCTGCCCCCCAAAATCATCACCACCAGGTCATCAGGTATACTCACTCCCCACTAAAAATCAACCCAGCCCTCCGAAACCCATACTGCGTCTTGAAAACACTCTCATCCGTAATCGTCACCTCAACCGGTTTATGAGTGCAATTATCAAAGCGACTGCTTCCCCTCCCCAGGTCCTTGGGGTCGGTGGGGAACTTGAGGATCTGGCTCCATTTCAGACTGGACCCCTTAACGTTGTCCGGGTTGAAGAGGGAGGTGGCGGAGCTGTCAAAGTCGGTTAGTTGTGTGCGAATCTTGATGCGGCCGTCGAAGATTAGGGGGCATTTGATTGTTGCGGCGGCGTGGGGATGGGGGACGGCGAGGGCGGCGGGCAGGGAGGTTCCTGCTAGGGTGAGCAGCACCAGGGAGAGGATGGTTGGGGTGTGCATTTTGAAGGGGCAGAGAGGTGGGATTGATATCGAAAGAGGTACTCCGACTTGACAAGCGCAATATTTGACCGTTTCCGCGAAGAGAAAGCTTGTTTATATATGTCACACTCTTTTGCTACTACGTATTGAATCCCGGTGCATTTGTACCCCGGCTGATTTAGGCGGACGGCATCGTCAACCGCCCACACCTTAGTATCCCATTCGGCCGGGATCGTGTTCCTGGAGTTCCTGGAGTTGAGATGCCAATGCGACGATACTACAAGCGGATCATGTCCCGAATATCCGGATTGGGTTTGTGGGGAAATACTACCTACTTCCCTCCGTCTTTTACTTCCTACATACCTTTCTCTGGGAAATCCGGGGAAGCAAGCACCCAACCACCAACCTACCATCCATCCTTGCACTAGCATTCGGCCGATGAACCGTGATCGTTTGCAGATTCGCTTGTTCGTTACTGGGGGGAGTTCGGGTAATGATGGACAGAAGCCGCAAACCAGCTGAACGGATGGCCCGAACCCGACTGACTGGGAACGATAATAACGGATGCATGTCCTTTGGGCCGGGTGAATAACATGCACTCCATCGAGCAACAAGAGTATAAGAACTGTGAAGGTATAGATTCATACCATGCTTTCCTTTCCTCGTATATCTAGAATTGTATACAAACAACAACTGACCACCTGCTTATAACCAACCAAGCCGAAACGCCTCCTTTGTTCACCCAAACGCCAGGAGCACGACGCAACTCTCTATCTCAAGCAGCATACTGCTCATCATGATCAAGCAGTGGGAAGAGCACGCCGCTTCATGCCATTAGGCTGCGCATTGACGATCTTCAGCCATTCGCCGTTAAAAGCATTGACCAGCCAGTTCGTCAGTTCTGTGTATTCTCAGTTAGCATATCCAGTCGACTCAGCCACAACCACACATGGTGTACTCACTATCAAACACAATCCGATTGGCATTATGAAAGTAAATGCCATGATCACTATCCGGGAAAACGTGAACATCATAGTTCTCAACGGTTGACTGATCAAGCCGGTCCAAAAGCGTAAGGGAGTTCTGCATATGAACATTATCGTCGGCCACACCATGCATCAAGAGGAAGCGCACGTTCTGGGAAAGGGCGGTGACGTTGGTGACGGCGGCTCCCTCGTAACCTTCGGGGTTCGTCTGCGGAGTGCGCATGTATCGCTCCGTGTAGATGCTGTCGTAGAAGCGCCAGTCGGTAACGGGGGCCACGGCCATGCCGTATTTGAAGGTCTGGCCTGCATCCTGCTCGAGGGTCTTGAGAGTCATGTAGCCGCCGTAGCTCCAGCCCCAAATGGCAAGGCGGTCTTCGTCGATGTAGTCCTTTTGAGCCCAGTGCTTCGCGGCGGCGATCTGGTCGTGGGACTCCCAGGTTCCGAGGTTGCCCCGGATGATGACGCGGTTCTTGCGGCCGATGAAGCCTGTTCCGCGCCCGTCGACGGTAACGCAGACATAACCGAGGCCAGCAGCCACAAATGACTGGTAGTCGACAGCGAACGTCTTTTTGACGGTCTGAGAGACGGGGCCACTGTACTGTTGGAAGAGAACGGGGTACTTCTTGTTCTTGTCAAAGTGTGGCGGGCGTCTCTCGATGTAGTTGAGATCTACGCCGTCAACGTTGATAGTGCCATAAATGTTGATCGGGAGTTCGTGCTTCTTGGCCGCTTCGGCGAGATCTTTGTTCTCCTCCACGACATGCTCGTACTTGTCGGAGTTGCTCGGGGTGCTGATAACCTTTTGCCAGGGAATGTCTGGGCCCTGGTAGGATACCAAGGCGTATCCGGCACCGGTCGAGAACGAGATGGCGTAGTAGCCCTCCTTGGAGGTATCCGTTACCGGTGTCATATCTTCTCCGGTCAGCTTGACCTGGTAGACATGACGCTGGATCGAGGATTCTTTCGTAGAAACAAAGTAGACGAGGTTCCTTTGCAGGTCAACGGCAGATGGCGCATCGACCACTTCATAATCCCCAGAGGTGAGCATGATGGGGTCTGGGTTGTCCAACGGCGTGAAGTACGCCAAATGATCTCCATTGTCGTGAATAATGGTGTCGACATAGCCATCATCAGGCCGGCCGTTGGCGGGATCAGCCGGGATGAACTTGGTCTTGTGAGAGATCTCGAACCAGCCACCGTCAATGGCGTTGACATCAACAGTCCTGACTGCCTTTCCAGTGCGGGATCCCACATCAACCAGCACGACGCGCATCACATCACTGACTCTGTTTGTCTCTTTGATCAATACCTGCTTTCCGGCCCAGACAACCTCAGTGATAAGGCGGTCGTCGTCGGCAAAACGGCCTGAGATATCAACGGAGAAGACATCGCCACGTTTCACGTCATAAACCTTGAGGTCGACAATAGGGTTGTGTGCGCCGGCCTTCGGGTACTTGATTTCTCTGACCTCGGGGTAGTTCTCCTCTCCCGGCTTGGGCTCCTCACCACTGGGCCTTGACACAAAGTACTGGATGGGATACTCGGGGACACCTGTCTCGTTGGTTCGGAGGAATGCGACGTAATTGCCGTCCTCGGACCACCAGGTAGCGACACCACTTGCCAGCACCTCTTCCTCGTAGACCCAGTCGGGGACACCGTTGAATACGTCTGCACTGCCGTCCCTGGTGATCTGCACAATCTTATCACTGTCGAGTTTGCGAAGGAACATGTTGTTATCCCGTGTGTAGACAATGGCATCACTGGTAGGACTCCATGACGCCAGCTGGAGCCGAGCCTCGACATCGTAGGGAACCAGAGGCTCAACCTGCTGGGTCTCAACGTCAAAGATCCAGTAGACAGCGTAGTATGAGTGGCGCCAGTTGTTCTTAACGTCCGTCGCAAGCAGGACTTTTTTCAGATCCCAACTGGGAACCGTGACAGTGGGCCAGTATGTTTTGTTGGCAAATTCAAATGATTTGTCCTTGATCAGGGTCTTGCTCTTGGAGGCTTGGACGGAGGAAGGGTTCTGAGCTCGCACATCTTCGACCACAAGGTAGTCTTTCCCGGCGCCCTCCTTCTCCAGAAGAAGGCCATCTTCTCCGTTTGCACCGGCGATCCAGCTGATGGAATGGCTCTTTGCGCGCCATTCATTTTTCAAGACTTGGTCTAGGGTGACCTTCTTGCCACTTCCGTGCGTGACTGTTGCTTGGGGGTCATGCGCGAAGGAGGAGGATGGCTTGTAGGCCTTATGCGAGACGAAGACGAAGAGGCCGATGACCCAAGTAGCGACCAACGCTCCCGAAACGATAAATAGCCATCTCCTCAAACTGCGATCCATACGCTGGCCGTCGCCGGGCGAGCGCTGGTCTGAACGGGAAGACGGACTGGCGTTGCCCAAGAAGGGCCCGGTTTCGAGATCGTCATTGTTCAGCTCGTCCTTGAGCGAGTCGTCATCGTCGCCATCGGTGCCGCGAGAGGGGAACTCCTTGGTGTCGAGACGTTCTTGTATGCGATCGAAGACGATGCTCGTCGTGGACACGGTGGAGTCTGTTTCTTGCGACATGCTTCTTCGATGCTGGCTGGGACTATGGTCTCTGAAGCGATCGAGGCCAGACCGTAGCGGATCGTCCGAGTAAGTGGATGGCATAGTGAGGACGGGCGAGGAACGATTGCGCCCAAATAATCTTCTTTTGTACACGATGCACCTCGATGTGGCTGTTTGGCGGGATTGACCCGTCCACCGGAAAAAGAGAGGGTGCTACTACTCAATAGCAGCGGGGACTGCGCGGCCGGCGTGCAGTGCGATGTATTCTTTGTAGGACAAATTGAACCCTAGGGGCAAAACATGACCGATTCGGTCGCTATTCAGATACTGTTTGGGACAAGGACGAGGAGGTCCCTTTGACGAAGCTGGGAGTTGTCGAGGTCTCGACTTCGGCTATCTGCGACACCGAGACCGACGACGGAGGGCGCCACGCGACAGCCAACGCAGGGGGTCCTAGTCTGATGCAGATTGTAAGCAGGCTACTGCTATAACCCTATCCCTATCTCAGGAAGGCAGCTGAATTGGCTTCCATGATTGAGCAAACACAAGCCGCCTTCCTCCCTTGGAACCTCTGCTCCTGAATGATTTACACTTTCGGTACAAAGGTTGGTCTAGAAACATTCTCGAAGTGCTCAAGAGTGGAAAAGTGAGCATATATTTGCTGAGGTGGGAAATATACCAAAGTGTCTGTCAGCTTTCCAAGCAATTTCTCATAGGCTAGGTGTGTTGTGTATCAAGATGCCCCTGCGAGTAGGAGTATCGCGTTGACACACAAACTCATAGCGATCCAAAAGTTTGGTTCAGACAGTCACTGGCTAATACGATTACCCATCCTCGGTGACCATAAATCGATTGTTGAATCTATACTTACCTGAAAGCCCGCTGGGAGCATCCGGTCTTGAACTCGTAGCGTCTTTATAGTAGGCACAGTGATCAACAGCGTTTAGAAGCTTCTTGTTAGCCAGTCTGGTCTGGTTGGTTTCAAACGGGGGCGGGAGTCCGAGTGGAAGAGGTTTGATGTTTGGAACGGCCCGCGAGCGGATACAAGTTAGTGTGGGGAGATGCCACAAAAGCGCCTTGACAACGAACAAAAAAGATGTGTTGATATTGGCGACCAGTTCGTTGTTCAAGCGTTGGCAGCTAGCAGCCAGTCAAATGAGATGGCGTTGAATGGTGAGGGGATGGGACGGAAAGAGAGGGGAGTGTGGCCAGCTGGCAGACGTCATTCATTTGCGATGCGATGCTATTTGTTTGACCGGCAACGAAGTGCTGTTCAATTGAAACATTTCGGATAATGAATAAAGATGCAATGCCAAAATGCAAAGACCGAGATAATGGGTTGCTAGGTGATGCTATCTCGTAAGTGACGGCGACAAAACCTGGGGAAGAACGACATGGACAGTGGAAAACGAATTGGGATGTCAGTGTGCAGTGTGCCACTCCAACAGCTGAAGCTACGAGGAGCTACCAGCGTGAAACTCGAGAGCTGGCCTGAAAGTGAGGTGCCGAATTGCCAAACGCCAACCGGGGGCGGCCAGAGCTTCTGGTAGGTTGCGACATTTCTCCGGGATTACCCGGGCGACGGATTTATTGGGCAGCTGGGCAGACCTCTGCCGCCAGAGCTTGACACCTGAGGAAGCAGCCCGCCGGAGCAGGCGCTCAGAGCTGGAGACCTGAGACCTTTGCTGAGGTCGGGGCAGAGGATCGAGATGGAAACCGCAGACTGCTGTCGTCACGGAGCTCCGGGGCCGGGCTGCAGTCAGAAATGGGGGACTAGACACGGCATGTAGTAATGATTTCGATCTTTCGGCTCGGAAGGCTCGAGGCGGGGAAGGGAGATTGATGGCGGGTGAAGGTGGGTGAGGTGCGGATGCGCTTCCTTTTTGTAGTAACCTCAGAAACCTCTCGATTTGGCGGCGTGGTTGGTGGAGTGCTCGGGATTCTGGTAGAGAGCAAAATTCTCAGCCGACTTCTGATTGGCCTTGACCAAGCTTCGCCCCACCTTTTCCCTTCGAACCAAGGCCACTCGACAATTTTCCTCACGCCGGGCTCTCCAAACTTCCATCAACCTCCCGCTACATCTCCCCTCCACGCAATTGCAATTGTGTTGCGATTGCATTCCTTCTGCTCGTCACGAACAGACACCTCCACAACATGTTCCGGAACGCCCTCCGCCAGAGCACTCGCGCCGTCGGCGCCTTCTCTGCCACCGGCAGAGTCGCCGCGGTAGGTTAAACAACTCCGCACACCCGATCCACCTTCAACATCACCGGTCGCCTCTTCTCTATATAACCTCATCGGGTCCCGGAGCACTTGGAGCTTTGTCATCATGGCGCATGGCCTCGAGGATGTCGATGGGCTTGTTGGGGGAGCTGTCGATGTGTCGTGAAGCATGTCACCGGAGTTCGGCTAGGGCTAACTCGACAGCAGCGAAATGCCGCACCTGTAGTTTCCGCCGTCCAGGCCCGCACCTACGCCGACGCCAAGGCCACTCCCACCGAGGTCTCTTCCATCCTCGAGCAGAGAATCCGTGGTGTCCATGAGGAGTCCAACCTCGCCGAGACCGGCCGTGTCCTCTCCGTCGGGTACGTTTTTTTGGGTTATGGATTCGATTCTTGGCAGAGAGGGGGAACGGCAGAGAGCATCAGGGTCGACGCGGTACCACGAAAGCAGCTCAGCAAGCATATCACGACACGACGACGACAATGACGACGACGACAACAACAACAACCGCAACAACAAAAACAACGACGACGACAGCTACCACGATTCCGATTCCGACCGTACCTGCGACGAGATGCGCTGAAGCTGGATGTTCGCGATGATGATGATGATGATGATGATGATGATGCTGCTGCCGGTGCTGCTGCTGCTGTGGTTAGCGAGAGCATGACGTGAATTTGTGGATGCTGACACGTCGTCTCCGTATAGTGATGGTATCGCCCGTGTTCACGGTATGGCCAACGTTCAGGCTGAGGAGCTTGTCGAGTATGTTCCAGTCCCTAACCTAACGGATACTCTTTTGTCCAATATCTGACCGTCAACCCCCAGGTTCGCCTCCGGTGTCAAGGGTATGTGCATGAACCTCGAGGCCGGCCAGGTCGGTGTTGTGCTTTTCGGTTCCGATCGTCTCGTCAAGGAGGGTGAGACCGTCAAGCGTACCGGCGAAATTGTCGATGTCCCCGTCGGTCCCGAGCTTCTCGGCCGTGTCATCGATGCCCTCGGTAACCCCATCGATGGCAAGGGTCCCATCAACTGCAAGGAGAAGCGTCGTGCCCAGCTCAAGGCCCCCGGCATTCTCCCCCGTCAGTCCGTCAACCAGCCCGTCCAGACCGGTCTCAAGTCCGTCGACGCCATGGTTCCCATCGGCCGTGGTCAGCGTGAGTTGATCATTGGTGATCGTCAGACCGGCAAGACTGCCGTCGCTCTTGATGCCATTCTCAACCAGAAGCGCTGGAACAGCGGCTCCGACGAGGACAAGAAGCTCTACTGCGTCTACGTCGCCGTCGGCCAGAAGCGTTCCACCGTCGCTCAGCTCGTCAAGACCCTCGAGGAGAACGACGCCATGAAGTACTCCATCGTCGTCGCTGCCACCGCCTCCGAGGCCGCTCCTCTCCAGTACCTCGCTCCTTTCACCGGTGTAAGTGGCTGCCGGATCGATTCCCCTCCGATTTTCACCAGACCCCTTCAATTGCCACTCGAACACCTCCATATTTTGGTTGGACACCTTCCAAACATGGGAGAATGTCTTCCAAATAACTTGAGACCCTTTCCAATCATCCCCATATCCTTCCCAAACATGTGCAGGACCCCTTCCACATTTCTGCACACGCCTTTTGCATTTCCCCACCACTTTCTAAATTTCTCCCCCCCTCCCCAAACATCACCAACCTCTTCCCTTCGGACTCTCGCCCCCCCGTTTGAAACCAACCAGGCCAGACTGGCTAACAAGAAGCTTCTAAATGCAGGCTTGCGTGGGTGAATACTTCCGTGACAACGGCAAGCACTCCCTTGTCATCTTCGACGATCTTACCAAGCAGGCCGTTGCCTACCGTCAGATGTCCCTCCTTCTCCGTCGTCCCCCCGGTCGTGAGGCTTACCCCGGTGATGTCTTCTACCTCCACTCTCGTCTTCTCGAGCGTGCCGCCAAGATGAACAAGACCCACGGCGGTGGTTCCATGACTGCCCTTCCCGTCATTGAGACCCAGGGTGGTGATGTGTCCGCTTACATTCCCACCAACGTCATTTCCATTACCGACGGTCAGATCTTCTTGGAGTCTGAGCTCTTCTACAAGGGTATCCGTCCCGCCATTAACGTCGGTCTTTCCGTCTCTCGTGTCGGTTCCGCTGCCCAGCTCAAGGCCATGAAGCAAGTCGCTGGTTCCCTCAAGCTCTTCTTGGCCCAGTACCGTGAGGTCGCTGCCTTCGCCCAGTTCGGTTCCGATCTCGATGCTGCTACCAAGCAGACCCTCAACCGTGGTGAGCGTGTAAGTACAAACAAGTTGAACTCCCCATGTCTTGGTGCAGAGCTGACAAGTCCATCTACAGTTGACCGAGCTCCTCAAGCAGAAGCAGTACTCCCCCATGGCCGTCAACGAGATGGTTCCCCTCATCTTCGCCGGTGTCAACGGTTTCCTCGACTCCGTCCCCGTTGCCAAGATCCTCCAGTGGGAGGCTGACTTCCTCGCCCACCTCAAGACCAACGAGTCTGAGATCCTGGCCACCATCGACAAGGAGGGTGCCATTAGCAAGGACCTCGAGGCCAAGCTCCGTGGTGTTATCCAGACCTTCACCAAGAGCTTCCTCGGTTAAATGCATATAAATATGAATTAATTCTCCGTGGTTCTTGAGAACGAGCAGTGGGTCCGTCATCTTCACCCGCGCAGTTCCGTGTTTCTAGAAGAAAGTGTTCCGTCTCCGTCGGGTGCTGGACTGAGGAATGGACGCGTGAGAAGGGGAGATTCTCTAGCCGAACCTACTGTAAATTAGAGCAAGTCTCAATCAAGCACTCGATTCCCTTTGTCAGGCACTGAAAATACGAGGTTATGAATTCTATACTCAATGGGAAGGCTTGTGCAGAGGTTTTCTTGGTGCATTCATTTGCTTCTTTACAGTGGACGATCTGATGTGTTTTCAACCAGGTGCTTGTACTTATTCTACAGGAAGCGAAAAAAAACATAGTTCATTGAAGTTACGACCGAACATGTGAGCAAGATGATTACAGATTTACTTTCAGCTGCCTTCCAAATCATTTCGAGCCGCCCTACCCAAAGAACCAACCCAAGTAAACAAACCACCAGTTAAACTGTATTTGTGGATTCCAACATGTGCGATCTTCGATTTGGAAACTTTGGATTGTGCTGAAAGACCGCCGCGGTGACAAGCAATTGGGATTATGAGGCTTGGCGGGGCAGCGTCAGTGACATCATGAGCGACAGCTGCGACACCCAAACAGCATGGTGGTCTTCGCCTATGATTGACAGCTACCAATCTATCGGATTTCTTTGAATTAGAACTCAAATAACCTGCGACTTCACTGGCAAGCTTACCATTTCCCTCCTCTACACTATTCAGTTCCCAATTGTTCATCAATCGCCCTCAACTCCGGAAGTCGTTTTGTCGGAGCTCAAGAACACTCAATGTAAGTGGAAGGCACCACCCCGCGTCATCCCACGCGTTCCACGCAGTTCCCATCCCATCTTTCAAGATCTGGACAGTTCTTGGACCCGAACACTTGGTTTTGCAGCGCAATACTTCTGGGTCACTGAAGCTCTCTCTCTTGTGGAAGAATCTGTGTTTTACTGACAACATCACTGATCTAGCTACTATTTTCCCACTCTTAGATATGTCGTCCGAGTCATCAACAGGCCCAGAAATGTCGGCGACTACCAAGCAGATGCTAGCCCGTGTGCGGCAAATGGTGCCGCCCATGCTGGAGAAATTCCATAAAGGTTTGTCCTGTCTAACTTGCGATGTCTAGTGATCCAGTTCGAGGAAGAGGAGCTTCTCTTCTCCGCCACTGTTGCTTTGGGTTTGCCGGGAAGCTGTTCCCAAGCCTCGGGGTACAAAAGGAGTTGCCCCTAGGTAACGACAGTTTGGAAGATTGACCAGAGACAATAGCTAACTTGACATTCCCCAAACTATAGGACAACTGGGTCGTGTAGCTGTCATCGGTGGTAGCGAGGACTACACAGGAGCTCCCTACTTCTCCGCCATGGCGAGTGCGAGACTGGGTTCTGATCTCGTAAGTTTGGGCCACCCAACTCCCACTTCCACATCACCAGCCACGAGACCGACTAACATGGATGAACAGTCCCACGTAATTTGCACTCCCAACGCCGCCCAAGTTATCAAGACCTACTCTCCCAACCTCATGGTCCACCCGCTCATGCGCTCCTCCCCGCTGGCCCTCAGCACCTCGGACTCCGGCAGCTCATCCTCGCTCACAAAGTCCGCCCCGGACACCGACCCTACCCAGATAGCCGCCCAGATCATCCCCATGTTCGACCGGCTACACGTCCTCGTCATCGGCCCCGGTCTCGGCCGCGACCCGATCATGCAAGAGACTTGCGCCAAGGTGATCACGGCGGCGCGCGAGAAGGGAATTCCCATGGTTCTCGACGCCGACGCCCTGTTGCTGGTGGTCAAGGACCCGTCCCTCATCAAGGGATACGACAACGCCGTCTTGACGCCCAATGTGGTCGAGTTCGGCCGGTTGACCAAGGCGCTCGGCGTGGACGAAGAGGTGAAGAAGGCTGAGGAGACGGCGGGCGAGACGGCCAAGGTGGAGGCGCTGGCTAAGGCGCTCGGCGGCGTCATGGTGTTGCAGAAGGGAGCCAAGGACTACCTGAGCGACGGCAAGGTGACGCTGACGGTGGACTTGAAGGGCGGGCTGAAGAGGAGTGGTGGGCAGGGAGACACGCTGACGGGAAGTATTGCCACGTTTTTGGGGTGGCGGAAGGCGTACCTTGATGGTCTCTGGGATCATGGGAATAAGCTTAAGAAGGAGGAGTTGATGGGTTTAGCTGTCTTTGGTGGAAGCGCCATTACGAGGGTGAGTTACGCTGTGATTTCTGGTTTATGGTTCTGGTCATTTCTTCCGGCATTTTTCGATCCTGACCTCACAAGGTCTACACTACGCAATTTTACTAAGGCAACTGCTAACATCATCTCTAGGAATGCTCTCGTCTGGCATTTGCCAAGAAGGGCCGCAGTCTTCAAGCAAGCGATCTCACAGACGAAGTACACACGGCATTTTTGAACCTGTTTGGCGAGGTTGACGCGAAGCTTTAGATGGATTCACTTCTCCATTTAATACTTGGGCGGGCTCGTTCCGATCTATACAGATGTCGTCCCGGATAATACATGAGCTCTTCGGGCTGTCACGAGATAATGAATGTTACACACAAACCAAAAGTTTAAAGCTACCTATATCTAGGTGGCAACCGCGACTCTTCATCAATACCCAGGCATGTTACTACTACCCCTAAACTTAACCTAGCTTTACATTGCATGGTGGCTTATACATGGGCTACCTAAACCCTCCGTCACCCGCGTGTATCCCAGTATAGGAGCCAATAACGTACAATCATTGGTGGTTATGACCGAGCTGTGAAAAGAAAAAAAAGAAAAAGAGAAAAAGAAGAAAAAAACGGAAAAAGAAATGTCAAAGTCCCGTAAACTCGGGAGATAGGAATTAGGGGGTCAATCCCCTCCTCCTCTTTGCAGCTACATGCATCCCGGGTACCGCGGTAGGCCAAATCGATGGCTAAGCGCAGCTAGTCGGACTGGAGTTATTGCTTATTACTTTCCAGCTTTCGTATCTGGCCAGTCCTATATCGATAGATTGGGCTTTTTGTTGAAATCCATCCGTTTCATCACAGATAACGGAGTACCATGGGCAGGGCAGAAACGGCAAACCCAAATCATTGTGTGGGGGGGCAAGGGAAGAAGGAACATCAACAGCACTGGCATCACATCCAGTTCCTGCATCGTGTGTTACACCCGTCTCTACCGTGACCCAGCAACCGTCGCCTCCCGCCTCCCGTCCCTTCCCCCCCTCGTCGCCTCGCCTCGAGAAAAAAAAAGGGCTTCTTGCCTGACGGAGGATACACACATATGTATGTATGTACTTATCGCCAACCCAAGATCGAATGTGCAGGTGCAGGTGCAGGAACCAAAAGGTGCAGCCAGCCTCAAAAGTCACATTACCTTACCTATCCGTCTCCCGCAACACTCAGCGAAGAGGCGAAGGCGGGCTAAGCGCTGCCTCCTGCGGGTATCCATATCCTACATCCCACCGATATCCTACATCCCGCATTCACACACACTCACTGCCACTGTCCCACTGCTGTGGCTCGGCCGGGAAGAGGTTGTCACCGACGCTGTCACGCTACGTCAACTTTCCTGCGGCCGGTGTGAAGGACGGGGACGAATAATGGATGGATATATGGATGGATGGATATATGGATGGATGGATATATGGATGGATGGATATATGGATGGATGGATATATGGATGGATGGATATATGGATGGATGGATATATGGATGGATGGATATGGATGGATGGATATGGATGGATGGATATATGGATGGATGGATATATGGATGGATATGGATGGATGGATGGATGCTCCCTGGGCTCTAAAAGGCTCTGGGCATTGGGCTTTCGGGTCTAGACTGTGGACTCTGAACTGAACTGGACTGGACTGAACTTGACTCTGTCCTCTGTCCTCTGAACTCTGGACTCTTCTGAGTGCTGCATGGGAGTACCTCTAGCATGCATGTACATGAGGAGGATGAGAGCGGATCGCTTGTTCCGCCGCAAAAGCCCACCACACCACCATGACGAAACTTGGAAAGGAAAGAAGTGAAGTGAAGTGAACGGAAGGTGTGAAACGACCGTTCAGTCTCGCTCAGGAGAGAGGGGCGATGAGGGCGGTATGTAATGGCTTCACAGAGAAGCAAAAGAAAGCCTCCTCCGATCCGAAAGAAATATCCATCCGTCTGTCGAGTATGAATTGAAAGGAAAAAAGATAAGAGAGACAAACTAACATGCTTGGTCTTGGGTGACGACACCAGAGACAAGAGAACAAACAGGAGAGGAACTCTTGAAGGCCGATCGTTCGGAGAAGGAGGCTGAATGCATAACCGGAAGGAAGTGTCCTTAAAGTTCGTATGGTAGACAACACTGGGTATAATGTATGCAGGTAGTGTATGCAGGTTTCTCGAGACCATGAAGGGTTCATCGGGACCCGCCCGGCTTGCACTCACATGATATGACAATAAGATCCTGCTGGGATTCAGGAATCCTCTACATACCTGGTCCAATACTACAAAGACTATTTGCAAGGATATTGTCAAGTCCTCAGGATCGTCAGGGTCCTTTCTTGTCTCCTCGGATGTTGGTAGTCTGTTATTACTGTACACAGACAGCATTCAAAGGGATCCCCAAGGCAATTAACCCCATCCAGAATAACTAACTTCCCCTCTAGAAGCGGGAGACACTTCGCAGTATTGTCCTAGACAGACAGACTTATGGAAGCTTTATTATACACGAGGAGGCACCCGAGCGTCGTTGTCTCGGCTTTTTATCCATGTCTTTTTTTTTCTATCAACAGGTCATGCCTGTATGTATGTATGTACTACCCAGCAAAACGATCCTCGATCAGTACTCACTCTAGGCAAGTCTGTTCGAAGGAGGAGGAGGAGGAGAGTAAGGTACCACACGCCTGGACCAAGAACGCGCCCCATGTCTAGGTAAGCCTCATGGATATCGGTGGTAGATACGACTAGGTATGTTATGTATGCATTGGCAACCGGCCGGTACGGTACGACAGATAACATTTTCATGTAACAGGGGCAAGATGCATGTGGCATGTAGGAGCCGACGCTGGAACACATTACCTTACTTACATTCAGGTACTATGCAACGTCAACTTCCACCTTGCCTTTGCTTTGCTTTGCTTTACTTTGCTTTGTTTTTGCCTTGCTTCTCGCTCGCAGAAAGCTACTACAGCATATTGCAGCATCTGTATTACACATGCAAGCAGGTACATACATAGATGCCAGGTTCTCATCGGAAGTCCCAATGTATAGATAGGTATATGCTCGGGCAGACACTCGAGCTTTTGGCAACGAAAGATGTGGTTCGTTTGTCAAACGTTTTGATTTCGCCTTTTTACCTTCAGTCTCGAAATGGAAGTGCCTCCCTCGTTCATCGTATAAACTGCATCCAGGCCAGGCCACTTGTTCGCCGGGAAGTGTGCAGGAACGAACGCATAACGGTCGTGCCACAAGGGCCAAGGGGCCGTGGGGTTGAGTACATTATGTGCTGGGTTCTTGGTTTGACACCTTGACCTAGTTGTACCAAACTACCTAGTGTTCCTCGTCCCTCGTCCTGGTGTCGCCATGGGTGAGGCCGTGAGGTCCCGGCCTGTATTCATGGTTACACGCCGGGTTACACGACTATCTCGACAGAAATGAGCGAAGGAGCTATGGCCGAGACCTGGATGGTCAGTGTTCCAGGTTGGTTTCTAAGACGAGGAAGTTTGACGAAGACGAAGGAGCCTGGGGGAAGACACTGTGGAAAGGAAAGTCATGCTCCAAATATCACGTCAGGTGTGGTTGTTGTGACCCAGACGACGGTGGGTGTGATGCAATCCGGTATCTTCCAGCCAAGTTTACCAAGGCGGCACAGGATCTGGCTCAGTACTGTGATGTGATGGTGAGTGTTGTATCGAACTTGTAAAAATGCATGAGCTGGGGCGGCAAACCCGAAATCCCATGTCATTCCCCCACTCCTGGTAGCTGGTAGTGATGACATACACAGTATGCTCACAATGCGGGAGAGCGAAACTGACTGATCGGAGCAGCCGGGGGTTTACCAACAAAGCTCCCGTTGAGCTGTCATATCGAAACAGGAGCTCAAGGAGGAGAGGGGGGCACCCGCCAAACGGGAGAGCCAGCACAAAAAGTTTGGGACTCGTTTGTAGAGAACCGAGAGGTTACCAAGGCTCGAGTGTTGACGTCCAAACATTGCTTTTTTGACAGATAGTTTTCCTTTGATGCACAGTCGATCCTCAGCCCGCCTGAAAGTGATATCGCAAAGGCGAATAGGAATTTCCGGTTCACTGGGACGCGGACTAGGATGTGAAAATTTTCATACTGCGTCTCTAGAGAGACTCGAGTTGGATGATGAGCGAAGGGTCTTGCTCGGCGTAGAGGCTTGCATTGAAACTGTGAGTTGCCGCAATATCGTGATGGTCATTCGACTCCTCGTAACCATGAACAAACATGTGTACAATTTGTCATCATCTGAGATCTGGGTTGGTTGTGTAAAGGACCAGAAACTGCCATGAGGTATCCAAAAGACTTTATCGGGAGAGTGACTGGCGTGCATCGAGGACAGATTCAGACGGACTTGACAGGACTCAAAAGTCGAACGTTCTGCCAAATGCAAGTGACCCAACCGGCCCCCATCTGGATTGGCTGTGTGCCCTCGGGCAAGTGGAGTCGATAATCAGGGCGGCACTGCCTGCCAGGGCCGCGGATCAAGGGTGAATGCGGAGTTGGCGCCGTGATTGCGTGGGGGAGTTGTTAGCGAGAGGCGAGGTAGGGGATATCAAATTCAAAGTGAATTTTGAGGCATGGAATTCGTGCAAGCTCTCTGAAAAGTTGATTGTAGGAAAAAAAACGGCTTTTACGCGAAATAAGCTACCATTTGAGACATATAGCGGCGAAACTCCCGGTCAGCAGCGAGAGTCATCTCAATCTCTAGAGGTAGTTTTCCTGGTGGGGTCGCTTCTCTCTGTGAGGGAAGCACGGGGCACGCCTGGATTTGTGGTCCGTGCTCTTGGACTGGAAATTGCTCCGAACGAACTCGAAGGATTGGTTCCCAAATCCAACCTCACCTCATTGACCTCGTTGACCTCGAACACCCGAACCGACCAACACTCGAGTTGGACGATCTCCCTTTGCATCCAGACACTGCTCAAACTTCCACTGGCACAGATTTGTGGGCTAGAATGAGTCGCGATATACCCGCTGTTGATTTCGGACGAGCTGCCGCAACTGAGCAGCAGAGTCGCGATGCGCCCGAGTTTCAAACCCCGACAAGTTGTCAGACCAGACGCGCAGACACGAAAACCTGAGCTTCCAACCTTGTGTTTTCAGTCCTCTCCACTGAAACCTTGTGTCGATGTCAAGTATGAGAAACCGCAATAAGGGCTTTTATGATTTACTTTGAGGATAAGAGGGAGCCACTGGCAGGGAGACGAGTGCAGGGATGCCAGGCTTTTCCATCACCAACTCATCATCCATCCTGCTGTCGCCGTTGGATGTGAGCGAGGTCCTAAAATGGGACAAAGTTTGCTCTATCCAAGTTTGGTTTTCTGAACAAGCCGAGTCTAGCCTAGTGCTACACTTAGTTACGTACAACTACGTACATATGAGCAAGTGGACGGACGGTATGGATTGCAGTCCCGTCGTCGTTTGCCCCCAAAGCCCGAGTTTCGTGTCTTTTTTTTTTTTTTTTTTTTTTTTTTTTTTTTTGCTATTCAGCACTTCCAGGTTGTTTTTCCCTTTGCCCCCTCTTTGCGCCGTTCCCAAGCAGTCCCAGAAAACCAACAGGCGAGCCTGGGCTCTCCTTCCCGGACGCCTCTTGGGATCTCATCGTCTTGGCATCGTGACGTTCTGATATTAGCTCCCATTATACCGCGGAAAAAGTAACAATGGCTGCGGGAGTAAACAAGGTGGGAAGTCACAATGGCGAGCGTTCCGTTTGGTTGACTCGAGTCCCAGTGGGCTCAATGGGCAAGGCTTTCTTTTTTTGAATTGCTTGCCTCCCAGGTATGGCCCATGACATTGGTCCGGTTTTCAATTTCACCAACACCAAATGCACGCGATGATAGTGTGTTTTTCCAGCTGTTATGCCTTATGAGTTATGACACTATCACATCCTGCTTTACTTTTTTTTTCGTCCTCTTTCCCTGTTTTACAGTGTGAGTGGGTAACTTCCTTCCATCCCAAAGTGATGTGATGTTGAGTCGCACTTTCCCTTGGTATACTTGTGCCATATCCCTTGCGGAGTAACCGACCCCTTTCCCCTCCTCCATTCACTTGGCCATATTTTCTTCTTTAGTTGCTCCAACCCACTCACTTTGCGCGCAAAGAAAGCCCTTGTTTAGACCTGATGGTTTTCTTTTTCTCCATTCTGGTCTGAGCCAACCCCTTATATGACCTCGCCTCCCCTTCCTTCCGACCTCTCACGGGTTCGACTCTGCTCGAACGAAGAAGCGAGTTCAGCATCATCGGGGGAACACAACAAGTCTGAGACCAACCTGACTTTCTTTCCAGTCTGTCTCAACTGTTGGGCAACACAGCTACCTCCTACCTCTAGGAGGACAACAAGCAAAACCGCCGCTGCTTTCCTAACCCTGTGGTGTAATCGAAACACTACACTTGCAAGTCGTTGTACGATCACCGTCATACCAAACCGGAATGACCATCCACACCAAATCCGCAACACCGTACGACCGGCACTCGACCACCAGGCCTCCCTCTCAGTAACATTTCACCCGCGCCTCACCTGTCGTCCACAAAGATCTCAAACCACCAATAGACCCTTCAGTCTCGCACAAAACCCACCCCTCCTTGCAAATCCTTCCATGTCTTTCCGTGGAAAGTTTTATTCACCACCCCGAACCTGAACCCAAACACCTCCAGAAACCTTCCCTTAGCTACTCGGTTGACAGAAGCTAATCCAAAACAACCTCTTCCTTGCCGGTGCGCAACTTTGCCTACCCCGGGGCGACCTCGGATTGACCGCTATCACCTTGCCATATCACCTACCACTACAACTGGCACGATGGCGATGGGCATGGACCGCCTCGAGAAGAGGCTGGACCGGTTGGAGAAATTTTTCCACAGAAAGAGGAAGCTGTCGCCGCGTAACTCGACCGTTATCGAGAGTGGACCTCTTACATCGCTTTCGCACTCGGCTTCAGCTCCAACTATCCAAAAATTTCCAACGCCATCCTTCATCAGACCGACCTCAACTCGCATGCTGGCTAGAGAGGAGGTGACATTGACGTCCCAATGTGCCCGACGCACAAAGAGCCTCCCCGAATCTCCAAGCGATCCCCATAGTCCGTCTTTTTCACCTTCTGAGCATGGATCCAGAACGGGATTTACCCCCAGGCGCCGCATTCAGGGTCCTTCGGTACCTCAGCGGTCTTCTTCCCTAGTCAGCAGACAAAAGGACGCCTCTTTAGCCGAACTTCTCGAGTTTAGCTTTTCCGGTCGCTCTACGAGGAGCCATGATGAGCTATCTGCTCTATCTATGCGCCGCTCGAGGTCTGGTCACAAGTCACCTTCACGCTCGACTTCCGTATCGATTTCCCCGAGAGCGCAGCCAGGCAGGAAACGCCATCCTGACCTACACGTCCACACACATCTACAAACCCCTCCGCCGTCAGCGCAGCAAGAAAAATCTTTTGATTCAATGCTCTCCCTGCCGTCGACGTCTCTTTCGCACGGGCAACTTACTCCGGCGGCCTCTCCAAGGCTTATCCCGCTCCCTGCTCCAGAACCCAACGAGCTACATGAGATTCATTCGTCACAGTCGGGGAGCCCCCGAAGCCGGACTGCTACACCTGTCTGCAAAAAGCCAATCTTGGAGTTGAAGACTCAGGTTAGCAGGCTTAGCACAGCAAGGTCTACCCCTTCCATCAGGGTCAACACCATTCTTCGGGAACCCAGCTTCAATGACTTCTTGACCCTCAGCGATGATGATATCGCTGATGATCTTACCAACGAGCAATCGCTGTCACAAACAAGTTATATGACATCTCCGGAGCCACCAAGCTTCGATCTGCCGCTGAATCGTTTCGCTCCCTCCCCGTACGAGGCGAGCAATCACCCCCTGCTGACACTTTCCCCTCCTCTGGCCAGCAAGCCTGCTGCTATAGCAGCCTTTGAAGCTGCTCGGATTGCGTCAAAATATCACTTTGACCTCGTGTATGTGGTCAACCTGTGGCCCAGTCGGAATGGCTGTAGCCAGTCCAACAGTTTCTCAAAGAGGTCATCCATGTCATCGCTTTCGACGTCAACAACACTTCTCAACTCTCCTTCGTCCCCTAGCGCATCGTTCTCTGCCATGTCGACAGATGAAAACCTCGGACTGCCGTTTCCGCTGACTCATGGACCTATGACTGGTCGTTTGTTGGCGGCGTACGGGCTACATTCTCTCATGAGCCCGTTCCGTATCTCAGCACCGGTCCACCGGAAGATCCTCGGATCTGATAACTGGCTGGAATACCGCAGCGACAATGCGGCTGAGAATGAGTTTGCCAGAGGTTATAGCTGCTCATTCTACACTGGCTATACCCCCCCCAGGCCTTTCAGCGTGCTTGGCGAGAAAACAAGCGGGAATAGTAGCGTCAAGAACCACGGGATTGTGTTTGCGGCATATCGCCTGCCGCACAATGCTGCTGCAAAAACCGGAAGCAGCGTGGAGGAGCTTAAGGAGCTTCGCAAGGATGCCGAATCGTTGGTGAATTTGGCCCTCGATACCTATACGGATCACAAGGAGGAACGGGGAGACGGGGCGTGGAGGTGCACCCTGGATGACGATAAGATCGTGCCAGTGGTCAGTCGACAGTTGCTCGTGCGTTAAGACCCGAGAATTTCCTATTACGATTTGTCCCTCTAGGAGAGGATCACATGTTTGCAAGGTGTTTCCAAACAATTACACCGTCCGGCCTCGATGATGGCTATGAGCGGTTTCTAGAAGGGGTGGAGGCTGAAAGCCTTTACACTCGAATCTCTGGGATAGTGGAGGACCTGTGAGGACATCGACTTGATTGTCGGAACTCCTATCATTTCTGTGCATTTACGCAAGATCATTTCCCTGGTCGGCAGTTCACTAGGGCATGAGGTTATGGAAAACTAAAAAGGCGGAATGGAGCGGGCATGGATGTATGAATGAAGAGATGATGTGCGATACCCAATCAAATGTAATGACAAATAGTAATTTCAAGCCTTGTTGTAGGCGTTGATTTTCCATATGTTTTCCCAGGGTTTCACGATCACGACTATTACTCAGATGCGCATCATATTCAAGAAAAATATGCTCTACCTAGATTAACTTTTCCTGCTCAAGTCTATACGAAACATAAAGGCTCTGTTGGTTGGTATCCCTAAGCCCCAAGTATATTGAACAATGCAAAAACAGACAGTTAGAAAAACAGACAGATCATTACAACCCAACCTTTTCCTTACTTCTTAGCCACCTTCTTCTTCTTGTCGCTAGCCTTCTTCGGCGCGGCGGCGGCAGGGGCGGGCTTGGGCTTCTCCTCAACCTTCTTGGTGACCTTCTCGACCTTCTTCGTGGTCTTGACGGTCTTGGTCTTGGCAGACTCATCAACAACCTTCTTCTCCTCAACAACCTCAAGCTTCTCAATCTTCTCCGTCACCTCCGCCGCAGCCTCCTTGGACTCCTCCTTGGACTCCTCAGTCTTCTTCTCCGCAGCCTTCTTGCCAACAGGCTTCTTGAGAGCCCTAGGATCCAAACCTCTCCTGCGCATAGCATTGCGCTTGGCCCGCTCCATGTACTCCTTGTCCTCGCCGTCGTCGAAGTCGCCAAAGTCGTCCTGGGCTTCGTCCTCGGTGCCGATGGGCGTCTTGTCGACGACTTCTTGGGCTTCCTCGGCGGCTTGAGCGTCCAAAGGCTTGTTGGACTTGTCGACGCCGTTGGCGCGGACGGCGGTGGCGGGCGTGGGGCCGAGTTTTTGGAATTTGGCGACGAAGAAACCATCGACTAAGGAGGGGAGGGGGGTTAGTATTCAGGGGGAGAAAGGGAGGGAGGTAGAAGGGGACGTACCGTTGTAAAGATGGGGGTAGTATCTGCGGGTCAGCTTGAGGCTGGGGTGGAACGACTTGCCCATGAAGCTAGTGAAGCCTTCCTTGCCGAAAGCCAAACCAGTCTCAACGAGCTTGACGTTGGGACGGCGGCTGAGCGCATAGGCAACGACTTGCTCACTGTTTGTACGATCATGGGTTAGCGTCTTCTGAAAGCGAACAGTAAGGCAAGGGTGAAGGGGAAACGCACTTTTCCTCAACGGCAACGGAACATGTCGAGTAGACAACGTAGCCACCGGTCTTGCTGGCATGGTCCACCGAATCGATAGCAGCCAGGAGAAGCTGCTTCTGGAGGTGGGGGAGCTGCAAGAAGTCCTTCTCGTCTCTGTTGGTCTTGACGGAGGGATCCTTGGCAATGACACCAGTACCCGAGCACGGGGCATCGAGCAGGACTCTGTCAAAGCCGCCCATGACCCTGGGGAACTCACGCGCATCGTAGTTGCATACGATGACGTTCCTCGCGCCCAGTCTGTGAATGTTACCGATCAAACCCTTGGCACGCTGCTTGCTGGGATCGTTCGCAAAGATCACACCGGTGTTCTTCATCAACGCCGCCATATGCGTGGTCTTGCCACCGGGGGCAGAGGCCATATCGAGAACACGCTCGCCCTCCTGGGGGCAGAGAGCCATCACGGGCAGGAACGAAGACGCGGCCTGGAGGATGTAGTGGCCGGCCAAGTATTCGGGGGTGGCACCGAGGGGAACGCTTTATGCCCAAGTTAGCCATCCGAGTTTGTTTGCCGATGGTAGTTTTGATCGGGGATATACGTACTTCGAGTCGAAGACTTGCAGACCGACCTTGGACCACTTGCCAACAGGCTCCAGGGTGACACCGCGGTTGATGAGTGCTTGGGCAAGATCGCGGCGATGTGTTCGGAGGGTGTTTGTACGGATAACGACGGGGCGAGCGCTCTCGTTGGCTTCGAAAAAGGCGAACGCCTCTCTGGGAGGGAACAGGTTGCTACAAACAGTCAGCCAATCTCCTCACTAGTGGTATTGCCGCAGACGGGCATGCGACAGTTGTAAAACATACAAAAGCTTCTCAGCGAGGAACTCGTTGTAGCCGTAATCTGGCAAATCCTGACGTTAGCTTTGTGCATTTAAAGCGAAGTACTGTGCAAGGAGTATCGGGTCCTTACAGGCACAGATATCCTTGATGAGTTGGCTGGTGTACTCGGCGCGGCTCTTGCCCTCTTCCGCCGAATCCGCAAAGTCGTCCAGGACACGGATGGCGTCTGTTATCCTCGTCCTCAACATCTGGAGATCGGGCGCCAGCAAAGTCTTGGTCTTGGTCTGAAGTTGGTCGTCGTCATCACCGAGGTCATCACCGCCAGCAATGTTGGTCTGGAGCGCCTCGTCGCGCAATTCGGCCTCGTTCTCCTCTGCTTCCTTCTCTCTTTGCATATCCAATTTCCTCGAAAGACCCTCGATGTTGGCGGCTGTGAGCTTCTCCTCTCTATCCTCCTCGTCGTCCTCATCGTCTGAGAAGACGAATGCCTCCTTCTTGGCAACACCGTCCTGGTCGGAATCGTAAACCGAGTCGTCGTCAGTGCCGAGGAAGTCGTCTCCTAGCTTCTGAACGTCCATCTCATCGCCATCGATATCGAGATCCTCCAGGTCGGACGCGCCGAACTCGTCGTCCATCTCCTCGTCATGATCGGGCGAAGGCTCCTTTGCCTTCTTAGACTTCTTGGACTCCTTAGACCTGTGGTCGGGCTTGGTACCGGTCTTCTTCACCTCCTTGACCTCCTTCTTGGCGCCCTTGACTGCGACAGTGTTGGACCCGGATGTCTTGGGCTGCTTCTTGACAATCTTCTGTTTCTTGGATCTTCTGGTGTCTACTTCGGTCGTGGTTTCGTCGAAGGGAATGCCCTTCTTGCGCTTGAGGTTGGCGAAATGCTCCTCCGAGAGGGGCTCAGGAGGGCCCTGTTTCTGCATACGACGTCCGACACCCATTTTGGCGGTATTGCTGGTCGTCTGGTGGTGATTGGGATGTTGTTGAGGTTGGTTGAACACTGATAGCCCACCACTGACAAGCGCTTGTGGATATTTCGCCGGGTCGATTTTCTTTTCTGAAAAAGCTTATCGATAAGAATGCCAAGAGTGTTTCCTCGAATCTGGTCCCACTGTGTTCCCAAAAGGTGGGCGATTGGTCAAAGTACCCCACAATGGTCAGGCTAGGCCAAGTTCAGAATCCCTGCATTGACAGCTGACGATACCCCTGGAACTTGGCTGTCCTGGAGTTGGGGACAGCTGGAGCATGAACGGGTGCGGCAGGCGGTCTGAGGATGGAAGGAGTGGAAGGACCGTCTGACGGAGCTATCAAGAGGTGGGCAGTGTGGGCAATGGAGCTGGGGTGGAAGGACGACGGGATGAGGGCAACCGGCGGGCGGACAAGTTGAAGCGGAGGGGGCAAGGCCTCCCGGGCAGGCACCGCCTTCTAGGCGCACCCGACGCAGACGCAGGGGGAAGCACTGAATGGAGCCGGCGCCGGTGGGCGGTGGATGCCCCGGCCGCGAGGTTCCGTGTTAACACATCACTCAAAACAGAAGCAGCCCGGCAGGTAACTTGAAAGGTACCTCTGCACCAAACGGTTGCGGCATGTACAAACACACATTTCACCTCACCACCTTTCATCTTTCTGCTGTACCTTTCATCCATCACCGTAGTAACTGTAAATAACTCGAACTTCGTCTCGTCTTGCTGCTTTGCGCCCTTCAACAACCGCGATTCTTCTCTCGGACGAGCTTCTTCTCTCTTCTGCTGGAGCATTGAAGTATTGCCTGAGGTACCTACCTACCTACGAAGGTACCTGAGCGGCAAATCGCGATTCACCTCTCACCCACAGTTTGGCGGCGGGTTTTACTGCGTACCTTCCAATACCTTTCAGTACCTCTCCCTCCTCCTGCCTTTTGGACCTTCCGTTACGCTTCCACTTCCACCTCCTACCTGATTCATCCCCTCCCCCCATTCTCGGGAGCTCGGTCATTTTTCCCCAAAGTACAACCAACCACCACCACCGCCTCCTTTCACGTCGCCGCCATTCCATTCAGTCCGCGGAGCTTCACGAGCTTCCCTTTCCCTCAATCTTTCTACTTCCTAGCGAATCCGCCTTCCAGCCGCTTTTGATAAGTTGGCTGCTAATCTTCGTCAACCCGCGCGCAGCTTAGCGCAACACCACCGCCCATCATGGCTCAGGCCCTACCCATCAAATTCCAGGAGCTGCTGCAGCTCAGCGCCCTCGGCATCAACCAGTCCGCCATCACTTTCAACACCTGTGTACGTTCTCACCTTGCTCTGACCTTGTTGCTGGCGCCTGTCGCGCGATCTCTGGCTGCCCCTACTGACGTGACCCCCCTCCCTCCCACAGACCCTAGAATCGGACAACTGGGTGTGTATCCGCGACAAGAAGGACGAGGCAGCGTCCCCTGAAGTCATCATCGTCGATCTCAAGAACGGCAACAATGTTATCCGACGTCCCATCAAGGCCGACAGTGCCATAATGCACTGGTCGCGCCAAGTAATTGCCCTCAAGGCTCAAGCGCGCACGCTCCAGATCTTCGACCTCGAAAACAAGGCCAAGCTCAAGTCGACAAACATGAGCGAGGATGTCTTGTTCTGGAAGTGGGTTAGCGAGACCACGCTTGGATTGATCACAGATGGCTCTGTCTACCACTGGGATGTCTTCGACCCGAACCAGCCCGCTCCGGTCAAGGTCTTCGATCGTAATGCTAATCTCCAGGGCAACCAAATAATTAATTATCGGACCAGCGCCGACGGAAAGTGGATGGTCGTGGTCGGTATCTCACAACAGCAGGGCCGCGTTGTTGGTGCCATGCAGCTCTACTCCAAAGACCGCGGTATCAGCCAGGCCATTGAGGGTCACGCCGCCGCTTTTGGCACCCTCCGGCTAGAGGGCGCCCCAGAGGACACCAAGGTGTTTACCTTTGCGGTCCGCACCGCCGTCGGCGCAAAGCTCCACATCGTCGAGGTCGACCATCCCGAAACAAACCCCGTCTTCCCCAAGAAGGCCGTGGACGTCTTCTTCCCTCCCGAGGCCAGCAATGACTTCCCCGTCGCCCTCCAAGTTTCGCAAAAGTACGGCATCATCTACCTCATCACCAAGTACGGTTTCATCCACCTTTATGACCTC